CAGTTGGTGGAGACCTCATATGCATCTCCCCCAAACCATTCAAAATCAATTTCGTCCAAGTCGTCAGATTGCAAGAAAACTGAGGAAATCACACCGGTACCTGGCGCGGCCTTCAACTCGAACTGAACGCGACCAAACATGATGTAGAAGTCGGATCTCAAGGACGGGTTGTCGAATCTCTTGTTAATCGATAATTCCATCCCCTTGGTAGCATCGTAGGCAATTGCGCTGGCGGCAGAGGTGACTTCAAACCGGTCAGAGGCAGACAGGAAGTCGAAACGAATCGACTCGCCCAACGCAGGATCGGCAGGGCAAGTGGCTGTCAATGGGTCGCACGCATGGACAGCCAATGCGAAGAAGGAGGCCAAGGAAATTAAGGCTCGGGCTGGCAACATGTTCAGTATTGTGTGTGTAGCTTTCTGGGGTAATATGAGGAGAATAAGAGAGTCTCACGTAGTCAGATAACAATGAAGGATGGCTCGAAAAGATTGAATTAAAAGTGAAGCGGATGAATAAAGCATATTTATACCCTCTTCTCTGCACCACTTTTGGTGGTGCCGTGGCGACATCGTGACTATGTTGAGGGTAATGGCTTGGCGGCTTTCACCAATAATAATACCGTATCTAAAAATATCCTGCCATGTATATAATAATGACCTCATTTTACTGTACCATAATCCGTAGGCTGGGTAACGCCCACCTTAAGTATGCAGCCTAAAAATGATTCTCGATGGTGTTTATCTTGGCATCTCTGGCAGGCTGCTCGTTTGACAAACCTAAATATCACACGAAACTGGTAATTGGAGTTATAGCGCTGCGCGTGAGGGTAGATATATAATATTGCATGATTAGCCTGAACACCCCCATCACAGAATGCATGGTGGCTGGTCAGCAGATTCTCTACCCGAAGCTTAGGGGTTTTTTCTTACGGCTAGGTGATTTGCTGCGCGCACAGCCTTTAAATGTTTTTAGCGTGCGAAAAACTTCACTACAACGCCAAATTACCCGCCACTTTATTTTTCTCCGACCACTGTTTATTACAGGGGTACACAAGGTGGTACCAAACGAGGAGAACATCTTCTATTGTATTACAGAAGCCAACCACAACTGAAGGTAGAGTGGCTGGGGCTTCGCTCGTCCAAAAATGGCGGCCAAACCTTAGCGTATCCACTATCTGGATTGCAAGTGTGCCAAATCCTGGAGATTGGGATCCACGAGCGTACTTGAAACACCTTCTCCATCAGAAACAGACGATACAAACTAGGTGGTGCATCATTACTGTATAAATATGCATACCTCACTAAGGTCAACGTATTATGCCGAGCTTAGACATGACATCGCGAATCGCAAAAATAATGCAATGCAGTATAGATGGGTAGGCAGTAGCTTCGCCGCATACACTACGTTCTATATTTAGATTTGCGAAGGCGCAGGGAACTGCCTCTACTGTTGGTGTGTGCAGGCCAGGGTTTAGACATCCGTATGCCCTTAAGGTTCTAAGTATAGCTGTGACCTCTAGCTATCATTTTCAACTACCCTAATTGTGTATACATGCTGTTGGACTCAGAGTTAGCATGTAATGCCGACGATATCTATGTCCATGGCAATTGGCCGAATCCAACGCTGGTATGGGTCAAGGTTTCGTTCAGTCACCAGAGGAGCGAGCTCGAATATCCCTTACGCATATGCACACTTACGAGAACTACGGGGGATCTCCTGTCAGTATTAAATATATGCATATAATCTAATCGTATTGCATACATATATTCATATATTCATATTTGAAATATAAAATGGTTCTCACAGCTACGGAGAAGATGGTCTCTGTATTCGTCAGGCTACCAAAAGAAAATGAGGTTGAAGCAGACGTCAAAGCAGAGAAAATTCTAGCACTGGTATCAGAAGCAGAAACTTTGCCAGAAGTAGTGGAACCAATAACTAAGGCATTATCGGATACAGATGCTTACAGCGACTACAGGGTGACATTCGAAGCATCTGCTATGACCTGGCTCCGGTAATAGATAAACTCAGTGTCGGCTTCTTCCTTTCTCTCGTAAACTTCGCCATCAGATACCTGTACCTTATTCTAGTCTGTAGCGTTGGTATCGAGCGTATACGTGTCGCCAGTCGGGTAGCTGACAATGATCAAGTTCCTGAGGTACAAGGTTGGGTCCAAATCTTCTGATTCAAAATTGACTATCACCGCAACAATCTGCATTAGGATTTATTAAAAGTTTTGGGCTTCATAAGGCAACTTCATTACCTCCTTTCCGTTGATAATCCAGCTGAAATACTCCTTAGTCCACTCAAAGCTGTAAGTGTTTAGTCATGTCCCAAAAATGGAGACGCACTCACTGTCTTCTGGGGTGTTTTCGGCGCTTGTCTTATTGATATCGTAGAATACTTAGGGCTGGTATGCACTGTCCCAGAAAACTTGATAAATGTTTGAAATCAAGTTGGCAAGTGGGTAAACTTTCTTGCCCTGGGGAGCCGATAGTCTGAACTGTACCTTACCAAGAATAATTTTGTATACGGATAACGCGGAGGTGGTGTTGACCATAGTATTTCTATTGGTCCAAAGAGCAAGACCTTTTTCTGGGTCATTCCCTAACTAGCCAAACCAAGGAAAGAGGTGAAAGCTCAGATTATTGTTCTTAGGATAGTTGAAGGTAGTTTCACCAAGGGCGATTCGAGAATAAAATTTATTGTTGTCGCTTTGGAGGCCGGCAACTAGCAAAGCGGTGAAGAAACAGTTTCCTGAAAAGATATTTATGCAACCAGAATGCTTTTGGGGGAACAGAGATGCAGGGGAAGGGGGTAAATCTAACTAATATATGTGCATCCTACTTGGCCAGAAAACTGACTTAAAAAGGGACTTGTAACCAGCACCCTAGTATTAGGTTAGACCAAGGAACTTCCCGCATTTAACGGAGAAGTTTGATCGAAGAGCGCCTGAAGTGATGCAACCACTTTGAAGCTAAAAAGCAATTTTGTGCATACATATTCTCGGGATGCAAGGTTTTAACAATTACGCGATTCCACAACCGCAGACATGTATAATGGCCGTACTCCACTTTCGATGATGACCTTCCTATGTATTTTAACCTGAATCATATTCTCATCCATGAGTTCGGCAGATAATTCTCTATGAACCATAAATAAAACTGGTATTTTTCTTCATAGCAGAAAAGGGACCAGTAGCCTTGAATGACAGATATTATTTTCCAATTCCGTGGGAGTGGAAACCAATACTCAGAATCATAGTACTTGAAATAATGATATAATCAACATTACGACTGAATAAGTTATCAAAAGCTCTACGTTATAGATGAAAATGACTATCTATTTCTATTATTACATGACAACAAAAAATGATAATGTGAGAGCCAAGCCAACCACAGAAGTTTTGAAAACCGTCCCAAAGGTCTCCTGAAGGTAGGTTGATGATGCACTTCTCTGGGCTCCAGAAGCAGCGACGGAATGAGAGGCCGAGGAAGAAGTAGAAGCAGACGAGGAAGAGGCGGAAGCAGACGAGGAAGAGGCGGAAGTAGACGAGGAGGTCATGGCGGAGGAGATTTCAGTGGAGGTTTGAGTAGAGGAGGAGGGGGAGGTACTATCCGAGGAACTGGAGGAGGTAGAGGTGGAAGTGGTGGCCGGAACAAAACCAATCACATACGTCGAACCAATGTTTTCAGCAACCAAACTATCAAAATCATCCTCACCAGTAGTAAGTCTGCCATTGACTGCACCGCCGGCTGCGACGATTGACTCCCAGGAACCCGAGGTATCGCTGTAGGAATAACTAGAACCTGTTGAGTAGTCGGTCACCACCAAATTCTTCACGTACATTGAGAATGGAGCATCCGCATAGTCAGTCTCCCCACCAGCCCACAAGATGGTACCTTCCGCGTTACTTGGATCACCGCCAGCCCAGATCCCGAAGAGCAACTTCATAGGACTCTGTGGATAGCCTTGGTTCGAATCATTAGACAAGGTTCTAACCAATACTCCGTCGACGTACCATTCCAACCTCTCACTTGTCCAGTCGATGGTGTAGGTGTAGAACTCATACTGTGGCGGCGACGGCATGTTGTAGTAGACTCCGCGGTCGTAAGTGGTGGTGTTACCCTTTGAAAAGAAATTGGTTTGGGTTTGGTAGATATCTTGGCCGAACCACTCAAGGTCTATTTCGTCCAAATCGTCAGATTGTAAGTAGAAAGAGGAAACCACCCCGGTACCGTTAGCGACCTTAATCTGGGCTTCTACACGCCCAAACATTATGTAAAAGTCAGACTCCAAGGCGGGGTTGTCGTAACGCTTAACAAGCGACAATTTCACCCCTTCTTCCTCGGAAAAGGTAACCTCCCCGCCATTCATGCTTGAGGACTTGGAGAAGTATGAACTGTTACTGGAAAATGGCTCGTACATAGACTTCCCCAATGCCGGATCGGCGGAGCAGGTCACCGTGGTGTTTAGAGGGTTGCAGTCAAGGTCAGCGGCAGCGAAAGAAATGAAACAGAGCGTTGATAAGGTGATTGCGAGTTTCAGAAACATTACTGCGAAGGATGTGGATTGGTAATGCAAATGGTGTAGAACGACGCTGGCGAATCTTGATCTATAGGATAGACTGGGCTGATCTGCGGACGAGGTGTGGGCGTACAGATTTCAATTTAAGTAATGAATGCGACTCTATATAGAAATATCTGGTTGATAGTACTATATAGCTGTATACTAGAAGGGATGAGCTGAAAAATATCCGAAGGGGTAAGGGCCAGCTTAAATAGGTTGTGCCACAAAGGTCGAGAAAAAGTCAGCCCGAGAGCTAAAAAAAGAAACAGCGCATGCGCGTGCATTCCCGCCTGGCAAGGCTCATCACGATTACTGTTGGAAATAGGGACAAGGCTGAGATGCAAACTTACAGTTTAGAGAAAAAAAAAGTTTTAAAGGTTGTGGTTTTATAAATTAGGTGCTTTATACCGAGAGGCTTTCCATCGGGAACCTGACTGCTCCATCTGTGGTTGTAAGTGGATGCATGGGATTCGCATGGCGCTGAAATTAGCGCCAAAAATAAGCTTTTCGAGAGCCAGTCGTTGACATGATCGTTGACGGCTTTGGTGTTATTAATAGAATCAAGACCAGGGTCTAAGGGAATCCAGATAATTTCAAGAGGCGGATGCCAGGTTGTAACAAGGAATCCACATTTGCGCCATGAAGCTCCGGAAACCAATTCGTACAAGGTGATCGATGAGAAAAAGAGACAATCTCCGACGGAGGGAAAGGCTAGTCATGACATGGTAATATCTCTATGACCGAGCTGAAATAAATGTCCCACCAGGTTGCATGATACACCCAGATCAGCCCGAGACTTACACGAGTCGAACGAGAGAAGTTGGATACTTCTAAGAGTGTGGAGCTCAAAAGATATGAAAGATTATAGACTTATCCCCTTTTTGTGAATACCATGGTACCAGCAAGATCTAAGCCCCGAATCGTAAGTTGCTTATATACTGATTAACGTGCACAGACATGCCTCCAGCACAAGGCAGAATTTATCCTGCACCATCTCCGGGCATCTGAAACTCTTAATACTTTTTTTGGAATAGCTAGTTGCGTGATGTACAATCAATCGCCTATATCAAATGCTTCAGCCAATCTACGCTTTAAGCGATCTCCAATTCATTGGTTCGCGCACCCTCAGGGCGTGGTTCAGAGGTGGTTCGCCAAACGGTCAGGGAAACTTCGCCGTGGTCGACGTTAGAGAGTCGGATTTCATCGGTGTACGTATTAGCCACCCCCTTTGGCTGAGGAAAGCCCGTAAAATGTAAGTGCGAGAAAATCACTTATACTAACTTTTATAGGGCCATATCAAGGGCTGTCTCCACTACCCTGCTGGCCGCTTCATGGAAACCATACTTGAACTCCAAGAGAAATTAAAGGCGTACGATGACGTGGTGTTCCATTGCGCCTTATCCCAGGTTCGCGGTCCCTCCTCCAGCTTGAAGTTCTTGCGCTCCTTGAACGAGTTACCTCCCCTGGAACGTGCAGGCTTTGAACATCTCAATGTATGGGTCCTCAAAGGTGGCTTCACCGAGTGGCAGGCCGAGTTCGGTGAGGATAAGGAAGTCACAGAGGACTACCAAAAGGATTTATGGGAGTTTTACTGAACCATCCCCTCAGCCACTTGTTTAGTGAACAACAAGAGTATGTGCTTCTTGTTGCCAAGCTGATTTTCGGCTCAAGTCGGTTCTGCCTATGGCGGACGTGCCACTACATGCATCAATTGCAGTGGCATCTTACGACACACTTTGTCTGCGCCCACATTTGGGGGCTTAGAACCAACAGCCCTTATATATTATATATGACGCATATGAAGAACTAATATTATCTGAATGCACTGATCTAAATGCGTAAATATTAATAATTTCACTCAAACTAGTATGTAGCCACTGGTGCATGATTCTAGTTGAACGATTTTGCAAAGTCCGTTTTCAGCTACTTTGTGATCGTTAGTGAAGCTTATTAACAACCTAATATTAATCACAAGGTACTTCTCCGTATCCAATGGTTCGCAGGTTACCTCATTTTTCAGTATCATCTCTCAACAGAACCGTATTTATCTACAGCCACTTATTAAGCCGAATGCTATGTCTTCCAGTATAAGACGAACATACACAGTCCCCTAGCTCTTTTTCTGCTTCTTGCTCAACTTATCCGTGGCCTGCTTTAATCTCTTTCCCCTGCTGATTTCCTTGCGCGAAATAACCTCTCGCGGATAGAACTCCCCCAACGTGCTCTGTACACCTTCGGTCTTCTTCTTATTAATGTCCTTGATCAACGGAACGAGCACTTCATCCACTTTGGCCTGGCTCCAGCCGGCGTTGTACATCAAAAAGGTCCGCAAGCGGTCAAGATCCGGCGTCCCCCACTTGAACGCGGCTTTATCATGGTCCACTTCGGGAAAAAGATAGGCCTGGGCCACCTCCTTTGGTGGAAAGCTATCAGTAAGATGCAAATGCAGCTTCTGGAATACCTTCTTCAATTTCTTGCGAATCACCGTAGGTTCATCCTCCACTTGGCGTCCGTTCTGGATATCCCTCCACCAGTTGCGGAAGTTCACAAGTGGACCAGTATCATCTCCTTCGCCGGTGGACGCAAACTCCGCAAGAATCTCCATCGCCATAACTTTCCCCACGCCCTTGAGTCCTTCTGTGTAATCACTACCCAAGAGGAGCGCAAGATTGATCAAATTGGCTTGGGTTAGCCCCACATCACGCTCAATATCAGACATGAAGTAGCATTCCACATACTTACCATCGGAGAACATGTTCCGGTAAACGGTGTCGCCGCCGAAGAGAAACACATCGCTATCGTCCGTGACGATCCCATCCACAAGACCCAACTTCAATAGCTCGCAACACTGAGATTCAGCCTCGGTAGGCGCAGTGATAAATGGAATCCCAAACCGCATGAGAAGCTCTTGGACGTCAAGAATCATTGTTTGTGTCGGCGAATCAGAGTCGCGGAGTTGCGCCTTGCGTTGTTCGTGCAAAAGATCGAGGTTTGTGATTGCTGTGCTGGATATGGTGGAGGTATTGGGGTTTAAAGTGGTTCGGAAGGTGTCATATGCCGCTTCTTCGTTTTGGAGCTGTACCTCAAGGTCCATAAGCTCGTTATCAGAGAATTCGTAATCAAAATCGGCCGAATCAGGAACCAGGGGTGAGGAGATGGTAGTGGATACATTCTGGGGGGTATCTGTATTTACTTTGATGTCCGTAGATTCGGGCCTATTTAGTAAATGTTCGGTAGCTTTGATGGAGTCTTCTTGTTTTCTCCCTCTTTCGTCGATTGGGATGGGCATATCCGTAGCCGTGGCTAAGTGAACTGAGACTGCCGCAGTGTCTGGTACCACAACTCGGGAATTGTCAGTAATTTTGCTAACCTTACTTTTGCCAACGGGGATACCCCTAGCGATGGTTTCATAATTAGACTGCGCAATTTGCAACTGCGTATTCGATGCCCCCTTTACGGACTCACTCTTTATGTTTCTATGGAGTTCTCCGTCTCGGAAATCCCTATGGTTCCCTGCTTCAATTTGTGCTTTACCGCTGTCTTGGGTGTCACCTTCAATCTTAATATGTCTTGCCGCCACCAAATTTGACTTTTCGTTAACGAACTTTTTTGAACTGGATAGAAACGTCATATCTTCTCTGGATCGTGCTGCCTTCAACGGATTATACCCTGTAATTTCCACTTCATCCTCAGACCCTTGGTACTCACGCTCGTCGTTCAAGTAGCTCTCGACTTTCTCCCACGATACGAGACCCGCAAGTTCGTCTGCTGTCTCAGATAGCTGTGGTTTGTCTGCGACAGTCATATTGTAATCAGAATACGGATTAAAAGATAGAGAATTATCAAACCAAGAAGGCATGGTAGGGGGTGGTGCTTTAACAGGTTTATCAGCAACGTTCCTATGAGGCGTTGTAGGGGTCGGCTTTTCATTCGCATCAGTCGACAGCTGTGGGATCTCAAAATCCGTTTTCGGTACAGCCAACGTCGGTCTAGATCCAAACAAAGAGGATGCCCCAAACGAAAACGCTGGAGCAGGATCGCATTTCAGATCGCCCTGAAGCACAACTGGTTGAGCCACCAACTCAAAAGCATCGGATTTGAGCATCTGCAGTTTTGACAGCTTCCTGAGCAAGTCTTGTTTTGATAGTTCAATGACATGTTCCATTTCAACTTTGTCAATGGCCTCAACTTCGGATTGAAGAAGCGTGGCAGATAGCTCAAGGTCCTGCTGGTACAATCTTCTCCTATGAAGTTGCGCATCAACGTCGTGAAATGCGTCAAGAACGGGATTTGACAGAGCATAAAGGGAACCAGAATTGGCATCCAAAAGGTTAGAGCCACTATCAAAAAGATCAGTAGCGGGCTTTTGAGGCCCCGGTTCAGTGGGAACATCCTCCCAGTCAATATCGCTTTCTTCTTCCTCTTCCTTCACCTCATCCAAGACGATGGCGTTTCCGGTAGATGTGCCGGCTTCGGAGTCAATAGACAATGCGTACCCGTTATCCACTCGGTGCAACATGTAGCTGCGGTCTTTTTCACCGGCAATCCTGCGGCTTTGGGTCCCATCGGCGGCCACACCGCTGTCCATCCCCGCGGCACTCATGAGCCTCTGAGTAAGGTAGTTCCGCTTCTGGACCATTTGGATCTGGAACCTGCTAAAATCCATACTATTGGGGAAAAGCGTTTCTAACTGGGTTTTGGAGAAGCCCATCCTGAGTCTGGATCTTATCCGGAGGTTCGACAAGATCATGTACTGTGTTTCCAAGCGCAATTCGGCAAACTCTTGTGAGGATGGATCAACCGTGCGAAGATCAATACCATCGATGTGGTCGTCAAGGACGGCGGTGAGCTCGGTATACTCCTGCTCTGTCAAGACACGTGTGTCGCTCAGAGAGGTTCGAAACCCATCAATCTCAGGCAACTGGTACTCGTCGACCTTTCGGAAAGGCTTCTTCAAGTCCATATTTGGAGGCTCTTCATCTGTCGGTAAATGAGAATTGGCATTTTCCTGTTTTTGGTGGTTCACCAAGTCTTCAAAGTACACCATGGGGGCTGTATCCCTGTAAGGGATAGGATGCATAGAAACTTCTTTTTTCAGAGACGTTTTATTTTTTTGTGGACTCTTGAGAATGTAATTCTTCTCGGCCAACTTCTGAAGCTGAATTGCGAGCAATTTCTCAGCGGTAGTTTTAGCATTGGCTCGCTGTCCCTCCCGCCGGTTCTTTCTCTCCAGAATGGTTTTCTTTTTCAAAGGATGTACGGCACCATCAAAAACAAACACCGGGAGGATTCCAAAGTAGAGTAACTTGCAAATTCGCCGGAAAAACCCCACAATATGGGCGTTCTTCATCGCGCGACCATCCTTATCACGCACCGCCTTCAAGAACTGGTAAATCCAGATAGAAGCGTCCACCGCAAGCCTTTTTCTGCTGAGTGCCTCAAGTCGTACGGGTCTAGCACTAGGGCCTATAATATCCCATAGCGAAGTAACACCCATATTGATTTGTCAAGAGTGAAGCTGGTTGCGGTTTTGGTGGAAAGTAGTTGTCCGGCATAAATATGCGTTGCCACTGAGCCGCATCGGCCCATATTCAGGTTACGGAACCAAGCTGCACAGAGGCAAAAAAAAAAAACCGTGTGTTGATTTTAAACAGGGATTATTTTAAAGTATCAGATATCATTGAATCAAAAAAAAAAATTCAATTATTTCGGTAAGTTATTCTGTCCAGGAACCATCGCATCGTTATAGAGTGTATTTCGGCGCTATGTATGACCACTAATACCCTCTGTACTTCCCAAGGAGTGCCACGCTCATTGATTTCGAAAATCGGCAATATGTAATATACCAAAGTTGGGGATTCTTTTAGTCTCAATGACTAAGGATATGTTTGACTGCGTTATTGGTTTGCCGTACTGACTCTTTATACGGGGTTAGACGTGCATTATGCGGCTGTAGACATTTCTTTGTGTTTGTGGAGAAATGTACCCACCTTGACGGAGAGCCTTTTCCCGGTGGGATATAAAATACCAAGCTCTGGGAGAGCTCTTAAAAACTATTAGATTAGATTTTTAATCCTTCCTGCCACCAGTCTTGCCCTAATGGCAGAGTTCAACATTCCGGTAGAACAGAGCTTCGCCTCCAGTAAAGTATGAACGATACGTTAACCCCAGCTCAATTCATATTAACACCTAAGCACTATTTGGATATTTCCAGGAACGATGAATCTCCGCCTGATATACTCTCTCCAGATATGTTTGTGCACTCTGGTACCCCGGAACAGGGCCACGGCTGCTTCAACCGAGAACATACACCGATCAGGCCTTCCCACATTATCTCCCCTATAAAACAGGATCTTCCAGGATACATGTGCGTAGGAGTGGTTGAGTCTCCATCCAAGCTTCTTCCACAGAACGAACAGTACCATCTCAATAAGGTAAGACACAGTTCAGAGAGCGGTGCCCACTACAAGTACGAAGACCTCACTTCTGTTCGTGAATTTCCTGCTAGCTTCCAGCCACGAGCTACTGCAAATATGCACCACAAGGAAAAGGTCAGTAACTGGCTCTTAAATGTTCCTGTGTACAAACTTTCAGAGGGGGAATGGACTAACGATTGCTATCCTGGTGTGGTGAATTCTGAATCGGAATCGTCAGGCAGACCAGAAGTTGCAGACGTTCAGGATGTGATCGAACTACAAGCAAGACGTATCACATACTATGCCAGCAAGTGCTACTTCTTAGACCCCACCGAGCCAACTGCATGTCCGGAAATGGACTACGATGGCGATGCTGACGACGAAGACGACGAAGAGATCTATGTGCAGCAAATGGACTCGATGATGGATGCAATGGATCATGAATTCGACCAGTACGACAGCACGGGGAATAATTATATTTTGACTCATGATAAATCGCAACGCCCGTTGTCCCGAATGTTGAGTGACGAAATTCCAAGGCGTGGGAACTTGAGGACATAAGGTGTTTTGATCCTATGTATCACCACTATCCACACTATTTATATGGATGCATCGGTCTATCGGTTTTGGGTTGTTTGAAAAGCATCTCTCGAACACATCAATTAATTCATAAATTGATATTCACTTTCAGAGGTTTCACCGAACGGTATTCTTCGTGTATCTTGACATCATGCCGAGCTTTCTTGGACAAATGTTACACGATTCTCACACTGATACAAGTAAAGTTTCTTCAAATAAATTGCTTGTTATAATTCTTAGATACAGACCGAGAGTTATGCTATCCTGTTGCACCATAACAACCACACTACTTAAAGTACTGTGAGATAGAGTGGGTAAACCGGTTGATTGATTCGACTATTTCTTCATCGCAGTTGGAAGACGCCAAGGTCAATCTAAAAAAGTTGGCGTTATCCTTGGAAATTTCGTCATCAACGCACAAATCAGAACCGGAAACCACAAGAATACCGTACCTGACAAACTCTACCATCAACTTAGCCACAGACTCGTGGTGGCCCCTTGGGCCGTTAGCTTCGGTAAAGTTCACCTTAACACTTACAAACATGCCTGCCTTTGGCTCCAACGGCTGGATGAGGCTTCTAGAGAAGGCTTCGGAGCCATATAAAGCGTCCAACATCACATCACGGCGGTGAATATACACATTTCTGACTTTCATCACCCAGGAAAGCCAACCGTAGACGTCGCAGTCCGTTTGCGATAATGTGCCGGAAAAACGAGTACCCCAATGTTTGATAGAGTTAAGCAATACGGCCTGTGATAATCCAGAGTAGCCCCTGGTGGAAATTTCACTGAACTTGCTGAGCTTGGTAATGAATTCCGCGTGCGCCACGATAAACCCAAGACGGAGGCCTGGGGAGTAAAGCTTGGAGAAGGAGTCGCATCTGACTACCCGGCCTGCGGTATCGAGGGTAAGGTACGATGGGATAATGCCAGCTTGTAAGTAGTTATCCACCTCAGCTACATCAATCCTAGGTGATGCCTCACGCCGGTGTGTTTGGTCTCTTTCGTAGGAAGGTAGGGTCAAGTATCCGTAAGGATCGTCTTCGATGATGATCAAATCGTGCTTGGTGCACAAGTCATACACCTCCCTTCTGAATTCCAAGGACTGAGCCAACCCCGTTGGATTTTGGCCGGTTGGAATCGTGTAGATGGCCTTTGGTCTGCGCAAACTTGGTTGTTGAGCTTCCCAATTTTGCAAAAGGTCTGTCAAGTACCCCAAGTCAAGGCCGTTGCTGGTTTCGGAAGAGGACAAATCCAACTTTACTGGAAACGGAATCCCACCTCTCTCCACAATGTTCTGCAATGTCAAAGGAAAAGTGAACTCCTCCACCAAGATCACGTCACCCTCGTTAACCAACAAGTCAGCGATCTTGTCTAACCCGTTACCGGAACCGTTGGTCAAGATACAGTCCCAGTTTTCGAATGCGGGCTTGTGGACCCTGGAGATCAAATTGCGCGTAAAGGCACGCAACTCCATGTGCCCATCGCCCGGAAATTCGTACTGTAAGGCGCTCCTCAAATCTAAAGCACCGACCCCCGCTTCGTCGAAGCGGTTGATGGAAAACTTTTCAGTCGCAGCCGTCTTCTGGGACTGATTTCCTTGCAAATTAAACACTGGCTGTGACACCAATTTGATGTCGAGGGAATCGATCGGGAAGAAACCGTGGTTTGGCAATCCACCGCCCAAAGAGAGCGGTTTTGGGTGTGGAACCATGTCAGCTGGCATCGGGTACAGCTTCATAAACGGGCGGATCTGCCTGTTGGCAGCGCGTCTGGAGATATGGTGGCTTAATTCGAATTCTTGAGATCTGGTCATGATATGGCAGTGTTGTTGAATAGCTGGATATCAGGATATCTGTTCCTGGGGACAGATGCCTTTATATCACCCGGGTATGTCTGTGTCAGAATTTTCCAGTCCGGATCGCATATGCATGCCGGTTTGTATGCACGATGCACCCGCGTGGGGGTTTTCTCGCACGAACGCCGCACCGCAGTTGACCTCTCTAACGGTAAAGTGTGGAAAGAAATACGACACAACGAGCACCAAGGTGTAGACACTTTGAGTTTTACTGCATTTAGGACTTTAAGGCCCAGAGGTATCAATTTCCGGCTTATATCCGATGCGGAGGCATTCGAACACTCCAGTGCGAATGATCAAGCACTTCAGTATTTACGGTCAAGTAGAATACTTAGTTGCCTCCGTTTGTTTATCACGGTGGTTTGCAGTACACCGAAGATCTGTTACAATGTATCAATTAGAAACACTGTGACAGATGAAGGGGGTGCTGGTCCAACCAAATGGACAAAGGACATGGCTCGCAAAATTACCCCAAAAACGTAACGATTTACATGTGTCGGGCTACAGGAATCTAGCAACTGCACCCGAGCACCCCCGTTCTTACCGGGTTTGATAGCTGGCCTCCACACGCCGAGTGACTTCACGTCAAAGTTTGAATTCAGCAACTTCAGTTTTGACACCTTGGAATCATGTAGGTTTTGTACTTTAATTATGTTATGCGATAAATGCCCCCACTGTTGGAGTCGGTCCCCTCTGTCAATCAACTGCAGACCCCCACGCGTCAAGATCGACATCAGGCGGTGCAGGGACACTGGTAACGACACTATCATTGGTCTCTGTCCGTCTCATAGTCTGGAATCTTAACTGGATGGAAGGAAGAAAAAAGCATGTACACCATTATAGAAAGAAATGGCCGCGCTCCAAGATGGAAATTGTAACCTATAGATTGGTCATGCGTTGATAAGCCCAAGGAATACTAGATCATTGGCACCGCAATGCCAATACTTATTGATAGCCTGAACTATGTTGGTTTGTCTCAAGAGAATGCTAAAGAAAAGAGTTTTTCATCTCCACGGTTTAGTATATTGTGCTTAATATTTTTTGCTAGATCTCTCAGATAAGACCTAACGTAGACCGTAATACTAAGTACATTTAATTATGTTGTTTTTTGTCACCAAGGTTGAATCCGTATATAAAAGAAATAGACCGTAAGGCGGGATTTAATGGTCTCAGCAGTGATTGAAGCGCTGATAACGTCCCGCTTCATTGTTTATCCTTTTTTCTCTGCCTGGATTCATGAATAATAAATGCCTTCGCCAGCATGCCTGTTGCACCTTTAAATCTCTACCTTATATATACCCTCAGTCATCGTACAAATAGAAAGGGACCACTCTGGCTCTTTCTAATAACCAGCAGATAAAACCTTTATCAGATAAAAATATGTATTCAAGAGGTCAAAAGTGCCCGTTAATAATCAGCCCTGAAACAATAGAAACCTGATCTGTCGCTTGCTCAAGCTGATTAGGCCCCTTCTTCCACTTGCAGCCTCCTCCGTATACGCCTATGTATCCTCCCGATCACATGCATTTCTATCACGTGTTCCACTCAACAATTCGCACTCTGGTCGCAACACATGGACTGTATAGCATCCTGCATATACTGGCCATGGAGGATCAGATGGCTGTTGCGGTTTTAGCGTCAAGTTGAACTCTACATCTTCGACAAGACACCATTCCGTGATTTTCGCTTGAGACCGCTAAAAGACGTAATGTCCGACGACGATCATAGCCTACGCAAGGCTCTCACACGGGACTCTGCCAAAAACTTGTTGCAGAGATCCAGCTCAATCACGAATCTCTTCCGCAAGCGCAAGAGAGACCAGACGCCGAGCGAAGACAGTCTTCACAGCCCATTGGCCACGCCACAAAAGAGAGATGACTCTGATACGCTGAGTGAGTCCACTCCTGTACAAACTCCCAAGAGACAGAAGGTGCTCACAAAGGAGCAGCAGGCGTTCCAGGAACAGGAAAAGGCGTACGACGCGGAATTGCCGGAAGCGTACAGAAAATATAGACCGGAGGGGTTCAGGTTCAATGTTCCGCCTACCGACAGGCCGGTACGGATCTACGCCGATGGGGTGTTTGACTTGTTCCACTTGGGACATATGAAGCAGTTGGAGCAGTCCAAAAAGGCGTTCCCTAACGTGGAATTGGTTTGTGGGGTTCCATCCGATTTTGAGACTCACAAGCGCAAGGGTTTGACAGTGTTGAAGGATGTAGAGCGCTGCGAGACGTTGACTCATTGCAGGTGGGTTGACGAGGTGATTCCTGATGCGCCGTGGTGCGTCACTACCGATTTCTTAGAGAAGCACCGCATTGATTATGTTGCGCATGACGATTTACCGTACGCATCTGCTGACAGCGACGATATATACAAGCCAATCAAGGAGCAGGGCAAGTTCTTGACTACCCAGAGAACTGAGGGGATCTCCACATCGGATATCATCACTAAAATCATTCGCGACTATGACAAGTACCTTTTGCGTAACTTTGCGCGCGGCGCCACCAGAAAGGACTTGAACGTCAGCTGGCTCAAGAAAAACGAGTTAGACTTGAGAAAGCACATTAGCGAGTTCCGTGGCTACTGGAAGAAGACCACCACCTTCAACAAGCTGTCGCGCGACTTGTACTACGAAGTGCGCGAGTTCTTGAAGAAAGGCCAGGCAGCCTCACCAGCACGCCCGCAGCTCGGCAGATCCCAGTCTTCCGTCACCTCCCGCACCCGAAGCAGCTCTACGGACGAGGATGATAGCTCCATGTCGTTCCCACCGGAGTCGCCAGCCACCGAGTTTGCGTCCAGATACAACGCAAACGCGAACAAAAAGAGTTTCATTGATAATGTCAAGGGCTGGTTGGGTGGCGAATTAAGCGAGTACGACACCGAAGACGACTCGAAAAGTGTCACCCCGACGTCCAACTCCGACGATGAAGCGGTATATGCCACGCCAAAGAAGCAGCCAGCTGAGTTTACAACTCCAAAGAAGGGAAAGACATTAAAAAAGCCTGCAGAGCTTGAGGGAATTCCGCTCAGCGAGACCCAGAAGAAGCAAAAGAAAAAGGCGTAGCTATGTATAGTTTTATTGTATTTATATAATCACGGAGTGTGGGTTAGGGATACATAGTTCTGAAGGGCAGGCCGTTTAACTTGTATAAGGTTAGACTTCAAGCAAGTTCAGAAATAGGTCTGAGATTTATGAGTAATAAAATCTTGCACGTTGGGGGTATCCAGCTGTCCCTCTTGTGTACGCAACTAAATGGGTTTCTGGTATCAATTGGCAATACCGAGGCCTTTCTAACCATCCATTCGAGGTAATACAAAAGTAATGGTTATCCACTAGTTAATAGAATAAAGTACTGGTTATATGGAACTACCAACCTCCGTCTTCGGTTATGCATGAAACATAGCCACTGATCGATGGTTAAACTACAAATTTGCTATTCAAGACTTGCTATGGTCATGCTAAAACAAAATTAAATTAAAGAAATGCCATGAGAATTAACTTTCCATAAACGAAAATTATTGTACACATTTAGAACACATCGATAAAACTGGACCAAATAATCATATACTTACTAGATTTGAAGGGTATTCTGGTAGAACTAACTACAGTCAAAAAATTATTTTGATAGTCCATAAATATAACCTATGTCATTGAAATTACAGTTAAGACAAACCTAAAAGTCGCTTGACTAGCTCGCCGGCTGTTCAAATCATTTACTTAAGATCCGCATCACTTGCTCGGTTCTTTCATTTCTCTCACGTACGCTGAGATCCGATCTGTTCAACATGCCCTCCACCACGTGCGAGTACGGTGCCTTGGTTATAGACACATCGTTCTGCTGCTTCAAGGTATCAAAATATGCGTTATAAATATCCCCGTTGTACTTGCCCAATGGAGAATTTATGAGAAAGTCGGGCATCTTAAAGGAGTCAGTCAAGCCAATAACCTGTGGTCTGAGGAAGCGGTTCAACTCAGCGATTCTCCTGGCCACGGACGGGTAATTTTCCGATGAGATCACGTTGTACTCCATGAAAAGTGCCGCGTGACTCGTAATAACTGACAATGCATGCAACTCAGCAATCGCCCTCAACTGAGGTTGTAAACCTGCTGGGATAGTTTCCAAAAACACCCCCAACGCGTAGGAGTGGGCAAACACTCTAGTGATTCCGACCTGGAGCTGACCTAATTCGTCCCAATCGTTGCCATTTTCCTTTAGTACGACAATGCAGTTTTCTCCAGCACGGATAATCAAACCGTGGAACGCCTTAAGAATCACCTTCAAATGATCCGCGCTGGCTACCCCGGACGCAAACGAGGACAAGATCGGGAGCTTGCCAGACAAGCTCTTAGAGGCCAAGAACGCCAAATCCGAATGCAAGTCCTTACCCTTCTTCAACGCTTGAACGATCGACTTGGCAGCGCTCATACTCAAGACGTTGTTATCCCCCTCCCAGGTGCACTGCACAACCCAATCTTCGTAGCCCTTGGAAAACCCAGTGTAGGCCGAGTAACCGTGGCCACCACAGGCCTGGCGGCATTCATCGATCAACAGAGCAGTCAACCAGGTAAATGTCGCCTTCAACGAGGCAGAAACCACAAATAAGTGCTTCATCGCGCTAATAGCGTCGTTTAAGCCGGACTTATCAGTCTCGCGCACCAGTCCCAACTGCTCAAGCACATGGTCCTGGTAGGCTCTCAACTTGTGGGAAGCCGCAGCCATAACGTATGTGGCGGCCAAGCTGGGCAACAATCTCGTCTGGTGCAACGGATAGTCCAACAACTGCTTCTCCTCGCCGTCAGACGCCTTCCCAAACTGTTTACGCGCGACAGCATATCTTAACGCGATGGTGGTGAAGCGGGCACCAAATCTGAACGAATCTGCCACCATCTGGACTCTCCCGTTGATTAATGGTGCGTACGCCAACTGGTTTAGTGGAGAGTCCTTCACGTTCCCTTCACGGTCGACCTGGGCAAACTTCAGTAACATGTAGCCGCGGGGAACGCGCACGCAATTGAACTGGATCCAGCCGTTGTCGATGCCGTGACGCCCCATCTTGGCGCCAATGTCGCCCACAGAAACCCCTGGGAGCAAGTCGTGATTGGCGTCCCTCAACGGTACCACAAACGCCTTGACACCGTAGTCATTGACGGTGTCTTTCTTGACCACTAAGCGGGCATATACCACGGCATGGGTCGCGGTGTGGGCAGCCATTCCGATCCACCACTTTGTAGCGCCAATATGCGGGGTCGTGAGCACAAACTCATCTGTGTCCAAGTCAAGCGTCGCAGTGGTTTCCAAGCCGGCAACGTTAGAGCCGTGTGCCAACTCCGTCATGGCGAAGCAGCCATACATGTTGCGCATCTGGTTTGCCTTCAGTTGCTCGCACCAGAAGCGGTACTGCTCTGGCGATCCGTTCCCCTTGATACAGTTGAGGAATAACACCAAGAAGATCTGGGTCCGGGAGAGCATTTGGGGGTCCAACACACTCAAAAAGTCGAGCCTAACCTTGGTGGCGGCGGAATTGTTGTTGCGGGCATCCACCTCCAAGTACTGCGCAAAACGCGCGATTTTCTTAGCCGTCTCCTCCCTGTGTTCGGGCGTGGTGAGGTCATAGTACTGCGGGCCTGTGCGAAACACCGGGTCGCGCTCCAACTGCAAAAGTGTTTCCTTGATAAGCGCCACATGCTGCGGGTCGCCACCTTCCAAAAAGAGATTCATAGCGTCGGTATCGAATGTGGTCTGGGCCCGCTCATGGGCGATGGTTGCAGCAGGATTTGGCGCGGCCGTATAAGTGATTGAGGACATAGCAAAAAGGTATCGCCTGATAGGTCTAACACGGGGGAATAGCAAAGGTGAAAGATTGAGAAAAGGGGTTTAAATAGGAATATTTTGCAGGTTATTTCTCAACCACAAGTTTTTGTACGTCTTTATAAGCCGGAAACTCATGCAGTTTGTGTCCGTGGTAAAGTGGGTGACATCGGGGCTGGCACGTCAAACTTTCCCGCCAACAACCGATGTCATGTATGCACCGATTTACCCCACAGTCTTTCATTGCCTCCCCCTCCCCCTTGAGGGGTATCGAATGCAGGATACAGGTGGAACGATTTTCGTACGCGAGCCGTTCATTCGCGGAACAACATGCGGCGGGGCACTTGTTATGGGCCTGGGTTGGCTAATGGCGGAGTAACGGAGGACAGCCGGAGGTTTCACTTTTTCGGTAAAAACATATAGAACCAAAGACCCTTCGGCTACCGTTAACTGCTTCACCCCCCTTTTTATCTATAGACATGGGACCGACTGCCAATTTTCAGTCCAGTCCTCTCGTGTTAATCCGACCTATTTCTCCAGTTAATAAACCATCCTGCCCTTTTACTCATCGTAGTGATGTTGCTTTTATAAGTATAGGCAATTTATATGCCTTCGAGGACGAAACTTTTCACCATAAAGGGTACACTTACGTACGAATCTTATGCGAAGCGTGGTTGGACACTGGTATACGGGTTTCCCATTCTAGTACTTCCAAGTCAAAACTTTGGCTTTATAACCATGATTGCAGGCCATCCCTTTGTAATAAATATTATACCGTCGATTATCATCAAAAACAATTAAGTGAAAACCCGCTACAATTTCTTAGTACCCCCCGGTTCTACCACCCAGTTGCCGGCATAAAGCAAATACCGACCTAACGGAAATTTCAGGAAACGCAAGCTGGGGCCTGGTCTCACCTGTGTTTTTTTTGGCGGAAGTCCGCTACAGCGCTGTACCTTACTCTAATCTGCCCGCATTTATCTTGAGTGCACAACAATGGACTACCTCTACCATGTACACAGAAAGGGATCCACCCTGGTGGCTCCAACCTTCATTTCCTGAAGGGGAAGGATCTAACTAAACTAACAATCGTGCGCCTAATAATGGTATTGAAGGGCTTGTGCGTTAGGTCATTCCCTATGAGGAACACCACTGTACTAATCGGGAAACTGCCTCAATAGGCAAAGTATCCCTGTTGAGCTCCATCCAGAAGGTCCTGGGTGCCTGGCTCTAGAGCTTGAGCTGCCTGGGCTAGTACACAGGAAGATTTTCGTACCACCCCATGCGCTGGCAGCTGTTAAATCCCTTACAGCTTTAGTTCCCGTCTAAACCGTTGTAACGCTAGGTTAAGCAGAAAAGTCAAGGATTAACCGCGTGTCGCCAGCAGACTTTTCGGCACGTGTCCGACACATGTTTTTTCGCGTCTCCCTGATGGGTAGCAATTATTGCCTATAAAGCTTCAATGGTATCCGTGCTGGGAGTCTCTGCCGTCTATTTTAGCACTGGACATGGGTGGTTCCCGTGTAATATTAGCCTACTAGTTACACGAAGCTCCTAACAAATGCATGTGACTTCAACGGTACCTTAAAAGGAACGGCCTCGTGTATATTGTCATAGTGGTTTCCAGTGGTCTGGGACTAATACATTCTTAGTAATGTGATTGATCAATTACTAAGCGTTAAGCCGCAGCGCCGAGCTATCTGTGATGCTGCCGTGCAGTGAGCAAATGCTAGTGGCCTAAAGTTATGGGCGATCATACTAGGCGCGTATATTTGTCGCGTGCCGTTCAACAAGAGACGACGCTCAAGGAAGGGGTAATGACTCTGCGAGATGATGGCTCATGCCAATCAAATGTTGGTAAAATTCTTAGCAGGCATGGGGTGTTGAGGTTGTGACTTTAGCCAGTCTGCATTATTGCTGTACCGTTATCTGGCTGGTCTTTTTCGACCATGTTCAACATGGAATCTACATCTTCTAACCCATCCACGTTATTCCGTGTTCGCATTAGTCTTCCCAGGTAATTTCTGAGTACCTGCTAAAAGGATCGGTAAGCAGGCCGTGCAGTAAAATCAGTGGTTCGACTTGGAAGATGTATGAGTATCCATGGTAAGTGCTCCGCCTTTTGAACTAAGGAATAAAACTCTGGCCTTCTAACGTCCCGGTTGATATCTGAGTACGGCGAGATAAATCTCAGTCTCTGTTGTCATGCAAGGCAAAGAGTGTTAAAGGTTTAAGCCAGGATGCATGAATCATATTTAGCGTCTCCGAGTATCTCGTGTTGGGGCATACCATTAGATAGTACCGCTCCTCTGGACCCTCGATGTAATCTCGCTGCACAGTCCACCCAGAATACTGCAGTAAACCAAAAATTCTATAGAACCATTCAGGGTCCGGAAGTAATAACGAGATTTGAGGATCTGCCTCTAGAAGGTGGTTCCAATCTTAGCTTAGGGACATGCGACACCATTTCACATCAATCTAAATATATTTCGCCGAACATGCTCTTGTAAAGAGAAACCATTTAAATATATCGTCGGTCATTGGTATTTAACCCACTTTCTATGTGAGATGGGCCTTCTGGAACTCCGTCTTCAGACTTACAGATAAGTGGTAACGAATTTGGTGACGTAAATTTCAAAGACGTAGAGTGCTCTATTGGGGCTATGCTGCGGCTAGCTATTCATGTACTGCAGTACTGAGTGGCTGATAATCAATTGTATAAGACAAACACCTCTGTCGTCGTGGAGTTCTGGCCTGTAGGTGATTAAATTGCTGCCCTATTTTAAACACCCTCTACCGCTCACTGGCTGGATGATTGCATTCGAATCGAAGTTTGGTTATTTACCATTCTCAGTCTTGAGTAGCCTGACATTCCTGAGTTTTGTAAGATAAGTCCAGAGGGTATCTCCATGAGTCGTACAATTGCTGCGGTGTGCTCTAGAACTAGTTTAAATGTCTGAGCTTAAGGCATAAACTAGGGTTCTAAGCTTTTGTCGTTTGAACCTTATATTTAAGCATAAAAGACAGCCGTAGAAAATTTAATTACTTTTTCCACAAAGGCCTTTCCATTCAGACTGGTGAGTTCTAGATTTGAAGTGCTTCGATCCCTGAAACCTTTAATGTGTTTGGTTCGTAGAGTCCTGCTCTGTTCAAGACCTTGTACCGGTTCGGATAGTGTATCGAACACTCCGTGTCAGGCTGTCCAAACCGCCTATCGACAATATCCTGAAATCTTCGGGATGGACTCTTTCTGCCTATAGCTACATACTATTTCAGGAATTGACACAATAAGTGCTAATATCGCCTTTATATACGTATCTAATTGGAAATTTCGCAAGTTCATTTCTTGTTTCTACGTTGCTGACTCCGCCAGAGGTATGTGATTATAATTAATTCATTCATGTTTCAACGTTGCTGGCTTCGCCTCACCTAGGGCTTGCCTCATCTAGGGCTCGTCTCATCTAGGACTCGCTTGTGCGGTTCGGCTGCGCTGCCAACGCGGCCTTCGTCCGTCGCTTCACCCTCCGACTCATAAAGCTCCCATCATGACGACTATTCCTCCACGAATCCACTGCTCGCTGAATCAACCCCCGTTGCTTTCTAATCTCCGAGTTCAACCAGCTCAACTCCCAGCCTATACGATTGCACTCATTCTCGTAGAACCAACGATTTCCGCGATAATTCTCCCGTGCCACCATCGCTCCAGGATATATGCAATTGTCTTGGCGAAACGTACTGTTTGAACTGCGCTCTTGTTCCTGCAACATCATCAAAAACGTATCCAATTGAGGATTCTGAATCAAGTGGCGGTAATCCGTGGTGGCAGCGTTCGGCGGAATAGGCACAGGGCATTTAATGGTAAAGGGAGTAACCACCTTTTTCTGTGTATACTGGAAGGTCATCAATTCCTGGCCGGTAGATGTGTCAATCTTGACACGCGGCTCTGTCGCGGGTACGGGCCCGGGGATAGCGTACTTGTAGTCAGACTGCGGTGAGGAGCGCTTGCCCGGAGGCTTGGAGTAGCTTGACTTGCTGCTGAAGGCCAGGTTAAGCGAGGGTAAGGTTGTCGCCGCAGGGTACTCGCCTGGCACCTCAGGTGCGGCGCCCGGGTACCACCCGGTGACACCTTGGAACGGCGGCTGCACCATCACGGGATACCCGTTGGCAGCCCCCGGTGGGTACCCGCTGCCTGCCGGGTTTGGAGGATACCCACTGCTGCCTGCGCCTGGATACTGAGGGTAGTACGCGTATCCGCTCGGCGGCGGTTGTTGGTATTCGTAGCCGTAGCCAGCAGTGGGATAGAACGGCGGTTGTGGTGCATACGGCATACCTTCTTGGAAAGGTGGCTGGCTAATCTGTGACTGGTTTAAATGGCCTTGGTTTAAGTGGCCCTGGATATGGCTGAGCTGGCCGGGTTGCGGCTGTTGTTGGGGTTGTTGTTGGGGCGGCGCACGGTCGGGCGAACGCTGTAGTCGTTGGTCGTACGCGGCAGTGTAACTGGGAGATGTTTGGGGATAATATTCGCTCATGACGATGTAAATAGCAAGAGAGAGTAAGGGGTAATGCAAGGGTGTGGAGTGAGCTCCTCTGGGTTCTGTCCGGATCCAGGCGTATATATATGCTCAGGCCAATGCATGCTGTAAGTGAAAAAAAAAACGGGACGAATCGCGCACCGCGGCGATGGGACCCACATGAAGGGCGGCGCCAACGCCTGTGTCTCGGCTGGCGTAGGCGGGGGTACTTAATTATTTACAACTGCGCATGGGTATGGGTCAGGGTAGGGCGGCGATCTGAGACATGCGTCACGCTTGCTTCCCCCGTATGGGCAAGGCGGGAGCTGCGATTGTATGACGGCGCAATGAGGACGCGCAGGCCATAGTGTTGAGATCCGTGGGTTGCGCAGATCGCTCTCCGCACTAAGGCGGCACTTCGACGGCCGCATACATGTACCCTAGTCGTTTCAGCAGCGCGTCGCAGTGTGCATGGCGCAGTCCGCGCAAAGATAACGCAGTACGTTCTTAGAAGTGCCAGCATTATTGGGATTTTATGCCTGTGATGACACGCACGTATTCGTGACGCGGGACAAGGTGGATATCCAGACAATCCGGAGGGATACAGCGGTCAAAAAAAAGCCACGTACAAGCTGGAAAATGCCATTCGGAAGCTGGTTGTAAGGAAGGCACGGACCGCGCATCTGCAGATTGTTTAAGCATGTGCACGTCTTTAAATGTCCACTGCCATGCAATGCGGTACGCGTGGCCGTCACGAGGAAGCTCTCAGTTTATCGCAGATTCTACGTATGTCAGGCTAGTGACCACATTGTGCTATTTCTCGGCAAAAGCTATTCCAGAAACCATCAAAGACTAGCGGTTACGGCCAAGCGATGGTGCACGCTGCAGTCATTCTCCACGGTTGCCCAGCGACACTGCAATCCCAGCTTCCACGACACCGACAGACCCACCAGGTTCCGTGGTGTAGCGACGCATAGCCGCTTCTACGTGGACCGGGATTGCTAGTTCGGTACAGCTTAGCTGCTTCCACGTCGCTTCCACGTCCAACATGGAAGCACGGTGGCTGGGTTCCATGGTTCAGGTCTCGAAGGAGCCTTAGAAGGAACCTTATCCTCTCTCAAGACCATAGAAAGCTTAGAGCAACAGGCCTCCAGGAACCCCTCTTGTGGTGCCAGAGCCAGGTACCCGTGTAAACTACGGATATAAGAACTGGGGAAGCTCCTATAAAACAACACTATGTTTGGCCTGGCGGGCAGGGCTCCCTGTACCCTTGTACATACAAAAAGAAGACGAGCCTTGGTGGGTTTAAACCGTCCAGAAAAGGATCAAACAATCGCTACAATTGGTTTAGGCATCACGCATGCTAAGGGTCTTGTCGACAGCCTAAACGCAGCATTTGGGCGGCAAGGGGAAGTAGAAACGACGGTCTAATACACCTTGCACAATCAGTCAGCTTTCACACTCAGTATACTGGGTCCAAGGTTGTTTGGACTAATAGAGACTTGCCACACCTCTAAGCGTTAGCTGCAGTCCCGAAGTACGACAAGGTTGCTTGTTTTCATGCATCTGCACACTCCCGCCTTGACTACCGTTAGTGCGAAGATGTATTGTAGATAACTAACGGTGAATTATAAATAGAAGAGCTACCCGGGACTGGTCGGTACATACATGGTACTACCCTCGTTGCTAAAATGCCGTATGCCAACGGGGTAGGCTGGCACGTTGTTGATGATTGAGGGGATAAGGTTAGGCTAGACCGGGGGGCTTGACTCATGGGTCACTGGCTGACGTCTGTAGACCATGGCCTGATACGATTCAACATGGCAGGCCTTAATCCTAAGACACTTCGAGAAGCAATTGAAGTGCCCCTCCAACGGAGTTCTATACTGCTCCTCAGTATTGAACATGCAGATCTGGTAGAACTGAGGCTCCAATCTGTGTCGATCGCGAGTGTACGATGGACATGACTGTATATCAACTTAACTCCCTTAATTGCCGCTGCTCGACGCACCAAGCTGCACCTAAGCCTTAGGAATCCCTACCACATCTACCGCCTAGAAAACCACCTGATAACCAATCATCCAATACTGCGGTGACATAGCAACCGCCTCTTCAGCATGGAAGGTCCAAAGATATTACCGGTCCTGGTCCAGCTTTCGAAAGCTTGTCTGAGTCCTGGGGGTCGCCGAGTCGATGTATGCGGGCGCTGCACTACACGTCAACCGGAACTGGTGCCAATCCCAGTTCATTAGACAGGGTTCACCCGACTTCGATCAATCCTTCCAAGGTAATTACGGGTTCCAAAAGCCCAGGTGCGCTTCGCCTCGTATTCTATCCCCCAGTTACACGCCTCCACGTGTGCGAATATTCTTGCACTGCTGTACTAAGAGCGAAATGCGTACCGATCTTCCATAAGACGTTCCATCCTCACCGCAGCGCAAGACATGCGTATAAGGTGCAGTCAGAAGGATTTCCAGTGAGGGTTTGGGGGAACCGGTGAAGAACTGGTAATGAGGCGCTTCGGAGCAAGCTGAAAAAATCGCAGCTTATGATCCCTGATCCCACCATGACAGCTTCTAATCCCTGATCCTTTCTGACAGTCCGAATGAAACTCGCATTGCCGTATGACGTCTCAGCGCATTGCATATGCCGGTTTTAAGGTAAGGTGCCAGACCTCTACATATTCGTCGATGCTTCAATGCTAATCACCACAGTGCTACGTCCGCTCTGCGCCTCTTTACCAGATCTAGATGGGCCAGCCTTCAGACCTACTCAAATTCGTGCGCATGCCCAAGTTAAACTCCATGTTCCCGCGTTGGCAAGGATAAAAGTGGATAGATGATTGGAATCTGACCTAAAAGCTAGAATAGGCGGGCCCTCTTAAAAGCTGATCCTATCCCTGTTAGTATGGTGAGTTGACATAATTCCACGTCGCCTCATACGCGCTGGAACGACCATTGATCGACGATTTCCCGGGCCGACTCTACCGGTTGGATTACATTGCATAGCGTCTCATAAAGGAGTGTGTAATACGAGACACTAGTAAACCGCAGCCGGCAATCCCCAAGGAGCTTAACGATCAGTTTTCTCCTTAATAAGGACAAAGAAACTGATGCAGTATTAAAAAGAAATTATCGACGTACCAATATGCACCTGTTAACCTTGACGTTCGCTCCATGCACGAGTTAAACATCACATACAGCAAATGTTGCGAAGATGGCAGATCACGTCATGCATGTGCGGCTAATCTCCAAGACAGCGTTGATACGCATCTGTACAGCATCACTTGCAGCGGATAGGGCTCTGATTGTCACCTTTCAACAGACGAGGCAGAGGACTATAGGGGAAACCCTCACGAAATGTGAATATTGTCACAGATCTGATGCCTGTAATCTGGCCAATATCTGGTGTGAAATTTCCACTACTTTTGGTTACTTGTCCGTTTTCTAGCCAAACCGCGTAGTAGGTAAGGTCTTGACCCGAGGCCGGAGGCTCCACTTAACACTTGTCTGTTTGTGCAAGGGAACGGCAAGGATGAACGTACCATGATTATGACCAGTAGAAAAGCCCCAGTTCTCAGCTTACTTTAGACTTGTTAGCCCCACTTTGCAGTACCTCAAAGTTTTCCGGATATTATACGAGGTGGTGCGCGGCCTAACTCTAGACAAATATCGAAACGGAAAACGTTTTAGTTTTTTCGAAATATGACGATTGAGGAAAACGCATCAGCAGTTCTGCTGTTTGGCTTTCATGTGCTTGCATCTGGAATAATATTAATTCAGGTAAGCCAACACTTGTGGACGGAGTTACGGTTTCTCATGCTGTGTGCATTGTCACAAACAGTGGCAGTTCTGACCTATTTCCATCCTGGCCTTTGAGTTCAGCAGGTTATAGCTATCCCTGGTTTCTCATAATACAGTCACCAGGCTTAACCGTATGTCATAAATATGTAGACTTGCAACTTCTTTCCATTCCACGGTATGTTTAAGAGACAAATAGGTTTATTCCTTTTAGAAGCATTCTAAACTTGGAGATGCACCCCTATATGTGTCCAACTGGAATGACTGTACATGAGCCTATAAAGCACTCCTTGGGTAAATGGCCCGTACGATAAACGATATCTCAGTGTTACCTTGGTATCTTTCAAGGTTGTGGAAAAACAATGTGAGACAGGCCTATATTAATATAGTAGGGGTACTCGTCTAATTTCAAATGGAGATATACTTTCGATTTAGCTACCCGCCAGTTAGGTTTAGAAAGCGTAGAGGGCTAACTTATCTCAGGTATATGCTACGCTGCTCAATCTCCAGTCACATACCCAGACCGGTATTGAGATCTAGTTCTAGTGAAATGCATCCACCTTGAGCTTCAGTACCAGCTACCCAGGGCTGGCCAATTGTGCCCCTGACCAGCTTTCCCCTTGACACTGACCTGCTCCCTCTGGCCCCGGTCCCTATGGTGAGACCTGGATGATGTACCAGGCCTCCTGTTTAAATGTGCCAATTATAATTAAAATTTACCAATTACAACGCCAGAACTATACGTATATATATTCAAATCTAATTAGGTATAACTGTCAATTTATCTTTGTCCATCTGTACTTTGGAAAGATGCATCAATATCCTCACGCAATTTTTAGACAGAGTGGCTCTGCATATGGCTGGAAAATCGATACCAACATGTTTCTATATACGCACATACGTACACAGGTACAAGCATATATACCAATAACTATATAAATTAGATCAATATCTAACACCAGTATTAGAGTCCGGATTAAACATTACTTTTAAGCACGACTAATTTGTAGATATACGAATATATATATGCTAGTAACCAATATGCATAAAGACAGGTATATATATTATAAAATCTAAATGTAAGCTGAAATATTTTGTCCTAGTTAATAAATAAGTTAAGAGGGCATAAACATTATTCATGCTTCTTCGCGTCGAGTCTACGCTGCTTCTCCTCTGCAAGCTTCTTGGCCTGCTCCGCGGCCTTCTTCTGCTGGACAATAGCAATCTTGCAGGCCAACTTCAGGGAGAACGGCATAATGGCATTGAAGAGTATGATCCAGGACACGTTGATCACAAAGTACTTCCACATGTTCCCCTTGTACGTGTCAAACAACACCACCTTGAGCAATTCATAGGTGCAGCGAAGCGGCATAGCATAACCGTAGCGGTAGAAAGCGGGGCACAAAGGTATGGGTGAAAATGTAACCGAGATGCTGATTACGACATGGAACACCATCCAGTAACCCGCGAGCGTTCTGTCATACGCCATTATGAGCTGTGACACACACTCGTTAATGGCACCCAAGGCGCTAAGATTAAGGTAAATTATGGCCCAGTAGACGAGAAACCCGGAATTGCCAAACGCACGGTCCAAGGGGACCTGGTAAGCAAGTGTCATCAAACCGTACACAAGTGCAATGAAGAAAAAGGCGCTCTGGGAGGCCAAGACCCGGTAGTACATAAAGTGCTTGGCCTTCAACTTTGGGCGGATCGCCTCGGTGATTCGGAGCCCAAAATTGTACTGATGGAAGGAGAGCACCAACGTGTAGATGAGTCCGAGCTCGCCCGGCCCTATGGCGGCAGAGGCGATCACAGGGCGATTATCTAAGTAAAGGAAGGATGGCTTGGTCATAATCACGTTAGTTGCTAGCGTGGAATTGGAAAAAAGCTGCGATTTAGCGTCTTGAGACACCAAGGAGAGTAGCTGCGGGTAAATGGTGCTGGAGACCGAGTCCACAAACACCTTCTCTAACAGTAAGAGGCTGGGAATAACGTAGGAGTTCATGCCCAGGAGGTCGCGCCCGGTCTCATACACACATTCAATCAAGGAATTTGCGGCAGAGAAGGACCCATTGAGGGTTTGCATCGCCGTGTAGATATCGTAAGAGGCGTTGGGTTTGATCCAGATGGCGGCCCAGTATTTCTGGTGGTGCACCAAGCGTGATATTTCCTGCTGGACCGTGTTTTTGTGCTCAGCAGCGCTCGCAGAAATTTCCGTGCTCGACATGTACCGCCAGCCGGCAAGCGGTGCCACGTTAGGGATCAATGTTGTGTTCCAGAGCGCATCGCCGACGAGCGGTGGCACACTTCCAACTTGGGTATCTTCGTTGACAATTAGCATGTGAAGATTGACAAGGCGCGTGGAGCGTTGGTACCAGGAGCCCCAATAGATGCCGAGAAACGCGAGGTAGATGGTGAAAAGGGCTATGTACACCTTGACGAACATAAACAACGTGCGCAAGACATGTTTATAAGGGTGGTGTAGAGGAATAGGCACATCCCCTGTATTTGATGTGTCCGTTTGGGACTTTTCCGATTCTTCTCGCAGCATTGGAAGTGGTGTATGGTAGGTGGGTTATGTAGATGGTTATAATGAGACATAAAAGGTACATGAATTATCGGAGACAATCTTATGCGGAAAAGCATGCGGCGTGACTTGGCATGAGGCGTTCACTTCAAGTGTCGTTGCTGAGAGTTTGGTTTACATGCCAATTAATATATCAAGCGTAAAGAGCGGGCCAAACTGATAATTCCATTCTAAAATTTTCCATTAACTACAAAGATTAAAATAGGATTATGAGACAGTCTCGTCTTGTAGTTAAGAATGGGAGTGTCAGTTTTAGAAAAATTTAGTGACAGGAGGCTTGTGGCCGTTCTGACCTGGTAAGTGTATGTCAGCTCTAGAATTTGATTCGTCCATATATTTTTAATAGGCGACAACTAAGGCAATCGCACGTGCTTGATTCAGCCCATGGGTTTCATATTAGAATGCATATCTCCAAGGGGCTCAACAGATACCCCAATTTGTCGGTAAGCTTCAACTTTATCCGCCATCTGGTCATAGATTAGTCAGTCTTGTTAACCACTTAATTCCGAGGGCATATTGATTCCACAGAAATTTTTTTTCAAAGCTCTGGATAGAGTCAGATGTTTAGTCATAATCCCTGTTAGGTCCAAGATAGCCCATCCGAGGTGCGTGACCGTCTTTGGTACGGACACGTCAGAGATAAGCACATCAGAGGGCTATCTTTATGACAGCCGTACCATGAAGCTTTTCACCTAGAAAACTATGACTGTGCGGCGCCAGTGACTGCCTACATAACAATTGGCGATCGTCACGGGATAATAATTCGAAAACATTAATCTCCATCAGTAAGGACTCTACAATACGCAAATATATTTCCGCAATGCCATTCGAAGATTACACTATTGCGGAGGTAGAGTCCGCGGAAGAGCACCACGAGGCGGTTTCCACGCGCAGCCCACTTTCCCCTACGTCTTCTGTCTCTTCCGTTGCGACGTTCTCCAGCAACCATTCTGACTTTGAGGAGGAGGAACCGGTAGGTTTCACAGGAACTAATTCGGCTGGATTTACAGCAAGACAACGCTCGGGTCTGTGGTTATCGTTAGAGCATAGGTCGACGGTGGAAAACCTCTACCTTTGGGAGGAGGCTGACCTTGCGGAGGCAATGGTGGGGACTCGCCAGCTCACGCATTCCTTGACCCGAAAGCTGTCTGCAGGAGACACGGAGGGCCAAAATACAGGGGAGGATGCCTTAACAGGAAGAAGGGAACTGGTGGCTTCTGTGAGTTCCACAATGCCTCCTGCGGCTAGACGAAGAAGCACCATCGTGGCGTCGATTGCCCAGAAGACTGTCAAAATGGGGTTCTGGGACGAGGAGTTTGCACATGACCGGGTGGATATCGTGGCAAAGCTCGGGATGAACTTCCTCATCATCTGCGTTTGTTTCATTCTTGTCTTGGCGGTGTATTGGGGGTCATTTTACGGGAAGCCGCTGCGGTACAAGAACTTGGAGTTTCTCGTAGCGATAGACGAGACAGAGATCCTGGGGGTGGCTCCGCTATTAAGCCAGACGATCCAATTGGTGATTAATTCTGCTGCGGGGAGGGAATATGGAGACTGGCAGGTGATGAACAGCACTGTGCTTCGGAGCTTCGCCGATGCCCACAACAACACCGTCCGGGAGGAAGTCGACCGATTGATTCACCACCAAAAGTACTGGGGTGCTATCTATGTCCATGCAAATGCCACATATGACTACGCTACAGCCTTCAGAACAAGTAACACCTCCTTCACCCCCGTGAACACGTTAGTCGAGTTTGTATACGAAAGCGCGCGTGACATCTCCATAAGCTCCTATTTGAAGCCCATCTTTAGCGAGATCGATGCCATCTACCAGGCTGAGTTGTACCGCAGCTTCTTCCCTGCCTTTTTTGAAGTTGTGGGACAAAAACAGCTCCAGAGCTTGCTTCTGGACCCGGCCTTGCTCACTGCCGTTCCAGCGGTCAACTATAGAGATAACATTCCGATCCCCGACTATATCTTTATGGCACCCCTTCAGATCGGATTGGTGTACATGATTGTGTTTTCGTTTTTCCAGTTCTTGAACTTTGTTAAGCTTCACACCTGGGTTTCAACCCGCGTGTTTGGCATACGGTATATTATCTACCGTATGACCATTTCGCACGGTTCCTACGTTGTTGTTGCGTTAGCCTACGCCGTGCTCAACGTGGCCTTCCAGATCGACTACAAACAGACATTTGGCAAGTCTGGGTTCTTGGTGCTCTGGGCGTTTGCCTATTTGATGATGGCTAGTCTTGGGGGTTTGAACGAACTAGTGTTCCTCTACATTCTTACATTTTTCCCGCCGCTTATCGGTTTCTGGTTGTTGGCCACCATTGCCATCAACTTGGCCCCAACGTTAAACCCGATTCCTTTGTGCAGCCGTTTCTATCAGTACGGCTACGCTGTTCCAGTCTGGAACGCCCACCAGATCATGGGTGTCTTGTTCTTTAACACCTGGAAGGGTAAGTTGGGCAGAGAAATTGGTGTTTTGTTGGCCTGGACTGTGATTACAACGGCAGCAGTTCCTTTCGCCATGATACACACCTCTAAGATTAGGGCCAGACAGGAGGCGCGTGCCAAGGAACGCGCCGCCGAAGAAGCTATCAGTGTGAAGTAGGAATAACCACACAAGCGTCTACTTGTTGCAAATCTAGTGCACACAAAGGAGTGCCATTGATATCTTAATTACATACCCTAGATATATATAAGCAAACTATCGTGACCAACCTGTTAGAGTTGCCTTGGTGAGGTTTACACAAGGAGTTACGACACAAATTATAGCCCGTTAGTCTAATATCAACTATCAAACGCTGAATCACCCGCAGATTAAATTGAATACAAGAATGGTGCCAGCCATTCAAATTATCAATAAAACTGTCGTTAAAAATCACAGAAAGATTATGCCATAAAATCCCGACACGCTCAGTCTCCTCCGCAACAAACCGGGGCCTCGTTTGCAATTCCATTATCCGCCTGACACATTGGTTTGTTAAGCACTGCACTACCGCTGTAACGTTACGAGACTTTGCCTATAAACGGGGGGAAATTCACCCCTTTCGCTGCAATAGCCTTACTATCACTGCTATATTAATACAATTTATTATATATATACTCTTCAGGTTTCGTCAAACAACGCGGCCAAGGCGCCGTTTTCCATGTATGGATCGTCCATGACATCCTCATTCTTTTTGCGTCTCCTTGCGGACGCGTTTTCCAACTCCTTCTTTCTCTGTTGCTTGGCAGACCCCTCGTCCTTTTCCTTCAAGGTCGCTAACAACTCGAGAAGAGCACTCCGTTGGAGCCTCAACGAACTCGATGTCGCGAGTGTGTTCTCGAACTGCGCAAACTTGCTCGACGGGAGACTTGGCAACTGCTCGCTCAACACGCGTAACGGGTAGTTGCTCTTGGATCTGAGCTTTACGTACAAGGTGATTAAGGCGTAGGCGGCCTCTGAATGAGCGTCGGCAAAGTAGTCGTCGGTTAACACACTCAACAATGCCTTCATAAGGTGGTCGCAAAGATACTTGTCCACTTCGTCATCTTTCAAGGTAACCTCGTCCATGATGAAGCGTACCACCAACACGGTGTTGAAGCAGCACTTACTGTCCTTGACAAGAATCAAGTGGCAGCACAACTGCAAGAATGGCGCCAAAATGGTGGCCTCATTGAACATGAGCTTGCGGATCGCCTTTTGACGGTCACTCAACGTGCATCTACTGCTGAGTTGGCCCACCAAGTCGATAATAAAACGGTCCACGACATATGTCAACTGGCGGAGCATGTGTTCTTCCATCATTTCCTCTGAAAGAGCCTGGTCATCTTCAGTACCATCGAGCTTCAACCCGATCTCGTAGATCTTCTCCCACCTTTGCATTAGCAAGGCGTCGAGCTGCGGCAACACAAGCGGCAACAATTCGCCCATGAATGACGCCACCTGGCTCACGGGACAGTTCTTGACAAGGTTGCGCAACACAAGGTTGATCATGTGGCGCCAGCTGTGCATCGTGACACCACTGGTGTCCCCAGCGACGGCGTTCCACAACAAACTGGCAATGTTCGGCACCTCGTAGAAAGTGTCGTCGAGCTGAGAGATCGAGGCGATAGTCAAAAAAACGTATTCTCGCGTGTAGCGAATGCTGTGTCCCACTGAGTCGGCAAAATCCCGTAACGTGTGCATCGCACGGACATTTTCGTCCATGAATGACTCTTTACTCTGGATAGAGATCCCCTCCTGCCAGAAGCGTTCCAACGTGGTGTAACGCACAAAGCTTTGCACTTCCTCGGGGAGATCCTTCCAGTTTTCAGGATTGTGGTACGCCTGGATTTGTGACATGAGCTGGAGAATGTGGGGCAAGATCGGTTGAATCCGTGGCTTCCAAAGCAAAAGCAAGTCCAGAAACTCGTCTGATCCGCGCTCGATCCGCTCAATTGAGTACTGCACAAAGATCCGCGTAGCGCGGATGGGGAAAATGGACGACCAATGGCTCTTCAACTCTGATCGCAACTCACGGCCCCGCTCGTCCATCTGCGCCTCAAGCAAGTTTGTGTTGGCGGTAATGTTGCGGGAGCGGAAGTATTCTGCGATTTTCACAATCCCGAGTCGCTCCATGAACCAGTGCAAGTCGCTCAACCCCTTCATCGTTTCAGGCGCAGCCCAGGCGGCGATTTCGGGATCCACGATCTGCGCAAAACGGCGGTGTTTATCCTCAATGTTAGAGCGGAGGGCCACGATCAACAAGAATGATTTGAAGGACACCGATTCGTGCTCGCTGACTTTGTTGGAGGTGAGGATGGTGGCAATTACGTTCTCCAAGTCGTCCAAGATCAGACGCAACGACTCGGGCATGATATACGCCAAACGGTTGAGCTCCGTTCCGCAGCTCGTCCGCAAGTCACGCACAATCTCCTTGTCCTCATCAGAAATGCTACCGGGATACTCGTACGTGGCAACATGTAGGGTTCGCTCCAAGATGCGGAACACCAAGGATGAAGTATCTTTCAATAAGGGTGCGAACTGGACAAGCGTCTGAATTTGCTTTCGCAACGTGAGGGGATCGTTGATGGTGAGTGCCAAGAGCCGCTCGCCGAGACTCTCAACCTGTTTGTTCAACTGCTCCTGTTTTTGCTCTTTGTCCTCGGCCGTGGTGTACCAGATGCGCCAGCGGGAAATTCCCTTGAGCAGAGCCTCAATGATGGAGAACTGGGCGAATCCGTAGATGTATGCGTCCTCGTGGATAGTGAGTTTGGTGGAGGTCATGGCCTTTTGGCCGATTTCCAGCGAGAAAAACATGTTGAGACGGTTCTCCAACCATGCGAGGCCGTGTTCGGGCTGTTTGCACACGGTGATGCGCACAATGTCGTCGATGAAGCGCTTGTAGTTGGAGAGAAAGCTGTGCGAGTCGGAATGGGAGTCGAAGTCGAGCTCCAAGTAACGCTTGGCGATGTGGTCATCACTGATGTCCTCGTAGTTGAGGAACCGGTTGCCCGCGCACTCTAACAACTCCGGGAGGATCGTTTGCACCTCAGGCTTCTGGCTCATGTCGTCGATACGCAACAAACTGGTCCAGAATTGCAACGAGAGTCCGGACACGATGACGCTCTCGTGGTTGGTGGTGGCGAGCACGAGACGCAAGTAGCTTTCGAAGTCAGCGTTTTTCGGTAACTGGTTGGCACGTGACGCGTTGTTCAAGTGTTCGCTGAGTGATACAACCATCTCCACGAGCTTCTTCAAGAACACATATTGCTGCTCGTCGATTGTTTCGCCGGGGGCTTCGACCGCGTGGAACACCTGTGACAAACTGCGGATACCCTCGGTCGTAAAGACGCTGCCCACAATGGCTTCGAAGTCTGCAGGGTTACTGTAGACGCGTGTAAACAACGAGTGCAAGCAATCCGTGGCAAGCGTCTTGACCTTGATGTTGGTGGACGCCATGAGAATACCTGTACTCAACTTCTCCAAAAGGTTTTCCTGGCGCACCATCGTGGGGATGACCCAGTGCAAGCACGTTTTGAGCGTCTCGAGGATCTTGGCAATGTAACCGGTTGTCTCAGCGTCCTCAGCGTCACCCTGCAAGCATACTCCAAGAAACTCTGCCCAGCGGTGTAACCAGCCCTCAGTCGAGGCACGACAGAGCCGCACGTTCTGATTGACTTCGTAGTGCTGGTTGAGGATCTCCTCTGACGTAACCACCTCCGAGCACAACGCCGGCAACACATTGCTGCGCTTGGCGGCTATCGGGTCGTCGAGCAAGTATATGTCCTCAAAGAGCGTGCGAAAGATGATCAACAGGAGTTCGCGCGTGCCCTTGGTGTTATTCCACAACGCCAAGAGGTTCGCGTCCATATCGCTCCAGCCGTCTGCTGCATTCTGCGCTGAGATGGTTATGGCCGCGTCATCACCAGCAGCGGCGGCAAGAATGAGAAAGTTACCCCAACAACGTTTGGCTACAGACACCCAAAGGTCAGCGATCTTCTCTTTCATATAGTGTGGGTCCGCGTCACCGAGCTTGTTGGCCAACTCCACAATCCAGTGTCTGACGGCAATCGCCTTTTGCGAATCATAAAGCGCATATTTGTGGGAAACAGAGTTATAGATCAAACTCAAGCCGAAGTAGCGCACAATGAAGTCATGGCCGTTGTCGGGCAATGCGAGCTGGTAGCCCCAGAAGGGCAGCTCCTCCTCCTGTTTGATGCGTTCGAGAAACACCTGGGCCTCGCGCCTGGCGTCGTTGGTCGACTTGGGTGCGTGGACTACACTTAAGGCAGAAACAATCTGGCTGACAGCGTTTGTATCCATGGTAGCAATTGGAATGGTTGTGTGTGAGCGGTTGTGTCGGCTTGTGTTGATTCTGCGGGTTTTGCCGCGCTTTTTAGCTGTCAGGTACGTAGATAGAGCGCGGACCGCGCACGACCGCGAACCCAGCCAACTGCGCGATAATGCACTCTTTACCCACGCTGGAAGCGTTGCACTATCTATAGGACTAGATGGGTTTATAAATATCTATTATTATATAATAAAGATTCCTCAAGGTTATTCTTATACAGCTTTAAAAGGTAATTTTAAAATCACAATAGTGATTGAAGATATTAAGAGGGGTATGTAATATTTCATTTATTATTGTAAGCCAAATCCTTCACCGCAACGTACTGTGAGACCCTTGGCTATAACACTTATTGGCAGGTCGTATCACCTGACGATAGGGTATTTTCGTAAGAGCTCACCACATTATTAGGCAACTATAAGTGTAATTTTGGCTCCATATACAACAGTTAATATTCTGAAAGTGATTTCTGTTTCAACAAAGGGTCCACTCGGGTATGGGTAGGATGTTTAGTCCCTGCAATCTCTACAGGTTCGCGAAACTAGGAGTCTTAAGACTAGTGTGCTTGTCTTTCTACCGGCAAGGGGTGGGATAAAAGTTTTTAGTACACAGTAAATGACTAGATGCGGCTGAGGGAATTAAGGTTAGCCCGAATGACTGTAGAATGCCATCTATTGGTTTTCATACTATAATTCCTCTGTCTGCGACGGAGCTTGGCTATTTCAATGGTAAACTATAGCTCTACCCTGTAGAGTTCCTGATATATAACAATGTCTTAACTCAATCAGTCTTTAACTCCTACGAGAAGAGACGGTTCCGTCTTTTCCCACAAAATTGAAAGCAAATAGCACACCAGGATTTATTCTCCGCGACTTTGAGACACAGCTGGAAGTTGGTATAACGAGGGTGTTTCATTCCTTAGAACTGAGATTTTGTAAGGTACTAAGCGATCATCCTCTTGGTAATTAGTCACAGTTACACGAGTTCTGATTATGGAGATTTTATCAAACGGTATAAAAGCAGTGTAGCCACATGGATACACGCATAAACTTTCACTTAAGAAGTAATCTGATTAACTTGGGGGCAATCCTTGAAAGGATAGTATTAAGAATGGGTGTACGCACGACGGGCCTTGCCTGTACATCTTGCCTGTACACCTTGCCCGTACATCTTGCCTGTATACCTTGATTATTCGCCTAACCAGGGGCTGACAAATCAGAGAAGAGTGGTGAAATATCAAATGATACTAGTATAATAGACCTGGATATATCTTTAGCACTATTAGAGAGTGAGCTGTGTGTAGTGAAGAACTTTTCCTCAAATCTAGAATAAGCCCAATGTCTAGTGTACCTTTTATGGCTACCGATAATGCACAGCCTCAAGATGGCACCGATCCTGACTACAAGAAATTGATATACACCAATGCACTGTTTTTTTTTGTTGTAATTGTAAAATGTGTAACTCGCGGAACTTAGGCTCGAAGACGCTTATATGTTCCACCAAATCCCTCCAAGTGCTCGTTACAAACTATGAAAGAATAATGTCCTTTATTTTCATCCATACCGTGCAAAAGTCTCATATCCTTTGAATCAGTCGGAGGCTAACCAAAACTATAACACGTAAAAGATTTATGGCTTCTTGCTGTAAACCTGAGATTCGTCCTCGGCATCGAGCACGGTCCCAAATGCATAGTCCCAAATTTTAGTGGTCACCCCGTAACCTAGGTCAAAGTTCTTGTAGTGATGCTGCAAGTGGTAACGTTTCATTTCCTGATAGTGTTGCTTGGTTGCCCATGTCCACACCTGAAGCCATTGCGGTCTGGTGTGCAACGAAATATGAAACTCCTCGTATGCCATAAAGCCGGTGAAAGCTCCACTGAAAAGTGCCATTCCCGCTGCTTTCCCCGTCACGATTCTAAGAAGGAAGAATAGAGAGGTGCTAAAAACGGTCAACAGAATTGGCGAGGCAGAAATACGGTTAGCATCCATAGGCAAGAAGTGGTGTCTCCCGTGTATCACAAAGTGTAGTGCAAAGGCCCGAGGGCAGTAGTCAGGTAACAAACTGTCGATATGGAAGATAAATCGATGTAACAAGTACTCCACTAGCGACCATACCAAGAACCCAGAGCCGAATAACCCGTATAGTTGGTCAGGCGGAAGAAGCGCACTTGCTGCCCGGTAGGCAAAATACGGAATTGGAGCGTAGCAGAGGATAAGCCACCAGGGAGTTTTGGAGAAAAGATTATCCATAATCGGATTAGGGTAGATGCGGGCACCTGCGGAACAATGACGAGGCCGATGGACCTGGTCCAAATAGAAGTCCCGGGTCCAGTGGGACTTTAAGATTTGAGGCATCAACGGCTGGGCTAAATCCATGAATTTGTGTTTGGAGAAATCATTCTCAGCGTCTGTATCCGTGACCATGCTGGTGAAGGCGGGTAATTCGTTGGAGAAGGTAGTCAAGTCTGGCTGTTCCTCTACTGCTGCTTCCACTAACTTTCCAGTGCACATCTCGTCATCGAGCATCTCGTAGGCAGAGCTGGAGTGTATGTGACTGGCAGCGTCCTTCATGATGTCAGTGATATCCCTACCAGCATACTCCATAATGAGTTCAGGACCTCCCGGGTGGGCGTCAAGAAACTCAGTGACATCGTAGACCTTCTCTCCGAGGGTTACCCAGCAATCAGTGCTGCGATTGTGTGACCGTACGTCTTTGGCGGTGTAAGCTTTTTTAGACATCATAGAGACAGTATACAGCAAAGTCTTGAAGCTAAATTCGTTGGTATAGGAAGTCTGAGTAAGAATCACAGTACTGTGCAGTGTTATGCTACGGAACTGGATCACCCACTATATCTAGGTCAAGATTTATGTCTGTTTTTATACAGGAACTATAATCTCCCGGGTTTAAGAGGCTTCTACGGGATTAGCGAACTCCGCGCATCCCCGCAAATTGGAGTGCGTCTCCACGAATTAATCACATGGTAGGCCGAGGCCGGGGGGGAGGCTAAATAGATATACACTTGGAGATAATTAATTTTCTCGAACCCCGACACTATGAATAGTTTAGATGTAAATCCAAGGTACTAGACTGGAGTACTGAAATCCTGCTCCATCCAGCAATTCGGGCCACGCGGACACAGCTTAGTGGTAGGCGATGAACAATAGCATAGCTCTTATTTTGGAATCGAGGCATCACATTATTCTATGCTTCACAAATTTCGACATGCCTGAGTATGAGCCGGGGATTTAATCGGCTTCCCTTGATTATAGAAAGAGCAAGAAGCTCCTTAAATGAATGCGTCAAGTGCCAAGGTCAGGAAGACACGGGCCGGGCAGTGTCTGGAGAGGGAGATCCTTTATGGAGAACGAGGTCTCGCAGGTGACTTGGGAAACCTTATCAGTCTCAAAATCAATTGGCACAGGATACGGCATGGGTAGAAACCTAGGCTGAAACTAGCTCTAAGCTCATACCCTTTTACGGTTGTGGTTACGTAATTCGTAAAGCACTTGCTCAATCGAAGTGTATCTAACAACAACAGTGGTCGAAGCAGACCAATCTAGACTCCTTTCTATGTAAGCATATAAGAGAGCGGGGGGAGTACCTCCTTATACTGTCCAGAGTGGTATGATGCTTATCTAACAAGACTAGGCGGTATAATAATGGAGGATAATACATATGGAGGCCAGCTTTGCCCAAACTACAACAACGATTATAGCGGTACCATACAGGGCAAGAAACAGTTATAGCTATATCACAAGAGAAGAGAGACGGTTTTAGCGGTGCCACTAGCTGCGGCTATAGCGGGGCCAAAAGCGGGTACAGCGGGACAACGTAAAAGCTTCTATACATGAAAGCGGGGTTAATACATCTCTAATTAGTATCACAAAAGCCGCAGGTCCAGTTTCCAAACTTAGACGAGGCAGGTTTAAGGATGGCTAGTGCAGTGCATAGGATGCAGTTCGTAGCAAACCTGTGCTCGTTTTATCTGGTTAGTTGGACCAGGCTCCGGCCTAAAGTGAGCCAATAGCGAGTACGAAAGCAACGCTGACCAGGGAAAACGCACCCCCCCCCCCCCGTATGAGAATATATCCAGTGCCACGTTACACTGTTACGAGATCAAGTTTTGTCGATACTCAAATAAAGGTTAACAAACATCTAATACTTGCCAATAGACTGCTTATTCATTTTGAGAACCACTTGGTGAGAGTGTGCTCCTCTTTTGTCAGGCACTGCTCAACAGAAGCTCACTTTTGACATGCATGATTTTGTTGCATCCCTGTATGCAGAGTTTCACCTATTGCATGTGATTTCCTTCCCCCCAGACCTTTTACAGATGAGTACCTTTAGTGCTTGCACGAAAGTCCACCCGGCATAGTTACGTATCCCGCCCTATAGCAATATAAATAGCACCAGTTATCCCAGAACTCCGTACCATAATTTACAGACAGCTACAGCGCATAATGGGGGAAATAGCACTCTTTACTACCGCTCAGGTGGAAAAACACAACACCAAAACCGATTGTTGGGTCACCTTGGACAACCGCAAGATCTACAACGTCACCGATTTCCTCGACAGCCACCCAGCGGGGGCTGATGTCATCTTGGAGTACGCGGGCAAGGATGTCACGGCGATGATGGAGGACAAAAGCAGCCACGTGCACTCTGAATCCGCCTACGAAATGCTCGACGAAGATTTTTTTGTGGGGCATCTTGCTACGCGTGAGGAGGAGAAGAAGTTGCAAGAGGAAGATTCCGGTGAGGACTTGACAGCGTTCAGAAATGAGTTACCAACGTTCTCAGCGATGACCGTGGACACAGACGCGGATAAGGATTTCCAGAAATACAAGTTTTTGGACTTGAAGAAGCCTTTGATGCCGCAGATCTTGCTGGCCCATTGGACCAAAGAGTTCTACCTAGACCTGGTTAACCGACCACGCCACTCAGTTAAGGGGGCCATGGTGTACCCGCATCCCGTCTTGGATGTGGTGTTTTCGCAGGTCCCGTGGTGGGCTATCATCGTGTACGCACCCGTCCCCTACGCAGGCATGCGAGTGGCACTCAATGAGTTGCCTAAGGGCGAGGCTTACAAGTTGTTTGCCTTAGGGTTTGCGCTCTGGCTGTTTGTCGAGTACATAATGCACCGTTTCCTCTTCCACATGGATAACAGTATGCCTGACTACAATCAGTATATTTTTGCTGTTCACTTTGCTGCCCACGGGGTGCACCACTTCTTGCCAATGGACCCAAACCGGATTGCTGCGCCATGGGTGATGGTAGTTACAGTCGGCTTTTTGGTTTGGAGGTTACTATTAGCGACGAGTGGGTACGATAGTGGCAACGCTATTTTTGCAGGCAGCATCGCCGGCTTCATAGTGTACGAAGAGTTTCACATTTCGTTGCACACAATGCCGCAATTCTATCAGTTTTGGAGTGGAACTGCGCACTACTTGGAGATGAAACGCTACCATTTGCAGCACCACTACAAGAATTACGAGATTGGTTACGGTGTTACCCAGAAGATCTGGGACTATGTGTTTAGGACCGTGCTTGACCCAGAAGACGAATCACAGGTGCACCGCAATGCGAAATTGCAGGGGGGAAAGAGTTGAGGTTTGGAGAAGTGTCTGCCAGAGAGGGTGATGTAGAGCTGTCGCCGCTGGATAGTTACGCGTATATATTCAATAATTAAGAAAAAGTATTCAGGGTTATTACAGCTATTATTTGCGATATTTTTGCGATCGAGTACGGATCGAGGTAAGCATTTTCTGCGGTGGATATTAGTAACTAGCTAAGGAATCTTTTCTGCGATCGTCTTAAGCGGGCTTTAAACTGAAGTGGCGTACATTTAGACGCTAAGGGTAAAAATTTAGAGTTGATCAAGAATCCGAAATTATTCTGATTATGCTTTACAATATTAATAAACTTATCTTAGCTCGTAAGTTGTATCTTCACGTCAATTCACACTATAGCCATCGCTTCCTGCGCTTTTGTATCCCCACGCGCCACGTATAATACGCGTTGCAATTTACAGGATAAAATTATTTCATTCCACTAACCTTGAACCGAGCTTATCTACAACCAAATCACACAATGGCCAAGAGACCCAGACTGGAAGAACAGATACAGGAAGATTCATACGAAGAAAACAACTCTGGAGATGCCGGTGATGCGGACTTTAACGCTTACGACGCCTACAACGTGGGGCTGATGGAGATGGTTTCGGCTATGGCAACGACGTTTGCACGGCTGGCGCTAGCGCACAACACGGGCCCCACTACGATACAGCGTGCAACCATCAACAAGTTGACCAAAGATACAACTAACCGAAATGTCAAATTCGGGTCTGTGTTCCGCGCTACAAACGAAGTCTTGCAAGACTTTGGGATCCAAGTGGAAGCCTTACCGTTGAAAGCCAAGACAAAGAAGGATAGGCTAAACAGGACAAAACCCGTACCAAGCACCGCACCGGAAGGGACTGGGGAGACGGCTTACATCACCATATCCACCCTTTCAACGCAGGTGAAGACAGTGTTGTTTGGCCTCGACGCGTTGAACTATACGATGGACATGGATGATAGCCCGATGAGCAAGTCCATTGGTGCGTCAACGGATGGAGAGGTCATGACGATGGGAATCTTGATGACAATGCTTGTGGTCGTTATCGGTAACAACAACATGATTATCGAGCGCGAGTTCTATCGCCATTTACTGGCGTTCGGATTGGAAAACGTAGAGCAGCCGATCCAGCGGCCATACCTCAACTTATCGCTCAGTCTGCTCATTCGGTTGTTTGTGAAGCAGGAGTACCTTGCGGCAAAGGTGGAGAATAGCGACAGCGCCAGCGATCCGTTGGTGGAGTATTCCGTTGGGAGACGCGCCCAGATCGAGTTTGGCGCGTTGGAGGTTTTAGGCTTTTTTAAGGAGGTTTTTCACGGGCAGTCTGATGAAGACCACATGAGAATGTTTATTGACACGTTGAAGAAGATCTATAAGGACTTTACCACGTCAGAAGTGCAGGAACTGTCTGTGCCGGAAACTCAGGTACTGCCCGCACCGGAACCGGTGGCAGAGTAGCCAGTGTAAAGGAATAAGTTATGGGTGTTGTTTAATAAATCCAAGTAAGGATGAAAATCAGTAAATGGGTTGTTATATCTGGAAAATAGAAAGCATGGTTGTGATTACATAGTAAGCCTTCATATTTGCATAAAGATGGTATAAGAAGCGCTAAAGGTAGATACATGCAAAAAAAAGGTAAAACCGGTTAAAATTGGTTGAGAATAATCATTTAATCCCTCTTTTTATCTGACACATATATATCTCGTATATGAAAATTAATAAGGTGTTTCACCTCTATTTTACTGTTTCTGTTTATGAACTTCAAGCCTCGAAGCATTCTTAGCACACTGGGTAATCTTACCACAGATTGCTAGTCCCTTTAATAAACTAAACGAGGTGTTAACATCTAATCTCTGTTAACTATCTAATATATTCATGTCGCTTGCATCTCTCAAGCTTATTTCTTTGGGAATACCCGAGGAAGGCTACCAGGTTGATGTAGCTACATTCGTCCAGGATATACATTTTCTATTACACTATATCACAACTTTTAGAAATATTAACCTCGGTTGACGCTTATTCCAGAAGACTGGCAGCTAAAGATAGTACTTTAGCACTCTGTTCCTACCAGATATCCTCTTGATATCTGTTCTGGATCTTAAAATTCCGCAACATATCTACAGCCATTTCTCTCGTCATCTTCTTCGACGCCACAAGTACCTCAGCCAAGGCATCATGCACATCTCTGGCCATGCGCGAGGCATCACCACACACGTAAATGAACGCACCTTTTCCCAACAAGTCAGCAATCTCCTCAGCGCGCTCCATGATCCTGTGTTGAACATACACTTTCCTGGTGGTCTCCCTCGAAAACGCGGTGATCATTTCAAAGCTCTCCCCGAGTTTGGATGCGTACTGTGGCCATTCCTCTTTGTACAAAAAGTCCTCTTCGGCAGAACGACACCCGTAGAACAACATTATTTTGCCCTGTTTTTCATTCGGGTTCTGCGTCTTTCGGTGTACCTTGTCACGCACAAAGCCTCTGAACGGCGCAACCCCGGAGCCGGGACCGATCATGATGACTGGGGACGCCGGGTTTGTCGGTAACTTGAAGGTACTGCGTCTAACATGCACCGGGAGCTTGAACCGCGCAAGTTTGCCGCGCGGGCCGGACAAATTGTAACGCTGGTGTGGGTCCTGCGACGACTGGTTTTGGGTGAGCTGGATGTGGCGCAACAAGTTGGTCGTGACCCCTGTCACAAGATGATCACTGCCGGCGGGGGTATCTGCCTCCACGACAGCAGTCACGTGAATGGAGCGCTTCTCAGACAAGGATGACGACGAGATGGAGTAATAGCGGGGCTGTAAGGAGTGCGTGGTTTCAATCACAAACGAGAACGGCACTTCCCATGTCGCGCCGCCAGAGATGTAAGCCAAAGCGTCGGCGATGTCCATATACCTATCGTGGATCTTTTCCTTGAAGGCATCCTTGTTACCTCCCAAGGCCATAGCCAACAGCTTGGAGGCATCGGTAGGCGCAAACGCGGCGATTGCACTCAAAGACTGCCGGGAAAGCGGTCCGGTGATGCCCAAGTAGTGGCGGACGACAGTTTCGTACGTAGTTGGGGTTGGGAACGGTACAGAAGCTGTCTGATCCAATAACCTAATATCGATGACCTGATTACGTTTGTCCTCCCACCCAAAAATGGCGAGGAACTTGGACACGTGCGCATCTGAATTAGACGGCCAGATCGCAAGATGGTCTCCGGTGGAATAGCGGAGATTGGAGTCTGATAAGTCAAACTCCGCATGGATGCAGCTTCTGGAAGCCAGCGAAAAGAGTTCGTAGGTTGAGGCGATTGGCGCGAGGTACGGGTGCGAGTGGTTGAACGGCCCGAGCGACAAATCCTGGGATGGGTCGAGGTACTTTCTGGATGGCTCGCCCAAGAAAACGGTGGAAGGGTCGGCAGCATCAAGCTCAACAACCTCTAATGCCGGCTGGTACTGCATCGCATGTTCTTCAACGTCCAACTGGTCCTTTAAGGACGCAAACATGGCGTCTTTCCAGGACAAAAAGTCCTCGTCCATCGTCCCACGGCCATCGTCACCCTCACCGTACGGGCCAAGAAACTGGCCGTTGAGTTCTGCAATCTTAGCTTGCACCTTCCTGCCGATAGCGTTGTAGAACTCGTACGTGGAGTTCCCGAGCCCGAAGACTCCGAACTTAACGGCAGCCAAGTCGTCCGCCGAATTCAACCACTCCATAAATTCGATTGCGTTGTCGGTAGGTTCACCCTCGCCATAGGTGGCCATGAAAAAGAAGACGAGCTTGTTTTCCAAGGCGGGTAAGGAGTCAAAGTCGTACTTCTCGAGGTCCGCCGTCATGGACGGGATTCCAAAACGCGACTGTAACTCCTTGGCAAATTTGGAGGCGTAATCCTCAGCAGTTCCGGTTTGAGAGCCGTGGAACACGATACATCTCTTGCCGCTGGCGCTGAGCACTTCAGCGATGTCACGGGAGCCGGTGGAGGTGGCTGGGGCAGACGTCACCCCCCAGAGCTTGCCCTTGGAGACGTATGTAATCAACGCAAGTACAATCGACAATAAAACGGCGTGATCGAGCGTATCAAGAGACATGATGGGTCCTGTGTAATATCTGGGAAGATTACCTAGATAGGTTATGATGCTATTTCAAATATGAAAAAAAGTGAACCGGATTGACTGATTTGCGTTAACACCGAAAAGCACGAGGTTTCGCGATGTGTGCAGGAGTGTCGTATAGGTGGCGTGAGAAAAGACAGAGATCGATAGTGATTATAAATCGGTTGAAACTCGGGGGAAATAGCCTATCTATATAGTTTTCCGTATATCTGAGTTGTCATTTTTCGAAGAGTTGAACACTGGTGATGGTGGAAATTTCTGTCTCGTAATATCGGAAGTTCCTGCCTAAAATGGAAGCGATTGGCGGCAAGAGATAAAAGCTCCTGCGTGGTTGTTTGCACCCTCAATAAGCTGCCGGGAAGGTGGCCGACTCATATACCCGAGTTTAAATAGTTAGCTGGCGGTTCAAAGGATAGAAAGGGCGAGGTCCGGGCCGGACAAATGCCGAAGCCTCAGAGAGAAACATAGGCCATCAATGAGTGTAACACTTTTCATTAAGGGGTGCCAAGGTTGTTTTTTTGAAAGGTTTTGGTTGGAAGTAAAACTATAAGGGATTATTACCATGCTGAAATTATAACTATTTTAGTGATGATTGATTCAAAACCCATGGATTGGACTTTTATTCCAGAGCCATTCGCATGTGTCAGGTCTATAATTGTCGAGATTATGGGGTCCTTTGTTAAGATCTAGGTACAGCCTTGCTCATCTAAAGTAGGCACCGACATAGCCACACATCGGCATTCCATAGGTGACAACAAATGTAGTAATTTAAACAGATTCAGACATTAATAAAGTACACATAAATATATCGATTTTGAACGCGGTGTAAATATCTCCGTGTTGGTGGTCGTGTACTACCCAACCGGGTAACGCTAAATATTTTTTCTTACCATGTTAATATTTTTCAGACATCAAAGTCTTATCTGATTCCGATCGAGACCACAATCCATCAAACACAATGTCCAACATCCTCTTCGACGACATTTTCACTGTTGAATCTTCTGACTCGGCTAGATACAACAAGGTCTGCCGTATCACCGGCCAATCCTCTACCGCGCCAGACGTGAAGTTGACATTGGACATCAACAGCGAGTTGTTTCCAGTCCAGGCTAACGAATCCATCACCGTAACCTTGGCCTCCTCCCTCTCTTTAGATGGTGCCGATCCAGCCCAAACTAATACATCTTGGAGACCTCCAAAGGCTGACGAAAGATCCTTAGCCGACGACTACGACTATGTCATGCATGGTACTGTCTACAAATTCGAAGAATCTGCCAACGATAAGACGTAAGTTTATAGCATTCTCTTCGTCGTTCTTTTACTAACTGCTCTAGCTCTGTCTACATCTCCTTTGGTGGTTTGTTGATGTGCCTTGAGGGTGGCTACCGTAACTTGTCGAACTTGAAGCAAGCCAACGCGTACATTTTGATCCGTCGTTAATCCAGCAATAGAATCAGGCTGAATAATTTCGCATCTGTGGTAAGAATCCACCAACAGAGCAGCCAATGGCATACGCCTGGCTACCCGATGACTGTCTCAGTCGTGTACTATATTACCTGTCATACATATTTTAATACAGATTTGTCTCATTACTGGAAAGGGAAAGGACGTCCAAGTAAAGCGAGTGGGTGGATCACTGGTGTGGGGGTTAGTCGTTTCACTATTTTTAGCACGACTCACAAAATTCTGTTAACATATAATGTCTCGTGGGTCTAAAATACACTGGGATACGGAAATGACAGTCGGTAACTTCCAAATCCCGGGCTTTTAGGTCGAGTCTAGTAAGACCCAAACCTCAGAATCGTAATATCCAGGACTGCAACTAGTGTGAGAACCACCCTAAAAAAATTAACTTGGGTTTATAACCTCACACGTCACACAACTCAATGATTAAATATCCTAAGCGAAGGCTAGCTCGATAAATAGCGGTACTATTTCTTCATATGACCCATGGAAGTATAGGTTAATCAGGCTTCCCACTGTCTGCTCACAAGAAGCCCGATAACCATAGATAAACGCATCGAATCAAATAAACTGAAACGTGTCGTGGTGGGCATGACAACTATTAACACCCCGAGCTTTATCTTTACTGAAACCTTTGCATCATACCCCCGAGGCCCGTGATCCTGTGCTTATATCCGGAACGTGCATTACATTCATGACACGGCGTCTCGGAGATTGCTTCGCCTATTTCAAATAAAGCTTAAAGGTGTCCGATTGTACCTACTAATACTGTGAGCATCGAGTTTTCAGTAATGCGGTAGAGAGTTCCTAAACACTCCATCGAGTTCATTGCCCGTCTTGTGCCAACGAGAAGATACATAATCACGTGCCCCGCCTTATCTGAATATTTCGCTCCTACGCAGGACTTCCGACAACCCCGATGCAGCAATCGTTCGGACTAGACAGTTTGCCATCGAGACTCAGCTACCATATTAATGGCACTTTCATTTCTTCCTAGTATTAGCTCCGAAAGTTCTTCCTCTTTCTGAAAATCCAAACCACAATTAATAACTATCATGTCTAAAACTACTGTTGCCGAGGTCGAAGCTTCCAATCCTAACCAATTGCCTGGTGACATTGATACCACCGACAGTAACCTCAGATACGCTGCCTACGCCAACCGTTTCCGTACAATTTTGCTCGCTTCACAGCGTTATGTTGCCTATACGTCCGATATTGGTGAGCTGTTCCGTCCTGTGGCTCATCCGGCCATGGTCAAAGCCGGTTACGGGATCTCGTGGATGTACATCCTCGGTGACGTGTCCTACGAAACGTGGAAGGCAAAGATGAGACAGGAGGGCCGCTATGTTCCTGGTTTGAAGCCATGGGATAAGTTACCCGAAGCTAATTTGAAGGCGGCGGCTATTTCCAAGGAAAGTGAGCGTGATTGGAGGCTTGTGGGTTTGCAGCGTGGTATTTTCCAGAGCATTGCATCCATGGGTTTACCGGCTTTCACAATCCACTCCTCCGTCAGATACTCGTCAATTCTCTTTAAAAACTCCGCAAGCAAGCTGTTGAAAACCTACGGGCCGGTTGGTGTGGGTTTAGCCGTTGTTCCATTGTTGCCTTACTTGTTTGATGAGCCAGTGGAGCACATTGTCGAGTATGTGTTTGACAAGGGTGAGGAGTTGTACACAGGTAAGACCCACAAGAAATTTGAATAAAGTGACAAGTTACAGTGTTTATATATGGCCACTTTGAAATTTTGCTCAGAAATAGATTTGTTTTTGCTGAAGGGCTGTAGTGGTTCTGGTTGGTTCATAGGCATGGTGTGACCAGTATTACATCTCTTGAAAATAAACATACATCCCAGTTATGGATATAAAGTTGGGTTTACATCTTAAAGCTTAAGACAAATTCGGTCGAACCCTGAGAAAGGTAATAACTCTCGTAAAAAATATCCGTTTGAACACTCTAGATCCAACTATACTACCACTGTTGACTCTTTGTTTTGCATTCTCCGGAGGATATCTCGCATCTAGCAATATAGATCACGGTAGTGAACATGAAAATTGAAAAAATAGGGATTATTAGCTTTGATTAGCATATGCAAAACTTCAGATGCTTTCTAGTCATATATGCATGTCTTAAAACTAAAGCTCTCGGAAGTCGCCCAGACTAATTGATATTAATACATGGTGCTTCTCAGGATTATCTTACCCATTTATTAACCTTCAGATATTCATAATTCATCGGCTTGAAATTCGAGTTCATCTTTTGCAAGATTGGTGTCCCATTCGCTGGAAATAAGCATCAGTCCCACACCCTCACGGATCTTAGACCATCTAATGCGTCAATAGCCCGTGATCTTCCACTATTGCGGTCTACTGTAGTTGAGCGTCCCGCAGTGCTTGCAAGTTCTGTTTTCAACGCTCGAGTCAAATTCGGCAATACCCGCCTTGATCTGGGTACCCAAGTCAGAACAGTAGAACTCCTTTTCGTAGATTATCTCACGGCAGTTCGAGCAGTAGTAGCGGAGCTTATCGTTAATCCCTTCTGGTCTGTCTTGCTCCACAACAATCCCGATTGTGTCAGCGTATCTCACCGGATTGTGCGGCGTGTTTGGAGGCAACAAGAACGAATCGTTTTCGTTGATGATAATGTCGCGGAATGTACCATCATCGACAACCTTGAGACACATGGCACCCTTGTACTGGAAGAAGTATTCAGGGGTTTGGTTGACATGGTAGTCTGTGCGTTCGTTAGGGCCACCAACAATCTAAAGAGTGTTAGCCTCGTTATCTAAGCCGTTTAAAGAAATACTTACCATGACAGTGAATCCACCATGGTGCAAACAAAAGTTGTTCACCGGTGGTTTCAAAAGGTGATTATTTTCTTCAATCCACTTTGGGATATTTATTGGTTGGGCAAGCATCTTGGGTAGGTTAGTGTTATTAATCAGAAGGTTTATCGAAAAAAGAGGCATATCTAGGCCATAATTTTGGTGCAATGCGGGGGCTTGACTTGAGCCAGACTATATTGAAAATTCCTGCACCGTATAAATATTTTGCCTCCTCCGGAGATGGCGCCACTCTAAAGCAGCTGGTGTAATGATGGAAAGAACATACCAGACTCTAGATTAAATTTCTAATAGTCTGGTATTTTTCAGCTTTAGTAATTAGATAGAGAAGATAAAATACCAACAAGTAACAGTATGGATATGATCAATAGCATGTGTATAATGCATATCATATGATGTTAACCGATATCATTGTAAAATGGATACTAGATCCTTTGCTGAACACAGCATATATTTAAATATTTATTAGCGGGTATCATCGCCATAGATATAATCCCAATGGCTCATGGAATATGCCATACTATATTTGCAGTCTCGAGCACTTGAAACAATTCTATTCAATCCTCGATTACTGAGGCTATCATCCAAATACCCACTTGGTCAACCAGCTGACTTTATGGCCTCCGCTAGCTGACTCATTCGCTACGCTCGTCGCCTCATTTTAGGTTTATTAAATATACATATATTACAGCCCCTATCCTCTCATCTTCTCGGCGTTGATGATATCCTCACCGATGCTTTCCATTACCTCTCTCTCGACCAAGGCGCCGGCGCTCTCGTACGCGGTACTGGCCTCATAGGCGGCCACAAGTCTTTGCTCGGTGATACCAATCTCGCAATGAGCCAAGGCCTTGATACAGTTCGAATATCTGGTGATGGTGTTCCGCACAGTCGGCTTAATATCATCGTTCACATCACTATAAATCTCCCAGGACGACTCTTCCTCCAATCTGGTGATGGAAACAGAGCCCTGGCCTGGCGTGTAGGCTGAACTACCCGAAGATAATGCCGCCTGCTGCTTGTTGAGCGACGCGTTGTAGGATGGGTTGGCTGACTGGGTCTGGCTAAACCATACATAGCCGTTGACACCGATGATCACCGAGATGTTACCAGGGAGCTGGTGGGAGTGGTTCTTAGCCCTGACAATCAAAGAGGATGGAACGTTCACAAAGTAGCCATTTCTCAATTTCCCGTACTTTAAGGATCTTGTGTGCAAGGAAGCACTGCCGTCCTGGAATAAAGACTGAACCTCGGCGTTCAACAAGTCACCCTCCTTTAAGAAGTTACGCATTTGCAACTCATCGCTCTCAGACTTTCTTCTCAATACACCGCCAGGCAAATTCACTGACCCCAACATCAAAACAGCGTCCTGCTTACCGCCAATATCCACCTTCCAGCGCTTGTTACCCACCTCGGTCACACGCCCCACAACGTGGTCACCTGTCTCTGGTGTGTATCTCCCACGCAACGGCGCGACGCTCAAGAGTCTGTTGACACGGGAAATGGTCCCAGCAACCGAAGAGTATGTTTTTTCATCAAGGAAGTAGGTCCCGTGGCCCCTCATCCACACCGGGTCGTCGGTAACCAACTCACCCGGCGTCACCACAGATGCGTTGAGCCCGGAAGATGTGGTGCCAGTCTCGACATCAGACATGTCTGAGTCTGAGTCATAATGGGAGGCAGCGGGCTTGGAGATTGTGATGCAATCCATTGTGTGTATAAAGAAGAGTTTGTATTGGAGTTAAATTTGCGTTCAAATATTTTTTTCTGTGCGGCGCAACGTGCAGCGTACCTTCACACGAAACCACCGGCGTAGCTATATGAGACACTTCTCAATATTTTTCCATTCTCGGTTACTTAACGGTTGTGTATTCTGTGGTTGGAAGCATGATATAGCTGCGAAGCGAAATAATGGAAATTAATAAACGTACTCATCTGAGCCTTGTTTCATTTTTCCCCAACCACACTTTACACCAGTGAAAGAGACTGTTTGTGTTAAAGGAAGCTCCACCCTCCCCCTTAAACTCCTTTTTTTGTCTCAGAACCTTTTTCTGTAAAACTTTTTTAAGTCCCTCAACATCCCAGTCTTTCACTCACAGATACAACTGGGTAACCCAGCACTTGTAGCTGATGACATTTTTCCACCTGGCTAATATCCATCCTGCATACGTTTATCTGAAAATTTTCTGAAAATTTCCACTCATTCCATCTCCACCCTATATTTCGTTTAATCCATATATTCCTGTAATATATGTGGCCGTTTGTGAAACACGTTTTCCAACCTCTTAGACCGCTCCAGATCCAAACCCTCTTCCGCTACCACAGCGTTTCCGTCCACAATCCGCCACGCTTACCCCATAACATCACCCATATGTCTCAAATCGACCCTAAGTTTGCCCCGCCAGCGTGCAATGGTGCCATGAAAGAGCTCGATCGCGAGTTTTTCCGCAAATCAGTGGATTTTGCCATTGTATATTTCCCAGAAGCCCGCTCCATCGGCCAATTTGTCAAGAGCCATAGGAAGGATCTCTTGGCTGTGCCAACCATCCCTCATGTCATGAAGTCGCCCACTGAAGCCGACCCAGCGCGCAAAGGGGTGATTCTCACTCACAATATCAATAATTTCGCAAACTGGAAAGACTTTGTCGCTCCTGAGACTGCTGCCACAATTGCAGCGTTGAACGGAACGGTGGAAAAGTTCCTGTACGCTTTGACCTACGACTTCTGGAAGACGGACGAGATCTTGAACGCCATTTTGCCCACTGAGTTGTGTGGTGAGATTCCGTCCGGTTTCACCGTGTGCGGTCATGTTGCCCATTTCAACTTGAAAAATGAGTTTAAGCCGTGGGGGAAGCTCCTTGGCCAGGTCACCTTGGACAAAAACGCCCACATCCGAACTGTGGTGGACAAAGTAGACTCTATTGCCACAAAGTTCCGCACCTTCAAGATGAAATTGCTTGCGGGTGATGATGATATGTTGGTGGAACAAAGAGAATCCGGCTGTCGTTTCCAGTTCGACTTTTCGTCGGTCTACTGGAACTCCAGATTGCACACCGAACACGAGAGATTAGTCGCATTGTTCCAGCCCGGCGAGGTGGTGGGCGATGTCATGGCTGGCGTTGGTCCGTTTGCCATACCTGGTGGGAGAAAGAAGGTTATTGTGATGGCCAACGATTTGAACCCTGAAGCGCACAAGTACCTTGTAAAGAACATTGCGTTGAACAAGGTAAGTGAGTTCGTTACCCCGCACAATATGGACGGCAGAGAGTTTATCATTCGGTCGCCAAGGATGTTGCTTGACTATGCCAACGCTAAAAAAGAGATTTCTGTTACCAGACCAGCCAAGAAGAGAAAGACCAACGAGGGCATTGCTGAAAATACCAGTGTGGTGATTCCAAAGTTCTATTCGCACTACGTGATGAACCTCCCCGACTCCGCGTTGACCTTTCTCGATTCATTTATTGGACTTTATTCCGATCCAGAAGTCAGAGATGTGGTCAAGCTGGTCCCAGAATTCAAGCTTCCAACTATTCATGTGCATTGCTTCGAGAAGTGGGAGTATGATGAGACACCAGAGCCAAGTATGGAAGAGTTGCACAAGAGGGTCTACAGGAAGATCTGCGAGTTGATTGAGTTTGACGCACCGTTCAATTCCTTCAGCTTCCATTTGGTCAGATGGGTTGCGCCAACTAAGCCGATGTTCTGTGTGAGCTTTAAGTTACCAGAGAAGGTTGCATTCCGTGTGAGGGAGAGCAAAGTCAACCTGGAGGCGGCTGAAACGAAGAATGAAATCTGGGAGTAAGCTCAGAAAGACTCAATATAGATGGTGTTAATTTACCATGAGCTGTAATAAGATTTATAAGAATGTATTCTGGCGACAAAATTTGGTAGATATATTACCAGATCAGCTATTTTTATACGTATACCGTAGTCTGGTGTTACCGATCCGTATTTATTGGTATTTGCGCTCATCGAGATTTCGAATTGGAATAAATTTTAGTTGATATCGAATTTAGACTTATACTTTGACTAATTTATTTTAATATATACATATACTGATTAAATATACGTATATGCAGAAAGGGACCAAAGGAATTACTAGTATTCCATCATACTACATCAATGTCTATACCTACTATACCATGTTACATTAGATGGCATCAAACCCAAACACGAGCTTGCCAAGCTTGCCTAACACGGAGGTCTTCTCACCCTCGACCTTCGAAATCTGTGCCTTCTTGCTCGCATCAGTCTCGTTGAAAAACAAGCTGCGGCCATCTTTCAACTCCAAGCTCAGGTTAAACAAGCTTTCGACGGCCTTCTCGTCCGGCTTAACGGTCTGCACGACAGGGAGTCTGGTTTCACCGACATCTTCCTTGTTGGAGATCTTGCGGTTGGTCAACTTCTCAACCGCAGCCTTCGTATACTGCACCACACCGACGAGCGAACCGTTGTAGTAAATCCCATTATCCTCCAATGCACGCATCGCGGACGATGGGTTGTCATAGGTGAGTTTAACCCAGCCCTCACCGCTGAAGATGGGTGCGGAGGCCGGCGAGCGGCCCTTGGATGGCGTAAAGGCGCTGTTGTTGCGGTTGCGCACGATCGCAAAGTCTTCCATAATCAGGCCATACTGGTTGAAATGAGAGATGACCTCATTTGCGATGGACTCAGGGTACCCAAACACCAAGACAGCACTCTCACCGTTTGCCATAGGGGCCAACACGGCCGTCTCCGGCTTAGCGCCGACGTTCAACGAGTTTCGCGTCTTGTTGAATACATTGTTGAACTCCTTCGGGTCCTTGTGGACGAACGAGTTGAGCAACGCGCTGTCATCCTTGGTCTCGTCCTCCTCTCTCAAATCATAGATTGACTTCATCGGCGGCGCGTCGTCGTCGGTGCCCTCTTGGTTGGACGTGAACGCGGGGGAGTGCAAGTTTCTACCGGCACCGAAGCTCAAGGAGGTGTTATAGCCGGCAGACTCCCCATTGAGCGACAACTTGAGTGCTGCATCATTGACCTTGCGCTGGCTTCGCACGACCAAATGGTTTGGAATCACGCGCTTCTTCGCCTGCGTGGCATCAGTCTGCGGCGCGGCTGCCGCGCTGTTCGTGTTTCCTGGCGCGGCGGTAAACGCGGTGTTAAACGAGGCGGCGTTAAACGTCGGAGGAAGAGTCAGTGTTTGCCACGACATTGTGCGATTTGGAATGGAATAAAAAGCGTGTAATGTGGCAGATCTCTGGGAGAACTGGATTGATAGAAAGTGCTAGCGGAAGATAATAATGCAAGAGAGTGAGACCCAGGGTGTTTGAAATGTCCTATGACTGATGATAGATAAAACCTGGTGTACCAACGGAGTGTGAGCCTGGGATGAACAAGAAGCGAAGCTTCAGCAAAACAAAGCAAAAGGATCCGAGCCCAGCTGCTAAATAAACACCATAATTTTTTTCTGGTTGGCACACGTACGAATAATTGTAAGTTTCGAATTTTCATACATCTGGCGCACTACATGCCATGGCTACCGCATTCTATCCCAACACCAAGCGTTACACTATGAGTACATCATTATTGTTGGGGAAACGTCTTGTGAGTGCACCGCTGATGGTGCTTATTCCATCCAGGCCGTTCCTCACGGCGGTCAAGCAGCGCCTCGCGCGGTGGGAGTCGGAGGTTAACTGGGAAGCGGGGTTTCACCCCCACGGAACCCCCGCACAACGCGAACACTACCAGATATTCAAGAAGACGTTCGACGCGGGCCCGCAGTGGCGTCGTTGGGGCGCAATCTGCACGACGCCTACCTTCAAAAAGGCCATGACCAAGTTCTACGTTGCGATGTACGCGATCGCCATTTTCTTTTTCTACCGCCATATGACGACGGAGATGGGCCATGAGCAGGAATTGAAGGCGCTTGGTGTCAAGATGAATGCAGGGGATGCATTGAGTGAGTACGAGTCGTTGCGCTGGCGTGTCTTGACGCAGCAGCCGTTGCGTACTCGCGACTCGTTGAAGATGGAACAGTACGACTTGCTCCGCGCCGAATACGACGAACAGGTCAAGAAGAATCCGACCTTACCACCCTTCAGTCCCCAAGCCTCTGATATCACTGTCGTGCAACATCCGTCGGCGGTGGTGAAGTTGAGTGACTCCGACCCAAATAACGCAATTTTACCAGCCAGAGATACCACTGAATTTTACGACGGCAAGGCCGAGACCTTTGACGAGGATATCAAGTGGGAAGAGCGGTTTGCAATGATCGGTAGGAGACGCGCCTGGGCCATGGGCAAGGTGTGTGGTGATGTATTAGAAGTGGCCTGTGGGACCGGTCGTAACATCCCGTATCTCGACGTATCGAAGGTGGATTCAATCACATTTTTGGATTCTTCAGCCAAGATGGTGGAGATTGCGCACCAGAAGTTTAGAGAGGAGTATCCAAAGAGTAAAAAGTGTGCATTTGTGGTTGGGAGAGCGGAAGAGTTGATGGAGATTTCGGGGAACACCCCGGCCCACCCTATCGTCATTACTGAGATTCTGGCTCAGACCACAGTCCAGTCTACTGCTGATATTCCAGCCCATACTATTACTGAACCTGTCACGGTTACCCCGGTTTCTTCCATCCCGGTAGAACCTTCCACCACTGAAGTTACGACTGCTGGGTCTGTCATTGCTGCTTCGCCAGAGTCGTCGCGCGGGGTTAAGTACGACACGATCCTTGAGACCTTTGGGATCTGCTCGCACGAAAACCCTATCAAGGCGCTACAAAATATGGCAGCGCTTCTTAAGCCAGACGGACGTATCGTCTTGGTCGAGCATGGCCGCGGGACCTGGGACTTTGTCAACCGTCACTTGGACAAGCGTGCCGAACATAGGTTGGACGAGTGGGGCTGCCGCTGGAACTTAGATATCGGCGAGGTTGTTGATGACTCTGGCTTGGAGGTTGTGGAGGAGTCCAGACACGACTTTGGCACCACCTGGTGCTTTGTGTTAAAGCCTAAAGGTGCCCCCAAGAAAGCCCTGGAGAAGAGATTTGGCGAGAAGTACTTGAATCTTACCAAAGTGTAGTACCTGTATATAGTTCTAAAATTGCCGGTTTGTTCATTGATATTGTAAGATTTGTGGAAACGGAAACAGAGAGATTCCAGGTGGTGCACCTTGGACCCCACCAACTTAGATATCATTGTGGACCTATATCTCACGCGGTATATACTGTCTACATCCTGAAGCTTGTGAATGAAAGTGTAAGTATGGTCGTAGATTGATTATTTTTGTATCTTACCATTACATCCAAACTAAACCCGAGATACTGGTCGTTGCGTAAACTGCGTAAAGGACGTTGACGTCTAATTTTAAACCCAAATACTTCTTCATTCCCAGGTTGAATCAATAACCGTCTCACTACCCAAGTAAGTACGTCGATGCCAAACGTTTGAAAGGTAACTCTGGATGACACATTTTGAACCGGTCCTTCGAAACTCCGCGCGCTATCGAGCATTCACTTACAGTCTATTCAGTCAACATGGACCTTAAAAATCCCTTGGCTTTTATCCTACACTTATTTTTTTAACAAGTAAATTAACGAAACTAAACAAATACAGAAAACCAGCCAAAAACCATGATATATCCAAACTATTTTTTTTAAAAATGATCGTCCAACGTGATAATCGGACTGGATGGACTGCGCTCGCGGTAGCCCACCGTGGCAGTGGCGGCACCAGTGTCCAACCTCAACCCCTGAGGCGGGGTAAACAACGTCTGGGTAGCTGAACGAGCTCTAGGTACAAACTCGTCGTCCCCAGCGGTTAGTTTGACGTTCTCAGCACCGGGATAGTTGGCATTAACCAAATACTCCAACTCCTCCAACTCCGCGTTCTGCGGCGTAGCGACTTGGAGCGGTGACTCTGATCTGAGCTTCCTGATGACGGCAGATTCATCAAATTTTGCCGGTAACGGTTCCTGGTACTCGCCAGGTTGTTGTGGCTGGGTGTGTAAGTCGGATTTGGACCGTCTCAACATATTTTCCTGCAAAACTATTTTGAAGTCGTCGCCTGGACCCAAGAGCCTGACCCTGTTTGCCACAAGGAACGCCAACACTTCTTGTGCTGGCTGCTCGCTGTGGAAGATGATGACGATACGTGTGAGAAAAGACAACGCCAGCCAGTGGTCCATTGCAGCGCAATACTTGCTGTCCTCGTGGCCCAAGACCGCAATCTTGAGCTTTTCCGCACCCAGCAAGCGGCCGTGCTCCAGAAGAAAGAACGCTCTTGGTAGGTTAGAAATGATGATGGTGGTCTTAGGGGATGGCATGTGAATAAATATCAGTGTAAAAAGATGAAACGAAGGGACGTAGAGGTCAGTCAGGGATAGATTCCAGGAGGTCTCGTACAGATGTCAAGGGTTTGAGAGTTATTAAATGTTTTGATAAATACCGGGTGTGTATGATGAATATCAAGGATGATGCAAGAATTCGGCTACGGGGTGTTATATATGCGAACTAACGAGCGTTAGCAATATGGAAAGAAGGATACTCGACTTTCACCCCGGGGAACCTGGCCCTGTGGATACTCAGCCTCTGTACTAAGCGTCTGCCATCGAGCTCATTTGGCGGGGAGCTGAGCCACGCACCTACCATTTTCTGAAAACTTTAGCTAGCGTGCGCCACAAAAAGGTTCCCTTTTCCGATTATGCGCCTGGCCATGAAACACGAGGCCCCGGAAAATTTCCTATTACAGAATACATCTTAGCTACAGGTCATAGTTCTTGGCACTTTTGGCCGATGAGTGATTTCCAGTTGCGTGGCTGAACATTGGCAGTGAAATTTATGGCGACCGTGAAGGTTCTGGAGTGAAATTCTGGCTGCGACCTCCATGGGTGTGATTTGTGTAGATTCATGGCTGTGAAATTCGTCGTGGCTGTAACCGCAATCATTTATGAAATGATGGCAGAGCATTCCGTATAGCATGTAAAGAGATTTTGGTTTCGGTTACGTAAGCCTTATACGGTCGGACTGTATGCAGCTCCATGCAGCTCCCCTGCCAAAAATTTGCTTCAGCCTGGGGGGGAGCAGTGAGGCACAATAGATATCAAATTTCATCGTAGATCCCGGTGACTGCCCGCTGCGCTGCCACATTTTTTAGGAGGGATGGCTCAGGGACCATATTTCTAGGCTATGGCTGTGCAGGTAACACGGTATTGTTGTAAGCACCGCTATACGTCTCATTGGTACTGCCCATAATGATAGATATAGCCTTAGGGCGGTGCAGCGGTGGCTGTGTTGCCTCCCAGTTCCTGTTCTTAGAGTCATTGCTTCACGATCTGAAGGAGACTTAGACGTTACGGGAACCGCCTCTTTTTGCTCTTGGGTAGAGTCACACCACCCAGACTGAAAACTTGGCGCTTGGCACTGATAAGGTAGGGTATGTGCATTAAAGTTGGGATTCTAGCCCAAGCCAGTGTAAGGCGGGGAAGATGCATAATCAGACTAAATACTGATCCAACTCCCACATTGATGTTTCTAAGAGTGTTACGTAAGGGTGAAATAAAGTTCATCATTCATTTTTGTCAAGGGAACATGATTTCTCTACTACGTTTTAGTACGTCTTACACGCTATGGAAGTCATTGCCGTTACATAGGAAAGACATAAGAAAAAGTGTCGTCGACGATTTTTGAAATAGCTATTTATGATCATACTATCCCCTTTTCTACCAACTGGTAGCTTTTAACAATAAACCCATGAAAACCCTTTTCAATCACCTTTATTATGGTGTCAGGGTTATCATCCAGGCTCCGCTATATCGTCATCTACAAGGTGAATTTTGGTCTTTCCGGCTCCTATACCGTGGCTACGTTTAAATTTTCATAAATTAGTATTTTTCCACACAAATCGTTTCCATGAACATCTAATCTTCCGTAGACCGCCGAGTGTTCGCTTAGGCCACCTCCGGCTTGGACCGCACTCTTTCCACTGCCTGGAGCAACTTATTATATGTCTCATCCACCACGGCTTTGTAGTTGTCGTTCTCGCATACACACCCCTCCCGGTTCACCTCATCGTCAGAGCTAATGGACTCGGTGTCACCCCTAATTCTGCCATTGCGGCACACTTCGCAAGGAGTTGGGGTGTTCACTGCAACATCTTTTGGGTACAAAGTATCCAAGCGCACGCGATTGTGCTGGATATTATGGATGAGATCCGCGACGGAGTCAATCCCTTTGGCCTTGATGATCGCCTCACGCAACTCAGAACCCGACGGAACGACCCCTAAGGGAATAAAGGTGCTGTCCACTGCAAGTGGCTTTGCCTCGCTTTCGTCGTTTGCCGGCTCTCCCAATTCCATGTCCTTGCTTTGCATAAAGAAGCCGAACTTGTGCAACTCGCCTTCCTCCTCCTCCTGGCGCCGCGCCTGGACTGACTGCAGCGAAATAGAGCGGATCAACACCGGCATTCCAGTAGCGTTGTCAATTGGGATGTCAGAATCGATGACAACCTGGTGTGGCTGGTGCTCTGGTACAAGTATGTTTCCCGAAAGGACTTTTCCTGCCAACGAGTTCGCGGTGGTGGTGATTTCTGCAAAGTAGGATGTCTGGTTCGTCTCCTGGATCATTCTTGGGGACACTATTGGCCCCGACTGAATAACCTCACAGGAATTTTCGTGCAAATGGTCGTGGGGAGGCGGTAAAGCAAATTTCGGAGTACCAATCTTTTCTGTTTCATCTGTTTCCATCTCCCCATCTTCGTCAAACATCGCAGCAATCTTTTCCAAAGACGAATCAAGAAGACAGAAACGGAGTAACGTCTCCTTGCCCTCAAGCGGGAGCAAACCCTGAGTCCGCTTCTGGAATAAATCATCGATACACTTGTGGATCTCACTACGCATGTGTCTGGTCCTCTCAACCAATGCACGGGTAATGATCCGTTGTGTTTCCTCATCATCCCCTGCAGTCTCACTCGGCTTGTATTCCAACAACCGCTCTGCAGATTGGGTGAGCAACGACCCGTCGAAAATCAACTCTTCTTCGGTAAACACCGCATGCAAGTCCGTCGTTTCTCTATTTACGCTCTTCTCCATGTTCTTCATCAAATAAAACGCGATCCGCTTCGACAAATCCTCCGGTACCAAGTCTGTGTCAATATCCATCGTGTAGATCGTATTGGAAAGCTTCACCGCGGTGTAGAGCGACGCGATGTTGTCATAGCTTAAATCCCTATTCCCAATGAAGCTTACATTGATAAGGGTCTTGCAGTATGGGAGGATCTCGCTGATCGCCTTGATCGACAAGTCGCTCAATTTGTTGAGGTCAAAGTGGATGCGGCGGAGGTCTGCGAACAACGGAAGGTTTTTTCTCAACGCCGGAAGAATCCCCGGAAAGAGCCCCGGGAGCGACGAGAGATCCAAGAAACGGAGCGTCTTTACCTTTGCTAATGACTCTAAGAGCTGTGACATCTCGGCAACATCAGTGATGTTAGTAGAGTTGAGAGAAAAGAAGTAGAGTTGAGTGTTCTCACTGAACAGATGGATAAAAGGCTGTAGTTGCCCCCCGGACAAGTCGTTAAAAGCCACATCCAACCCGTGGCAGTCGCCTTCTGGATCATGAATCCATTCGCACAACATCTGCGCCTTAGCAACCGACAACTCCGTCTGGGCAATCCCCAAGCGCTGTGTCGCGATGAGCACACCGTGCCGGATCAACAACTGGAACTGCTCATCGGTCATGCGGCATCCGTTAATCACAAGTTCAGCTAATCCGCCTCTCAAGATCATCGCATTGATGAAGAGGTTCCAGTTCATCGCTGCGCGGTGCTGCGTGCACGGCGTTTCCGCTTTGACCTTCTGTTGCGAGATGTCTAACTTCGTGACGGACTTGTTTCGCGAGAGGAACTTGCAGAGGAACTTCCAGCCCTCGCCATCAATCGCGACGTTGCGTAAAGACAACTTCTCTAAATGCTGTGATCCCACAAGTGACAGGAGAAAGATCCACAACATCTCCGTTGTCATTGTCACATTGTCGAAGATGATCGTGTGGATTGGGGTAATGGAGATGAAGTCAGAGAATGACAACACGTCAATAAGTGTTGGCCGCGGGTTGAGCAATTTCAACACCTGCAACGGCCGGTGCTTATTCTTTAGCTGCTTGAGTGTCGCAGGAATGGGCAAGATCTCACGCAAATGGCAGCACCGGGTGTAGATAACATCGAGCGGGAGCTCCTGGAGAACGTGACCCTCCTCATCGTCATCGTAGACGGTGGAATTCTCTGAGGCAAAATGGTTCTCGTGGTGGTGGATCGGACCGTCGATGCCGAATCCGCTCACGTCGTGGACGATGTCATCCGAGGTGCCGGGCTGCGACTCCAGACGGAGTCGATTAAACGCAGAGGAGCCCTTCATATTGAGCTTCTTCACTTCATCCGCGAGCTTACGCGCCGCCACGTTTGCGTCATGCGCGTGCCGCTCAGCCTCCTGTACTGCTTCGGCCTGCGCCACCTGCGCCATCAACAACTCGCGCTTTCTCTCAGGCGAGAGAACAGCAGACGGGGCTGGGCTGATTTCTGTTTTGCTTTCGCGGCCCACGATCCCTGCATTGAGGCGGGGCGGTGGTTCGAGGAAGTCCAGGGGGATAACGACGTTACCACGCCGTGGATTGCGTGACGGGATCTGCTGTTGTGGATCGCTCGCGAGGCTATTCAAGTCGAACGTGACGCGACGGAGCTTGATGTCTTTGATTTCGTCAAGGGGAAGTGGCGGGAGTTTGTTCGGGTTTTTGTTGAGTACCACGCGGGTAGTGGTAGGAGTAGAGGCCACAGGCAAGAGAGGCACGGTGACAGGTGAGGCCACAGAGTTGCGTCTGGGCGCAGCTCCGCTGGAACTAGGGCGACGCTCCACCTTTTTCACCGGCGCAATATAACCGCCCACATCAAAGAACTGGTTGAAGGACTTGGCGATCTCCTTCTGTGAAACAGCCTGCTGCGCTGGCGATGCGTTGGTCGGCGACTTGCCCATCTTTCGCCACAAAAGGCCCCCGGGTGAGGCCGTAGTTGCGGACGCTGGCGCAGCCGTCATTGGAATCGGTATGGGAGCTGGATCTTCCACCGGCTGCGATTTGAACTTGGACGTGAGGCCACTGAGAAATGAGCGTTTTCCGGATGATGACGAGCGACTGAGCGCAGATGCAACGGGCGGTGAAGGCGCTTGAATACTGACAGACAGCCGTCTGGATGTCTGTGTGTCGCTTTTGGCGGAACTTATACTTACAGACTGTGTGATAGGAACAGACTGTGGTGGTATTGAGGCACGAGCTTCCAAAGCTGGGGCGAGAGTAGGTGCCGTTGGAGCAGGAGTCACTGGACCTGAGGAAAAGGCCGAGGCTAAAGCCGGAGTAGGAACGACCGCTGCCACTGGAGCCACCTGGTTCTCAAGCTGGGTAGTCAAGGCTGACTTGCGCGGGAGTGACAGATCCTTGGGCAAGATCGGGGTCGTTGGCGGATGAGCCAAAACCTCGGCGGGGATCTTCGAAACGTCGACTCCTGACGGCTTGCGCTTGGTGAGGTCCTTGGCGTCGTCGTCCTTGGGCTTTTTTTGTAACTTCTTAGATTTAACTCGGACGAGCCAATCAACATCACCGTTGGAGACCCCGGAGAGCTCCGCAATGGTGGAGGTCGCGGGCAGGGCAGTAGGGGCTGTGTGGGGTGTTCGAGGGGTTGCCGGAGGGGTTGCCGGAGGGTTCGTCGCTGTCGCAGGGGTTGCCTGAATCGAAGCCGCTGGGTCTGACATGTGGCTACACTTGTATGATTGAGGTATATATAGTACCGTGGGTAACGTGAAGGTTTGTCACTGGACAAGTTAAAGGTGGGACCAGGTATCTGAGACGGGTATCGTCAGGTAGGAGTAACTTTGCTATTGTTATAGACAAATAACGATGTTTACCGTAATAAATAATATGTGGCTTGGTGGTTATGAGTGTCGAGGGGCAATATCGATCTCTGGAATGACTTTATACAACAAAGATTTGTCCCTTTTGTGCTGGCGCGGTTGACGGAGAGCTTGAACGTCTTCGGCTATTTCTTTTTGGGCCCCCTTTTTTCTTGGCGTTTTGACAAAACAGATGAACAGAAGAGAGATAGTCTCAAATCAAAGGATGAGGAAGTGGGTGGAATATGTAAGCACGTAGTAAAAGCACCTGCAAAAGTGTCAATTCTTTTGCGGAGACCCAAGAGACGCTGAGTAGGCTGAGCTCGGCTGCCTGTGATTTTGGGCGCCGATGACGTCGCAGCGCTAATTAGTTCGGCGTGCGGTAAGCGCAAGAATCAATGCAGCGGCAGAATGAACTACGGGCCGGTGGAGAATCACTACTAAAGGGCAAATTTAGATAATCATATATTAGACAGATGGGCAAGTAATTCATTGGTACATACAAAAATACCGTTTTTTTTTTTTAATACCGTTCAAGATATTGGAGTCCGTATTTGTTTCAGGTGGAAAGGGACATTTCCCTTTGTAGGATGAATACCTCCTCCACCGGCTGTGTGCATGCCCCTACCGATGCATCTGGGAGCATCACTGACCTGCCGGTTTCATGACATAAGTTTAACGGCATACAAGCTCATGGGTTTCTGATGTGGCGTATTCGGCATCAAAGAATTAATCCTTTAAACGACGAGTGGATAGTGGTTGTACTTCTACCAGCTGGTAAAGCTAATGACCATGCAAAGTACGGTACCAAATCTGCTTATCCTGCATCTTCTATGAGTATGGGGCAACTCATGGTGTGTAACTAGTTCTCCATTTCTCCGTCTTTGGAAATTTATATCAATGTTTTACAAATCAGATAGAAAACTCAGGCTTCGGTGAATTCATCAAATAAACGAGCATAAACAACCATTTTGGTTCTCCCATGTGGGCGCTGCATATACTACTGTAGACAGCTAGGGTTTCCACTGGGAATTCCTTTTATTCCGAGCTGAGCCTGTTTGATGGGCCTAGCCAACCGACGAGACATTTAGGTTGGGTATGACTAGAAGTGGCTTGCGGAATAGCCAATTGCCGAAGTACCGATACTCGTGTACTGTAAGCACCATAACGGAGGTTATTTGCCTTACAAATCACGGACCTGCCCAGACTTGGGTGATCCCTTGGCAGCAATTGGCTAGCATAAAGCATTCTCGAGGAATCTATTTACCAATTTAGTATTACAGCACTTTAGTTATACAATTAGATAACCCTTTATTGAACTCCCCGTGATGGTATACCGCTGACAGACGCCCTATGACGATACCCTCACAACTACACCCCATAGTCGATATCTCCGATTGGTAATCACGCCTTCAACCCAGTAGAGTTATACCGAATCAGGCTTACCTCCGAAACGGAGACCGGGTAACTTCCACACCCCAGATCAGAAAGTCAAGCGGTCGTCGCACGACTGTTTAATTAGCAAGAAATATGACTCGAAAAAATGATAGAAATATCAGCGGCCTAAGCGCCCCCATACTTTCGTATCTTTTGTCACAACCAATCTTTACATACTATGTTTCCCAGAACTCTCCGCACAATTCCAACTGGCCTTGCCAGATCCATGGCCCCAAGAGTCACCTTGGCACCCATCTCCTTCACCAGACCCTATCACGAAAAGGTCATCGACCACTACACAAACCCGCGTAATGTGGGCTCTCTTGACAAAAACTTACCAAACGTCGGTACCGGTCTTGTTGGTGCCCCAGCCTGTGGTGATGTGATGAGATTGCAGATCCAGGTCAACGATGCCACCGGCATCATCGAGGATGTTAAGTTCAAGACTTTCGGCTGTGGTTCCGCCATCGCCTCCTCCTCGTATGTCACTGAGTTAGTCAGAGGCAAGACCCTCGAGGAGGCTTCCAAGATCAATAACGGGATTATCGCCAAGGAATTATCTTTGCCGCCAGTCAAGTTGCACTGCTCTATGTTGGCCGAGGACGCTATCAAGAGCGCCATCAAGGACTATACCTCCAAGAGAGGTAAGAGAGGCCCAACCTTGGGTCCAGACGCTGTTGCTTTATAGCCACCATACGATCATTTGTGATATGGGGTCACAACCGCACATCGCTTCACTTCGGGGTCGGTTCCCGTAATTTCTCACAGGGGTCTTCCCTGTTTACCTGTACATTCCCACCTGGTTTTTTCTCTCTCTCTCAATATTAGGTATTTATTTGAATGGTGTAGGTGATGATCTGGTCTCTGTGGTGGCCATTTAGCTCTGGGGTATCTCCTGGATACGTACCACTATCTTGAACGAAGGATTTTTATTTATTTTGGAATAAGGACTATCTGGATGGTGACCCGTTCAGGATTCATTGTGTCATGATATAGAGCTGCGTGGTTAAACTTCGGTGTGATCTATTTGGGTTATCAAATATGATGTATCGGCGGTATAACCGAGGAAAGTATCAGGGGAGGTGTGAATGAGGGTAAAGTGTACGCTCATATGATGATTAGGGGAGACAATATTCCTTCATTTCTAATGCCCTTTCAAGGTGTACTTCCTTTAACCTTCGGAAAATTTGTCGGGACTCGGATGACGGATTGAAGATGTTCAAATACGAGCGGGGTTTTGGTCTGAGCTAAAGGAAAGAATGTAAACCGTAAGGACCTTATCTCGGGGAAGGTATAATATATATATACGGGATCCTGCGTCAAAACAACAGCCCATGCTGCTAATTCCTATCCTCGTTTCTCAATCGGGTGGTGTCTCCCCCAGAGAACCCGTCATAGAAATCCTCGTGTGGAACTCGGTAGAAAGTCGTACGATCAGGCATGCATAACCCTGCAGCCCAAGGTTCTAGAGGTCGCAGTTACAGCCCTATACTATATGGCCGAACAATAGGGACTAAGTGGAATTAAGCTAAGACTGAGAGATGTTAGCTTCGGATATTAGGAATGGGATAAAGACAAATAGGAGGGATAATTTGGAAATTTGAACCATCAGTAAATTTAAGGACCTGCTGCAACTTTCAGGTTAGCGTGTACGAATCTGGTTCCAATCACTGGGGATGTGAAATGTCGTGCTTATGTACTCCGTGAATGTAGAGAATAAGATACAACGGCTGTTCCAACCAACCTTATGAATTTATCGACAGTAGCACTATTTATTGATAGTAGCACTATTCTGCAATTTTTCTTAAATGGCAATTGAACTAGTCAGTTCCTTCGGTTATTACCCCAAATTCTCTGAGCCTAACAATAAGCCAATCCATTTCTTGGCCATGGCCATAGACAGACACAACAAATCTCCTACTACAATCCCATGTGATTTATATACCACCTCCAAAACAAAACTCGGTAGCCTCCCCATAGCCATTAATAAAGCATTACTTAATTAATATCTTCATGTATTTACATTACCGTCACTGGTATATTGGTGTCTCTGATGCCGCCCCGTGATCTCGAGTACATCTACTTATCGCCAACCGGCCCCAAAAACGCCCTTTCTGGCGGGCTCAACCCCACCAGTCAACGAGTTAATCTTGGTCCTCTGTAAGGCAATCACGCTCTCGATTTTCTGCAATGCCTCCTCCAACAATTCCTTGCGTTGCTGTAATTCTACGTGGCGCTTAATCTTCGGGTCCTCTTTAGCAAACACCTCGATCTGCTCAGGAGTCATGTTCGTGAAGAAGCGGTAGTCCAACTCGCGGGGAAAGTTGTAGTAGAAGTCAGACAACAACTCCACGTTCAAGAACAAAATCGCCGTTGAGCTCAACTTCTGCGACACTGCATCCAAGAAGATTTCTGGGCACTTGTACTTGTTCTCCTTGAACTTACACGTGGATGACTTGAGCGCATAGTGACGCATCTTGAGTAGGTTGGCACGATCGCGCAAGAAGATGGCTTCACGACCCTTTGCTAACAACGTGGGCGAAAACCCGAGTGCCTCAGTACTATCCGGAGCTTCCTTCTGCTCCAAGTAGGTGATCACCTGCGTGAGCTTGCGGCCGCCAATAACCTTCTTCATGTGGGCAGACGCCTCCAGACACTGCCGCATTTCTTCCTTCAAAAGTACCAACGCGTGGTCGCGAGACGAGCTCCACTCGCGGTCTTCGAGCTCGATCTCGTACTTGTACGGTTTGATGCAGTTCTCGACTTGGTCCGCTGTCAGGTAAAAACGCGCACCAAGCACCGCTGTGGCGGCCTCACGCACCTGTTTCTGCGCCAGCGGATGGTTGCGTAAGTCGGTGTTGTTGACTAAGTTGTCGATTTCCGTTAAGAGCGCGTTGCTGATGAGGGTGGTGGAGAGTCTGCCGACGCCAGAGGTGGTCAAGCTAGACGTCGCGAGGTCCAACTTGCGGTGCCAGTAGCCTTCATCCTGCGCACGCGGCAAATCGCTCAAGTCTGGCTCTACAGAGAGCTCATGCTTCACCTCAAACGGTTTGTTCCAGTAGCGCTCTGCGAGTAAGTTCAACACCTTCTGATCCAACTGGTTCTTCAACAACGAACGAAGCTCGTTACGCCCGAAACTCTGACTGAACTCCTTCACCGACAGCTTCAACGCGTCTATGTTGTTGGCAAGGTATGTTCCGGGAGTTAACTGTCTGTCGTTGAACTCCACCTTGAATGTGTAGGCTGCCTCCTCCAACTCCTGTTGGATAGCGTAGTGGGTCGGCCGCAACGACATGGCCATCAGTTTCTCCAACACCTTCATCAATTTGCGCTTCAAGCTGCGTACTCCGACGGTAGTCAGGTGTGTGCCTTGATATACCTCTTTGTGTGCTTTAAAATACTGTGCTTCGCTGTTGATCTGCGAGTCCAACGAGGCCACGCCACGGCGGAAGAGCGACGTGCTCGTAGGCGGTTTCGTTACTACTCCGACGTAGCCCATCTTCAACGGGTACTTCTTGTTAAGCAACATATCCCTACCCTGCTCCGGATCAATCAAGTCGAGCTTAGTGATGACCCCAATGGTGCGCTCACCGCGTGGGTCTGCATCTTTAGATGCCTTGAGCGCAGAAGAATTTGCCAAATCCACGTCCGCAGCACTGATTGCCAAAATAATATTTGGAGCCTGGAGGTACTTGTCACATACCTCGCGAATTTTCTGTTTGAGCGCGGTTGGTTGGTCTGCGGCCTCCACCTGGATATACCCCGGGAGATCCACAAGGGTGAGATCCGGTACGTGCGGTGAGCGGATTGTGAGTTGGATGGGGTCATTCAGAATGGCTTCCGACACCGGCACCGCCATGTTCATGTCAAACAAAAGTTTCCGCACCTGGTCAAAATCTGTGATGTTGTTCATACGGAGCGCCGGAAAGTCCGCCACTTCCGCCGCCGAATCAGGAGTATTGATGAGAGTAAGCTCAATTGGGCGTCGCGTGACCATATTGGATCCCTTTGGGAGGAAGTGCTTCCCCACAATTGACTCCAACACCGACGACTTCCCGCTAGACTGCGATCCCACTACCACAATGGATGGAAGCTTGAGCGTGTCTGACTGGTCCACCGTCTGCAAGATCTGTCTGATTTCGATCATCAGCCGTGTGAGCGTGAGCATCTCGCTGTCCGTCTCGTCATCATCCTCTTCCTCCTCTTCTTCTTCTTCTGCCGTAAGGCCCACAGCAGCAGCAACGCCCACGACAGCACCCGCGTCATCTGACGGGGTCTCTGAGGATTCAGCATCACTGCTTGTCCTGAAGCCTCGGAAGAAGTCGCTTGTGGAGTCAATCACACCGTCCAAGAGGTCCCGCGCAGACGCGAGTTTGTCTTGGGTGTACGTGGAGGCCTGCTCGACTTTGTAAGCAACATAAGTCCCGCCAGCAGCTAGTGACCCGCCGACTGCGGCCGGAATCTTGGTGACACGGAAAAGGAACTTCGGGAGCGATGTGAAGGAGAAGAAACGCTGGGTGACGACACCCTGATAGCGGTAATGGACCGCCCGCACCGAGTGGGATGTATGGAAGCGCGGTTTCGGCCGGACCGCGTGTTTAAGCATCATAACACGTGTTAGCAGCATTGCGAATGAAACAATATTGCGAATGGGTTGCGGAGAAAAGGAGGCGTAAATATAGCGTTAAGAAGTGGTCTTGTCCTGCTTTATGACCGGGATGCGCACGTCCTTTGCCACTGTCACGTGACAAGATGATAGACCCAAGTGGAGTATTATACCGGAGGCTGATGGTAGGGTTGTAAGTTTTGCGAGCGATTAGTTAATATTCCGATGGGCGAGACCATGAACATGCGGTTATAATGGTTGGTTTTGTAATTTTCGCTGAGGGATTCAAGGATTAGGGCAGACCTAAGGCTCCCAAAGCCAAGGAGCTTTAATATTTTACATCGATACTATTAGCGCTGAAAACTCTCGGTGTATGTGCTGCTCGAGTATTTTCTTATTTGGATAGTTTCACTTCTACGTTCTCTTAGTATCATGTTTAATATCTAATTCGCACTATGCCTATAAACTCTTTGTTGTCCAAGATATATAATTGAAATGTTCCAAGGGATGGTGGTATAGGGCCGAAGTCTAAGTAATTGTGATGTCAGTCTCTGGATCACAATTAGTGTTAATCATGATCTCTATGTGGAAAAGTTTGAGAATTTATGTAACCAAAATATTAGAGCTTCCCTGATATTTCTCTTCGATATGTACCTGGCCCTGGGGGTCTCTCTTGTATTATCTGGACCTGCGACTTTGGGGTTTCTCCTAGAATCCTCCCAGACCCATTTCAATGTTTCTATACAGCCTCACCAAGAATAGCAGCTCACCGATCCAGGCTGCCCTAAGTCTCATCAACGCTTTGGATAAAAGGAAGTTATGAAGCAGCACAAAAAACAACCGTATCAACGCCTGAAGCTCATCAATTCACGATACATCTCTTCTCCGTCAGACTATCATAGCTAATTCTGTTAGAAGGGTCTTTACCCATCATTGACCTGACCAATTATCGCTATCACTGCCATACTCGCCTACGGCCATCTCTACACCTTTATAATGAAAGGCTATGTTATAATGTACAAACAGACCGAGATCGTATATATGTATGCGCGCCAATCCTCAGTCTTTGCGGGTCCATCAGCATCGCTAGCTCGTCTCTGCCGCTTTGCTCCAGCGGCTAGCTCGCTTAGTTAATCTGCTTCTTCTCCAACGGGTTGTAACGCAAGAACTTCTCAATAAGATCGACGTGGGTCAACACCATCCTTCTGCAACAGTAGCGTTTCAACTTCAACTTGTCAAGGGCATCACCTTCGGTCAAGTTCTCGTCTTGCAAGTAGGACAAGTAGGTTTCCCACTTGTCACCGACCACTTTACCGCAAGAGAAACAACGAACTGGGATAATCATTGTGTGTTTTGATTCTGTCTTTGGCGGCTAACTCCCGGCCCATTTTGCTTTATACAATTTGCTTTTCTAGGTGAAAAAATTAGGCATCACGCCGGGTAACGGACCTGCACATACGCGCAAAAAAAATATTTCGTATGTGAAAAAATACTACATCAGAACGGCCTGATTTGCTACTTTATCCCCACTAAGAACTACCATCAACATGCCTGAGAACGACTGGAAGGTATCCTTGCATACGGGTGGTAGACCTTTACCCCATGCTGCGGTGTTTTCGCCGGACAGCCACCACTATCTCGTGCTTTTCTCGCACCAGCTTCGCGTCTACTACATCTCCACCCGCCAGTGCATACGCTCACTCGCCATTGACTGCGCCGATGTGGTTGACTTTAGAATTAGCCCTGCAAACACGGGTCACTGTTTGCTTTTCCATGCCTCTGGTACCATTTCCATCGTCAATTGGAAAGACAAGAATGCTCCACAGGCCATTATCGCCACGACCACCACCGATTTACCTGTTTTAAGCGTTGTTTCTCTCACCGCTGAAGCTGTGGTTTTAATCACCGGAAAGAACGGCAAGCACACGCCTCACACTCGCACCTTGGTTCTCTTAGACTTGGAAACCCAACAGCATGCCGAGCTTGTAGCTATCAAAAACGTCTTGCGCTTTGCGGTCTCGGCTGACGCCTCCAGAATCGCCTTTGTCACTAGTACAAATGAAGTCATTACTGTGGATTCTACCGGAATGATCCTTGAAACTTCAGCGTTTGCGTTCCGCTCGCCGGTTTCCGCTCTTGCAGTGTCGAACGCCGGCCTTGTGGCGCTCGGGACGGCCAGCGGTGCGATCCAGGTGCTCCACACGACCCAGCGCTTGTTGAAGTGGCATATTGACCGCGTCGCGGCGTTGCGCTTCTCTGCTGACGGCAACTACTTGCTATCCGGTGGTGCGGAGCGTGTGCTTGTATTCTGGCAGTTGGAGACCGACAAGACGCAATTCCTCCCACGGTTGAACGGGAGCATCGAGGACATCCAGGTTACCAACGAGTACTACTCGCTTATGTTGAATGTGGGTGAATCGCACCCCGAGCTCGAATACCTCGTACTCTCGGTCGTGGATCTTGCGTCGCGGTTATCCGTTTCCGGGATCAGGCCAAATTTTGCCAGTCCCCCGGCATCTTTGGAAAAACTCAAGAAACGATTGGGCAAGCAGTCCGCGCCGTTGCTCGACGTTTCCAAGATCAAATACGATTTCACCGCTGCCTTTGAGATCCATCCAGTTTCCAAATTAGCGTACTTCCCATCTGGTCCCCAGATCCAGGTCTATGACATGTTGAAGAGCGAACAAAGCTTTGTCCAGACGGCTGCAAACACCTCCCAGGCCGGTAAAGTCAGATCTGAGAACAAGTTGCTTGATCCTCAGGTGGAGCTCCTCGCGTTCACCCAGTGTGGCACCTGGATGTGCACATTCGACCGCCTCCCAACACCCGAAATTGACAGCCTTATGTCCCGTGACGATGTACAGTATTCCCTCAAGTTCTGGAAGTATGTTGATGTCAAGCATGGCCACTGGGAGCTCTGCACCAAGGTAGTGGCACCACACGGTGCTGCCCCCGTTGCGGCGTTAATTCCCGCTCCCGCACTGTACCACGGCGGGGTGGCCTTCCTCACTGCTGACAACAAAGGTGGGGTCAGGTTGTGGAGACCACGCGTTCCTAAGGAGATTTATCAAAAGGCGGCCGTTGTTACTGCTGGTGAAAAGCTCCAGCAAACCGCGTGGACATTGCGCAAGACGAAGCCGAGCGGTGTTCTTGTCTCTACTGCTGTTGCCTTGGCCTGGTCCGAAGACGCTTCTTTGATTGTGTTAGCGCACGAGGCAGCGATGCTTCCAATCGACGTCACAACGTTCCGGGACCTCCCGCAGTTGCCGTCCCTCACGGGTTCACGCATCCGCGGCTTGGAGATCGTGGACCACCACTTGGTTGCCTTGTCCAAAACAAGACTCGTTGCCTATGACTTGCTCTCTGCGCAGCAATCTCCGTTAGTGTGCAAGATCTCTACCCCAACTGGCGGCCGCAACTTGCTTGCAGTGGACGCCAAGCACCGTTTGGTGGCGGTGGCAGTGAACTACCACACCAAGAGCTTTGACGTGAAGTCGAAGGTCTACGTTTTCAGGCCGGACTCTTTACAGCCGGTCCATGTTGCTGAGCACGACCAGGCAATTGCGTCGATTAGATATGTGGCGCGGTCGAACGCATTTGTTTTCGTGGATGTCGATGCACGCATGGGTTCTCTTAGCTCCGCGTCGGCGACGTTGTTTTCCGCGCTGGAGATGGCCTCCGCGTCCGCCGCGCAAGACTTTGCCACGGAGATTTCCGTTTTGCTCCAGTCTGCGCAAGCTACTGCCAACATCGTTAACGGTGTCGCGCGCATGGATATCGATGAGGACATGGCCGTCACGCGCGTCATCAACGCCAACAGTTTTGATGCCGCTTTTGAGAACCTCGACGGGGTGTCTATGGAAAACTTGTTTGACAGGATCATTAAGGCGATCAATTAAAGGAAGGAGAGAGCATGGGCCTGTATCATATATCATATCATACCCAGATCTGGGTGCAACATTGTACATTAATAGAAACCGAAATAAAGGTGTAAATTGATTTATTAAAAGGGAGTGTACTGGGGATCGAGTGGGGTGGCTTACCATGTATACCAGCATCTTTTTTTATATAATTAGGTACGGCTATGGCCATCTATGATTGAGGTTGTTTTGATGATGACACTCCCATGACCGATATTATCATATACCTATGATTATACAGCACTGATACTTTTTTTTTCTGTTCATAAATCTGCCTTAAGTTGAAATACTCGATGCGGAGGGTATATAATACAATATTCAGGTGATGCTTTTCTTTCCGTATTGTAGTAGATGGTCCGGTCAGTATTGATAATATCAAGTACTGGGGGGACACTAATTCTTTTACATTTAATAGCCCCTCACCTGTAAGTAGCTAGTTTCCATCAGGAAAGGAAACCCCCAATCCCACTTTTTGACAGTCGGGCCATCAGGATAAGCAGTCGCACAAGGGCGCGAGCCATGGTCAGCCCGTCATATCTAAAGCCAATTACTAATCATTTTCAAGCCAAAACTAGAAAGTCTCAAGACCCAAGCTCGACCCTTTTTATGACCTAACCAATTTTCCACCTACACTTTCCCGTCCCTCAATGCGTATTAAAAAGGGCCGTTTACACGGTGCATAGTAAAATTTCCAGCAACTGGCATAGCTATATCTCTCTGAAAATCAGCATACTTTTATATCTTTCGACCTTACATTACATAATATTGTAGCATACACTAAAATAACTACAAATTTAAGTAATGTTGCCTTTGCCAGTTCCGCTTCTCCATTATCTCATGCGTCTCTTTTCTTCCGCCGCGCAAGATGCGGCGTAATAATTTGCTCACTTCCCGCCTGAGTGAAAAAAGTCGTACTATCCGGCGTATACTTCAGAGCGCTACAACTTTCTGTTTGTAACACACATCCCCGCCCTCACCGCAATGTTTGGTTTAAGAGCGGCACCCAGAGCTTTTAGAGCTTTCAAACCGATCCTGTTAACTCCGCTCAGATCTTTCCGCCTCTCCCACCATGCCCTCGGTGAGCTGACCGCGGCCCCAAAGAAGCGCCTCACCGGTTTCCAAGAGCACCAGCTTAAACACAACTTATCCAACGATGAAATGGCGACATTGTACCGTGAATATAGAGAAGAAAAGACCCGTAAGAGAAACTTGACCATTGGGTTGTACTTTTCCTCCATCGCCGTCGTCACTTTGGCCTTGGGCTACGCGTCAGTACCGTTGTACCGTTTGATCTGCCAGCGTACCGGCTGGGGTGGCACACCGATCACTGACCAGACCAAGTTCACCCCAGATAAGTTTGTGCCAGTGGATCTCGACCACAAGATTAGAATCTCCTTCACCACTCAAACCTCCGGAATCTTGCCGTGGAAGTTCACACCGCAGCAACGCGAGGTGTACTTGACCCCGGGCGAGACCGCGTTGGCATTCTATAAGGCGAAGAATTACTCTGATAAGGATATCATCGGGATGGCAACCTACTCGGTAACACCTGACCATGTAGCACCGTACTTTAACAAGATCCAGTGCTTCTGTTTCGAGGAACAGCGGTTGCTGGCCGGTGAAGAGGTCGACATGCCAGTATTCTTCTTCATCGACCCTGAGTTTGCCAGTGATCCGGCGATGAGAAATATTGACGACGTTGTGTTGCACTACACCTTCTTCAAGGCTAGATATGACGATGATGGTGAACTTACTCCGGAAGTTTCTGCGTAGGCAACGGCTAATTACTGTATATAGTGTCATGTAATCTTAGATGAAAAGCGTGAAAAAGTTGTAGATACAAACGGTGGTCTGATGAAATAAGAAAACCATGCCGGCCCGTTCTTGTTACACCGCCTTGGTCAAAGGTTAAGAGAGGAGTACTATGACATGGATATGTGTGCTTAAATACAAGTTCATGTTATTGTAGGTCCGTAACCATTTTTTTTTTCCGGCAGAGAAACTGTGTCCCCCTTCAAACCAATTTATTGGGTCTATTGATTGTCATTATATAACAATTTCTGTCTTACTATTTGTATACATCATAAAAAATCCCGCTCTCAGTAGAGCCCGTATGTCGTATATTCGAGATAATATTCAATCCTCCATTTGGACGTGCGCACACCGGCACCTTCCCCCCGGAAATGCGCCGTCTCCGCACGTTACAAATTTCTCAACCTGAACCCATGTTGATGTTTTGTATTGAAGAGCTCTCGACTCCCTCTATCCGCAAATGATGTCGCAGCTCCCACCGATTCAGTTGGAAACACCCAACGGGACTAATGTCACTGAGACGAGAAAAAAAAACACGACTCAAAATAATGAGGAAGCACCTGCAACAACCACACCTGCCGTGGCGTCAGCTGCCTCATCTACTACAGAGACCCCTGAGGGTGAAATGCCAGCCAAAAAGCCGTCGAAGCGGAAGAAGAAAGTCGAGATCGCCTGTGTGTACTGCCGCCGCTCGCACATGATCTGCGACGACTCTAGGCCGTGTAAACGCTGCATCAAGCGGAACATCGGCCACTTGTGCCACGACGAGCCTGTCAATTCAAGACAGCGTAAGAAGGCTGGGGTAGATGACCCCGAAGCCGAAGCCGGTAGTAACGGCAATGGCCCCCGCTCGTTTCTTGAGCAACCGCAGCAGATCCAGCCCCAGCCGTTCGTCCAGTTTGATGTCAAAAACGGAACCCCGCCCCAGGAGATAGGTCCGGGTCCTGAGTTCCTCCCGAGCGCAAACCTTCAAAACCCACACCTCCAGCAGGTGCAAGTGCAGTCCCAGCACACGTTGCCGAACTCGGCGAGCCAAATCTCGCTCTCCAATCTCGGGGCGTCCAGCTCCGTGCTAGCACAGACCTACAACCCGTTCTTCTTCTCTGAACACGCAGGCAACGAGTTCTCCTCTTTGAATGCGTTCTTAGACATGATCGACGACTCTGAGTTAAACTTCATTCCCGGCGTGAACGAGATTGCATTTGGGGATACCATGAGTCCCGAGCTTCCGATGCCAGCACAGCCCCCGCCTCAAATCCAGCAGATCCAACACGCAGTGCCCCAGCAGCCCCATCAGTTGCGCCAGAGTTTCAACGGTAACAATAATGACTCACTACAGAATGTATTTCAGACCGCAGGGCCGCTTCCCAACAGCCCGCTGTTCAATCTGCAGCCGGAAAACCAGCCGATGGTATCTGACTCAGCCAAAGCAAAGTTCTTTTTGACGGCTGCGGACCCCACGACTGAGATTTCGCCCGAAGAGCGGTTGAAACAGGTCATTCACGCCAAGTTGGAGGCTGGGTTGTTGCAGCCATACAACTATGCCAAGGGTTATGCCCGTCTCCAGGCCTATATGGACAACTACATGAACCAATCATCAAGACAGCGTATCTTAAAGCCGTTACTGGTGTTCCGGCCGGCGTTCCGCGCGATTGCACGAACGTTGAAGGACGTGGACTTGGTGCTCGTGGAGGAAGTGTTTGAGCGCATGTTGTTAGACTACGACAGAGTGTTCACGTCTATGGCGATTCCGGCGTGTTTGTGGCGCCGTACAGGGGAGATATACCGAGGGAACAAGGAGTTTGCCTCGTTGGTAGAGGTTAGTGTGGACGAGCTAAAGGACGGGAAGTTGGCCATTTATGAATTGATGAGCGAGGAGAGTGCCGTCAACTTCTGGGAGAAGTACGGGGCTATTGCGTTCGATAAGGGTCAAAAGGCCGTGTTGACAAGCTGCAACTTGCGCACCAGAGACGGCCGAAAGAGACGTGCATGTTGTTTCTCGTTCACCATCAGAAGAGACCGGTACAACATCCCTAGTTGTATAGTCGGAAACTTTATTCCAATTGATGAATAGAGGTAATGGGTGTTAGACCCATGTTTTACAACTACGCGTGTTTATACTGTTATTGATTAAAGAATACAGCTGTTGCAGGCTATTTGTTGGATTTTATTGCTAGTAACATGCCCTCTAGGGCTAGTTCCTGTCCGCATCTGCAGGTCTTGCACGGCCGAGTTTTCGTTTCAAGGTGTATATGAACTATAGATCTCGTTTTTGTTCAGAGTTTTATCTCTAACTCTCATTTATGGGAATTTCTCATTTATGGGAATTTTTGTAGATTCAGATCATCGCTTATTTCAATTTGAGCCGAACCCATAGTTCCTTTTTTTCATCACAACAGAAGATATGAAAAACCCATTTTCCAGTGTGTATCACTCTTTCTCGTCTTTATGATAGCGGTATCACCTTCAGCCCGATACAATCGTACAGCTCACTGTAAAAACGCAAATTGGGTAAAAAGTTGCTAAACAATTCGTTGCATTCTCCGTTCTTAGTCTAACCCTGAGTCAAGTTCATACAGTAACTTATATCTATTCTCCGTACTATAGTCACAACAGTTTTACATACGAATCTTATTCTTATCCATTTCCCCCGGTTCACACAAACTTACTAAAACGTCTCAAACTTACCTCCAAAAGCCTGGGTCAACCAGTGGGTCAAACGCTCCCAAACCATTTTCTGGCCGTTGTGGAAGTAGATACTGTGGTTAGAGTCTGGGAACACATGCATGTCGTAGTTGTCCAAACCAGCAGTGTCAAACTTGTCCAAAAGCACCATCGTGTTCTGCAAATGAACATTGTCATCTGCGGTCCCGTGCATCACAAGGAAGCGTGTGACGTTCGCGAAGCCCGTCATATTTTTCACTACCGACACGTCCAGGTAGCCCACCTGGTTATCGATGGGCAAATGCATGTAACGCTCGGTGTAAATGGAGTCATAGAACCTCCAATCGGTGACCGGAGCCACCGCCATGCCATACTTGAACGTCCTGCCCCCGTCATACTCAAGCACCTTCAAAGTGGTGAAGCCACCGTATGACCAGCCCCAACAGGCCGTCTTGGAGACATCGATGAACCCCTTTGCGATCCACTTTTGGGCTACAGTGGTAATGTCCCGGGGCTCGTAGTGGCCAATACGGTCGTACGCAAAACGGCGGAATTCGTAGCCCTTCGCCCCGGTCCCCCGTGGCTCGATATACAACACCACAGCATCCATGGAGGACGAAACGGCTTCGTTGAACCCGTATTCAAATTTCTTGAACAAATTCTTGGATCCAGGACCGGCATAGTAGGATGCAAGCAACGGATACTTCTTTGAGGCGTCAAAGTTAGGCGGAAGGATCTCCATCACACTGAGTGTGACAGGACTTCCGTCCGACATCGTCTCATCTAGTTCTACCTCGTAGTAGTTCTTCGTTGGGAGAGCAAACTCTTTCATACGAGGGAGGAGGTCAGTACGAGATGGCAAGGCTTTAGCCTCCTTTAGTGACGCATGGAGCAAGGTATCCATTACATACTCATGCGGAACATCCGGTCCCTCGTTCTTAGCGTGGAGAAAGCGGCCACCATGACTGGCGGAAGCAGAGTAGTGACCCTCGTCTGGGGTTACGTACACCACCGACTGCGACGCATCCCCTGTGACATTCACACTGGCAATCTTCAACTCCATGACCCCATTCTTCGGGCTCTTGAAATAGACGAGCTGCGTGGTGGAGTCGTAGGCGAACGCGTTTTCCGGTACCTCCCACTTTCCGCTAGTCAACATCACCGGCTGCGTGGCGGTCGCATTGGGAAAGTAGGCCAAGTGCGGAAAGTCGTCCACAATAACTAAGTCCACGTAACCAGTGACATTGTGGCGTGGCACCAACAACACTGGCTCGGCCTTTTCGGTCCAGGTGCGCTTTTCTACACCATCAAAGGTACGAGTGGTTGTTGTTTGATGCGTAGCGGCGTCGTACACCCGCACCATCATCGTGCTACTGGTGCGATCGGTCTGTTTGAGCATCAAGTGCTGGGCGTCAATCCATTGAACGCTGTAAACCACAAAATCTTCACCAAGATCCGGAGCCGATACGGCCGAGCTCTTCCCAGAGGCAAGGTCGTAGTTGAGGACACTCACAATCGGGTTGGAATATCCAGGTTTCGGGTACTTCAACGGTAAGTGTTCGGGGTACTGACCGGCCCGGATGTAGTAATCCAAGTCGTAGATTGGGACATTGGTGTCGTTTGTCTTCAAGAATGTGAGTGTGGTATCGTCCGGAGACCACCAAAGCGCAGATTCCTGGGCAAGGACTTCTTCTTCGTATACCCAGTCCGGTTTCCCGTTGATGATATTGAGCGTGCCGTCACTGGTCACAGGCGTGACCTCACCCGTTGTGGCATCCATAATGTAAATGTTGTTGTCTTGCACAAACGAGATGTATTTTCCCAGTGAGGACCACTTGGCGAAACTGATCTCTCTTGGATCACCCTCCTTCTGGTACTGGATAGGGGTGACCTTCTTAGACGCAATATCCATAAGAAAATACTTGGCGTTGGAAGAGTGTCTCCACATGGGGATCTTCGACGATCCCAAAATCATCTTGGAGAGGTCGTACAACGGAGCCACCGTACTGAGATAGTACAGGACCCCGTTATGCAATACAAAGCGGTCCTCCAACAATATCAGCTCAAACGTGTCGTTCGCCACCTTCCGCACCACAATACTATTCCTTAAGAGCATGGAATGCAAACCTTCGTCATCGTTAGTGTCGAGGTGTCCTTGCGGCGGAACAAAGTCGTACGAGCTGCCATAGGGGAATAACGCGCCCACGAGGTAATCTGACATCGTATATGGCTTCAAGCCTTTCAAGTGTGCACCAGGCTTTACACTGGTTCCATTAGTTGGTTTGAAGTCATCGTGGTTCAACGGGCCGCTCAGATAGGCAAATAAAGACATGGCCCAGAGAACCGCGAAGACAGCCACCGTCCAGATGAGGTATTTGCGCGGTACCACACGCTGCTTCCCGTAGAGGTTGTTGATGTATTCACGGTCTGAATCCAGAAACTCTGCATTACGTGTGCGAAAGTCCTCAGCGCCGGTCTGATCCGCTGCGGCGTTTATGCGTTCAAGAACGATTGATGTAGTAGACATGTCATCAGGGTCTGAGGGGCCTGGTGCGCTCAGTTCAATATCTGGGCCTAAGTTCGCAGGATTATCAACGAGTTCGTAGCTCTGGTCTTTGGCTTTAAGTCCTGAGAACATGGCAGAGAGTGAATGATTAAGTGAAACGTGGCCAGGTGACAAAGGTAAGACAGTGGGTGGGTGATAGTTCAGATAAATGAGCGTTTAATAAGAGGTCATAAGCTTAGGGTGCAAACAATAGGCGCTTTGAATCACTGGCCGTGGGTAAACCAACCTTTGGAAAAGCGCACCGAAAAGACGTTTTGTTCAGGCGGCACTTAATGTCGAATTTAATGCACTACGTGTCGCTCCTGCATATGCTACACAGGGGCCCCGACGAGCTAGGGGCACTGGATTGGCATGAAAAATCTGCGTATATAAATATAGACTGTATTTCCAGGTTTTATAGCTTTGTAGGTATGGTTACCGGCGGTTGGGTCATAATTGTATTACTTGGCTGGATTCTGTTTTTGAGGCTTAGGTGTGAATTACCCTGGCATATGCAGCAGTCGATGTGCCCCACGAAGTTATCGGCCCTTAAGACCTTACCAAATATGATGTGCGATGGCCGCGGTGAGCCTTACCCTTTGATAAAAATGGAAACTCTTGTAAAGGACGCATCGTTCAAATAGTTATTTAAAACAAGTACATGCGGCATGTCTTTAATGGGTCGGGTGATTATACGTCCTAGGATGTTGTTTCGCTGTCATAAGGCCAAGGTTTAAGGTATTTCCCAAAATAATACAGGTGGCCATTCGCATGCAACTACCCTCTGAATCTGTATTTAGTACACAGGACGTTTAGGGGTAATATAGGGAACTGTGTTTTGTCAGGAAGAGTATTCAAAGATATTTCTTACGGTTCCGGGTACGGAGGGTGTCTTTCTTAGTATAGTATATAATATCATAGTTTTTTCTATTTTAAATAATGGCCGTTTGGCCGAGTGGTCTAAGGCGTCTGACTCAAGATCAGATCTCGTAAGAGGCAAGCGTTCGAACCGCTTAGCGGTCATTATCTTTTTATCAGGTTGGAATAATATTTAAGTGCTTCCGTTGGTTCCTATTCTCCTCTTAGTTTTCAACTAACGTCTCGCTGTTACAGGCCCTTCTCGGCTGTTGCGGTATCGTCATGCTATCCGCCCAAAGCGTGGATATGGTTTCGAAATGTAACAAATTGAACTCAGCGGATAAATCGATACCTACATTCTGAATTATTCTTGGGAACCGGCTAGCAGTCCAAGTATATTGTGTTCTATGTAATTACCCATATATAACTATATAGATGTAAGACCCGCCAGCCCTCGATCATCCAACGCGGTTCCACCTGCAAGAGTGATTGCGAAAATGATGAACGAATGGGCACTAAGATGGTCTCAATGCATATTTCTTCTCGCCAAAACTTGACGCTCGCCAATCGCTAGGATTAATTCAAAAGACAAGCAACACGGATAAAGCTTTGGCTGACCGCACATAAGGAAAAAAGGGAAATTAATGTCCTTCTCTAAAAGGCGGGACTGCACGCATATTTATACCGCCTAGGTCTGAAAAATTTCTCGGTGCAGGTTTCGCGAAAGTTACCCGGATAAAAAGTGCTCAGGAGACGATTTGAAACAGGGCTATAAACGGCCCTCGCCGCGCACGACCCCCCGTACAGCTGTTATCAGAAGCTCAAATGATAATGAAAAGAGCAACCAAATACGATCAAACACGGAGGATATACTCGAAAACTGTCGATTAATCCGAGAAATTAGCACGTTAGGGTCCACCATACAGTCCTAAAGCTGTGTTCGTTGAATATCTACCGTCGGGGTATCCAACGCTTCTTATCTCATTGACTACCCTTATAGCCCCACAAACATTGACTACCTCGATAGTCACTTCCGCTATCCTAATTCCCTATATTCCACCATGCCACAACCAGATCCCCTTATAATTGTCATACGCTTTTCCGACGGAATTCCTGATTTACAGATTCCCGTTCCCGCCTCCCAAACCGTTACCACAACCGGTATTCGGCGCAATATCCGAAGCGAGCGTAACCCCGAGACAGGCCTCAAGCGGCTCAGACTATTGTATAATGGGCGAATGCTTACAGGAAGGACCAACTTTGCCAGGGAAGTGTTCAAGTATATCCCTCCACCGCCACCCAGCGACAATGCAGGCTCCACGCCAGAGCCGTACCTTCTCTATGTCCACTGTCTTATTGGGGACGATTTGACGGCAGCAGAGATTGCTGATGAAGATAAACTCGATCAGTTACAACAGGAAACGCAAGATTCGAGTCATACGGGGGTAGTCCCGCCTCCATCGGGTTTTGACCGCTTGCGAGACGCCGGTTTCTCGCAGGAAGACATTGACGAGTTGCGAAGCCAGTTCCGAGCGATCTACGGAGGTTCTGACGGCGGTGAAGAAGCGGAGGATGGACAGAATCGCGAGACTTTGAGACAGTTGGAGGACGAGTGGATCGATGCCACGGTGCACACGGATGGAACGGACGATTTCAATAACATTGTTGGGAGAATGAACACCACCCGGAGTGCTGGCAGCGGTACCGGAAACACCAACCGGGATTTGCTCGTTGGTTTGATGATGGGATGTTTCTTTGGAGTTTTGTGCTTGATTTTGATGAAAGACACCAGCTTGTGGAGTAAGAAGATAAGGATGGCGATGTGTGCGGGTATGATTGTGAATTTTTCTTTTGGGTTGACACGATCGTGGTACTAAGGCAGTCTTAAAAGGGTTTGCGATTCGAAGGTGCAGTCGAAGTTAATCTGAAGTATTGAGGTTCCTTCAACTGGTTATTGCATTTACTCATTCCACTATTTTCTATCCAAAGAAGTTGTGCCAGACTTAGCCAGTAGCTGTGTTACATACTTATCTAACCGGTTTTGGCTAGTCGAAAACTAGACTTCGATCCACGTTTCTTTGAATCGGGATTTATGCGGTAGCGAATAGCATGGGCTTCTTCGCGTATGTTCTGATCATGACAGTCGCCGGTGTGGATTCTTTTGCTTCCTCGCGTTCTAGTCAAAGTTTCGTTCTCCCTTAAAGGTATCATTCATTGACAGAAATGGTTGTAGTTAGAACAGCATCCGATACTGTGTTACTTTCCTCAAGCCTACTCCAAACCTGTATCTAAATTTAATAGTTATATCATTTTATTTTAAATCCGATTATTTCCCGTAGTGGACACCTCTGAAAAAGTCCATGCAGGTGGTGAAAACCACCAACAATACACCACCACCTGGACCCAATCTCAAGACCTTTGGCAAGAACCCCTTGTACAACGCAGCAGCGCCTTCTTCCTTCAAGATCAACTGCAAGGAAGGCAAGGTCCAGTTGTACTTTGGAGTGACACCAGGAACCTTGACGGTGTTCTGGATTCTAGACTTGACAACGTCGAATGGGGTGTTAACCATGGTACCAACGGTACCACCAATGGCACCACTGAGCAAATCGTTCAAAGTTCTGCCAGTGGCAGTCTCAGACTTTGGTAACAAAGACTTGACCTGGAAGATAATACCAAAGTAGCCAGCGTTCCAGGAAATGTGTCTCCATAACGTAGCCTCGAGACCATTGTACATGGCCAATGGCCCTTCGGTACGAACGATGGTCTTGACGACATCGATCATACCATTGTACTTGGAAGCCTTATCTTGCAATCTGATCTTCACCAACTCGAATGGAACCACAATGAAGGATTCAGTGGCACCGGCAGTGGCACCAGTCAAGACTGCAAGAGACTGGTTCATCTGGGTAACACCGAATTGCTTTCTGTAGAATTTCCCCCATTCGTCGTTAGCAGCAAACTTGGTGGCTCTCTTAGGGGCTTCCATCAAGATTGGGGCGGAGATACCTCTGTACAAACGGGATGGACCTTCTTGCCTGATGATCTTTTGGAAGCAGTCGACAAGCCCAGTGTATTCGGCGTTGGCACCAGTACCAACCAGCAACTGGATACGGGTCTTGACAACGTCCAACGGATACATAAGGACGATTTCAGAGACACCGGCGATGGCACCGGAGATGAATTGGTAAACAAACGGCAATGGTCTAGTGTCAGTGCTCATTGTGAAGTTAAATAAACGAAGTGAAAGAGATAACTATGGTTCTACAAAAGAAGGCACAAATCACTTATAAAGAAGAAAGGAGTAGGACGTGCTAGCGCGTGGCCCGGAATCTGCTGTCCGCACTTGGCGTTATTTTTCATACCCCTCCCAACGTCCCGCTGTGGCTGTATTTTTCTCAAGCTTCGTGTATCCACGACCCCGGAGAAAGTGGGGAACTGCGACATCTGCCGCGCGCTTGTATAATCCTGTAGATAACCGCCAGTTACCGCTGAGCCGCCGGATCACTACTAGCGCAATCTTTCGCGGCGGGGCCCGGCACCGGCCAGCGTATTAGGTCTGGGTGCAGGATTCACTCTACTCGTGCGACGAATCGAAGTCCCGTGGATACAGGTTAGGACTTGCACACGTGCATGAGGCGGTGGTTCCAAGGTTATCTGGAGACTTTTGGGAGCTTGGTAATATTTCCAATATTTATCACAAATACATGGCCATGTGGGACAAAATCAGTTGTTATTTAAGGGATATAGATGGTTCAGGTATTTTTTATGATTTCCGTTTTTTATACTGTGGTTGATTATTATCCCACGCGCGCAGGAAAGGGGACAACGTATGTGCTTATGGTGTAAAAAGTGTTTGCGAGAACGCCAGTTTAACGGTATTTATAGACAATGAAAATTCATTCAGTAGTTTACTTTAGGTTGAAATTATACACTAGTATTTATGTACATGAACATTACTAATTTTGTGGACGTTTACATATATATACTTTATCGAATATATTTAAAACTTAATATATATCGCAAGGTACTATTGAAAATATTAATTAAACTCAAATTATGTATATGTATTCAATTTTATCTGACAAACACATATTCATTGATATACTAATGAATAACATAGTATATATCTTCTATCGTGTATTAAGTTGGGCACCTACGGGCCTAATATTTTGATATACTTATGCCTACAAAATTAAATTTTCATTTTGAGTGTTCTGGGCATGCAGCACACATTCACTACGTGCATAAATGCATAGACATACATACAAGATTCTATCAGCATTTTGGTGCTCATGTGCGAGAGTTATAAACATCTGGGCAAATTCCAGAAGTACAGCTGATGAGTAACTGTAAAACCAGCTATTCATAAATCTTACTAGCCAGAGCTCAGTGACAGAAACCATGTAATAACACTGTGTCAAAAACTGGTATCACACTATCCTGAGTGTACTTGTGAGTGCTATATCTTATTTTTATATAAGCTACGGCTGTAAAAGTGTACAATAGGTAAATCCTCTACAAGCCAGGGCTTAGCTTTCGCTTGGATCTCGGATGCCGCAGGACGTCTGTGATGCACAGTATGCATAGTAACATCCCTGACACAGTTTCAGGTAGAATGCATATTCTAGAGCCATTTAGACACACCCGCACGGTCCTACGATACTCCTTAAACTTCGAAACGTAGCTGCAATGATATTTAACACATATGCCGCAATTAGAGCTGGGATATTCTGCGTGCCACTTTACACCGATAATATATTGTAAGGCTTGCAGATATTGCAAGGGTTGTACCTCAGTCTAGGTATTCAGTGTTATGACGACACCAAGATGCCAAATATGAAGCATACAAAACATGCGAGGCTTATACATTGCGTTTTCGTATACCTGCGAGACGTTTAGGAGTAGCCTGAGATATAGATCACACAATACGAAACTGCCCTGATACCAGATTTTTTTTTATAAAGGAGAGCACAGTCTTACATAACACACGTATGACCCATAACTTTACAATTATGACGGCAATGAGAGTAATTAATGATCGTATATCTAATTCTGAAATCTAAGGCCGTTGTCCCTGACAATTTTGTTGTCCAGGGTGGAATTTCTTGAAATGGTGAAAAAATGAAATTTGCACTAAGCCCTCACTCCAAGTGCTAATTATATCTTGGCAATGGCCATGAATAATCGCTGAGTTATTCTTAGTGACCGGTAGCAGTTACGGATCTAGGCTACTTCTACTTCAGGCCTAAACACCCAGCCATTGAAAGATCGTTCTATTTATGGAAAAAGCGTTATTGAAGGATGCGATCGAATCACTAACTCAGAAGTTGTATTTAAAACAGTTAAACAAAGCCGGAATACGTTGCCCAGGTCTTGCTGCCCTTCCACGGCACAACCATTATTTTTACAAGGGACAAGGACCAAGGCTTCACGCATGTATACGCATATGTAAGTATACATATGCAGATATATTAAAGGAGTTGATATAACTTTCAGACGTCGTCAGTAGATACCCTCTAATTATTAATCGCACATCATTTGGATATTCTACCTTCCGCAAGACGATTCTACGACATATCGCCATCTAACCACAACAATGACGCCTCCAGATCTCAGTATATAAGGACCTCGGATCTTCTTCTTTTTACAGATAACTTATCTATGAAGTATTTTCTTAACTAGTGGCATTCACTATTACCTTCTAGATATACCACACTCACACCATACAAGAGTGTTCGCTTACGAAGATATATTTATCCATATATATAACTTCAACTACTCCTGATTTCAACCTGAAAAAAACCCGACTGTACTGATTAGCACCAGGTGGATAGAAACTACGGCCGATATCTTCAATGAAACTCCTTAAGTCCCTTACCCTTGCGATCGCAAGCCTTGCCTACGTCGCCCAAACTGCAGTGGTAACAACTACGCTTTCTTATACAAATGATGCTGACTGTATTGTGTATAATGTGATGCAAATATCAGACTTCACCACCACCGAGCTTGTCACTAACGTGTTTACAACAGAAGTGACCGCACAAACCATGGTGTCAGAGGAACAAGGTGTAATCTTCGATAAGCGTGATCACATCACTCTATTGACTACGTATCTCACAACCATCACCACGATAGCCAGCAATACCGTGACTGGGACCTCAACTAGTTTGATTACAGAGCTTACTGACTGTCCAGATTCAACGGTGTATGTAACTAATACCGAATGGGTTAATTTGTGTTAGTGACCAGATTCGTACGCTTTCAGAGTTTTTTTTTTGAAGCCATCCTATACAGATAACTTCAATATAGTTAAAATATACAACTGTCCAGGCTAACAGAGTTATCAAAAAATATGTAACAGATGTTGAGATATAAGACGCACAAAAACTTGTCATGCTAACGATACCATAGTCTGATGGTAAATGTAGCCCTTTATTGGCATTACGTTGAGATCCAAGCCCACTATCCAATAGAAGCCTAAAACCTGTAAACAGCTCTAGCTAGGAATATCAAACTCAAGGGCATTCTCGGCCTCCAATTCCAAATGCCTTCTTTTGACTCCATTTTCCTGTTGCTTAATAAAAAGTAGCAACCAGGTACCAAGGATACCCGTCAAGCTCACGAGGCCCACGTTAACAGGAGTGGGGTTCATACCAAACTTTTCGTGTGTTAATCGATCCAACAATGGCTGCACCAAGTTCATACAGCCAGAAATACAAATAATGGTCCCATAAACAGTCCCGAAATTTTCATGACCAAATACCTTGGCCACAAAATCGGACACAACGGTGTAGTAGAAAGGTCTATAAACCACAAGGAGCAGCATTCCCAAGATAGGATAGACAACAGACTGGTTCAATAGCCCAAACACCCCGATGACGACCGATACGACTGTAATGATTAGCATGACTGGGCCGGTGGCCAAATTGTCCAAGATCAAACCGATGAAAGGGATGCTGATCAACCCACCCAACGGCAACGCCAAATCAAAGAAATGGTTAAGCTTGAGTGCGGTTTCCTCTTCAAACAAAAAATCTTCTTGCGTCTTCAAAGTAGCAACAAAGTAATTGATCCGCAACATTTGGATCGTCGTGAACAAGGTCATAATGACAAACCATAGACTGGATAACTGCTCCTTGATTGAACTGCCGTGTAAGATCCCATATACCCCGCCTCTTCTAGGTGATGTTTCAGCCTCGTAGTCGATTTCAGCTTGGTGCGCATTGTCGTTCAATTGTGAAATAGTCGAGAAACGGCGTTCGTAACGCCCAGGGCGCGACGAAGACACCATCGATACAGCAATGGAAGCACGACGGGACGGGTCTGGTTTGGCTTGTTCTTCCACATCCGAAAGAGAGACCAAGAGGGAGGTGGTTTCACCAGCTGTTTTCTTAACCGATTCGAGTTTATAGCTTTCGTGAGGCATAACGAACAACTGACATCCAAAGATGAAAAGGGGAACAATCAAATAGAACTTGAAGAAATCAGAAAGGCTGATTTCTAAATGAGTGTCAGCTTCAATGAAGTGCGTGTAAACCAATCTATACCCCAAAAATAACGCAGAGGAGGAATCGAATGCGCCGGTAAGAAGTGCCAAGACCAACCCCAGATTTTGCGGAAAGGCGTTGGCCAAGTGGAAGGAGGAAATGAAGCAGAACGGACCGCCAAGGGCTAATACTGTGTAACCGCATAAGTATGGATCGACAAGCGAGATAAAAGCGTTCTCACTCGCAGTAAAAGACTTTCCGTTAATGAACAAAGCCGAAGCCATAGCTAACAACGCAGAACCGATGATGCCAGAGACACGAGGTCCGTACCGGTCCAAAACTGCCCCTACAAGCAAGGCAGTGACGTTGGTGACCACTGCTGCCAGCGTAAACATGAAATTGAGGGCCAAATCCTGTTCAGTACAGGAAGAAGAACCGTGGGTGACCAGTGAGGACAGGGATACGTCCACGTTGCACTTCTCATAGTAGACCCCCTGTTCAATCAATACAGGCTTTAACGCTGCAAACCCAAAGATGGGTCCCGCGGCTAGTAAACACCACACAATGGAGCAGCCCACCTGCAAGTAGCGGCGGTTGAGAGGGGAGGAAGACCTAGCGGCTGGCATTAACAGAATGTGCAAGTTCAAAGGATATCCAGCACCGTATGAGGGAGGAGAAATCTTATTTATATAATCACAGACAAGCCTTTTGAACTTGAGATACTAGATTAGTAGGTTTGGATAAAGCATACTACAAGATTCAACCACCATCGCAGCATGAGGTCAGGGGCATCCCTTATCATAGTGAGGAAAGTTTTGCAGGTTTGCAGGATTGGACCTGCGCTTCGGCCGCAAAATTCGGCCATTGTATGGGAGGGAATCACGTGAATTGTTCTGGGCAGCGTGCTGTTGGAAGCTCGGCCGATCGCCCCGATAAGAGCTGGGTACCGGCAGAGATAAGAACGGATAGCGATATGAGTTTTACTATTGGGTTTAACATACATACCTGGAGGTACAGCTTAGGAAAGATGCCACCCGACACAACCTTTGAGTCCATTAGCAGCGGCTTATCTTTTAAATAGAATAACAGCGAGGATAAATTTTCCTGAAGCATCTACGTACTACCATTTCTACAATAACTCCCCTAAACCCATTCAGATCTACAGGCTATAGACACCTAATCAAAACTTTATATTGGTCCGCTTTATACAGAAGAATAATGATAATGCGGGTATTCAATTAGGTACCTTTTGCATATTAAAAGCACTTCAAATTCGGATTGAAAGCTCGACAGGCAGGGTATAGTCTATGAACACCAAGGTATAACTCTATGCGCCTCAATATTGGACGGTGTAATCATGAAAAGCTGGGATAACTGCACGCACATAGCTAGAGCGGAGTTTCCAGTGTAATCGGTCAAAGAATGTTCAACATGTCTGAACCATACCCAGACCAGTAGATCATGGGTTGAGAGAGTCGGTCGGGTTCTGGCAGATCTCTGACTAACAATTATTGGTCCCTTGGCCCAGTTGGTTAAGGCATCGTGCTAATAACGCGGGGATCAGCAGTTCGATCCTGCTAGGGACCATTAGTTTTTACTAACTTTTGTAGTAAATAGCAATGTGGAAGTATTCTCGTTTATACGCTTAAATAGTTGTTTGCCAGCCAAAAGCTAGTATAAGGACGTACTTTTTCTTCTTCAAGTTTGATATTTCTCACCGCCCAGCCTGGGCCGTCTACAGTCTATGATACACGAATATACATCAAATAAAACACATGACAGAAATAAATTTTAAGCTCCGACCCATTGTCTGGCGTTGCGGAAGAGGTTGATCCACGGTCCATAGCCTTCCCAGGCAGTGGTTTGCTCGGCTGGATACCATGAGTTGGCTTCCAATCTAGTGACTCTCTCCGGATGCGGCATCATGGCCAAGACTCTACCGTTTGGAGTCTTGATACCGGTGATTCCGTATGGGGAACCGTTAGGGTTGTATGGATACTGACCGGTTGGCTTGCCGGCGTTGTCGACGAATCTGACAGCGATCAAGCCAGAGGCGGTGAACTTAGCCAACTGGTCGGCAGAGGTGAAGGTGGCTTGACCCTCACCGTGAGCCACGGTGATCGGTAACTTAGAACCCTTCATACCCTGCAAGAAGATGGACTGGTTACCTTCCTCGGTGGTGTCATCATTAATCTCAACCATAGAGACTCTGGCCTCGTACTGCTCACTCTGGTTGCGTTCGAAGGTTGGCCAGTTCTCGGTACCGGGGATAACCTCTGCGATACGGGATAAGAACTGACACCCGTTACAGGCACCAAAGGCAAAGGTGTCCTTTCTGTCGTTGAAGAAGCGTCTGAACTCCTCTCTGGCGTTAGAATTGTACAAGACAGACTTGGCCCACCCATTGGCGGCACCCAAGACGTCACCGTAGGAGAAACCACCACAGGCGGCGAAGCCCACAAAGTCGTCCAAGGTGACTCTGCCGCTGATAATATCAGTCATATGCACGTCGACGGCGGTGAACCCGGCCTGTTGGAAGGACCAGGCCATCTCCATCTGCCCGTTAACACCTTGCTCTCTCAAGATGGCAACCTTTGGCTTGGCGGACAAGGCCGCAGGAATGCTGGTGGTTGGCGTGTAAGTCAACTGGTACGACAAACCCACGTTGGCGTCCTCCAATATGGTAGCAAACTCTTCGTCAGCAGAGGCTGGGTTGTCTCTCATTCTCTGGATCTGGTATGAGGTCTGGGTCCACGTTTGCTGTAACTGGCTTCTGGTGTTGGAGTATACGGCCTCACCGTTGTACACCACGTTGATAGCCTGTACGACGGTAGGCCTAGCAACCACAGACACAAACTCTGAGGTAATGCTGAATTGGCCCATCGTGTCGACAAACTTCTGGTAGTCACTTTCGTAGATCTGGAAGACGGCACCCAACTCTTCGTTGAACAAGGAGGTGAACACGTCGTCAGCAGAGTTGAGATTGATGTCCAAACCGGTTCTACCGGCAAAGGCCATTTCGACCAACGTGGTGATCAAACCACCCTCAGAGCGGTCATGGTACGCCAAGACGTCAAAGGTCTTGTGCAAGTGGATCAACGCGAGGAGGAAGTTCTTGAGGGTCTCGTTGCAGTGGACGGTTGGGGCGGAGTTACCGACGGCGTTGTAGACCTGGGCAAGCGCGGAGCCGCCAAGAGACTTTGCCACGGTGGCAGCGAGGTCCACGAGCACCAAGACAGAGGCTTGTTCGGTTCTCTGAATCTGCGGGGTCCAAGTGTTGGAGGTATTGTCGACTGGCGCGAAGGCGGTAACAATCAAAGACAATGGCGCAACAACCTCCTTGTCGTCCCACTTCATCTTCATGGACATGGAGTCCTTTCCAACTGGGATGGAGACGCCCAAGGCTGGACACAAGTCCAATCCGATGGCCTGCACGGCTTCATATAAAGCGGCGCCCTCACCATCGTGGGAGGCGGCAGACATCCAGTTGGCAGACAACTTGACTCTGTCCAAAGCTCTGATATCGGCAGCAAACACATTGAGCAACGACTCGGCAACACACATCTTGGCCGAGGCAGCGGCGGAGATCAAGGCTAAGGTCGGCTTTTCACCCATGGCGAGCGCCTCACCGGTCTGGATGATGGTATCACCCAAGGAAGTGGCAGTCACACCGACGTCAGCCACTGGCACCTGCCATGGCCCGACCATCTGGTCTCTGTCAATCAACCCGGTCACGGTTCTGTCACCGATTGTGATCAAGAACGATTTAGAACCGACAGATGGAAGCTGCATCACTCTGTTGACCGCCTCAGAGAGGTTCAAGTCGGCGGTGGTGAACGGCTGCAACTGCAACGGCTGGGTGAGCGCAGCCCTGGACATCTTTGGAGGCTTACCAAACAACACGGACATGTCCAAGTCGATTGGCTTGGTACCCAACAAGCTGTCGTTAAGTACCAAACGCTTCTCCTCGGTTGCATGCCCAACCACGGCAAATGGCGCTCTTTCTCTCTCACAGATGGACTTGAACAACTCCAAGTTCTCCGGAGCAACACCCATGACATATCTTTCCTGGGACTCATTGCACCAGATTTCCATTGGTGACATGCCCGGCTCTAACGAAAGAATGTCGCGGAGCTCAAACACTGCCCCAAGATCGTTGTCGTGGACCAACTCCGGCAAGGCGTTGGACAAACCACCGGCACCGACATCGTGGATAGACTGGATTGGGGTGTTCAAACCCAACGAGACACAGGCGTCGATAACCTGTTGGGCTCTTCTCTGCATCTCCGGGTTACCTCTCTGAACGGAGGCAAAGTCCAAGGCGGCGGAGCCCTCACCGGAGGTGATGGAGGAGGCTGCACCACCACCGAGGCCGATTAGCATACACTGACCACCAAGCACAATGATGGCGGCACCAGGGGTGATCTTGAAGTTCTTCAAGGCGAGGTCTGGTCTGATGGCACCCATACCACCAGCCAACATGATTGGCTTATGGAACCCTCTGACCTCTTCCTCGCCCTTGTGGTTGGTGACGGTGGTTGTTAAGGTTCTAAAGTACCCGTTAATGCACGGCCTTCCAAACTCATTGTTGAAGGCGGCGGAACCGATAGGAGCCTCCAACATGATGTCCAAGGCAGAGGCAATGTGTCCTGGCTTGCCCACGTTCAACTCCCACGGCTGCGGCAATGCTGGGATGGACAAATCAGAAACAGAGAACCCCGAAAGGCCACACTTGGACTTGGAACCACGACCAACGGCACCCTCATCTCTGATCTCACCACCAGAGCCGGTGGCGGCACCCGGGAACGGCGACACAGCGGTCGGATGATTATGGGTTTCGACCTTAATCAAGCACTCGACTCTCTCTTTGACCGCGGTCCAGACCTTGGACTTGAGCTCTGGGGTAAAAAAGTAGGCATCGGAGCCTTCGAAGACGGCCGCATTGTCCGAGTACGCCGAAACAGTGTACTGTGGGTTCAACTTATGGGTATTTCTTATCATCAGAAAGAGCGTGTTTTCCTTTTTTTCCTGATCAATGGTCCAGTCGGCGTTGAAGATCTTGTGGCGGCAATGTTCGGAGTTGACCTGCGCAAACATGAACAACTCCACGTCGGTTGGGTTTCTGCCGACGGTCTCGGTGAAGGCGGTAATGAGGTAGTCGACCTCACCCTGGTCCAAAGCAAGGCCCATCTCCTTGTTAGCCTGGATCAAGTTGTCCTTGGAGGCAAGGAGATCAATGGAGACCAATGGTTTAGGCGAGTGATGCGCAAAGAGGTCGTTATACTGCGGGATGTGAGCACCAGCGTACACTTCCTGGGTCATTCTGTCGTAGACGGAAACCAAACAATTAGGGTTCCGGGCCACGAAAGCGGCAAAGTCAAAGCCAGCAACAACCTGGATCAAGAGAGACACACCTCTTTCGATTCTCTCGATCTTGCTGCTCAAACCACAGACATCGGAGATATTGGTGGCCTTGGAGGACCAGGGAGAGATAGTGCCCGGTCTAGGCAAGATTCTGACGACGTAGGAGTCAGCTAGGAGGGCGATAACTTCGGTGGAGGTCGAGGCGGCGAGCAACTGCTGGGTTAAAGTATCTTTGGTGTCAACTGGTGAGTCGTAGACCAAAAGCGTCTCCACCAATTTAGCGTCCTCGGCTGAGATCTCACTCTTGATGTCAACGTAGTGGGTGTAACCGGAACGAACAGCGGTCACAACTTCCTGCATAGCGGCGGCATTGATGTCAGCAATCAAAGTGTTGATTCTGAACTTGGACAAGGCACTTGGACCAGCCAAAATGAGCATGTTGTTGGAGCTCATGGTAAGTGTAGGTGATATAAAAGCAGCAACGGAAGAAGCAGTCTTATATACCGGGGGAGGGTACTAGTTTGTGTGGCGCAGAGGGAAGGAATAAACCGTGGAGGGAGAAAGAGGGAAGAGAAGAGAGAAGAGATTTCTTATATATGCTTATTGTCAACGGTGATAAAACGATGTATCGGACTCTGACTCAGGGCACATGCACGGAGGGTGAAAAGTTTGATGTAGAAATTTCATATCCTGCATGGAAAAGTTGACTCCTCCCGGCGAATTGTGATGAGCAATAGCTAATTTATGGGGGAGCACGTGATACCAGATTTGGTACGGCCGTTTGGCATAATGATGCTCTGGTTAGTACCTATATAAGAAATCACTCGAATACTCATATATTGTGTGGGGAATACCGTCAGATAATAAACGGATGTCTGAAGTGGTGGTACTAAGATATTTCTAATATGCAAGTTTTGCGGGAGTTGCTCTCAATCAAACAAGCGATGTGTTGAAGTGGATGCCATGAAAACAAAAATCTTTTGATTTTTCTGGTGATTGAGGTATCTGGCCTAAAGCTATGGGGTATACTTTGTTTCTGGACAAGAAAAAGGAAGTAACCATCAATTTATTAGCAGATCAAATTTTGATTAGACCTCTGCAGTACATGCAATACACGTGATGAATCATGTGAGTGATCGAGAAAAGAAATCAAAGGGGAAAAAAAAAAATAGTTTTATGCGCCTAGAAAAAAAGAGTGACACCAACCAGGCCTTCGTTATCCATTTACTTCTTAAACCCAACACAATGGTTCAAGGTAAGTCCAAGTTAAAGCCAAAGAAGGCCGCCAGAGTCACCAAGCAACAATCCAACCCAAGAGCTGCCGCTCCGAGAATCCATAAGGCCAAGAAGAACGCTTCCGCGAAGAACGCCCAGAAGTTAACCAACGTCCATCTGGCCGTGTTGCTCTCCTCTACCGAAAAATTGATTGCTGGAAGAGTTGGTCACTTGGAAATTGTCAAGGGCTCCAGAAGATCGCTTGAAAAGCAAGGTAAGTTGGACGCTTTCTTGGCCAAGACCAAGGGTAGAATCTAAGTATGGACCAACGACTTGTATTCGAGAATCGGCCAGGATTGATAGCCATTATTTCCAAGTGTGATGATGCTGACCTTGAAGTCCAATCCCCTACTCAAAACACCCAGATATGTACTTGTATGGCACCTACCCTGGTGAGTGTTTTACCTCCATTGAAAGCTCTAAACCCGGACGATAGCGATGACGAATCCGCGGTAAAGAGAAGAAAAAAGTGATAGCCATGATCTATTTTTGCTCGTTTTTGTATATTATGAATTTATTGTTACAGCAGTGTAGAACATGATGTATACTTCGCCTATTGGGCTATTATTTCTCCGCTGTTTGATTATATCATAGTATTACATTTAAGTCTTTTGACGGGAACCAGCTTAGACTGATTACTAATCGATATAGTCAAGGCCTGTATTTTGGGAATAAAGAGTAGCAAGAACACACGGTACCAGTAAGGCCAGTAACCATATGTTAATGGTTTATTTGTGAAATATCCGGAGCAGAGTAAAACGCGGCGCGGCGTAAACATATGTCAGAAGTCCGGGAAATAAAGGAGGAAGCTTTCCGGTCCCGAGATACCAGCTTTCATAGAGCACACTGGGGTAGCGCCACAATTGATATTTCTTCAACTGTTATCTAGCACTAGTAGAGCTCCAAAGCCTGCCGCATGTAGCATCAGACTCGCATAAAATATTTCAGCATACTAGTCGCTATTCACCCAGACTAGAAATTGCAAAACCTTGGAGCTCGTAGATCCAGAATCCAACTTGTAGCGTCTTATACATTTATTAACCATTGCAAAGCTTTAACACGGTTAGTGTGAAACCACAATAACAGCTTTTCGTCTCGTCGCGGACCAATGGTACCCCTCTAAGTTTGCTTAGTCATGTATGCGTCTCATGCTTTTTACTCCCGGCCGGATAAGTTCCCGTGCCGGATGCTACATTCGGTTCTCTATCTATAAGAACTGAACCACTCCACCTTTATACGTCACAACATACACGACAAACACAACAATGACAAATAACAGTTTAAAACCCGTAATCCCGGAACCGATTACGGCTGATGAGCTCCTAGTGGTAACATCTCGGGACCCGGCTTCTGCCACCCCGCTCTCCCCATCCTTTTCGTGGTACAGCTGGACCATGGCGTTTTTGCGCAAAGCGCAGAAATACTCTGCTTACACCTTCACAGGGTTTTTGGTTTTACACGGCACCTCTGTGGTGATAGCTCCGCTGTTCTCCGTGCCGCTCGCCAACGATCTCTTCTCCATGGGGCGAAGTATCTACCAGGCTGCGGGGATTGAACTGGTCCTCATCTGGACTTCTGTTCCAGTGCACATCCTTCTGGGGGTTTTCATGCGGGTGTTGAAAAAGTGGCATAGCTATGGCTCGGCAAAGCACATCCGACAGGGGGAAACAAGTCTTCCCCTGTCTGGGGATAAGGATAGTTTCGGGCTTGGAGGGATCACAAGCTTCTTGGGTTTGGGCGAACGCAGATCATACGTCAGCCGCAAGTTTGGCTTATCGCCATTACAGTTCAGTGGTTATGCGTTGACTCCAATGCTTATTGGCCACGTCTTGAAGGAAAGAATTGGGCCCTTGGTGATTGACGGTGACTCGTCTTTGATCGACTTGTCTTATATTTCCCACGCGCTCAACAAGAAGGGTGCCGTCATCTACGTGGGCATGGTCTTGCTCGTGTGGATTTCTTCGTACCACGTTGTTTCTGGCTGGATGAAGTACATGAAGTGGTACGGCACACGATCGAAAAGAATTGCGTACATGGTGATCAACGGTATGGCCGCGTTTGCAGCGTTTAGTATGTTCCAGATAGGCAAGGGGGGGTTGAGTACAGGCTTTATTGGCAAACAGTTTGACGCCTACCTTGACTACCTCGAGTAGAGTCGAAGTGGTGGCTATTGCAGGCTATGGAGAAGAGTCCTTCGGCCTGGTTCTGTTATGAATACAGTTTCGCTCTATTTATTTAAATATATGCAATCATCCAATGGTGATTGAATAATGCACAAAAGGGTCTATATTTACAAGGAGTTCTATGAATGTTTCTGGTCGGCAATGACTAGAAACTTGGTAGATGTGCGATCGATGAAACTTGACGACGATCTACCCCCCAGCGCTTCATACTATGTTATTGCTAGTAAGGCTTGCAGCTTTGTAGTATGTTCCGCTTCAAACCTCTCCGACATAATAGAATCCTGACTCGCCTCATCTACAGCGCATCTCAATTTACAACGTTAATATACTAAAAACATACACAAGGCTACAGCTTCTAAAACTTACCCTCGCCTCCTAAAACATACCGTATACGAGCGACACGACAAGCAGCCCGACAAGCATCAATACCAAGTTGACCTTCATCCTCTCGGCGATCATGATCTGCGCCATCTCGTCATCCATCTGCTGTCTGGCTCTGATGACCTGCACGACCGGGTTGGCGGCACCAGCACCCAACTGGGACTGCTTTTGGATTGGATCCACAGGATACATACACTCGATTGTCTGGACAATCTTGCCGCAGATGATACCCATTGACAAATAGTTGGCGTCGGTGACATTCGACTTGTGGTGAATTTTCGCCACGAAGCGCTCGAAGATGTGTACCACGCCTGGCATCGTTCTGGACTCTAAGATGAGCTTACACGTCAAGGACTTGCGGATTTTGACGTTGGCGCGGTGGAGGATAGCGGGGTTCTGGTAGATCAACTCCAAGGTAGCGATGGCCATGACTTGGGGGATGGCGCAGAAGTTGAAGGTAGACTGGTCACGGATCAAAGATAAGTAGGTGAGAACATCGGTCGCATGACCTAACGCGTCTTCAACCATTTCAGAGATACAATCGAGACCCTTGGTGTCATCAGAAGCGGCAGCAAAGTCTGGGAGAGCGGTGCAGTGTTTGGCCCAGATCTCACGAGGCCAGAACGAGCGCCCGTCACATAAGTCCTCGTAGTAGTCGCGGATGATGTTGACCTTCTGCAAGAAGAGGCCCATGGAATCGGCCAAGTACATCTTGTCGGCGAGGGATTCGTCGCCAAACTGCGCCACGACAATCATTTTCGTCAATCCCTCCCCGACAAGGCCCGCAACATAGTGGCAGTACAAGTCGTAGTCCTTCTTGGTGGCAACGCCGTTGGTGTTGAAGTTCTCATCCATGATGTAGTCCGCCATCCCGTTGCCCATGCGGTGTGTGATGTCCTTGATGATGTCCTGGTACGCTGGTTTCAACTTGTGGTATTCAATGAGGATCTGGTCAAACTCAACAAGCACCACACGGTCCTTCTCGCCTGGTGCGTTCCCGTTGAACGTCCAGTTCTTCGTCAACAATTTGGCGTCGAACCCGCGCAAGAGCGGGACCTTGATCTTCGGATCGATGCTCATGTCGTCTTCCACCGTGTCCAACGCCCGCAAGATGATGTAGAACAACATGATTGCGTCACGGAGTTCGGGATGGAGCTCCTGGATCACCGCTGCAAACGACCGCGATGTCACGCGTAACAACTCGTAGCACCGCTGGAGCGACGCTGGTTCCTGCGTCGGGTCCCGTGGGTGCTTTTCGTGCTTGAAGTACTTGTACTGTATCAAGGCCAGGACCTCGGTCGGGTGCAATAAAAGCTGTGTCAATTTACCCATGGTAGTGTGTTGGTGTCTTGGGGACAAGATGAGGTGTTAGGGATTCGCGTCGTTTATGTATCGTACCGACCGGAGGAAAATGGGAGGTGCCGGATTCGGAACGAAGTAGGATTGCCCGATCTGGCGCGCATAAGCGTCACGCAGTAACGTAAAGTGTGCTACGGGAAAGACACTTCGATAGTATTTAATATACTGTAAATGAGCTAATTTGAGTGGAGGTCCCTGTCTAGGTGGTTTCTGACATAAACATAAGTATGTCAATCTGAGAAAGTTCAGTTGAATACGGCTGTTTACTGGGGTGCAAAATCAAGGTTAGTGACAAGTTTGCGATAGAAACAGTAGCATGTGTACAACCCTAGAACAAAGGTTTTGAAATTGAAGTAAGAGAAACTTTAAGATGAAGGTATTAATGCTATATGATGCACTGATCCTTAGAGTGGTGTACAGGTACCTCCGTTTATCTGGTTCAATTTACATGCCCCTAACTAGGGCACACGATCCTTGATGGTTACGCGGCGGTTTCTATCTTTTCAATGGTGACAAACTGTATTTATTTTGTTAATATCAAGCATTTTCATGCCAAAATATAAAGCTTGCCTTGTTTGGGGGCAGGGGTTACAATTTAGAACGCTTGATCAACGAGCCCTCCCTATACATCCCCTTTAATTGCTCCCTGAAGAATGTTCTGCATGTCGGTCTCTTCAACTTGAAGGTTGGCGTGTATACCTCTCTCGCCACGGTCAAGGGCTCGACTTCGAAGAAGATATTGTGGATTTTCTCAAACCCGGCTAATCCTGCTGGCTTGACTTCTTCGTTCAACACGTCTAAAATCTTAGACTTTACCGGCAATTCGTTCAACTTCCTTTCAATCTCTTTGAGATGTGTCTCTGGGTTCAACACTATGTCAAAGTTACGGTGGAGGAATCTTGCCATCACATGTGGATCAAAGCCCGCCACGGCCACCAAGTAGGTCTCCAAAGAGTCCCCATGGACATACAACTGGTTCACCAACGTGGTACTTGACAAGTACTTATTTTCAATCTTTTCTGGCGTGACGTATTCACCCTGGGCCAACTTGAAAAAGTTCTTCACTCTGTCGATAATGTAGACTCTTCCCTGTTCGTCAAATCGGGCAACATCACCCGTGCAGAAAAAGCCATCCTTGTCGAAACACTCGTCGGTGGCTTCCTTGTTCTTGTAGTACCTTCTAAAGATCTGCGGGCCTCTCAAGAGCAATTCACCTCTTGGTCCACCCTTGTCCTTGGAGGTGTAGCCCATTTGTGGAACATCACGGAGTCTCATCTCGCCAGAAACACCTGGTAACCCACAGGAGCCAGAGTCACTCGCAAAAGGATCTGACATACACATGATACCAAAGGACTCGGTTAGTCCGTAAGCTTCGGCAAACCCGATATTCAACGCGCTCTTGAAGAAGTTCACGGTATCATTACTGATCGGGGCAGAGCCCGAGCACAAGAATTTGGTCTTTTCCAAGCCCAACAGCTTCTTGAGCTCGGTGGTGAAAATTTCGCTGTACAGGCAGTCATTCTCGAAAACTCCCTTGGTGCTAATGCTTTCAAATCGCCTCCCGATAATTTCCTTAGCCATCCGCCGGAAGACATCATTTTGGGAGTTGACAGTAACCTCCTTTAGCTCGGACTCCATTTTCGAGTAGACCCTTGGAACCGACGCCAAGGTGGTGGGCTTTAACGCCTTCAATTCTTCCACAAGCGTCAACGGAGAGGAAACTACTGGAAACCCAAGACCGGTCCCAATAGAGAGAAAGGAGGCGACGAGCCCTCTTTCGTAAATATGGGCCATCGGTAAGAAGCACATTTCATGACCCTCTCCCTTCGGAACATCCACTTGCGCCAAATACATTGTGACGCCACTCACTGCCATTTCATGGTGCACTTCAACTCCCTTGGGGTTACCGGTGGTCCCGGAGGTGAAGGAAATGGTGTAGATATTGTCTGGCGTAGGTGGTCTTTCCCGAACTGGATTTCTGGCACCCAAGGCTTCCACTTCGCTTATCTCAAACAACTCAAGACCCAACTCGTACGCTTGCCTCTCGTATGTGGAGCGCTCCCGTTCGGTCAAAAGGTCCATCGAGACAATAGTGAGGAAGTGAGGTAATCGCTTCTCGATCTGAATATCGATAAGGATCTGGATTTTTTCCTTAGAACAGATGACAATCGGCGATTTCGTCAACTCCAAAATAAAGTGGGAAGTACCGGCACCCAAGGTGTCGTACAATGCAGTGTTGACCAACGAATATGACTGGCAGGCCAAATCGGTGAGCAACCATTCGGTGCGGTTACCCGAGTACAAGCTGACGACGAAATCTTCGACATTGTGGATCTCAGTACGGAACTGGTTGTTCTTCAAAATGTGGAAAATCCCGGAACCCAAATTTCTCTTTCGCAGGTCTACTGCGGCAAACGACTCCCACGAGTAGAATGGGTCGTAATCCCCGGCAATCGTGTTACTGTACAACCTTTTACCCATGCAGTCGTTGTTTGGGTACATGGAAACCGCGTTGGCAAACAAGTCGTGCAAGGTTAACAACGAAGGATGGATGTGGAGAAAGAGGTTGTTGCCATTCTCAATGACAAAGTTGTTTCTGATAATGGCAGAATGTCCCTCGGTTTCAGTCCCCGCGACTGGTGACGCTCTGAGGATCTGTTCGGGAGTGAACGGCAACGATTTGAACAAATCCTTGATGTTGTCGTTAGGGGAGGGCTTGAAGATGGATCTAGACATGGTAAAAAAACTGTTGATGCTGGCTCCAAGGAGTAGTGAGAATATGGGAGTGTTGTCTATATTTATAGTCAGAGACCCAAATCAACCCCTAGAGGGAATCTCGGAACTATGTCGAGGTCTTCACCGAGATGTGGGGGCGGGGCCGGCCTCGCGGAAATCTGGGGTGCTCCCCTCAACATATGCACATCAAGCCGCACCGAACGCACAGTGGGGGATACTTGGTTTTCCCCTCTCGAAGATGAACTGTAAGACTGGGGACACTATTGAAGGTTTATTGGTATTGTTGATGGCTTTGCACATAGTTGTAGAAATTTTTGGGGCAAATGGTAAAGTAAACAGTTTGACGATGAGTATCGAGAAGCTAGTACTAACGTTTCGATTTTATACATGTATACCAAGCCCAAGACTATCTAAGGACTTGGACTACGTGTAAGTCAATTACAGGGGGGGCGATACTGAAGGATTAAATTAGATCCATCGCCCTTACTGAAGCGAATTCCGCTCACTGGGCTATATTTTGTAGCTTTTACTATTCATACGGTTCCTCCAGCTCTTTCCTATCGGAGAGTGTGTTGGCATATGGTATGCACAGCCACACGGGTGACCAGGAGAAAACACCTTTCCACTTCCATTGACACTATACCCCTAAATAATACTTGTTAGAAATAAGAAAAGAAAAATGCAGAAAATATCGTTTTATTTCCCCCCAGAAACCTGTAGGTACCTGGATATTCTGCTACCCCAGCAATCGCCTTTAAAGTGACCTGCATATGATTGACCAGGGCTCGACATCTTCCTGCTAAACACCGCGCGGCTCTGCTCTTTCTGGTCATTCGGGAAACGTCCCAAACGCGAGATTGGAGGGGAAGGCAACGTCAATTTCGACTCAAATTTTATGCTGATGTCCATGACTCTGCGATGGGAAAGCCAAATTAGATTGTGCATAAATTTTCTAGCTATGATTTGGTTGTGAGGTCAAATGACCACGACTCTGATCCTAGTGGCCATGAGGTGCACTCGCGATATTCAGATATTTTAGGAAAATACTTCATGAAATGGACAGAGTGGTTAAAACTGAGTATCAATAACCGAGGAAGACTTAACCGAAGTCTATCTTTTCCCTGGACGTTTTGTTCCATAAGATGTTAAGCGAAGTTGCCAGGTCCTGCTTTACGACCTATATTTTTCTCCCCAACATGCAATCAATTTAGCCTACGAATCAGCTCTTTCAAATAAGAAAATGAAATAGAAAAGTGCGCATTTGTTCAAGGTAACTAAGAAGCCATAAATACACATACTATCATGCTAAAAAAAATAAACCAAACCCAAAACCAAACCCAGAGAGGAACAAACGATTAGATATCGTCATTGTTAGCAGTCCTATAAGTAGCAATCGTAATATCTGGATCGGTGATATTCAGATCCTCTGTTATAGCCGCTCCAGAACTCTCTAGCCCCTCAGAGCTAGCCCCTTCTGGACCGCCTTCGTCGGACTGCTCCTCATCGCTACCACTATGGTAGATTGGAGGATGCTGAGGCAAACTTTTCAACGTGATATTTTCATCCACCTCTTCGTCAAACTCAAAGTTCCCTCTTTGAAAACTAGCCTGATCTGCATTGAGTACACATCTCAGGTCGTCCTCCTCTTCACCGTTACACTCAAAGTCGCCCAGCTGCCAAAAATCAGGGGGGAAATCATTGGCCCTGGATTCCAAGTCGTTCTCATCCACGTCTGAGCGCTCCAAAATGATATCCTTATTGAACTTATCGTATCGTGGGGGAGCTGGACCAGTTCCTTCTAATGGGGCAAAGCCCCACTTCTTGACATTCGCCTCAATGAATACAAAGCCCATCTGTCCAATATTCACGTGCACAGAACACAAATTGTTAGCCCCAACAATGGGGTAAAGCACATGCGACGGAAACGTAGGAAGCTTGATGTGGCCCCCAAGAGATGCTTCGTTGATTCTCTTACCGTTACGGGTGAAAAACACAACCCCGGTGCGCGGTCTGTATCCTACGCCGACAACATCGCCCTGCTGAAGGCATGGGAATGACAGGGCCGCGCCCGCTTCATCCTTAAATGGGAAAGGCTGGTTGTGGCGTCTGTGGCCGTCCGAATCGTATGACAAGGACGTTCTGTGTCTTCCGGGGAGGCGAAAGAACGGATACGGCCTGTGGGCCAATCCGATAGAGACGACTGTTTCTTCCGGATTTGGCAAGTAGAAGAGCTTGCTCTCAAAGTAGTATACCTCGTTGCGGTTCGGCATCGGAATGTTTGTCTGCACGGAACATTCCGACTTATGGAAGAAGTTGAGTTCAGTTTTGTTGATAACAATAAGCTCGTTATTTGTAAGAGCCGCGTTTTTTACAAAGTCCCATGCCTGGATACCCTTTTCCTGGATGAGTAGCTGCTGTTGTGGAGAGATTAACTCCATCTTCGGAGGGTGCATCTCGATATACTCTTTGCTCTGGAAGTACAACTCTTGCTCGTCAGAGTCTAGTTCCAAGTACGCTTGGTTTTCCTCCTCACGGATGATTTCTTCCTCAGATAAATGCACCAAGCGATCGCGGCACAAGTGCGTGAGGATGATAATGAAGAGGCATGTGACAAAGATGGAACCAAAAATAAACGTAAGAAGAAATGCCGGGTCGATGCCTTCGTTGATGGGCTCAGGGTAGAGTATTTTGTGACCCCTAGTGGGTGATATGGTATAGTGGTACCCCGGCGTTCCCCCAGCCTGAGTCGACGTTGCAAGGGAAGCAAGATATTTACCCACCCTTACCTGAATATCAGGTAAAACAGAAGCAAGATCCCCTTTTAGATCGTTGGCGGACATGGCTTGGGCCTGAAAGCTAAGTAGGCAGGAAGTTTCGCGTGGAAAGTGGCGGTGGGTGGTGGCAACAGGAGCTACGCTTGAAAGCTTTTAATGGACTGGTAGAGTAGCAAAGAACGCCAAGATAATGCTTTTGTCAGACAAAGTTTCCAACGGGTTGATGAGAATACAGATGTGACACAGCGGAGTCTTGCGCACGACGTATATTTAGACTTGGATCTTCTCTTTCCGCAAGGACTGTGGCAGTGCAGGATGGCAACAAAAGCGCCAAGAAAAATGAAAACCTGCCTCCAGCCAGAATCGAACTGGCGATCACCTCATTACAAGTGAGGCGCCTTACCACTTGGCCATAGAGGCGGAATTCCATTGAAGCGGTTGATCGGATAGACCTGAGTTGCAGAAGAACACGCCCAAAAGCGGCATAAAACCAGTATACTATCGCACCGGAGCTTAAGGTGCCGGGTTAGGAACACAGAATGTGACCAATGTTATCACCATTTCTTTAAGTGGTATTTATATTTATTGCATATAGCCGTCTCATATATATGCAGTTGAGCTTTAATTTATGCGCAAGCTGTTTCCTCATAGGGTTGTCAGAACTATGGCTGGTGCTCGCCAAAGGTATATGCTTTAAACACCCGCATTGACAAACGAGAAGGGTATAATTGCTATTAATTATTATGCCTCTAGCAAAAATAAAATCGCTTGGGTTCTCCTAATAGAACTTTTAGCTTGATAACCAGTCGATGCAGTTTCTGGTACGCATATGCACATAGGCCTCTGGACACCGAAGCACCACGGCCCTTGGGACTCTCCATCGGAACGAATCTACGTACAGATGCCCACCAGTGGTAGAAATATCGTGACTCGGTTCCATAGGCCCGAGTGAAATGCACCAAAAAGAAAGTCTTAAATCTCGGCTCACTATGTCCATATCCGTTCCTCCGCTGCTTCGGGCCGGGTCTCGGGATGGCACCCCCAGATTTAGCGCGGTAACCCCACAGGAATTTCGGGCACCCGCTGCGCATTTCACGAACGTTAGGGGTCAATTTGTCTATATAAGAAACCGTTCATTCCTGTCCCTTGCGACTGCACGTTTTTGTATTACCTATTTCTGAAATGTCCCACCTTTTCTACTCCACCAGATCCACTGTGTACTCCACCAAGGGTATTGTTTCCTCCACCCAGCCTTTGGCCAATGCTGCTGGCCTCAAGATTTTAGAGAAGGGCGGGAACTGTGTCGACGCCTGTGTTGCTATTTCGGCCGCCTTATGTGTCACTGAGCCTCCATCCACTGGTATTGGTGGTGACTGTTTTGCGTTGTACTACAATGCCCGGTCCAAGACGGTTGAAGGGATCAACGGTACGGGAAGAGCTGCTAAGAAGGTCACCGTCGATATGGTCCGCAAATCTGGGATTGAAGGCCCAAGAATGCCTGCCACCTCCATTTATACTGTCAATGTACCTGGTGCCATTGCCGGCTGGGTGGACTCGATTGAAAAGTGGGGTAGTGGCAAGGTTTCCTTGGCGGAGATTCTCCAGCCTGCTATCGATTTGGCAGAGACCGGATTTCCTGTCAGTAAAACTGCCGCTTCGATATGGCAGAACTGCGTTCCAAAGATTTTGAAGTCGAATCCCGATGAACGTCAGGGCTTCCCGCTTCTTGTGAACGGTCTTGCCCCTAAGGAGGGTGAGTTTGTGCAAAACAAGTTACTTGCTCAGACGTTCAGGGACGTTGCTGAACAGGGTAAGGATGGGTTCTATAAGGGCCGGAATGCGGATTTGATTATAAAGGAAGTACAAAAGAGGGGTGGTGTAATGGAGCTTCTGGATTTGTCCTCCCACACCTCCACCTTTGTCCAGCCAATCAAACAGGAGATCTTTGGGAAGAATATCTGGGAGATCCCGCCGAACGGGCAGGGCTTGGTTGCATTGTTGGCCTTGGGTTTGGTCAAGGCGCTAGAGAAGTCTGGCCGTGTGAACCTTTTCGAGTTGAAACACAATTCTCCGGAGTACATCCACTTATTGATAGAAGCTTTAAAGATTTCCTTCTACGATTCCGATGAGTATGTTACTGACCCAGAATTCTATGACTTGCCATTGGAAGCTTTGCTCTCCCCCAAGTATTTGGATGAAAGAGCCAAATTGTTTTCTGCCGATAGGTTGATCGATCTGTCGAACTTCACCCACGGAATCCCAGACCCGATGTTTAAATCTGACACAGTTTACTTTACCGTGTCTGATTCCAACGGTGATGCTTGCTCCTTCATCAACTCGGTCTACGAAGGGTTCGGCTCTGCCATCATTCCTGAGGGTACCGGCTACGCCTTGCACAATAGAGGCGCCAACTTCAACCTCACTGCTGGATCCAAGAACTGCTTGGAAGGGGGGAAAAGACCCTACCACACGATTATCCCGGCTATGATTACCGATGCGTCCTCTAACGAGTTGTACGCCTCCTTCGGGAACATGGGTGGTTACATGCAAGCCACAGGACACGTGCAGCACGTCTTGAACATGTTGTTGTTTGGATTCAATCCCCAGGAATCTGTCGATTCCCCGCGCATCTGCTTGTGTGCTCATCCGGACCAGACTTCCTTGGATAGAGGCAAGGGCCCCGACGGACCGGTATCTACCCCGGTCACTTTGGTCGCGGTGGAAGAGGGAATGCCGCAGGAGACTATCGATGGGTTGAAAGCCTTGGGGCATGAAGTCAAGGTGTACCCATACAACAACCGAGGCTTGTTTGGCAGAGCACAGATCATCAGAAATGAATCCAAGAATGGTCAGTTGATCTATGCGGGGGGTTCTGACAACAGAGGTGACGGTGCGGCCGTTCCTTTCGTGTAAGGGACTTACCTTAGTTAGTTCTTGGCATTCGGAGGATTCTAGAATTCTTTCTAAGGTTATTAGTTAAACTTTCTATAACTGAGTTTTTGCAGTACCTGGGAGAGTATGTAGTGAAATGTTTTATACCCATTGGATAACTAGGATCTAAGTTGTAACTGGTTCAGCAAGAGTTGGCAAATCAAAAGCTCCATGGACTTCAATATATTTATGGATTTCATACCCCCGTATAACTGAGGTATGTAATCCCATAAGGTATTTTTGCCCGTGGTCGAAGCTTCAAACCAAGGGTATTGGTTGCGTGGTTAAACTCCACGATTTCTCCGTTAGTACTTATTCGTGGTTCATTCGCTAACTGCTTGCATACGTATTTACATAAGGATTAGAACATTCGGTCCCATCACCCTAATTATATCCCATCCGGTCCCGGTCACTCCCGATACAGCTATGAGTTTCTGTGAGGGAGTCCTGCACCAGAAATAGATGCCTCCCTCCGTGTGCATACGACGTCTATAAAAGCCGTTTTTACTTTAGCTAGAGTACCGGCTGGGGTCTTCCACACTTCCGAATCTTAATGCATGCGTTCTTAAATCAACGGTGCGCCGCACCAATGAACGGACGCTGATGACGCAAGACTCCCCGGAAATGGCCCAGTATCCTCTTGGAAATATCACACACACCCAAAGATAAGAGGTGCTATGACCAATTTTCAAAACCAAAAATCACCCCTCCTTCAAAACTTACTCTGCCCTTATTTATCGCATCAGCATAAGTGCCTCACCCCGAATGTCCTCAGAAGCTCTGCCCTTAATAGCGCCCTCTAAAGCTGATCGGTTGCACGAAACAATCTTTGATGCCTCCACTGGCGCCCCAGGCATTGTCGCCAATGAGTTAGCCCATGACCCCGAGTTCGTCCCCGAAATTGAGCAAGATACGCATCCTCATGGGTATGGGAGTACCATCGACCCCACTGCCACCCAAGATGAGGACGCAGACTACGCGTTACCTCCACGGGAACTCTACCTTGTCTTTTCCTCGTTGTTTATGGGCATCTTTTTAGCGGCACTTGACGGGACGGTGGTCACAACTCTACTTACTGTCATCTCGTCTGATTTAAATGCCGTGTCAAACATCTCGTGGATTGCGACCGCGTACCTCCTCTCCTGCGCTGCCTTCCAACCATTGTTTGGGAAGTTGTCCGATATTTTTGGTCGCAAGTGCTTAATTATCTTGTGCAATATCTGCTTCGCAATTGGTTGTTTGATGTCAACTACCGATAATGTCTGGACCCTAGTCTTTGCAAGACTTGTTACAGGTATCGGCGGAGGTGGGATGACTTCTCTCGCGACTATTACCATGTCTGATTTGGTCTCCTTACGTAAGAGAGGCCTCTATCAGGGTATTGGTAATCTCTTCTTTGGGCTTGGTGCTGCCAGTGGTGGGGTCATGGGTGGGATTGTTGCTGATATTTTGGGCTGGAGAGCGGTGTTTCTTCTCCAGGCTCCAATTGCCATTATAAGCGCGGCCTTCGTATACAAGTACTTGAATTTACCAGAGGGTTCCCCTGGATTGGGCTACCATGGGTCCGACATGATGACCAAATTCCGCTGTGTCGACTTCCTAGGGTCGTCATTGTTAGTCTTATCCGTGGGCGGAATCATGGCAGCAGCTTCCTTAGGGGGCAAGGAGTTTGCTTACAACAGCTATCCGTTTGTGGCATTGTTGGCAACTTCCGTCTTGTTTTTACTAGCATTTGTCTATGTTGAGCTTTATGTCTCGCCCGAACCAACCATTCCCGTGAGATTGCTAGCTGACAGAACAGTACTCTGCTCCTCCCTTGCCAATTGGTTTTTTACGATGGCATGTTATGTGGGGCTCTACTATGTCCCAATCTTCTTTACCTCAGTCTTGGGTAACACCCCTACCCAGAATGGACTAAGATTGATTCCCAACACGATTGCCGCTTCAGCGGGTTCTCTTATTTCGGGAATTTACATGAAGAAAACCGGTAGGTACTATCGGTACATTGTTGTAACTAGTTCCTTTTCTGTTTTTGGGTTCTTCTTCTTAACCCAAATGACTCCCACCATGTCCAACTTTAAGCAGTTTACCGTGCTGCTTTTGCCCACCTTTGGCTACTCCAGTGTAGTCACAGTGACGTTACTTGCATTAATTGCCGCGGTGCCTGCCTCTCACCAAGCGGCCACCACCTCCATCCAGTATGCGTTCAGGTCAACAGGGTCCACCTTGGGGGTCTCCATCGCCTCGGCAATCTTTCAGCACTTGCTTAAAGCGCGAATCTTGATAAATTTTGACAACCTCCTCCGTGAGAACCCCAAATTAGCAGAGAAGTACAACATTGGAGAAATCATTTCCAAGTCTTTGGATAATACAGATTACATCTACGAAGCCCCAAAGGTGTTCAGAACCGCAATCAGAATGGCGTACAGCTCTGGCTGTCACGGTGCCTTCTACTTCGCCTTTGGAACCGTCATCTTGGGCTATCTTTCTTGTATTGGTATGAGAGAGCACACGTTGCACACCTCTATAAAGAGGAAGTAGTTTGTATGCTACATTACTTCAGTTTCTGATTTATCTGAGTATGTGGAGTTCTAAGAGGTGAGTTACTGGGCGGAGCCATGAATTTAACTTATAGAGCCTGAAACTTGAGCTCGAAAGCGTAAGCTGACCTGTTTTGAGTCTGACTGTGCTATGCTTTAAAGTGAGTGTATAGTATTTTTGTAGCTATGTATCGTAGTGACCCTGTATTTATTTTCTCTCCTTCATAACCATAATCGCAGTGTAAATAGACATATTTCAACTATCAAGTCTGCTTGTCCAAAGTGACTGCAGAGTTTGTCGAGCACCAAACGCAGTATCAGACACTGCACTTCAATATGGGCTTTGGCTATGTACGCTAAGGCTAACCTTGCCCAAAATAACTATATTTCCATGCAGACAGTGAGAAAGAAGTGCCATGAGAAAATATTCGACAGGCACCTTTATATATGTAAACGCTCTCCATCTGCACCCATTCTTTTCTGGACGTGACCTGAGCTAGTTGCTTTTCTATTGTTTCAAACGACTAGAGAAAATGAGCCACTTTTGCAAGGTTACAGCCTTCACAAGAACCCCCTTGACGCCCCCACTGGCACCCTAGGAGTGCTTGCTAGTGAACTGGTGCACCAGGAGGACGCTTCAAAGTCCAGCTGCAGAAACACTGAAGTCTCCCCGCAAATGGATGAAGATGCCTTGCCTCCCGCTGAACTATATATAGTCGTTGGCTCGTTGTTCATGGGTGACTTCTTAGCTGCTCTCGATACCACTGTCGTCACCACCTTGCTCATGATGATTTCTTCCGACTTGAACGCTGTTGCCCACATGTCTTGGATCGCCACCGCCTATCTCCTTTCCTGTGCCGCTTTCCAACCTTTATTTGGAAAGTTGTCTGACATTTTTGGCCGTAAATCGATGATTGTCTTCTATAACCTCTGTTTCGCTGCCAGTTGTTTGATGTCTGCCACTGACAATATCTTGGTCTTGGTTGCTGCTAGATTTATCACTGGTATCGGCGGTGGTGGTATGACCTCGCTTGGGACTATCACCTTGTCCGATGTCGTCTCCTTACGTAATAGAGGTACCTATCAGGGTATCGGTAACTTATTTTACGGTCTCGGTGCCGCCAGTGGTGGTGGTATTGTCTCTGACAGATGGGGATAGAAGACCGTCTTCGTGCTCCAGGCACCGTGTGCTCTTGTGTCTGCCTGGGTCGTCTATCGGTACATGAACTTGCCAATTGGCTCTCCTGGTTTGGGTGCCCAGGGCACAGATGTGAAGAAGAAGTTTGCCCGTGTCGATTTCTTGGGCTCCACCTTGATGGTATTGGCTGTCGGGTGTATCATGTTAGCCGCAGCCTTGGGTGGTCAGGAAATCCCATACAAGAGTGGACCATTCGCCGCTCTTTTGGCCAGCTTTGTTGTGTTCTTATCCTCCTTCGTCTATGTTGAGCTCCACGTATCTCCAGAACCAACTATCCCGGTCAGATTTTTGGCCGACAGAACTGTCTTGTGCTCTTCCTTGGCTAACTGGTTCTACTCCATGGGCATTTACGTTGTGTTCTACTATGTGCCAATATTTTTTAGTTCGGTCATCGGGTTAAACCCTACCCAGAATGGTATGCGATCTATTTCCAACTTCTTTGGGGGTGCTTCCGGTTCCATTATTACAGGGGTCTATATGCAGAAGACCGGTAAATACTGGAGCTTTAGTGCCATCATCGGCTTTCTTTCTGTCATCGGTGTCTTCTTCATCACCCAGACCCCCTCATTTATCTGTTCTCAGGCAGTACCTTGTAATTGTCTTACCTTCCTTCGGTTATTCCTCAATTTTGACTGTCACCTTGCTTGCATTGATTTCTGCAGTTCCAGTCACTCACCAAGCTGCCACTACCTCCATCCAGTACGCTTTTAGATCCACCGGCTCCACTTTAGGTGTTTCAGTCGCTTCTGCGATTTTCCAGCAGCTTCTCTCTAAGAAGTTGGCCAGCAGTTTTGACGATATCGTCAAGGCCAAACTAGAGTTGGCTGAGAAGTACAACATCCCAAGCATCATCTTCAAGGCCTTGAAAAACGCCGAGTACTCCAACGAGGCACCAGAGGCATTTAGACATGCCATCAGGATGGGTTACAACGCCGGTTGTCACGGTGCTTTCTACTTTGCTTTTGCCGCCATCTCCTTGGGCTATGCCTGCTGCTTGGGGATCAGGGAGCACACGTTGCACACCTCCATCTCGAGAGACCAGAGCGTCTCTTCTGGCTCTGCTCGTATACACCTAGATATAATACTTACATAGTAATTTTGGGCTTTTACTAATAAATAGGTGTTACTTGCACTGGACGGTTTGCCGATTTTTATATAAATGTCAGACTAGAGAACTATTCGGTGTGGGTTGATACACCAAACTTCCAGTAGCATATCAATGCCTTTTTAAGGTAATATCAATGTAACTGATCTATATTGAAAACCAATAAATAAAAGCCTTGGTCTCGTGGAAATTAAATCATAAGAAGTAGTGAACGACTCCGCCTACAAAGTAGCCGAGGTAGCTGCCCACCAACAAGGTGATGGGCCAGGCCTGCCACGGCCTGTCCCAGTCCAACGGGATGGGAAAGACACCCAACCAGGCACCCACAAAGGCAGCGACGGATGATACGTAAACCGGATTCTGAGCCAAAGAATCGACATTAAAGGTGGCCAAATTGAACCACACCTCGAGATCGTACTGGTAAACAACCAACAACGGATATATGATCAAAAAGGACAAGTGGAGCGCTAACAAGTAGGTTTCCTTCAAATGGTCGTACAACGGGGAGCCAAACAACACGAGCACTGAAAAGATTGGAATGGATGCAACCAATGCAACAAAGAGTGACGCATAGATAAGCACATTATCGTTGCCTCTGCCCTTCTTCTTGGTCCTTTTGGTCTTGCCCTTGGAAAGCAACACATATGCGTAGCCGATCTGGAGGAGAATTAGGTTCGGAATCATGCGTGCCATGGTGCCGGCGACATCACGGGTGAGTCCAAAGCTGAAGTAGCTCCATATGAGTAGGAGTGCATGGATGGGTACATTTAAGAGCGAGCGAGAGGTTTCGGATGGTGGCTCCAGAGTTGGGGGGTGGGGAGCCTCCAATATCACGTCCAGGAACGATACCAGCTTCTTAACAACGGGTTTGCGGGCCATTTTGGGAGGGGGGGAGCGTTTATTAGCTGAGGGTAATGGGGCTATTGGTAACGGGCCAAGTAGACTGCTGGAATATAGAATAAGTTCAGGATGTACCGTGAATTATCCAGTTTAGAACACCTAATTGACAGGTATTCTCCACGGAAGATTATTCTTGTAAACTTACAAGCAATTGAATTTACAGGTATAACATGAAGTTCCTTAAGTCGTGAAATTCATTAATGTTGAGATCCTTGGAGCGACGTCTCTGGCGATTGCGTACAGGACACATAGAGCGCAAAATTATCGCTACACTAATATCTTGGACGGTTGATACAGCAAAACGAGACTTCCTAAGAGCACTTCTTACGCCACTCTTCCCTAACCAGGACACTTTTATTTGCCACTGAACTCTGGTATTTTCTGATCGCTGGTTTGCCGATATCGCTTTTGCTTTGCTATGGAAGCCTACTGCCAATTCATTGACCCGTCCAGCGTGAGCACCGCGGTCACATGCCGCTTCACGGACCCTGCGCAGAACGACTTGCTTGTGAGCAAAGGGACGTTATTGCAGATTTTCCGGGTTGTGGAAAGGACTGCGGTGGTTGTTGAGGATGATTACACCCCAGCTAATGCCGATGACACGTTTTTAGACAACGAGATGGTCATAGAGACGGTCAATACCACCCAGCGACTCAAGCTTTTGGCGCAATACAAACTCGACGGTTTAGTACTCGGGCTTCAGAAGGTCCGAACGACGGAAGCCTCCGACCTAGACTATGTGGTGGTGCACACAAAGTTTGCAAAGCTCTCAATTTTACGGTGGGACGCGCTGCGCCACCAGATCACCACCGTCAGCTTGCATTACTATGACTCGTGGTTCGAGTCGCGCACGTTCGACCGCCCCAGCGAGGACCAGGTCGCAGATATGGTCACGTTGCGCGTCGATCCCAATAGCAGCTGCGCGTGCGTCGCGTACCGCGACTTATTGGCGGTCTTGCCGTTCCAGCGCGCCGACGATGAGGATGAGGAGGCCGCCAGCTCAGACGCGTTTACCCGGCCTAGCTTCCTTGTCAACTGTGCGGAGTTGGATGCCTCAATCAAGAACATTGTGCTGGTAGAGTTCTTGCACAACTACAAGAAGCCCACGCTTGCAATCCTCTTCCTGCGCACGCCCTCGTGGGCCGGCTATCTCCCCAAGGCTAAAGATACCCTCAGCTATCTTGTAGTGTCGCTTGACCTCGCGGCAAATGCGTCCACCGTGGTGATGGCGGTAGACCACTTGCCGTACGACCTCTATGAAATTCGCCCGTTGCGCACACCGCTCAACGGAAGCTTGCTCGTGGGCTGCAACGCGTTGCTCCACATCGACTCCTCCGGTTCAACCAAGAGTATCGCACTCAATGTGTTTGCCCATGAGGGCACCAAGGTAAAATACACGCGCGACCAGGCGGCCTTGGACCTCCGCCTTGAGAACTGCCAGATCGCCGAGATCAACCGTAACAACCTCTTGATGGTCTTGGAAACCGGCGCGTTCCACGTCGTGCACTTTGAGGTTGACGGCCGCTTGGTTAAGAACGTGAGTATTGTGCCGGTTCCCTCAAACGACTATGTGGGGGTCCAGATCAGCTCCCCGTCGTGCATCCACCGTGTTGGCGAGATTGCGGGTCGCGACTTGTTATTTATCGGTAACCTGACTGGTGCAAGCGTGTTGGTGGCATGCCGTGGCAAAGAAACTGCCCCGCCCAGCTCCGTGTCAGCGCACGTGGTGCCGGACGACGATTTGGATTTGGACGACGATTTGGAAGACGATCTAGGCGAAAACCTGGATGATGGGAGAATTGTGTTTGCCTTGCAAGACTCACTCATCAACTTGGGCCCCGTGGGCAACTTTACTATGGCTAAGACCGGTGTCGCCAAGTTCAAGGCCAACCTTCCTAATCCGAACTACCAGGAGGTCTCTATCATCACCACCTCCGGCTACGGCGCCGATGGCTGCTTGAGCATCTTGCAGCCGAGCATAGAGCCCATCATTAACCACTCGTTGCGATTCACCGACGTGTCTCGTATGTGGACTTTGGCCCCAAAAACCCAGAACGACAACAGCTACTTGATCACCACTGACACAGCCACCAGTAAATCTGAGATCTTTTTGATCAACAAGGCGTACGAAAACTTCACTAGCAAGGATTTTATGAACAACGAGTTCACATTGACGATCAACTTGATTGACAGCGACGAGCGCATCATCCACGTCACTGCGGGTGGTATCTACTTGTTTGATGCTGCCGATTTCAAGCTCATTGAGCAGCAGAAGTTCGAGGAGGCGGATGAATTCATCGTGTCTGCCACTGTCAGCGACGCGTACATCTTGTTGACTTTGAACAACGGTGAGGCCCAGATTTACGAGGTGACGACGCGAGACCCGCAAAAGAAGGCAAAAAAGGCAAAAAAGGCTCTGAACTTCCTCAAGATCGAGATCCCCAGTATCTTGGAAGACACCCTCATTACCCACGGGTTCATTGCCGACACCAAACTCTTCAACGCGCTCAAGCTGAAGGCCAGTTTGAAGCGCGGCAGCGACGGTGGCGCCAAGACTGCGGTTGACCTCGCTCAGAAAAGCAAGGTGTTCATGTTGGTCACCGGTGATAACAGAATCATCGCGTTCGAACGCGAGCACCGCCAGAAGAGCTACCAACTCAACCATGTGAACCGCTTGAGCAATAGCTTGAAGTTGGACTGGTTTGACTTCAACGATAACGACGAGCCGGATCCGTTTATCAAGCAGATCGTTTTGTCCAGCTTGGGGAAGGACGACGAGGACGACGAGTATTTGACCATTCTCACCGTCGGCGGGGAAATCTTAATGTATAAGCTCTTCTTTGACGGGACCGACTTCCAGTTCTTGAAGGAAAAGAACTTGTTGATTACCGGGGCCCCGGAGAACGCCTACCCGTTGGGGACCAAAATCGAGAGAAAACTCGCCTACTTGCCGAATGTCAACGGCCATAGGTGTATCTTTGTGTCCGGTATCTTCCCCTACTGGATCACAAAGACCTTGCAGTCACCTCCGCGCATTTTCAGATTCACCAAGATGCCGGCCTTGTCGTTCGCGTTGTTCAACTCACAGGAGCTCACCAACGGGTTCGTGTATCTCGACGACAACAAGAATGCCCGTATCTGCACCATTGACGACTCATTTAACTACTCGTTAAACTGGCCAGTGAAGCAAGTGATGCTTAGCGAATCAGTCAAGTCCGTCACGTACCACGAAACGTCTAACACGTATGTAGTTGCCACGTACAAAGAGATTCCATACAACTGTGTCGACGAGGACGGGCTCCCAATCCCGGGTGTGGACGAAACCAAGCCCCCCGCCAAGTCGTACAAGGGCGCCATCAAGCTTGTTTCTCCCATTAACTGGACCGTCATTGACCTGATGGAGTTGGAAGACAATGAGGTTCCTCTCAAGGTTGAGTCAATGTTCTTGGAGATCTCCCCGTCAAATAACCAATTTAACGGATTCATGCCCCACAATAAGAAGCTCAAAGAGCTTATTGTGTTTGGCACGGGTATCTACAGAATCGAGGATTTGTCGGCCAACGGTGGCTTCCAGATCATGGAAATCATCGATATCAACCCGGAACCGGATAGACCTGAGACCAACCACAAGTTTAAGGAGATCTTCAAGGAGTCGATCAAGGGTGCGGTGACCTCGTTGTGCGAAATCAACGGCAGATTTGTCGTTGCCCAGGGGCAAAAGATCATTGTCAGGGACTTGCAGGATGATAACACGGTGACTCCGGTGGCGTTTTTAGACACCGACGTGTATGTCACCGAGTTGAAGGCCTTTGGAAACTTGTTGTTATTGGGTGACGCCATGAAGAGTATTAAGTTTGTTGGGTTTGACGCTGAGCCGTTCCGCATGATTACCTTGGGTAAGGATTTGCAAAACCTCAATGTCAACTGTGCCGATTTTATTGTCTACGATAACGACATGTTCTTCTTGATCTGCGACAACGACAACATTTTACACTTGTTGCAATACAACCCGGACGACCCCATCTCCATGGGAGGACAACGTTTGATTCAGAAGTCCTCCTTCTGCATCAATTCGTCCACCACCTGCTTGAAATCTTTGCCCAAAAATGAGGAGATTGCCCGTGGGGTTCCCGAATCGAACGTGTTCCAGTGCGTTGGTTCCAACCTTGATGGATCTTTCTACAATGTGTTTCCGATTTCCGAAACCACCTATAGAAGAATGTACATTCTCCAACAGCAGATCACCGATAAGGAGTTGCATCACTGTGGGTTAAATCCGCGAGCGAACCGCTTTGGCGCTGATTCTATGATTAACAACTATAACTCCAACTCCAAGCCGATTTTGGATTACGACGTCATTAAAGGCTTTGCCTCGCTCAGCATAGACAAACGTAAGTTGTTGACAGCCAAGGTCGGCAAGAATTCTGACCAAGAGATCTGGAAGGACTTTGTGTGTTTCGAAAGCACCCTCAAAGAGCTCTAATATAGAGAATAGATTTAGAGAAAAATAAAGTACGGTTTAGATATAATTCGGGGCTACACGTTGTGACGTAACTATGACTCGGACGTAATATATCGATGTAGCATGGTATGGGCAGTGGGCTCGGGCCAGATGTAGTGTATTTCCTATTTGGGAAGTCATACATGGATGCGTATACTCCAGCACCTAGTTGGGTAAACTTCAGACTATCAAACATTTTTTCATCTCTCAGTTACCCGGAGGAGATGCCGCACACGATGCACAGTTCTCTGTGCGGAAAATTTTTCATTTTCCGCCTAATGGCGGTGGGGGAAAAGTTTTCACCTGTGGGAGCTCTACACACGTATATATTTGAACGCTTTCTTCTTTTTCCCTCTTGCACTGTCAGCCTTTTTCCCAAGCAAACATATATTAAAATGGCGTTCAACAAGGCTTTGAAGACTTCCGCTTACCACTCCCGTTTCCAGACTCCTTTCCGTAGAAGAGCTGAGGGTAAGACTGATTACTACCAGAGAAAGAGATTGGTGACCCAGCACAAGGCTAAGTACAACTCTCCAAAGTACAGATTGGTCGTTAGATTCACCAACAAGGACATCATTGCCCAGATTGTTTCTTCCCAGATCACCGGTGACTTTGTTTTCACCGCTGCTTACGCCCACGAGTTGCCAAGATACGGTATTACCCACGGTTTGACTAACTGGTCTGCTGGTTACGCCACCGGTTTGTTGGTTGCCAGAAGAGCCTTGCAGAAGTTGGGCCTCGACGAAACCTACAAGGGTGTCGAAGAAGTTGAAGGCGAATTCGAATTGACCGAAGCCGTTGAAGACGGTCCAAGACCATTCAAGGTCTTCTTGGACATTGGTTTGCAGAGAACCACCACCGGTGCCAGAATCTTTGGTGTCTTGAAGGGTGCCTCTGACGGTGGTTTGTACGTTCCACACTCCGCCAACAGATTCCCAGGTTGGGACATCGAAGGTAAGGAGTTGGACTCTGAAACCTTGAGAAAGTACATCATGGGTGGTCACGTCGCTGAGTACATGGAAGAATTGGCCGATGATGATGAAGAAAAGTTCAGAACTTTGTTCAAGGGTTACTTGGCTGACGACATTGACGCCGATGCCGTTGAAGACATCTACGTCGAAGCCCACGAAGCCATCAGAGCCGACCCAGCCCACAAGCCAACCGAAAAGAAGTTCACCAAGGAACAGTACGCCGCTGAATCCAAGAAGTACAGACAGGTTAAGTTGACTGGTGCTGAACGCAAGGCCCGTGTCCAGGAAAAGATTGCTGCTTTCCAGGCTGCCAACTAAATTTCTTTCCAGGAGATTTTGTTTGCTTGATAAAAGCGCGCTCAGTTTTTTGGGGGTTTCTCTTCGCTTGAGCTTTGTATTTATGACTTTAGTGTAATGCAAGCCGTTTGGCGTTGGGAGTATTCTGTAGATTTCAATTGACATATCCTTTCTTGAATCTTACAAATGTTTGTGCCAATAGAAATATTCACTCTAGGTACTTTTTATTTTATTCTCCAAATCTTTGATAGTATTCAAGATCCAGGCTTGGGCGTCTAAAGCTGTCATCTCCATATAGACTCCACCGCCTATGTCAACCTTGATAGATCCCTGAGGAGTCGTTAACGCTTGGCACCAAAATTCTCTACCTTCCCCGTCGATCGGAGCCAACACCTCGGTGTACGAGTGCTCCCCTGCTTCAAGGCCATTGGATATGTACTCTAAGACTTGGCTGTATTCGATAATGGATCTTTCTAGGTTGAGCTTGTAGATTAAAAGAGAGTCTTGGTTGATGGAAGTGCCATTCATCTCTGTAAAGACCGAGTTAGAGCTACTGAGGTCCATACCGACAACACTGACTTGGGCCGAGTTGGACATTGTATGGCGCGTAGACATATGCAAGGGTTTAATGTGTGATTGCCTTGGGTATGGTTGACTGAGATGTTTTTTTAAACCCGAGGTACGAAATTTAAGGTGTACATAAACAGTGACTTTCTGATGTGTTAAAGTTTTATGCATAGTTTCAGAAAATTCTGAAAAAAAATACTCGGTGGATAAAACAGGATATTTACTCTGGCTCAGAACCGAGGCAGCTTTGCTTTTTAGTCTTTGACTTTAAGGGAATCTAGTTTCCATTATAACATTTTACCTAAGAGTTTAGACCTAATTATCGTTATTTTTTGAAACTATCCCAATAGTGGAAACCGTCTAAAGCAAGACAGTGCATGTGAACCCAATTGGGCCTATGATGGCACCCTACCTAACAAATCTAGATCCCAATGTCAACAATACAGCTCATCCATTTGTTCCGTGCTGAGCCTAGGAAGGTTGTCATAAATAGATTGTAATCGGAGACTTTGTTGGGACGCAGGTTATTATAGGCATGCAACCAGATACCCCCAACCGACTGGCCTCATCTGGCACTTTTTGCATTCATCAAGCCCGTAATCATTCTACTCTGGTTGTATTAAAGACACTATTTTATACTGTAGATGTCACCAGCTACTATTCTCCGAGAGTATGACATCTCGGTATTCTATATCCACAAGGACAGTCTTGCGATATACCGTCATCTAACCGCTGGATACCGCTGAGACAATGCCCTTCCCAACAATATTTAGGCTTTGAAAAGATTTTGTGAGATGTTAACATACGGTGGTTGACGTCGTTATGAACTTAAAAATCTGGAGCAATATAACATGTTTCATTTGAGATACATATATATATAATTGTTGGTTGCTGCCTCTAATTGAATTGTGCATGTATGTGTTTGTAAGTTTTACATTTGCATATATGTTTATGTATATGAAATTATAAGTATATATACTATTGTTATACATACATATATAGAGTACACGTGCATATGGTCTAGTAATTTCCCAACATTTCCTGTTCCAGGGAGTGAATGACCAACAAATACTGGCTATACACATAATTGTAGATCACTTTTCGGACTGCGAGTAATAACTTTGGATCGAAAACTTTCAGTGATTCAGGTTGCTGTGTATCTATATTCTCATTCGTCCTGGAGCGATCCTCGGTGAGCTCGTCAACCAGGCAAGTACGACTGGGCAAATAGGGATGGTACGGCGTACCTTAGTAAAGTAGTTAAATGCGGCGTACATGTATGGATTTTTTCTCCTGCGTTACTTAATACTGGCTTAGACTGTGGATATGGTTTTGTTTCAGACTAGTGCTTCCTATCTAAAAGGTCTAGACTAGCGCCTGTCGTCTGACCAGGTGTATACATGAAAGTTTCTTTACCAACTCTCGGAGCCGCGTACATGATGGCGTACGGTAATGAAAAAGTTTTGTGACTATTATTGATAGACCTTGTCTCACAGAACTTATTCTCTAGGCTAATCTCAGTAACGAAAATAGCCGCTTACGTGTTTATGGTACATTACTCTATTCTGCCGAGAAATTACCAGGTCAGGAGGGGCCATGTACGAACAACAAAAAAAAAAAATGAATCGATACGTAACTGCAGCGGATGTTAAAATTCCAGATGCATACTTCATCGGTATTTTACGCATATCCTGGCAAGATTGGACCGGGCGCTGAGTCTTTACCAGGGGCCAGTTTGGGTGTAGAGCATGATCCAAACCACAGAAAAGGGAATAAGCAAATTTAAAGCCTGGAAAGGCCCATGTTAGTGTGAGTTGTAACACAGTTATATCGTGCTTAATCCCAAAGTGAATGAAATCAACAACTTAGAATTTGAATAGATCTTTGTGGAACAAGGTGTGGCTGTATCGAATACACCTTCGTAACTTTTAACTCGTGCCGTGCATACATGCTGCCAGTTTGCCGTATATTTTGGAATACATGCTTATACCCTGTATGTATATAAGGTACACAGGTCCATGGTACTAAAACTACAATAACATCTCCAGTATATATACAGTTAGCGAAACAGTGCATACATCTGTGAATAAAATCATGCACAATAGGACAGTCTGCACGAATCATTACCGCGGAGAGGGCTCTCTTTCTATGAGTCGTAGATATCCAACCAAAATTTCCGGTTGTCTAACATTGTTCAGCTTTGCGATTCGTGGCCTATGCGCCATGGGTGAGGTACCGCAGGGTGCGTCGCATTATTTAGACAGCGACTGTTGCGCAACTTGCGCATGGCCCTGGCCCACCCTGCTTGAATAACAAAGTTCGTCGGATGTATTCCTGGCTGCCGTATGTGTCACTCGACCCCACGCACTCTTGACCCAACCTAGCGTACCACCAGAAATCACTCGTACCAGACTCTCAAGCTTCCCTCTGGGCCTAACTCAGAGTATAATATATGCATCAATTTTTCCAAGTCGCCGCTACCAGAAGAGAGTACCTCAGACAAGACTCTTTGATCTACTGTGACCAGAGTGCGCACAGGATACTGTACCAAACATTGCTCTAGACAGTCGAAGACCAGCGACCAGAGTGAATTCACCTATACCAATTATATTTTTAAATCCATCGTCGGAGCTAAGATCATTCCTATCTACCCAATTAACCATTCATACCGATATACCATTAATTCCAGTTGATCCGTCTTGGACACTATCAGCCTACATTCCTACGAGCCTATCCTTGCTAAATTCTAACTCGTTATGAACCTGTCAGACACCAACCTAACTAAACGAAGCCCTTCAGAAGACTCGCCCGAGGAAGACTCGAGTAAGAAGCGCAACCGCAGCACGGTGTCATGCCTGGCATGTCGGCGTCGCAAGATCAAGTGCGACCGCGAGAAGCCGTGTGCGTCGTGTAAGCGGCGCAACATCCCTGCGGGGTTGTGCACGTATGACGAGTCTCTCTGGGTGTCGGTGCTCAACAAGGAACAGCGTCAGAACGAAGAGTTGGAGACGTTAAAGAGTCAGGTGGACGAGTGTCTCGACGCGTTGGCGCAGGAGCGCACGCGCGCGGCGCAGGAGGTGCGCGCGTTGAATCAAAAAATCGAGGGGTTGACACGCGCAAGCCAAGAGCTGCACGCGTTCGTGTCATCACAACCTCCACGTCTTCTGCCTGACGGCCGCCTGCTGCTTGATAGCGGCCTTCTGACAACTCCAGGATATTCTACTGCCACCCCCAGCTTTCCCGGCGCCACGCCGTACATGTCCAATCCATTGGCATCCACACCGTCATCAAGTTGCGGCAATGCACACGACACAGAAGATGTGGGAGACGTGCGTGGCGGTCCACACCTGCCCGAGCGCAACCCGCTCGTCGCATACGACAAGGTGGTTAATCTCAATAAGTACACCTTTACGCACACCAAGGTAAACCGTGTGATCTTCTTTGGGCCCACCAGTTGGCGTGTAAATCTCCACTGCGACTCGTCCTTGCACCCGGTGTTGGCGCCCTTCTACTACCTTGTCAAGATGGACCGCCAAAAGTGGAAACAGCAGAAGGTGGCGCAGGGCGCGATTGTGCCTGACTATAACCTCGCGTGGAAGAGCAGCACTGTGCGGGACATGACAGATTTTTTGGAGCAGATTCTTCCCAGATACGAGTTTCTCCAGGAGCGGCTCGAAGTGTTTTTCGATTCAGTGCAGTATTTGTATCCATACATTTCAAAGGAGGAAACGTTCCGAAATTTTCGGACATTTATACAGCCTGTCGGGATCACAGGTAGTGCAGGAACGTCTTCAAACGCATCGTCGTGCGGGTCGCCCAATAGGGCCGCGGGCGACACAAGCACAAACGCGGGCGACATCCGTGTGAAAATTCATGTGACCAAGAAATACCTCGACTTTGCGCACATTGCGCTTCTTCTCGCGATTGTCGCGACAGGCTGCCTCTTCAACAAGAACCGCACATTTGCACATACGGACGCGGCGTTTACGGACCCGCGGCACTACGTCAGCCTCGTTCTTCGCAGCTTAGGCGCCGCACGCGCAGTCGAGAAATCCTCCTTTCAGGCGCTCCAGGCACTTCTCCTCCTCCGCAGCTTTAAGCAGCATGATCCTGATGACGGTGATGGTGGTGATGGGTCCAACGGATCGCTCCTCTTCAAAATGGCGATGAGTATGGCTCTTACGCTTGGGTTACACAGATCCCCCGAAACCATCGTGCTAGCCAACGCGGATTACCCCGTAGAGCTCCACAAACGTCTCTGGAAGCACCTCTTGTACTTAGATGCGACTCAGTCCTGTGACTTGGGGATCCCGCTCTCGCTCGATGTGTCGTACTACACAGAACGTGACGATGGCAAAAGCACCTTCAAGGGGAGCAGTGCGAAGCTGGATAGGACGGTTGTGCGACCATATGATCTCTTTTACCGCGTCACTCCATTGATTGCAGACAGTGTGTTATTCTACACGACACTCACGCGACAGGTGCGTGTACTGCAGATCGAGGAGAAGATCCGTGGCATGGAGCAGTTTATGCGTGAGGAGAAGCTTCTCGGGAGCAAACCGTGTGGCGCGGACGAGCTCACGCGTGCGGTGTGGATCATGGTCAAGTACCAAGTGCTCGACCTTATCCTGGCATCCTACTACCTCATTTATCTTGAGAGCGACTCTACCCTTACTGATAATTTTTTGAAGTACCTGTTGATCTCTCACCGCTTTTCGGAGAATATTATGGAGATGTTGGAGGACAAGGAGAGCAACTACATCACCGAGCGCGTGATATTTCCGTCGATGAAGCGGTGCATTATCCGCTCGCTTATCACCAGCTGCTCGATCTTGTTCAACAAGCAGTACTTTGGGAACAAAGGAAACGAAAAATCGCTTCGAGAATTCACTGTCACTGACTTGGAGAATTTGCGGTACCCTTGCTACGCGGAGGTTGCCGCGAATCCCGAGCTTTCGCGCTCGTTGCTAAAGTTCAACAAACAGGCGATCATTGAGTTTGGTTACAATTTTGCGTCGTCCAAAAAGTCGAATCTCAGCAATTTCTACGGCTTCTTCATCTGCCAGCGCTTTTGTCTTTTGGTCATCAAGTACATCAAGGACAAACAGCTGGCAATCGCGAATGAACAGCGTGCGAGTTTCCATATGTTGGACCCCTCCCCACCTGCCCCCAGCGATGAACTCGATAACCCTTTTGACATGGCTTTGCCCTTCTCCATATCTGACGAAACTATCAACGGATTGATGCTGTTTAGCCCCGAGGATTTTGCCAGGCAGACCCCAGGGCCACACTAAATCACGGAACATTTATTATTGCGAATATATGTATCTTGATTTCTATCAAAATGTAACCGGGTTGGTGCTCCATTATTAATCTCAGTGTAGAGCAGTGGTCAGCATCACGGTTCGCTAGTGTTGAATTTCTTCATTTGTATCCAAATTTACAACTAAATGGGGAATACTGAACTGCTACAGAAACACGGAAACTCAATAAATTTGCTAGATACACACAAGCTGTATTTTTTACTTATCCGTACAGAGAATTCATTTGTATCGAATGTGACAGCTGACAAAAATAACGCAACCAGATCTCTTAATTTTGCAGTTTGCGCCCTGAGCTTGTCTTGCTTTTAGCCATGTATTCAAAATGAGTCAGACCATCTGGGTTCCAGTAGATTTTCAGGGTTGCAAATATTGCGATGAAGAAGACAAGGGTATATCTTAAAAGAGATAGGCGAGATAGTGAATTAACTATAACATTATGAGGGTTATAATTACCGAGAAGTACATTTAATCCAGCGGTGCTATGTAAACCGGATAAACTGCTCTAGAATAGAGACAGAAAGATCAGATAGGGATAGATAATGAAATATAGACGGAATAGACTTTACAATATAATAGCCCTAAAGCGACAAGGGATATGTTACAGATGGGCCTAATTTATTGGAATTATGAATACGCTCATGAGATGCTTTTGAGGCCTTGGAAGTTTCCCTCAAATAGACCCACATTGTTTCTCCCGATGGGCTAAGTCTGGTTCTGGTAGATTCTACCGGTCTTTAATGAACCTAAGAAATTTGACGGATCTAACAAGAAATATAGAAACCGTATACTGCACTAACAAAACATCACATGTACTTTGCGTAACCAATCACTTCCTGAAACACCCGGGCCAGGCGTCCAGTTCCGTGCGATCGTAATACTCCTGTAATTTTTGTTCCGTCTTCGCCCAGTGACGGAATTTGGAATTCGCCTTCAAGTCAAGATCAATAACGTAGCATTTACACGAGAATGCCACTCCATCAATCAGGAACAAATCAGAGCTTTCAGAGTATTCTGTCCCACCTTGGCGCATCTCCACAAATAAAGTCACATCTCTCAAAGTCATAGATAAACTCAACTCTTCTGTAACATCTCCTGCCGAAGTAATATCTTTTACGGATTGAGTGGATCGGGATTGGATGCGTTTTAAACGGTGTAGAATGTCGCTATTGGTGAAAAATGAGACCAAGACGCTTTTATAGGACAAAATACCCTTTGTTTCATCTTTTTTCATTTCCAAAAACATGTCATCTATAGCACCTGTGACTCTTTCTATGTGGAGCAAGTCCAATGGGCAAAAATGTCTTGGGACGCCCTGCATCTGCCCGTGGGCACAATTACGACAATATATCCGGGTGTTATCATAGAGCCATTTGGGCTTAAACTCTAACGTAACCACTTCACTACCCTCCTCTTGAGCGATATGCAAAATACAGTTCTTGGCGAGCTTTACGGACTGGACCACGCCGCGTAGAAGGTTCGGCATGACGAGGGCGTAGTCGTCACACATGAGCGTATGCCCACATCGCTCAGATAACCCTGTAAGAAAGTCCGGGGAGACCTTGACTAGCTCTTGCTCACATAGCTCTTTGTGAAAACTTTCTTCAAAATTGGTCTTGACATACTGCACGATGGTCTTGGTGGATACATAATCAGGCAGGTCATTGAACAACCGCACGCGGAGAAGCTTGTCTGTGTACTTCCCGAGGGGTCCGCGGTATCGGAACAAAAGGTTGGCATTTCCCTTGGTAAAATACTCCCAATCCGCAGGAGTTGTTTCTAGCAAACTCATCAGGCGATTAGGTCTCAGTCCGGCGTGTCGTTTGTAAGTAGAGAGGCGATGACGACTTTAATGCTCTGCCCTGCATACAGGAAATGCTCTGGGGATTGTGCATGCATCTACAGTGGACCATTTGTAAATCTGTAGTTTGGGTTATACTAGGTGTACTAACCTATTTTACCGGTTAGAGTAATCTAATTCTATTACTATTTGGTAGTAAGCTACTAATAGAGATATAGTAGCACAATACATATGCTGTGCACAAAAATACGAATTTAGCCCCAACCGTAACGACATACAATACGTTGCACTGTGAGTGTTGCGGTAATTTAATATAAGCGGGTGTCAAAGGAGGTCAGTAAAAGTATGGTGATTTAGTAATTTTGATTTGATAGACCTAATGTGTAACATATAAGGAAGCTCGGATTCTATTTTTAAGTGGAAGCATACCTTGAAATCAATAAGAACCGCGTTAAAGGCTTAATCGCCAAGAATACTATATCACCTTGACATAGTACAACCACCGATAACTCCAGACTATTACATAATGGTGGGTACCCGCACTTTCCTATCATATGTTTATATATAAAGTAGCCTAGTTTAGTTTGAAGAGACTATTATTGCTAGATATACCATAAGAAATATCCAACAGATTAAACAGATATTTGATCAAATACAGGGAGTTACAGGGGTAAGTAATAATAACTTTAATATCTGTAATACCCAAAAATATGATAAATCCCTATACTCCTCATTCAGTAACGGTTAGGGCGAATATTAACATCAGGGTGGCGTCAGTTGTGGCAAATTCCCCCAAAGCTCCCGATGTGGCTTATACATGTAAGACACTTTACGTAACCATCAATTAGCCAGTTTTACGCTGCATTTGGATATTTCTCAACCATTATCCATTGACTCCCTACTGTTGGCCCATTGCCTCACACTTTCTATATCACAATGAGTCTTCCAACCACATACAGAGCCGCCACCATCAGCGGCGATAAGATTGCCGTAAGCGCCGTTCCAATGCCTAGCTACGATTCCAACAGCTTGGTGGTCAGGGTTAGGGCTGCCGCCGGCAATCCAACGGATTGGAAGCATATTACTTTCGGTTTGGGTCCACAGGGCTCCATCGTAGGCTGCGATGTCGCGGGTGAGGTTGTGGCACTCGGGGCCAATGCTGCCCGGAGCTTCAAGCTTGGAGATGCGGTCTTCTCTGCCATCCACGGCAGTTCTGTGTTGCACCCAGAAAATGGCGGGTTTGCGGAGTACGTAATCATCGACTACAAGCTAGCTTTGAGGCTCGATGGGTTGCATGTGGCTGGTGCTGATGTACCATTCGGCAAGATTGAAACGTTTGAAGGCGCAGCCTCCGTGAACGTGTCTCTTTTTACCGCTGGCGTGGCGTTGACCAACCATTTGAGCAAGGGGATCCCAGCAGAGTTGGGAAATAAAACCATCGACTCTCCTTTATTGATTTGGGGCGGTGCTACTGGCGTGGGGCAGATGTTGATCCAGATTGCAAAGATCTTTGGTTCCTACGAGTCCATCATTGTTGTTGCCTCGCAGAAGCATGATCAGCATTTAAAGAACCTCGGGGCGGACATTGTAATCGACTACCATGACAACGATTGTATCGAGCAGGTTAAGGCATACGCTAAGGACTCTATTGCCTACGCTGTTGACTGTGTTTCCGAAGGAGATTCGAACGGCATGGTTAACATGGCTGTCTCTGACACCAGACCCTCTATAGTTGTGAGTTTGGCTGGCAGACCGCTCCTTACGCCGGAAGAAGTCAAGCCGAACGTGACCTTTGACATGGTGCTCTTATACCAGATTTCGGGATTGGAGCTTCCAATGGGGGGCCATATCTTCCCCGCCAGCCCAGAAACTAGAGAAGCCGGCATCAACTTTGTCAGATGGGTTGAGCCATACTTGGCCAGAGGCGATATCAAGCACATCCCAGTAAAATACGTTCCTGGCGGTTTGGATGCGGTCCACGGTTTGTTGGATGATATTAAGAACGGTAAAGTTTCCGGTGAGAAGTTAGTTATCGATATCTAGTATGGAATTCAAGGTACTTAATAATGCTTAGGATGCGTTACTCGTGGAACGATGATTAAACATGCACTTGCAGGGGACCGAGAACTTTTATTCTATATAAACAAATTTGTGTAAAGGTGAATGGGTTAAGTGGGTTTTAGAGTACCTAAGCAAATTTTGGTGAAGGGGAAAAAAGATGGAAGGAGCTTTATTCCTCTATAGTGAATGCGACAATATTAAATAAATGTATTCATTCGTGAAAGGAGAAAATAAACAGAGCTATAACCAATTATGAGGATCTAGAATTAAAACGGATCTGTAACTACCGTAGAAATATAGTCCAATACTTAGCTATGACTCTACGTTCCAATGCAACCTTTTGATTGGCCTATATAACTTTTCGTGGTAACTATACCCAGGTGAGCTAATCATGCTTTTAGTTATTACATGGCGAACTCCTCATTATACAGCTCATAATCTAACAAGTCCAGCTTTAACAATGTTGCGAGGTATACGCATGCACAATGACGGCGGTGGCGGTCTGGATGTTCATGGACCTGATGACCCCAACCTGCTTGATCTCCACACAGAAGTCCAACTCAGCCAAGCAATCCCCTGGAATCCCCTCCCTTTCTCTCCCCAACAAGATCAATGATTTCTGCGGGAACTTCAAGTCGCTGTTCAACTGCACAGACTTGTCAGTCTGCTCCAATCCGATCAAGGTGTAGCCTTCCTTCTTTTTCGTCTTCATGAAGGAAATGATGTCTTTGGCCTTGACTTCGGTCATTGGCATCCATTGGTCCGCAGTCACGGCGACGTTCTTGAACTGCGGATGCTTGGTAACCTTGTAGTCGTCCAAGGTCAATAAACCAGCACCCAAAACGTCGGACAAACGGCAGATACCACCCAAGTTAGGAGGCTTATCCACCAAAGAGGCTACAACAATCAAGTCACTTCTCTTGATGCTGCTGGAAACACGCTGCCCATCCGCGACACCGTCTACATTCATGATAGTGTTCCACGCACCACTCTTGGTCTGCATTGGTGACTGCTCGGTCCTGCTACCATCCTTTGTCGTAGCGGCTGGGTCAAGAGCGTTTTTGGCAACCTTCACCCAGTGGGCAGAGAGGTCTTTCCCAATACTGACCTTTAAAGATTTGCGCACACGCTCTTCTTTTAAATATCTCGCAAAAGCAGCCTCACCAATACTATCGACATCTCTATCAGAAACACGCAACAACACGCCGCCCGCGAGCCCTACTAAACTGAGATCGTCCTTAATGTTCCACAACAAAGCATCACCGCTTCTGAACTGGCCGAAAGCTTCCGAATGGATGGTGGAATCATACAAGCTGTGGACAATGGTGAGAAGGTGATCATCAATCTTCAACCCCTTGGAGGTGATCTCTGGATGGATAGAGCACATTAAGGACAAAGAAAAGTGTCTAATCAACGCCTTATTAGTGCTGCACAACGGCAACACAACTCGGTGCAAGAACTCAGACATGAATGCAGTTTCTTGGTCTAAAGACAACTGCTGGCCCATCATGAACAAGATGCGCTCGTAGGAAATGATTAGGGTTGGCTGCGGAGTGATGCTGTCGTTGGATAAATTGTGCAAGATCTTCTGGGCCTCCTTGGAGTATCCGCAAACTTCGTCGGTTTTCAAGAACTGCGAGGCAATGATCCATTCCAAGTAGATACGAGCCAAAGGCGATGGTTCCTTCTGCAACGCGTCGAGGAACTTAGTGGCATTAACTAGTCCAGCATCTTCAATGTTTCTCAACACAAGTAACAAGATCGAGTACAACTGGATTCTCTTGATTTCCTCTCCTCCGTCTGTGCGCTTGACGGGAGCAATCATGTCAAACAGACCACTGAAAATATAGTGGTAAATTTGCAAAGACATCCGTGAGCCTTGCTCTAACGAACTCAACATAGCAAGGATGTTTATCCGGGTAGCAATTTCCTCATCACCATACATGGATTCGTAAAGCCTAGTTTTGGGCTTCACGAGGACGTCGTAGGCGTCACCAATAACGATTTCTAACTTGAAAACGTTGAGAGAAAGTTGCTGAAGAATGTATGAGTCAACTATAACGTAACCAATCCACTCACTCCCATCAAACTCAACTGGGTTTGATAACAGGTAGTGCAAGAGTTGTTTGGTCAACGTTGGCAACAAAGACCTTCTCGCATATGACTTTTCTATGAGGGTCTGTGAAATATTCAATAAGGTGGTGGCAATTTCCGGGTTACGAGAGGCAAAGTGCATGTTTTTGACGGAGAACACAGTCTTGATGAACAACAAGTGCAAGTCTTTTTGGGTTAAGACCAATCTCTCAACCAATAAATTATCCCACATCCCACTCATCAAAATGATCGTTCTAGAGGCTTCAGTCGCTGTGTAGATATTACTACGCGAGAGCTTTTCCACAAGCGAACAGATCATCAAGTTACTTTGATAATCGTTGACTTTGTTCAGATTGTGTTCAAGTATGTCGAGAATAAGCTTGGGTGGAGTTTCGGAAGTGATGTTAGCCAAGAGTAACCTATAGTAGCCACTCAAAAAGGAGTCTTTGACTTTGTAGAAGTCCTTCTTGTAGTTTATACCGCCACAGTTCAACAACACAGGCACCTGCAACTCATTAAACGCAACCAAAACATCCATAGTGATGAAGGAAACCAAGGTGTGATCAAAATATTGAGTGCATGCGGCGAAGAACTGCAATTTGGCATCGACAAGTCTAAGGGAAGCTTCGTCAGGGCTGGACTTGTTCTTTAAATCAGACAAGAGCGAGTTCCAAACCGCCTGTAAACCAGCGGTAGTCAAGTATGATCTCAACACCTTCAAACGGTCCTGAACATTGGCCAATCTGGTATAGACCGAGAGAGTCTTTTCAGCGGAACCCAAAAACTCGTTTCTAAGTAATGGCTGGAGAACATAGTTAGCATAGTCCTCGAGGAATGGCGTAATTACCGCTTCGTCGCAGGAACTAACCATCAACTCCGAGACAACCAACTCATAGGTATTCCAGGTCTTCATTGCGGCATAGTCCAATGGGTAGCCTAAGTAGGTTGCAAAGGTAACAAAGAGCACGGTGCCCTCCACCTCCAACGTGGTGGCGTGCGCGAGGGCCCGATTAAAATCTTCGGCAGTGAAAGTTGACACTAAACATGATACCAATCTTTCCTTATTCGCATGGATCAAGCTATACCCGTTGGCCAAGCTCTTGGCATTGTTGAACTGGACAAACTTGGTGACAATCTCCCAGAACCGAAGCAACGACGAGTCCTTCTGGTAGAATAATGTTTCCAATGTGGTGATCTGCAACATTGACTCAATCACCTGGGACTCGGCTGACACCTCGTACAACTTCAAGCACCTCTCAAGGTGGGAGGCGGTCAATATTGGTCTGTTTAACGCGTGCAAGCTTTGTACAATGCCTTGGGTCATGTAGGCTCTAGTCGGGTCGTAGGCTTCTCTGGCACCAGCCAACACCTCCAAAAGAATATCCAAGATGCGGCTGATATCCTGCTCATCGGTGAGGTGCACTACCAAGTTCTCGATAAACTCGGCAAAGAGCACCCCATACTCACACTCAAGGGTGTCCTGTGTGGTGGTGACCTTGAAGTGATGAGCCAACATCATGTAAGGCAAAAAAACTTCCCTCAACAATCGCAAATTGGTTTCGCATTGGTTTTTGCCCAAGAACCCTAAGTTATGTTTGGGGATAGTCAACAACACGGACAACCCGAACTTCCTGACAGACTCCATGGTAGCCTTGAAGGCAGTACTGAGCAATACTACGCCCCAGGAGCTGCTAATTTCTGAGTCTTGTGAGGAGATAATCTCGATGATCTCACTCTGGGCGGCCTGCGACTGGTGCAAAGACGTGTCGATGGCCATGACCTCATACAACGTTGTGTATCTCGACCACTGAGTTAATTTGCGCTCGCATGCCGGCTCGTCCAGCACTTTCCACACGAGCAAGTCGTTTGCAATGTCAGTGTTGATGGCCTTGACGGACAACTGTAAGATCGACAAGGCAAACTTGCGGTGTTCGTGGTGGGAGGCGATTAATCCGGCCTGGATCCTCGCCCAGTAGGATTCCTGGGTGAGTAAGTTCTGAAAAAATGTGTTGTTTATCAAATCACCAGCGGAGAGTGATAAGTAGCGCAACCAGAGCACGTAGGAGTGATGTTGATGGTATTTGAGGTCCGAGTCTCGGAGTGCAAAAACCACGTCCCAGATGAATTCCTCGTTTCCCGCAACCATAATCTGCGCTATTCTCCATCTCAAAATCTGGGAGGCAGTGGTGGAAATCGTGGAATCTGCCACACACATATAGAAGCACAAGAGCTTATCGAGTCTGCTGTCGGCTTGCAAATCAGTGTTGTTCATGAACAACTTTTCCAAGAAATGCAAATACGACAAGACATGTTCATCAGAGACCTCCCCGCCCTCAAAGTCACCAGTGATGGCGTACTTTTGCGAAATTGTTGCAAAGTTACTCAAGAACTTAGACGAAAAAGACTCCTGGATGTACTTCACCAATACGCCGTCGACGATGTGGGTCAACATGTCTTGTGATAATCGGGGAATTTTGGTACAGGCCCTGAGAATCGACGCAACATCGTTTTTAGAGGTGACCTGCGCGAGACAGAAACGGTAGACGGCTGGGTAGACGCCAGCGACGATGTCAGCTTCGAGGGAGTCAATCATGTCACACAACGTGGCGAGCTGATTGGTATCGGCAAGGGACTGGGCCACCTGTTTACGTCCCGCATGGCCCAAGTGCTGCGCAATCGCACTAATGGAGTTGGACATTGGAATGATGTTTACGGAGAGACAAAAGTGAGAGCAGAACGGAAATATTCAGTTAAGTTAACGCCTAACTATCCTGCATATGCCCGAGATTGAAAACTTTTTTATCGGTGCAGGATGAGCTACGAAAGTGTAAATTATCCGAGTCACGTGCACCAACCAAAAGTGCCCTAGCTTACAGGTGGATGTATTTCATGGAGACATGCAACTAATTGATGGCTTCCAAACCGAGTCCCAACTAATGTATATATACAGGTCTTCAGCTCTTTCTGGGATATATGGCACATCGTGTGTGGTCAGGCGATTTGTCCAATTCGGCGTGGCGGATGCCACACAGGGCAACAACGTTTCAGAGCCAATCAACACTTTACCGACATCCACTGGAAACGGCCCTTTTGCCGAGAGTAAGTACTCTTCCAGGGTCTTTTCAGCAGATACTAACTCAACAGTGCCCAAATTCAGCGCTCTCGGCCTGCCAGCCTCGTTGTTGAGCGTCCTGCTTCCGGCTTCGGGGATCTTGAACACCCGCTGTGGGTCAATCATTGCGGCCAACGGTGATTTATCCCAGTTGACATCAGAAGTGGTCGTGCACGACTGGAAAAGAAACCCGTTTTTGTACCAGCGGGTTACCGCCTCTGAGCAACCAATGTCGTTGTTGGTTGCTCCCTTGATCAGCGGGGCCTCCTTTGCCACCATACACGTCAAGAACCAAACCTGGGTGGTGAACAATAAAGACAGCATCATCGCCTGGAGCGGTTCGAGCTTGGAGTTGTCCAGCGCAAACTTGCGGACCTTGGTCTCTGGTAAGAACTTATCCAACTTCACATCCATCTCTACAAGCGGCCAGGGAACTTTGGCTGTGAGTGGACAGGGCCAATTATTTACCATGAACTTAAAGAGCGGGGAATCGATGCTCATCAACCCGGGCAGTGTGATCGCTCACACAGTAGAAGCGCAAGAGGAAGCTAGCCGCATCGTCTTCCATAGACTAAAGAGCCAGAAGTTCTCCTTCTTGATACCGGAGTTTTCTGCCGTCGACAAGTATGTGATCAGAGCGAAGGAGTTTTTTACAGAGTTTTTGGCTAAAATCCAAGAGCCTACCAAGGACGAGCCAACCATGGTCGAAGCTATCGGAAGCCCAACCCCGGCACAATTGGAGGAAAAGCACAAGGCCGATGAGTTGCTCATCAGATCCAGTGAGCACACCACCGTCACGGGCTCTTTGTTCGACAAGACAAAGGAAATGCTCAAGAGGTCGTACAACAACTTCACGAAAGCCGAGATCTACTACGAGGTTAACGGACCGGTGACTTTACTAGTGCAAAACAATGTTTCGTTTGCCAAGGAAAACTTCAGCAAGCAGGAGTTGACTAGAGTTTATGAAACCATCCGGGAAAAATAAGTGCATACGCGACTCTGGGCTACATCTGGAAATGGATGTAAAAAGTGCATACTAAAATAAGTGTAGAGGTGGGGGGTATAACTGTAGGTCCAGTGGTACTACGTTTCATGAATCTATTTTACAAACTGGGGGAGCTTGTTCATCTGAAACGGGCAATCTGTTTTCGGTTGTAAGAAACGGTATACCCATAGTGTTCATGATACGACAACTGTAAGGCCCCGGACCGCATTCACCTACTGTTAAGACCATGTTACACATAATTTGAAATTTCCACGGGTGTATGCTCCAGTGCCTATCAAGCCTAAGATTTGCTAAGGTTTAGGGCTAATCCCTTTCTTGCGAAATCCGGGGATAAGGGTGGGCCTGGAGCTGCATATGACAGCTTGCATAGTACCGCCTGGCATAATAAAACGAGGGGCACAGTTTGGCTCTGCACCCCCAAGTGATCCGTAGAGCAGGGCAGCCTGAAATGTCAGACGACACATAGAAACACCAAATCCGGGGAGGTGACTCATTATGCGGTACCGGAGTCTACACCACCGGTACCGGCAAAACCTTATTTAGTTCTACTGTTACACCCACAAGATACGATCATCACTCCTTTATGGGCCCTGGTATGCCGTCAGAGAAGAGCTCTGTGCAAACACCGAATTAGGGATATCCATACAAGGTTTTGGAAGCGTGGTATCGATAATGATATCTCGGCGAAAGTTTCAATTATGCGGGCTGTGATCTTGTCTAATGAGATATGAAATCAAATATTCCCAACCCGGGATATCTAAAGAGTTAATCATCTCTGCCTATAATTTTGGCCACAAGGGGTGAAATTAGCATTTCTAACGGCTGGTGGTTGGAGCGCAGCTTATCGAGGTAGCAAGATTGTGTTGAATTCCGAACGTCCGTAGGTGAATTATGGAAGCATGCGTGCGCCTCCTTATCCCACGTTGTAAGCGAATTAATTAATTTCGCTTTTTCTGCGTTGATCCGAAGCAGCAGGACTATCATATGGGAAAATGCACCCACTATTGACTCACTCCCAAAAATCTAAACTTAGGACCGGGATAAGAATTTTTTACAGACAAAAGGTGAGCTGACGTACACATGCATATGGATAAGATAACAAAACAGACGGAATTGGGTACCCGTCTTGAAAATACACACAGAGGTTATACTGCGTGCCTGCTTTATAACAAAACTCCTATTGAGATGATGCAATTCTCTGAAAGAGTATAAAAAGTGACCGAGTCCCTTCTGATATTCCTAGATTCCTTTTTGCTATCATCACTCTCCCCACTCAACAAACATTATACAATGAACGCTTCCATCAACTTTTCACCATCTATTGCCTCTTCCACCGAAAGCTTTTCTAAGAAAATTACTTCACACAACCAAGACAACATCAATATTGATGCTGAAGAATGCTTGAGCGCCAACCCTCCCTCCAGAGAAGATGAATCTTCTGCTTCCTCCGAGGTCTGCATCTGGGAGTTGAGAAGAGAAGAAGACAGAGCCTACAGGGGTTACGATTAAGCGCTATTCTAGTGTATATTATACTCTTCGAAGTATAATCTTTGTATCTTCTTTTGCTATATAATTGCTTATCTGTTGGTTCAGGTCGGGGCCGGATGTCCCCCCTCGGTTGACGTATACATACGCCTTGTTTCTTTTCTGCTATTTCTGTAACATGGTTATTTTCAACAATAAATCTTTGTGTTCCAATAATAGAGTGGAGTAAATTTCAAGACTTTATCTCCATGCATTCAGTTTTGGAAAGATCTAGAACTCAGAATTATTGAATAGTCTACGTGTACTTTTAATCAGAACCAAAACTTCAAATCCTTTTGACACGTATTTTAAAGTCAAATGAGATCTTTCACCCTTAGTTGTTATCTTTATACCAATACGATTATCGGGAGTTCCCTCGGAGTTATTCACGAATATTAAACCTTAAAGATCAAGTCTCGTGAATTGGATGGGTAGTCAGGAGAGCGTATGTGCAGAATATGAATGCATTCACAGGTCTCAGGACAAGTGTTGGTTGAACAACAGAAAGCCCTTTTATACCTAGTTAACAAGTATATACAATCTTGTTAAACAGGGTTTGGAAATGTTTAACCAGTGCTTATTTTTCTGTTTAAGCAGTGCCAAATAGTTTAGTGGTGATCTCATCACGTGCATTAAGTCATACACGTGACGCAACGAATTTTCACTCGTCTTCACCATAAACCCCACAGTGATATCTACCTATCAAATATAACCATGGAGTAGCTTCAAAGACTGCCAGACTACCTTTGACCACCAGTAATGTTCATAACCCGAAACTTAAGCCCGTTTGTACGGGCTGTCTTCCGGGGCTTACCGAAAAAAACACCCGTGCGATACTACTCCATTCAAGATGTCGTACTCGAGGAATACGAAGAGCTCCATCCGTCGCTTATCAAACGTGCTAAAGACTTGGAGGTTGAATTATCCGAGCTTGAGAAAAAAATCTCAGGCGGGTTGAACTTTGACGTGAATATTTCCAAAAAGTTTTCCAAGCTCGCGTCGACGATTGAGATATACCAGAACTACGTGGACATGCTATCCAACGTCAAAGAGTTGAAGGATATTGTGAACGAGGCTAACCAGGACCCAGAAATGGAGGAAGAAGCCATTAATGAGCTTCTCACTGCAATTCCAGACCTTATTGCTGCCTCTGCCAAGTTGAGAACCAGATTATTACCGGAACACCCGTTCGCAGAAAAGGCTAGCATGCTCGAGTTCAGACCGGGTGTAGGGGGTTCCGAGGCGGCAATTTTCACCGAGGATCTCTTGAACATGTACCAGTCATATGCCCACCACAACAACTGGAAGTCCGAGCTCATCTCGCTTACTGAAGCACCTGGGGCTGGAATCACCGAGGCAGTGCTCACGATCAATGAGGCCGGCTCCTTCGACAGACTTCGCTTCGAATCGGGCGTGCACCGAGTGCAGAGAGTCCCAGACACCGAGAAACTGGGCAGAGTGCACACCTCCACCGCTGCGATTGTGGTGTTACCGCAGATGTCTGATGAGAGAGACTTGGACATCAAGGACATGATGGACACGCGTGAGTTCAAACCGGAAGATATCAAGATCGAGACAATGAGATCCCGAGGCAAAGGAGGACAACACGTCAACACCACTGACTCCGCTGTGAGACTAACTCACTATCCATCGGGGATTCTGGTCATGATGCAGACTGAGAGATCACAACACCGAAACAAGGCCCGTGCTTTTGAGATTCTACGCGCGCGGTTGGCAGAAAGGGAGCAGGCTGCGGCACTGGCTGCGGAAAAGAAGTTGCGAACGGACCAGGTCACCACCACCGACAGGTCTGACAAGATCAGAACCTATAACTACGTCCAGAACCGCATCACTGACCACCGGTGTGGGTTCTCGCTCTTTGACTTGCCCAACGTTATGAACGGAACCCGGTTGGACGAGATGATTGACGCCGTAGAGGCCAAGGAGACAGAAGATCGGTGTAATGCACTCACCAAGGAGATGTAATTGCTCCCGCTTTGGAACACTTGTATATAGAGAAAGAGCGGAGGGATTATGGATATTTATTTGACGTATTAATTTCACAGAAACTAAATGGATTGATACGGATATTTATTTTAATACATAGGATACTAAGAGAAGTCGTTACAGTTGGACTTTTTTTTTAAATAGGAATAGAGTCTACCCATTGTAATATACATAGCATGGTGGTTAGGAGATTAGAAAGAGAAACTAAGGATATACGCTCAGAAGAATTGGCTCAGAGTGACACTAGCTAGTGGTGACTACCGTCCCAAATTTCAAAAGCTACAGTGCATTTCCTTATAAATCTATATGACTATATAGTAAGAGATAAATAATTAAAATATAATACATATTTCTCTTAGCATTACGGGTTTACAGAGATACAATAAAATGAAATGAAGACCAATGATAACCATCAAAGACTGCATATTCAACAGATAAGGCTCTACTTATATTTGGCGGCATGGGATCGGGTCTAACATGTCTGCGACATCTTGTACTTCGAAAGGAAACACTACAGTCTTTGGAAATAAATTCTCGCGCATGCTTAAGACTTAGACTCGTACGGATTATATTCCATGCGTTTAACATAAAACTTATCTACATGACCCTACATCGCATCGTGCCTTATCCTGGCTTAAGTGCAGGAGTTTAGCAACATCAAGGAGCAAAATCGAACCACTTGCGACACTACTTAGCAATATCCATTCTATCCCCCGCCTACCCATCAACATCGATATTAGGCATCCAGTATACGTCTCAAAAATACTGTTTTTACTGATACCCCAACTGAAGATACAATGAGCAATGATGGCCTATGGACACACCTGACCAGGTCGAACGGCCAGCGATTGGGGAGCGAAATGCCCGGTAGCTTCCCCACCGACGAAGAGCAGGACATTTCTACCGAACGCTCTTACGTGACGTTTCCGAGCATGGATACTGAAACACAACAGGTCTGGAAGGACAATGCGGCGTACTACTTTCAGCTCTGCGTCATCTTTCCCCTCAATATGGTGCTACAGGTGGCTTCTCACCTGGTGATTGTGGTTGCGCGGTTGCCGTTGGTCCAGCGACTCCACTTGCTCAGCCAGCAGTCGTTCGGGAAGGCGAGCCCAGCAGACAAAGCGGGTAAGTTTATCCGCGAATTTGAGGAGCGATACTCACCGTTGGTTTCCTCCGGGGAGATGCCGCCATTTATGGAGTGCAGCTACACCCACGCGCTCTACACGGCTAAGAAACAGGCAAAGTTTCTCCTCATATGGTTACAGAATGACGATCATGATGACACCGCGCCGTTCATCATGGACTACTTGCTCAGCTCAGAGTTTGTCCGCTTGATTGAGGAGCATAAGATGCTCCTCTGGGGCGGCAACACGCTGGAAAGTGAAGCGTACCAGGTGTCAAATAATCTTCACGTGACCAAGTTTCCGGTAATGCTCTTACTGTGTCTTACCTCCGCCGTCACCGAGACCGCCAACGGCCCTGTATCTTCCACGCCCAAGTTGACCACGGTGCTCAAGCTGCAGGGCTTGCCTAAGCAGCCAGGAGAGTTTTTGTCTCTCCTTCGTGCTCGGATCGGTACTTACGAGCCAAATCTAGTCTCGATCCGTGGCGAATTACAGGAGGCAGAGGTGTCCAAGATGATTCGCTTACAGCAGGACGAGGCGTATCAGACGTCTTTGCGACAAGACAGAGAGAACGCCCAGCGGAGAGCAGTGGAACGGGAGAGACAGCTTCAGTTGGAGAAACAGGCCAAGGAGCGTGACAACTGGGTGAAGTGGAAGGCTATAACGTTACCAACTGAGCCAGCCGAGGGAGCACGGGTCGCTATTCGTTTGCCTAGCGGTCAGAAAGTCCTGCGCCGCTTCCTGGCGACGCAGCTGCTCGTGGAGATTTTCGATTTCGTAGAGGTGGCCAGAAACGGCCTCTTGGGGTATACGGGCCATTTTCGCGCCCCGGAACCTGGGTACCACCATGAGTTTACCTTCCGAGTATTTTCCGTGGTACCTAAGAAGGAGCTCTTGCCGAACCCAGTTATGACAGTGCAGGAGGAAGACACCGTGTGGCCGAACGGGAATTTAGTAGTGGAGGCGGAACAGGTTTAGTCCTTTGTATGGTTAACTGGCATTTTAGCCTTGTATATGAGTTTGTTATTGCCATTGTCGAGCAGGGACGTGCTGAACGTCTCAGAAACCTAACAGAGGAAAGAAAGGGAAAGATAATAAAAGTAATATGATAGTTTATGAGATATGGAATCGTTAAGTCGAGGTTTTGGGAAGGTGATGTATAGTTCTACAGTTATGTTTGATTGACAAGACTAGTTCCACGGGTTCTCCGTTAGGATTCAAAAAAAAAAAAAAAAGAAAAAAAAAAAAACATGAACTGCGATATATTCTACTGGATCAATCATCTAAATTTAATGTGTTCGAGAATGAGTCTCGATATTCTTGCAATTTTTCATCAAAGGTAAGTTGGAACGAGATCAAAACTTACGATATTGGATCTGTCCCTTAACGTTTCTAATTTGCACTTCTACAGCCTTAATAACTTTTCATGTGCAAAGAGAAAATATAAAATTTTGAGAATTTTAAATCACAGTTCAAGAAGCGAAATATTTGCCCATCTTTGGCCACATTTTCTGGCCTTACTAATTTTTGTGGCACAAATTTTAGCGTTTTCCCTTCCATGCACAGTCTTCGACGATTCAGCGAAAAGAAAAACTGGAGCATCAGCACAGGACACTCAGCGACTATGCAGATGAATGTTTCAAGACCCAACGAGGAAGGTTCGTTCCGTAGATATCGGTATATTCACAGATAATATCACATACATACCACCTGATGTCCAGAATAAGCAACGAAGAGGTATGTATCGCACCATTATCGATTACCTAACCGGTACTGGAAGTCGAGGATGGATCTGAATTGCCAACCTGTTGGAAGAGGCCTGTGTTTGATAGAAGGCAAATATCTTGCCACTCAATCCCCCAGGGCTCAAATAGTATTTACCCACAGATACTAACACTCTAGTTCTTGACCTCAGTCACCTCCCTTTTACAGCAGTCTGGCGGGAACTCATCCGTCTACTTCACCCAGAAGCGCTTGCTTCCATTCGATGAGGTGGAGGGCCAGCTGGTCTCTGCCGATTCTACATACTCCGTGTTGTTGAGAGCCACTGATGGTGGCTCAAAGAAGAGCAAGAACAGAAAGTTAAAGTTCTCCACTGTGATTGAGTCCGATAAGTTGGATTCCTTCTGGTCTGAATACGCTAATGTGTTGAAGAATGGAATGACCGGTTTGAAGAAGAAGGAGAAGAAGAAGAGTAAGAAGACCAAGAAGACTGGCGTGAGCAAGTAAGCCGATTTGCCGTGCAGAACACGAGAGTGTCTTAAGCTCCCATCCTATGTACAATAATATAAAAGTTTCCATTTCACAAGAGTTTTCCGCGTATCATATCCCTATGGCGCACAATTTGGATACATCTCGTTTATCCGTCACTGGAAGACCTCATGCTAAACTTGTACATATACCATATAAAAAGCCATGTTCAAATGCAAATCTATTTGTGCTAGGCCCTTTGTAGTTAGAATTCAGATTTATATCCAGATCTGTATGGCTCGCTTACATCTGGGAGTTGGCAGGCATAAACTGTCCTCTATATTATACAAACTGACTATGTTGATGTCTCTCACGGTTGTAGCTCGTGCTACACACTCGGCCGTCCTTTCAGATCTTGTTTTTCATCCACCAGGTGATATACCTCGCCTGTAATATACCCATGACTACCAAAGCACACATCACCATGATCGCCAACACCGTCCACTTTTTAAACGTGTCCTCATTCACGTTCCGCAACTTCTCTTCGCGGGCCACCAAGTACTCCAACTGCCGCTCGACCTCTTCAATCTCTCGGATAGTTTCCTGTAACCTCACAAGTAAGGGCTGAGATTTCTGGATGGACAGGAGCTTTTCCTTCTGCCAAGGTGACTCGCCGTCCACGCTGGTGTCAAAGTCGACGCTCAAGGTGACCTCTTTGGAAATTCCTTCGTCAGAGGCTTCGAGCACAATGTTGAGAAAACACACGTCAAATTCACTGAGAGGAGCTTCCTCATCATGCTTCTTTAGTGCCATGGCCAGACCATCAGCTTTGAACAAGATCTCCACCTGATTGACAATATCGTTCTTGCGACGGATTAATGAATCCGAGTCGTTCAGATCGGTAATATCCACGTTGAGTTCCTGATTATGGTACTTTTCACTGGTTTCGACCCGGAGCGCCACGAGCGCGGATTGCGGAACCCGGTAACGGAGACACACCCGTTGGATCTTGTCGGTATTCTTGGCCGCAAGGTGTGCTCTTTGGGTGATAGGAACGTCGAATGTAACTCTGGCCTCCGGAAACGACGTATATGAGTGTTCGAGTATTGGTTTGGTTATTGCCAAGCCTAGCACTGCTAGGAGAAAAGCTACTGATAAGGGCCTGACCATATTTGCTTGCATATGTGCGAAAGTTTTCAATGTCCAGATGACAATAATCGAGAGGTTAAAAGTATCGTTGTAATAAGGATGATAGAGGTGACGGAGGAACTGACACGTGAAAGACCCCAACGGTGAATATAAGGCAAAGCAATGTCCCAGCCAAAAAGCTATCTTGATATTGAGCTGGGCGTTATGCATACAGTTCACCTCCGCAGCATGCGCAGCGAAGACGCGTTGGAGTCACGTGCCTCTATTTGGCTTACGTAACGGGCTTGAATATCATTACGTTTCTCACTCGATCAATTTGTTCCCTCTTTCTTCAGAATCACCTACCCAGTACAGACTCTCATTTTAACCTCTCTCTTCATTGTGTCTTCTCGATTTCCTCCGATGAACCCTCTTCTGTCCCGCGACGATCTGCTGAAGTAAGATATCCTGCATATAATTTCATTAGGCAAGTAGACTCCGGTTTGGCCATTGCACCCTTACGGTCTTCAACGATATATCTTGCACGGAATATAGCAATGGGAACCACAGTGATGCTTAGCTCAGAATGATATTTAATGCGATATTAAAAGTCACTAGTATAATTACAGACTTACACCTGAATTGTCACATTCGGCAAGTTTCGATATATTGGGGACGGCACGTGTGATACCCGGCTGCGTCAATTCATTGCATTTGCGACAAACGGCATATACGGTGGCATAAAATGGTAATTAAAGATAAACGCTGGTATTGTCAGTGTCTGGGGCAGCCGCTACAGCTTTTGGCAAGGGCACAGTCACGGGCACGCCCTCTCTGGCATCGACAGTGCTGCCGTCGAGGGACAAGCCTCTTGCAGTCAACTCATTGTCTAAGCAGCCGATCCTCTCTTCTTGGTTCTTCAATACAATTCCATTCTCCTGGATCGACTCTTGGTACAAGTGTAAGTCTTCGGTGAGCTCAGCGGATGGCGTCTCGTCGTCGTTGTCGTCGTCGATCCTCGCCTTAATTAGCCCCACCTCCCTCGCCATAACGGTGTTGGATTCGTGCAATTTAGTAATAGATCTGGTTAGCTGGGATCTGATGTTGTATATTTCAAAGTCGGCCAATTCCAGCACAGCAAGAATGAATTCTTGAATCTGGACGGGTCTTTTCAACGATGCGGACATGATGTGATGGGGAGTAGACTGGTGTTAGAGTAAGTGGGCGGTTAAACTCAAGGTTGGGGGTTTAGCAAGAGTAAGGGAAATGTCTAACAATGTCGAGGAAGAGTAGGGGAAAAAAAACTCAGAGATGTGAATTTCTAGAGCAATACTTATAGCAAGGGCGGACGTGATCCTCTCCGCATTTGGCACATGACGATTTAGACGTCACAGACACCAGGTGCTTGCTAAAGTATAATTTGCGAGTGACCCTTGCCGCGCACGACCTTTGTTTTCTCGTGCAGGATAAGAAAATTATTCCAGTAGATTTGGCTACGTGAGGGCTGCTTTGCGTTACCCATCTCACTAAAAGTAACTAAATCTCGATGAAGTTATCGCCAGCCGAAAGATCATACCTCCACGATTCGTTGGCGTTACAGCCGCCTATCCGGCCCGATGCCAGATCACCGGCACAGTTCAGACCGCTCGAGGCTTCTATATCGTTCTTGCCTTCCTCTAACGGATCTGCCAGAATTAGATTGTCAGACGGAAGTGAGTGTATCGTGTCCGTTAAGAGCAAAGTTGTGCTTACAGCCAACGTGTCCTCTTTGATCCTGGTGGATGTGGATGTTTCTGGCTACAGAGACGACTCCAACTTTGTATCCAACTTGAACTACCACTTACAGTCGATTCTCAACTCTCATTTCCCTACCGCCGTCCTCAGATTAACCTCCCGATACTCCTTCAAGATTTTCGTTGACTGTGTTGTGCTATTGCATACGTCCTACCCGTTGGGTTTGTTATCTTTGACCACCTACTTGGCGTTGAAGACCACTAGCTTGCCAAAGTTGGTATCTGAGGTGAACGACGAGGAGGTTGAGGAGCAGCCAACATTCTCTGACGACTGGGACCAGTCCACACCGTTAATTCCTACAAACTCCACGTTCCAGCCACCATTGTTGTTCGTGGTTGCAGTTGTTGGTGACAACGTCTTCATCGACCCATCCAGAGAGGAGCAGGAGGTCAGTGAAAACGGGATGATCATCGGGTACGAGACCCAGGGTGTTATCAGTCCCTTTAACAACATAAGTCTTAGCGACAGAGAGGTCAAGGGGATGAAGCTGCTGCACGTCATCAAGGCTCACCTGTTGGTCAAGAAGTGTGGCGAGGAGGTATTGAAGGCGTTGAACAGTGTTGCAAAGGACGAGGGTGGCAATGCAATTTTCTAAAAGACATATGCCTGATAAAAATGTATACTAGTGTAATAAACATTTAAATAATTTATAACTTTGAGCGTGACACGTCGTTGGACATATTATGCTACATACCCAGGCTACCCTAGCTCAACTAAGAGCCTAGATGATATAGACCTTAATAGTATTTATAGATCTTTATAGCACTCCATTTTTGAACCCTTTCAGAGCAGGGGGAACAGGCTAGGAAAATAATATCGTTAGTAACAGCTTCAGGGCCGACACATGTGAGTTTACACGTGACACTTATTTTATATTTTCGCGGGACGCGTCGTTTTAGAAAACAACAAAAGGCGACCCGGTTTTCTGCAGCATATTTATAGAAAGGATCCAAGCTCAACGTTTGTCGTTACGATTAATTTTGGTACAAATCACTGTAACTGATTCATCCACGGCCAGCTCAACCTGCTACTACCATCTTTTGACTACTCCCTTGACATCTCCCCTATAGAACCGTCAACGAGTCCTACCATTCCAGATGCAGAGACAATCCATTGTGCCCAACAGAACTTCGGGTAAACCCTTATTAAGTGGCAAGGACGAGCCCCCCGCTATTGGGCGACGCAAATCCGTGTTTCACACGCGCCCGGTGCCTAGCTTCCAATCAGGCACGTCTAACGCGCAGCCTAGTCCAGCCACGTCTTCCACCTTGCAATTAGAGCACCTAGAACAGGAGATTACACTAACTTTGCAAGAGATCGACAAAAACTTCTCCAAGAGTAACAAAATCATCAACGATCTGATCTTGCCCATCATCAAGAACTACGCCGGCAGCTCGCGTAATCTCTGGTCCTCGGTGCAATTCTGGAAACAATTCTTTGAAAATAGTGCGAACGTACAGTTGGCTGGCTATGAAGAAGCTATGGAGCCGTTTGAACGAGAGGATCAAGATGCTCTGGAGCTCAGAAGCGAAGTATCAGAGCACGAAGAGTCTGAAAGCTTGGCGCAGTACCCCGGGAGAGACCCCGAGGATATTAGCGATTCCACGATCCAACAGTTCCAGAAACGGTATTCCCGAACGGCTGATTCACCGAAACGCATTCAAGAAACTGACTTCACTCCGCAGAACCTCAATTTTCCTGGGGGGATTGAGGCCTCTACCCCTGATCTTCAGAAGCACGTACCCGCTACAACCGGATATGTGGACACCACTGACAGCATTCTACAGGTTCCCACTTCCAATTTTGTCGCTCCTAGCTCTCGGCGCTCGCCGTTGAAACATCAAATCTTGGACTCGACCGTGTCTGGATCATTTACTGTGCCTACCAAAGCCAGAGCGACGCCGCCTAGAGATCAAACATCCCTAGAGGCTGCCCATCAGGCCAAAGTTCTCTCTCAGTCACCGTTCATCGAAGACCCTACTGTTCCTACAACTATGGTGTTCCACCAATCAGGGGCTGGTAACCAGTACAAGATCCGGATGACGCCGTCTCCCTCCAAACGACTCTTACCGAGTGCCAAGTTTAGTTCTCCTAGGAGATCCCCAGAGCGAAAATCGCGTAGTGAGCGGAGGTCTATCACCGCGCAGTTCGACTCTTCGCCTGAAATCTCGCCACCCAGATTGATGAGCGACGTGCAGTTATCACCAGATGATGGCAAGCGGACTCATGGACTATCCCCCGAAAAACCCCTCAGAGGAGAGAAGAAGCCGCGACAGGAGATTAGACGGTTTCCAGATACGCCCAAGTATAATAGCGAAAACGGTACTGACTTCAACAAGACCCCGCGGGGGATTGAGATGCGCTATGCAGATTCCACCACCATGGATGAGGCTAACATTACCAATAACGCCATGAACCGTGGCACGATTCTTCCGCGGATGTTAACAAACAGGCAGAGGCAGAAAGATGCCAATCTCGATCATCAGCTTGATGAGTTAGAAATTCAGTCCGACGGAGACGACTTGCCCGAAGGCATTTCGCCTCCTGTGACGATCCAGTTTGCCAAGGCGGTATTTCCAGAGGGTTCTTCGCTCAGGGACAGTTCACTCGGCAGCAAAAAGACCAAGGAAACTGCTGCCGACATCATCCGTGAAATTCTCCAGGAAGGGAGCACGAGCATTGAGAGTGAGCCTAGTTTGGTTAACGTTGTGGGAGAAGCCGAGAGCGTTGAAACGGCGAAAGCAAATGAGACAGAGTTTCATTCATTCGACGAGAGTGACAGTGTGTTCAAACCTGTGGAAGGCACCACTGAGATGGAGGAGCTCGTGCAACAGGCAGAGCAGCTCGAACCAATCGCCGTCACTGCTCTGACTCAAGGTGTGACAGACATTGACATGTCCGGATTTGAGTTTGATGCGTTTTTGGACCAGCCGAACGCTGAGACTACTAGTGGTCATTGGAGCGATGAGTAAGGGAAATGGCTTGTGCTTTTTCAACCGGAGCTTATTCCGTACGGATCGATTAGAGATCAAGCTTAGTCTAGCCTGCTGGTCATATTTTAATTGAAATTTACTTATTCACCCCTTAGAGAATCTTCTAATAGACAGAGTATATCCAATGACCAGACTTAGTTATCAGTGTGAATACCCCGAATGCCGAGTGCATAGGCTTTTCACTGTGGCTTTAGTAACAGCCTCCTAGCCTTAGGTGTAGCTTCGGTTCAAACTTTCAAAGTTAAAGTAAAATTAATTACTGCCTTGGGAGTAATAGTTCATGATCTCCCAATACACTTTTTTTTAGAACTCTACATGCAGAAACTTCATATAAACCACTTTGAGAGCGTATGGGAACTACTAGTCTGCCAAGTGGCTGGCGCACGCCCATTTATAGTTCCGGGGATACGCGCCACCGCTGCTTACTAAAGATTGCTGATAACGGAGTCACGAAGAGATCACGCAATTGAATCACCTGAGAAAATACCGTTCTCTTTGAGCAAACCTTTAAGACAATCTGAACCATGTCCTTTGATGAGGACAACAGCCCCTTCGGGGCGGGAGTCCCTAGCGATGTGTACCAGACAAGCATTCGTGAACCAGTCAGCCTAGAAGTGCCAGAGGATGTAAATCCAGAGGCTGTCCAACCAAATACAAGCATAGAGAACGAATCCCCAGTCAATACGCCGCCGAATGGACCCCCACTTGCTGATTGGAGCTCGGGAATATCCATCATCGAGGCGGGTAAGTCGACCGAGGGTGCAAGCCGCGGATACATCGCATACACGATTAAGCTCGGTGAAAACACCGTAAGACGGCGGTACAGTGAGTTTGAATCCTTGCGGAGCATTCTATCCCAAATCTTCCCGCTTCTTCTCATTCCGCCGATTCCGGGCAAGAGCTTCAACCTCAAACTTCTCGCAACGCCGCCGCCCAACGGGGTCGATACAGAGACGAAATTGGTGGAACAACGCAAGAAGATGTTACAGCTCTTCTTGAAGGAATGCCTCAAGATGGAGCAGGTCAGAGATACACAAGTGTTCCACCGCTTTCTTGACCCCAACTCCAACTTTAACGAAGACCTCCGCACGGGCGAAATCACGGATTTACCCCTCAATCCGCTCTGCTCCAACCCCTTCAACGGACTTGATACTTACAAGAATATTCTCTATTCATACCTACCGCCTGAGGTGCACACCACATCTATGGACTTGGAATCGCTCCATCTCCAGCAGGAGGACAACACAAAGCAAACGTCACTGTACGAATACATCAGTCTCTACACACACATCATCAGCAGTGCTGATTTGTCGTTTTCGCATGACTTTGACAAGGCAAACAAAAAGGTAAGCACGACTGCCCGGAAGCTAACGGATTACTACACTCAGTGCGGTAACAGTTTCAATTCCTTCAGTCTCAGTGAGCCCGGAACAGAACTTTCCTTGCTCTTGGAGCGCATAGGCACGAGCTACGACCAGGTATATCTCATAGAGGAGGGATTTATCGAATTTATTGAGAAGCGCTTCAACGACTACTGGAAGTTCTATCTCCAGTGCTTCGGTACCATCCGCGACGTGTTGGCGTTCCGCGAGCTGAAAGGCAGGCAGTGCGAATACATCCGAAGCTCATTAGCTTCCAAGGAAACTGCTTGGCAGGCCTTCCAAAAGTCAGATGACGAATCGCAGCGCTTGACCCAGGCTATACGGAAGTCTGAAGGAGTAGCTTCCAAACACCGATTGCTTCTCGAGCCGTCTCTGGACGTTCGATTTGTGCCGATCACGGTTCCCAATCCGCCGTCGAAGAAGAAAGGTGCGTTCAGCTATTCCCTCTCTGCCTTTTCCAAGTTGAAGTCCACCATTGCGGATGTCATCACGCTGCAGCCTGAGCTCTCGCGGGAGGAGCAGACAGCGCAACTCCAGACACAGATCAACGTGTTGCGCCAGTGTCTTATACTCGCGGAAAGTGATATCTCGAAAATGGACGAGTTCATTAACGAGCAGTTCCACCTGTACCACGATGAGAAACTCGTGTTCATGCGTGGGTTGCTCCGGGAGTACTGCCGGCATTTGGTGGAAGTGAATGAAAAGTGTGCCGAGGTGTGGCTGGAAACGAAAGCGGAGATCGAAGGGTTGGGACTATAACTGCATTGGCGTTTTCCAAGAGAGGTTTGGGAGGTCGAATACTGAATTATGAGAACGGGATCAAATTCAGACTCTGAAGGTGCCAGGTATTTACCAGAAGCAGTACAAGTGTGGAAACTAAACTGGAAGGGGAAAGCCACGTTGAAACGTGTAACCTTCGTCAATAATTTTTTTTTTTATAATCCAGTCTAAATCGTAATCCCAGATGTTGTTACCCCTGGGGTTTATATGTAGCCACCTTATTAGATTGAAACAGCAGTTCAAGTACTTTCATCGGCTTTCTGCTGTATATGGTAACTTGCGGAAATAAAGAATGTCATTTGACTTGTATTATAAAAAAGATCCTTTACCTAAGCCCTGTATTGTTTAACTCTACATATTCTGTTAGATAATCACCTAGATACTACCTCTAGATATCAAGTATCGCCTATAATGTACATCCTATCTGTATAAACCTCGTTCACCGTTTTTTAACGCTAAGACGGCCACTTCCCCGCTCTTAGTCATGAACTCTCTCAACCTACCACAATTTCTGAACAACTGGAACAACTTGTACTTCTCGTCCGCCACCAACTCAATCAACTCTAAGGCGTTGTCAAGGTATGTGGCATCATCGCTCCTGGTACCGATCTGCACGAGCACGCGCTGCAACTCAAACGTCAAATGCGGAGCGTACAAAGATCTCAACTCGTGCAACATTCCCGCATCTTCCAACGAGGCCGCCAGGTCGCGCATCCACTCTAAGATTAAGCGGTGTAACGCCACGCAAAGGGTCTTGCTGGAGGCAACCACCGGCGCAGCGGTCCATGCCAGCTTCGCTTGTAATAGCTTGGCAGTGCTATCCCACTCGTTGAGCAACTCGAACACGGCCATTAACTGGTCGTACTGAGCTAACTCATCCAACTCGGCCTGGGTAGTAATAGACTCGGTTATCCCAATAAAGTTGTCCAAGTCGGCCGTCTTTAATAGCTTTTGCAAAGAGTTCTCACGCGTAAACTTCCTCAACGCATTCACCTTTCCGGCAAGTAACAAGCGTCGCGCAAGCGCGATTATTGCACTGATGGCATCTGCATGCATATTAGCAAGGAGGAACCACTCGACGGTGCTGCAGAGATACGCGTCGTGGGAGTCCACGTCCTGGAGCGGGCTGTCAATGGCGATCTGAGCCGCACACGCGGCGTCGTACAAGTGCGCGGTGTCCTCGAATGCGCGGCTCACGGTTGCCTTCATAATGTTTTCAATTGGCAACCCCAACAAGCGCGCCTGGTGCAATTGATGCACACGCGCGGCAGGGGCTATCTTGGTTAAGAAGAAGGAATAGATCTTGCGAGCCTCGAGCTCCGGCAAGTACGACACGTACACGGGCAAGTGTTCCACCAAGCCTTGGGAACACAGGCGGGAGGCAAAGAGGGTAAGCAAGGTCACAAAGTTGTCTTGGTCCACGTAGGCAGGGTCGATGGTGTGCAAGAAGACGCACAAGTGGGTTAACACCCGCAAGAGGTAAGGCTCTTTGGTGAGCACCGTCAGATTTGATGCCGTGAAGGCTTTGAGAGACGAGCCGACGATAGTGGAGACCTGATCGATCATCACGGAGCCCATTAACACGCGCAACGGGTGCTGGCACTGCTGCCGGACAGCAGGGTCTGAGGACTCAGACAAGGCGTTCAACACCAGGCTAATATTCATGAGTACCGGTTTGGGAAGCGGAATACTGAGGTCCTTCGATGGCACTCTGCCAGACCGGATAAGGAAATCTTCCGTGGCGGTCTGGAAGATGCAGTTCGCATGGAGCAACACATGGGTCTCCCATTCGTGATGCGAGGACACGGCAACATCACCACTAAGAAACGCGTAGATCGCGCGTTCGCTCTCCGGCAACTTGTCATCGCGCGACAACTGGAATACTGCGCGGCGCCATAACGCTTTGTGCTTGTTGCCAGAGGGCTGCGCGCCGTCCTGGAGAAATCCGACATCAACAGCAGGGTCCACATAAACTTGGACCCCCGCCAAGATCATGCCAAGTGTCCAGTTGTTGGTAGTCTGCGCCGCCTCGATCGCCTGCTGGATTTGGTTACGCTGGAGGAGCGCGTAGATGTGCGCGAACGCTGCTTCATCGTCCACATGATCTGTGGCATCAATATCGCGCATACGCTCTCTGAGCGGCGCATCTGAGTCCAAGTGGCTCACCACGTTACTCTTCTGCAACCCAGTGCTGTTTGTAAGCTTCATCTTGGTGCGGAACCACTTCAGTGAATCTAAGTCGTCTATTAGGTCCTGGCTCGCGTTATCGTTGAGCCACGAGATAATGGTCCAGATCTCCCGCAATTCCTTGTTGTCCGCTAGAAAGTTCTCCTGGTGTACCGCGTTGGAGCTGAATGAGAAAGCCGCAACCTTGACGTCCGAAGGGTGGCGTCTGACGCCGACAAGTAACTCCACCAAGTGCCACAACTTGGTTTCAAGCTCCCAATTGGTGAAGGCAGCATCAGTGGTATCACTTTTGTATGCCTGCTCGGCTGCAATGGACTTGAACGAGCGGAGCAAGTCGAAGGGATCGGCTAGCGGGTTGAGCCTGAAGCCGAGGAGCGCCTCGCCGAACTGTGAAACAACCTCGGAAGACTCGGGGGTGCCCTGGCTGAGCTGTGTCATGAGGAGGGTGCTCATAATGGGAGCAAAATAATGTGGCTGGATGTCAAAAAAAAATAATATCGGCGCCTAATCGAGATCAAAATAGTTCGTTTTGATCTAGACGTTAAGCAAAAAATCGTGAAGCAGTTGAACAGGACACGACCTTTCTCCTTCGAGAGATTAGTGCACGACCTCGGGGCCTGCGAGTGGGTTATGGTTGCATATCCGGGCCACAGCTGTGGACGCGCACGGCTTATCTCGGACTCTCCCGCTCCCCTCAAGGGCCATATCTTCTACTGGCACCACTATGTCAGTCTCATGTTCTTTCTTCTTCATCACTCTCACTAGCACTGCCCGGTAGATTCTAACCGGTTTTTTTTTCTTCAGATCCCCGTCACGATAAAGAGTTTGGTAGCGTTAGTTATATTATTTGATTGAAGCCCGGGTTTTTATCTCCAGATTCTGTATCCCTAAGGAATCTTCATTTATTTCAGTTGGCCTATACATCGTTCTTTTTCTTCGCTAAGAATCAATCTTCTGGGATTGAATCACCCTGGCTTGAATAAATTCCTTCGGTATCCTTAATTGACCACGGTATCTTACTGGGTCGTTATAATACCTGTCTCCAAACTTTGCCATTTACCTACATAACAGTTTCACTGCCAGTTTATCCCTTTCAGGTTTTAACCCGTTCTGGCCCTCCACTATTACTTCCCATAGCTTTTTGCTGCGTAAAACCTTCTGTTTTGTATCCATGCCCCGTTTACAGTCCCGCTACAGCTCTCTTGCTGCCTCTGCGGTCGTCTCCTTAGCCGCCGGCACACCTTACCTATACGGTGTATTCGCCCCCCAATTGGTCAAACAGCTCGGCCTAGCAGCTTCAGACTCTGCAACCTTTGCGCTCGCGTCCAACATCGGCTCGGGCCTCGGCGGCTTGCCCGGAGGCATTTTGATAGATACCAAAGGCCCCCAGCTCGCGATTATTGTTGGCTCCATCTGCATCTTTACCGGCTACTATAGCATCTACTACTGCTATACACATGTGTACGCGTCGCTCTGGCTTATCAGTGCCGCCATGGCCTCTGTGGGCTTCGGCAGTGTCACAGGCTTCTACGCGTGTGTCAAGACATGTGCTACCAACTTTCCTGACTACAAGGGCACAGCAGGTGCGTTCCCTGTCAGTGCGTACGGTCTCCTGGCGTTGATCTTCAGCTCCATTTCTGCTATGTACTTTGGAAACAATACTGGGGGGTTTTTGCGGTTTTTAGCGCTTTTGTGCGGCTCTACCGTCTTTTCGGGTGTGTTTTTTGTCAAGTTCTACCACTTGTCTGACGAGGAAGCGCCATTAATCCGTCCGGTGAGAACTCTCCGGACCCCGTCCTCTTCCTCGGTGTTCTCCAACACCGACAGCGTCGCAAGCACCCGTACGTTTTCGCTCAGAAACTCCATGGTATTCTTCGGTGTCGGTAAGCGTGACCCGCTCCACCGATCCGAATCCTCTGCTGAAATCACTCGTACTGTCAAAGACGACCAGGCGTTTGCCTCACGATCCAGTGCCGTGGACACCTTGAAGGTCTTGTTTTCGTCGCGCGTGTTTTTGGTGCACTACATCGTCATGGCCCTCATCGCGTCCATCGGCCAGATGTACATCTACTCTGTGGGCTTTGTCGTCACGGCGCAGATTAACAACCCGCACAACCGCTCTGCCACGACCCAGGAGGCTGCCCAGGCCATCCAGGTGTCACTCATCTCCATTTGTAGTTTCCTGGGGCGCTTAACCTCAGGCCCTATATCTGACTTCTTGGTGCACAAGATGCATGCACAGCGCCACTGGTTGGTCATTGCTGCAACCGTATTACTCTCCGTGGGCCAACTCTTGGCCACACGGTTAGACAGCATCGACTCTTTGTGGATGGTGAGCTCGCCCGTGGGACTTGCGTACGGCTTCTTGATGGGCGTATATCCGGCCATAATGGCGGACTTGTTCGGCACCGCCGGGCTCTCCACCACCTGGGGCTTGATTTGCACCGGTCCGCTTGCCCTTTTGTTTGTCTTGTCGTCTTACTTTGGTGTTATCTACGATCGCAATAGTGTGGTGGACCCAGAGGTCGGCAAGATCTGCCGCGCCGGTGTGGCCTGCTACAAAGACGCCTTTGTCACTACCGAGGGACTCTGTGTGGTGATCTTTGTCATCACTTTGGGTCTTATTTACTACCAAAGAATACAATAGGCGATTATAGAATAGGTTTAGTCACCCAAAGGCTTGAGCTGTATGGTACACGCCGGGTATTTAGCCAGTCTTGGACCGTCTTGAAGTGACCATTTGATATACAAAATATAATACGAAAGGATATAAGTCTGATAGTTATAATTGCTTTCAAATGAACATTGAAGGGCACTCGCTCTATTCTTCATTTAGATACTTCCCTGCCTTGGTAAACTCTTATAGATACAACTCGGTTGTTGTTGGATAGTCGTATATACTCTAAAAGGTTGACAAGTAAATAAAATGTAGACATCAAGGATAGAGATCTACAAAAACTAAGGTCCCGAGTAATCACCAATCAGAAAAATTTCTCATCAGCAAGATAGGATACAGTGTCAGAGGAATGGAATGATTATGGTGAGTGCATGATTGCGGTTATTATATCTCGACTCATCATTCCATAGCCAAAATCCATATCGAGAGTATTCTTTTATATTTTTCATACAAAGTAAATCAGACTCTTGTAATAGGGCTTTTATCCTACTCCTACAAACCCCTGATACCCACTTGAATTAGATTAGGGGTATGCATAAGACCCGCATCCTGCGTGTAATCATCAGCGTCTCATGTAGGAGGTCTTATTGTATCCAAACACACCCTCTACCCTTCCATAGCTCATATTATACCATCCCTAGAGTTTTATCACAGAAGAATTACTCTTTTACCTAATATATCCCGTTTCGCCGTACTACTGAGTGCATCAGACCCTAATTGACGAGACAAGCGATCCAAGACATAAAACTTGGCACCCTCCCGCGAATTATGTCGGCACTGCGTGACGTGCACCTACCAGCATTGACGCTGACAAAAGCGCTCGTTTTGATATCGAAACCGACTTGCCAGACCGTTTCACTCCAATTCTCTTCTCTCCCCATACACCTTACCATCCATGCCAATTCGCTTACTTGAACCCTTCCTCTTCGATAACAATGTCATTGGGACATTTCCCACTGAGATCTTGCGCCATGCGCGCGTCGGGATCGACGTGGAGCATTACGTACAAAAGTACCTCTACAACAAGCGTTTCCCGTTCCTCGAAGCTATAGGCGGGGCTCCACAGGCGCTCTTCCGCCAGCTTGATACGGACCTTACACTTTTCAAAGATCTTGGTATCACGCCGACGTTTGTGTTCAGCGGAATCTCTGTGTTGGCAAACCAGCATGCGCGTGACGCAGCCGCGCGTGGTATCGCGTTGACGCCGGCTGAGAAGCACCGCAGCGACACGTGGAACAAGTACTACGTGGGTGCAAGTAACCCTGCATCTGAGCATATTGAAGCATTCCGCGAATACAACGCGCCGCCGAGTATTTCACCATTCTTTCTTGACATTGTACACTTTTTCCAGGAGCGAGAGGTGCAGTACATGGTAGCGCCGTACTCCGCATGGGCGCAGTTGGCATACCTCTACACGGATGAGTATGTAGACGCGCTCTTTGGGCCTACGGAACTTCTCTTTGCAGACAAGGTGGACAAGTTTATCGTGTCACTTGACACACCTGCGAAAGAGTTTCGTTTTGTGGACAAGCGCCGCCTTTTCCTGGAGTTCCAGATCCACCAGCGGCAGTTCAACCAAGCAGCAGCGATGTGTGGCTTCGATGCGCAGCCTGAGGTTTTGCCGTTTCTTCCACCGGCCGCATTTGTTGCACCATTCAAGTACTGCCTCGATCTTCTCTACACGGGAGTGGACTTACACCAGCACGTGCTCAACATGAACGACCCGCGGCTGGCAGAGATCTTTGAAAAAGCATTACTTGCGATCCAGCTCGCCCCAGTGATGAAGCTGAATGGGTTGGTCGAGCTTGCGATAAACGCCCCGGAGCCGGCACAGGTCCCCAACGATGCGCATGAGATCATCAGCCAGCGCTTGCCATCTGAGTTACTCTTCTACCAACGCTATGGTTTGATCCGTCCGAAGATGTTGGAGGCGATTGTGTTCGGCAAGAAGGATGTACGCCCGCCGTTTGCGGGTGGCTCCACCAAATCCTATCGTCAGCTCATAGCAAGCAATGTAGACCTCATCGACAAGGAATTTGGCTTGTTGACTGGCTTGTTGACGCGCTATTACCAGTTCAAGAAGATCCCGTTGAACTTGTGGTTCGAGGACGGCAGTAAGGCCGTTGAGTTGAACACTCGCACGAACCCATCGGCTTATTTGCGCGTGCGCCACTGGTACGTCAAGACGGAGCGCACGGACTTTAGCTTGGTGGAGTTCCTTGGAGACTTGAACGACGATTATCTTGCCACGCACGTCAACCGCGAGAAGATTGAGGAAGATAATTTGTTGAGTTCCTCCAGCGACATCGTTTCGACCGCCTTGCTCAGAGCGTTAGACCTCATGGGGTATATCCAGGATGGCAAGTTGACCGCATGGGGGCAGATTTTGGCCGGTACTCCTGGTGATGAGCTGTTAGTGTACCTCCTCCTCTTGGTCAAGGCTAATGTCTTGAAGCTCTCGGACCAGTTCACCCCGCGTCTCCAGCACTTTTCCGAAACCAAGAAACACAAGCTCTTGCAGGCCGTGGACCTGACGTTCAGGTGTGCTACGTTCACTGCAGCCGAACAGGAGAGCTTGATGATAGTCACACGTGTGTTGGCAATGGTGGAGACCTCGGTACCCAAGCCGGTATCGTACCAGGGCCCGATCTCAAAGTCGTTGTTGGCGTTCCGCAGTCATGTAGAATTTATCCAAGACGCGTTCCGGTCCGTCGTGGAGGTTGCCACCGTCACATCCTTATGCAACAGCGAAACCAACGTCAGGTTGGTATATAACGATAAGGACTGGATGAAGTTGAGCGCGCAGTTACCGTTCGGCAAGTGCGTTGCTAACACCACCATGGGTGCGTTGGTGGATCTCTATGCAGAGCTTGTCAAGAACAATGCCGGTGACGTTGCCAAGGCTAAGGAGCAGCTCAATTTGGTGTGCCAGTCCTCCTACATTCAGGTTGCGGATATTGAGCGGTCCTTATTTGGTGACGGGCTCCGTTTCTGGGGCGACTTTATGGATTCCATTGAACGTATCCGTACTGCCAACTTAATCGATTCTGAGTACCACCTGAAGCTTATGGAGGCCGACAAGTGGTTGAAATCGATTGTCTAGTAAATAGCTTCATACATATGGAGAGAAAATAAAGGGAGTTTTTTTTTCCGTTAATCTACATGAATAAAAAAATGCAAATGCAGTATCAGCGGAGACTTGCAGATTATACAGTGAAAGTGGGTGTTGTGTACGGGAGGGAGGTTAAGGAGTTGTGATTACCCTATCTTTTTCCATTAACAGCACATTCTATCCAGAAATCCCTGCTGGAGGAACTGAACCCAGTAATTCCCTCTCAGACATTTATTTACTATTTTAATAGAATCTTCATTCTTGGCTGACGTCAGGCTACCGGAGCTGGTTTAGGTGCAGGACATGCCTCGAATGACGAACCTGACATAAGCGAAGCAACACACTGCTGTTAACGGACATGGCTTGTGGTTTTTTAATATTTTGACTCATGTTCTGGTTCCATTGTGAGTTTATCAAAATAGAGGCCCCGGATCCTTATTCAGTCTGGTAGCGAATAATTATTATCGGTTAATGCTTCGTACGATCGTGTGTGTGTTCCTGCCATGCACGACCTGTGTGTACCTTTTACCGGTTTAGTATATTTTCCCATGTCTCTTTATCCTGCCAGCCACGCTTTTACGCCTAACAAGCCTTGTGCTTAGGCCCCTGGTCCAACTTTGTTGAGGTGCCAAAAATACATCGCTTTGGATCACAAAAGTCAAAGTAGATCACTTCAGGACCTAGGATTTTTACACGTCTCTATCCGGTTCTCAGGCTTACCGGGTATCATATTTTATCACGTTTATTTTATCAGGCATCATGAAACAGAGCCAAGTGCCACCACTACCATTCCGAGTGAAGACGACGCATTCGTGGCCAGGCGAGGTGAGCGGCGATTTGGGGTTTGTGGAGGGCGACATTATCGAAGTTTTGTCGTTCGTAGACGACGAGTGGTGGATGGGAAAACTCAAGCGCAACCAGCTCCTGGGGATTTTTCCGTCTGACTTTGTCACCATTGTCGAAGATAAGCTCAACCAAAGCATGCGGGTAGATATGAGAGCCAGCACGGCTCCGCGCCCTAAAGACCAGTCTATGCGGCAGACGGACAAGCTCTTGAAGAGCCCCAAATCGCCTAGCCCCGTCCCGGAACAACCAGATGGATACTACGAAGACGAAGAGGTGGTGGATCCCTACGGCTTCTCCTTCCGGTCTTCAAAAAACAAATTCGACTACCAGCAGTTGACCAAAGAGGAATACCTTCAGTTGCAGAACTTGCAGTTGCAACAGCAGCAGATCCAGCTTCAGCAGCAGCTTCTCAGACAGCAACGAATGCCAAAGTCCGCCAGCGTGCAGGCGTTAGACCGCGTTCGCCGCGCGGGAATGCCTACCTCACAGAGCGACAACAACTTGACCCGCAGCCCAAGTCCCCAGAAGCAAGGCTTTATGAGCTATGATGGGTACTACATGGAGCCAAGTCCAAAAAACGGGGGTGAGAGAAACAGACAAAGCCCTAGGGGTCAACCGAAATCCCATGACAGTGGCCCCCCCGGGTGGAATCACACCGGAGCCCAAGAATCTCGTTACACTTCTAGACCTCGCGATGGTAGCTCACAGTCTAGACTTCCTGAAAATGGATTTAATGGCTCCACACCTCAATCGCATACTCGTTCTAACCACGCCCGTGATATTCGCTCCTATCCCCCAACAGATGAAAGCCTTTCCTCTAGATACGACGTTCATTCCACTGTCTCTGGCAAAGCACACTCTAATCACTCTAAATCTAACGATATCTCTACCCCCTCGAGCTTTGCCGCATCGACAATGTACCATGCAACTCTTGAAACCGACGAGTCCGACTTCAGCGATGCACCACCGCTTCCGCCAAAACACGCGGTGCCGCGCTACAAGAGTAGCAACAACATTACCGGAATGCTCGAACCACCTCGCGACAGCTTCATACCTTACGACGCGGACGACCTCCGGATGTCGTTGTTGAAGGCAAAAATGGCAAACGATGAGGTTCATGATGAGAAGCTTATGCGTGTGCTCCAGGACTCAGAGAAGGCTCCTGGAGCGGTTTCGATGACTACCTCGCACTTGGGATACTCAACACAGTCTCAAGACAGCGAGATCTCCATCCGCTCGGACTTTAGCGCTACAAGCGCTGGCTCCTTTGCACAGCACAAATTCCGCCGCGTGATAGATGAGAAGAAACAGATGATCGAGGAGGGTCAGTCTGCGGGAGCGACTCTCCAACAACAGAAGGAAATCATCGACAGTATCTTCGAGATCGATAAGAAGTCGCGCCACCCGAACTTTTTGAAGAAGATTTTTGCAAAGGAAAAGGGTGCGGCACCGGCATTACCCCTCGAGCACAGGTTGACGCAGCTCAAGTTGACGGAGGACACATTCCAGGCGGAGTTGAACCGGATGAACACGTTGAAGCTGAAGGACAAACAAGACCGGTCGAAACGGGTAAACGAGGAAGAAAATGTGATTTTGAAGCCGTTCGACTTCATCAATGAGATCAACAAGAACGAAGTGGACGAGCTGCGCATGGAGGAGCCGCCATACTTGTTCTGGCAAAATAAACAGAACCCGTACAACAGCTTTGACGTCACCAAAAGGTTCTTGGCCTCGTTCCACGCCCCTGACTTGCGGACCTTCCTCCAGGAAGTGGATGCGCACTTCCAGAACCACACGTTGGAGAAGATCAAGACAGTGTTCTACAAGCTCGTAGAATTCAGTCTTTTGGAGGAAGTCTCGGAGAAAATCTCTGTGGCGCGGCCGCTGCAGAAGTTGGACGCGCTTTTCGCAGCACACCGCGGTACGCTCTATGAGCTCAACTACTTGTTCAAAAAGATGCTCGACGGGCTCCGCATCGAAAGTGAGGTGGTGCTTGGTTACATGAAGAAACCAGAAGCGCTCAACGATACTCTTATCATCAACCATTGTTGGGTGTCAGTGTTGGTGAACGGGGAGTACCGGATGATCGACTACCTCCTCTTCAAAAACCACGCGATGATGAACCGCACGTCATACAACGACTTCTACTTCTTGACCAAACCCTTGGACTTGATCCACACCCACATTCCATCGATGATTGACTCCCAGCACATTGTGCCACCCGTCGACTTGCTCATCTCGTTGTCGTTGCCGTACTGCTATTCGGGCTACCACCGCTACGCGTTGCACCTCCTCAACTTCAACAATGGTTTAACTAAGTTGAAGGATCACGAGTTTTTTGAAATCGATGTCCAGCTCCCCTACGATGTGGAGGTCTTCACCCACATCAAGACCGCCGACGGCACCGAGCACAACGATTTGACCCTCTGCCAAATCTTGTGGAGGCGCGACAAACGCATTGCCCGAATCAAAGCCTTATTGCCGCCAAAAACCGCTTCGGGCTTCCTCCAGGTATTTGCAGGCCCCAAGGGTGTCCAAAAGACCTTGAACAATGTTCACGAACTTGCAGTCGTCATCCCGTTGCACCACAAGGGTGAGTATAAGGCCATCGAATTTGTCTCGCGCTATCCGACGAACCAGAGCAAAGCTAACGACTTGTACATTAAACAGCCTCAGATCAACAACGTCTTGAATCGCAACACCTATACGTTCCAGATCTTTCAACACCCATCGAAGTTGCTCATGGCGGACTCTCCGTACCTCGGGTGCAAGTTAGGCTTACAGACCCCGAGCGGAAAGCTCATCCCGCTTAAGAAGGAAGCAAACGGCAAGCCCTATGGGATGTATGAACTTTCCATCAGGATCAACGAGGTGGGAACATACCGTGGTTTGGTAATGACCGACAGTGGAAACAGCTGGTGTGTGTTTGCCGCGTGGGAATGTGTCACCAATGATGCATAATGTTGGGCAGTTACATTTCGACATATTTAATAGCATTTTAGCATACTTTAATGAAATAGTTAATATTAACGAATGACTGGTATGAGGCTTGGAGATATACATATCGAATATATACACATATATACATATATATATTATTTACCACTATTTATGTATCATAAGTGGATAGGGGTTTAAAAATCCTCAGCTTAGTCTTTTGTGTATCAAAGAAAAAACACCGACTCTATTAAAATTTAAATATATTAACCCTACTTCATCAAATAACTTACGCTTGGAGCTATTGACTGAGTTCACAAATGTATCTCTAAGCGGTACATAGGCACTTTTGATAACGGTATGATATATGACAAAGTGCTTGAGGAAGTCTGTTATGCCTCATGGGTCAGCGTGATTTCCCCGAGTAAATTAGATAATTTGTTTCTGCATCAAAATCTTGGCTGGACTAAATCTTGACATAATATCTTAGGCAGCCTTAGAACTTTTCTGCTTCCGATTCTTCAGGTCGTGCGCCACACGCCTCCTCGACTGTGGCAACCTGCGATGTACAATTCAAAAGTGCTCCACGCCACCTCACACTCCAACAATCCAATTCCACACTACACATATCCATTAACATCATGTCATTAGAAGAAGCCAGACAGGCAATCGTCAACAAGGACCTCGCTCTCGCGGAGGCCACGTACACGCATATCTTGACCCAGAAGACAGATGACAGCAAGCTCGCGCAGCAGCAGGAGTTGGCGGCGATGGAGTTGGGGAAGTTATACCGAGACAACCAGAAGACAGAGCAGTTGGTGGCGTTGATCGCGCAGGCACGCGCGAACCTTGGGGCGCTCGCTAAGTCAAAGATGGCAAAGATCCTCAAGCTCTTGATTGAGATGCTCAACGACCTTCCGAACGCGTTGGATTTGCAGATCCAAGCCACCAAGGAGTCCATTGAGTGGGCTCTCGAGCAGAAGTTGTCGTTTTTAAGACAGACCTTGCAGTTGAAGCTTGCAGCGTTGTTGTTTACGAAGACGCACTACAGCGAATCTGTGGCGATTCTCAGCGCGTTGTTGAGCGAGTACAAGAAGCTTGACGACAAGTCGTCGTTGGTCGAGGTACAATTGCTTGAAGCCAAGAACTATCACGCGCTCAGAAATCTTGCAAAGGCGCGCGCTTCGTTGACGTCCGCGCGCACGTCCGCGAACTCTATCTTCTGCCCGACCTTGACCCAGGCGGAGTTGGACTGCATGAGTGGGATCTTGAACGCGGAAGACAAAGACTACAAGACGGCGTTCTCGTACTTTTATGAAGCGTTTGAGGGCTTCCATGCGCAGAATGACGGCCGCGCCGTGGCGGTGTTAAAGTACATGTTGTTGTCGAAGATCATGCTCAACTTGATAGATGAGGTCAATGCGTTATTGGGGAACAAGAACGTGGTGAAGTACACAAACCGCGAGATTGAGGCGATGAAGGCTGTGGCCACAGCCTACTCCAACAGGTCGTTGAAGGAGTTTGAGACAGCGTTAAGTGTGTATGGTGCGGAGTTAAAATCCGACCAAATAATTAGATCGCACTTTAGCGACTTGTACGACACGCTTTTGGAGCAGAACTTGGTCAAGGTGATTGAGCCGTTTTCCACGGTGGAGATCGACCACATTGCAAAGGTCATTGGTTTGGACATCAAGCAGGTTGAGGGCAAGTTGAGCCAGATGATCTTGGACAAGGTGTTCTACGGGGTTTTGGACCAAGGGAACGGCTGGTTGGTGATTTATGATAAGCCGAGAACGGATGCTACCTACGCCGCAAGCTTGGATATTATGAAGAGTTTGTCGAGTGCAGTGGATTTGTTATATGAGAAGGCGGCGACCTTGAACTAAGCTAACTGATGAAGCCAGGGTACAACTACTGAACCATGTGAAGACTGTAGTCCGGACCCTCAAGTAGCGCCCTGATTGATGCTCCAAACGACCAATGTGTATTCCAACATATAGAGAAGCTTCTGCTTTACTCCCCAATCCGCAATGGGAATGTATACTACTTTATATCTTATCATGAAAGATAGCATCTGTAGGTAAGTCATAAGCAGACGGATTGGGTACTTTATCTAGATAGGAACTTTGTCACAGGCTAGACCATTTCTGCACGGAAAGATCTGCTAGATGAGTCGGTTTTTCGACACGAGATGTATCTATGATATGACAACGATTGGACATAGGTATCTTTCCCAGCCCTGCTAATGACTCGACCAGTCCACACAAGCATCTTGAAGCGGATAAAAATTTATACCAGTACCCTATGGATAAACCAAGACTACTAAGTAGCCTCGCAATTCGAAGAGCGACATCCTACAAGTGTGAGATATATTGAAAAAAAACAGATGGAAGCAATACGTGACTAATATTGAAAAGCAGGAGAAAATTGTAATAGCAAATTGTTCTAATATATAATATATAGAAGGTTACAAGAAGAACCAATGAATAAATCACCAATACTGCCTCTAAAGGCCAATTCGTGTTAACTAATTTAACGGAGACAAGTTGAAGTACGTGTGGATAGAAAAAAAAATTCAGTCCCCTTGGCGTAATTATGAGGCATAATTTCTCCTCCTTTTTATTAGGTTCGGTCTGAATTGTATTATTTATCAATTACCACAGTAATATATAATTAGTGAAGCGTTTGGGTTCTATAACTCCGCCGTAGACTGGGAATTAAAGAGCCTAGATCAAACAGCCTTTTCTGTAATTCCTGATCCAACTGGTGGATTGTTATCAGCAAGGGAATCAAGAGTGAAATAGACGTCCGAATATAGATTTCCAGAACTAAGCAAGACGAGAATTTACGATACTACGATACAGCAAACATCAGAGAGCAAAATGAAATATATCCACAGAGGATAGAACTATAAACATACAGGGCTCTACCGAAAACCAACGAACTATTTTTTTTCGCTTACCCGCCATATTAGCTCCAGATCCAAGCAAACAAAAACGGCTCGCAGGCCTACACTGACTTCTTTACATTGTATCCTACAAAAAGAACCCCATCAGCTAAGCCATTATTATCTCATGCTTGCTCTACACGCCTCGGGGAAACCATCAGGGATGCCAAAAATTGGGTTGATCGCACGCACAAGATTCACCTGCTCCACTTCAACTATATCGCTCCTTGCCGGAACAGATCTGAAGCAGTAGGCGGCACTATCGATAATGCTGCTGCAATACTGCGCCTCGTCGAACACGGTCTCAGTCTGCACTGTGGCCAACCCGCAAAGCACGTAGTTGGTGTGGTAAAAGTCTGCATTCATCCCGGGCTTGTCTCTGAGTCCGCCTTTCTCAAACTGGCAGCAACTCAAGATATAGTGCTGCAATGCGGGCCTGTTGATGATGGATCTTTCGCCCAAGGCGACTTCGAGGAGAGGACCAACGGTGCCTACCCAGTGACTGTAGCACCCGTCCACCAACTTGTTGGTTCTGCCTGATAGCCCACCCTCCAGCGTATATTGTCTCGAGACGACCCACCGGGTCAAGCTATCAATGTTGCAGTGCTTTGAAAGTTCTCGTGGATGCCCAAGGAGACACAAACTGGCTACTGCACAGAAGGTGTATCCGCCGTGTGCCTCATCGAACGGAATACCGCCAAAGCCGCCTTCATAGGTCTGACAGGACTTTAGCCACGCCCCAGTTCCCTCCACCAACTCTGGGGTCATCACGTCTAAAAGAGAAGCCACAGTTAACACACAGTACACTGCACGTGTGTCCTTCTCGCCGCCCACATGCATCACGAAGGAGCCGTCTGCCTGCTTTAAAGTGAGAAGCCAGGGGTAGATTTGGTTCTTCATTGCACGCATCACATCCCAGTTCTTGGTCAAGGTTAGAGAGAGAATCGAGGCGTAGGTCGCTGCTGCATGACCTGTCTGACCAGGCCCACCGCCAATTCCTCCCTCGGGGTGGATATACCCCATAATTTTCTCCCTCACTTGGTCGCAAGTTTTTTGGTTCAATTCCTTCCGGAGAAGAAGCAACGAGTTGAGGATCCAGTAGAGAATCCAGGGGTTGGACGCGTCAAGTACGCAGAAATCGTGCGGAAGCGAGCCGAGTGAAATGGTCAAGAACTGAACGTGCTTCTTCGTGGCCAATGTGGGAAACTCTCCCAGTTCAAGTATCGTTTCGTAGATCTGCTTGATGTCCAGCTGGACCCGGTCCTTCTCGATGGTAGTTTTGGTTTCGAGTGTGTCGTGTATGGTCGTTTCGGCCTCACACATCGTTAGCAATGTTTCGAGGCTGATGTCGGTGTCTGTAGAGATTTGCTCGGAGGTCACAACGGGACGTTTTTTCCCTAGGAGGTTCAAGACGTAGTTGAGCGTTTCAGGAGTGGGGTTGACCATGGCTAATGATGATGTGTTGTTTGTGCACCGGGGGTTGATGCCTTCTCCAACTTGATTGAGCCGGCCCAATCGGGTAATTATGCTGATACAGATTTTTTTTCAGTGGGGTGCTCTTGTGTGAAGTGCGGCGTGGGGGCAGACACGTGACAGCGTCTTTCAAAGCGGCACGAGGTTTTCTACAGGGAACACCCAATGAACCCCATTCATGATGTCGTCACTACAGACAGATAAGGATGTGGATACCGCTTTAAGGTTGATTGAGTCTAGCAAGCTTGACTACAGCTTGAATAATGCCACACAGGCAAAGCTCCACGCGTTAAAGGCGATCAAGCTTCTCAACCCGATCCTCAAGAACCTTGCAGGCGAGCTGGACACCAATCACTTGGCTTGGCTTCAGCACATCTGTCAAGACATTTTTGCATTTTATGAAGCTATCAGTACACAAAGAGCGCTATCGTTTGATGAGCAGTTGCAGTGGCTCGGCTCTAAGATTAACGGCAACCAGTTTCCGCCCTCCACGGCGGCAAACTTCTTTGTGGCCAGCGTACAATCCACCGAAGACCCCTTGAGGCTTGCGCCGCTGCAGGAGAACCAGCTTGACGGATGGAAGTCCACTTCTGAGATGTTCCCTGACCAGGACTGGGTGACTGAGCGGGGCATCGAGGACATCGCTCAAGACGCGCTATCTGACTGTTCAGTAGTGGCATCGCTCATTTCTATTATCAATAATGATGGGAATCTTGCTAAAAGTTGTATCACGCCGCATCGCCGTAGTCCAAAGTACTGTGTGGCGCTCTTTGCCAATGGGTGCCGGCGTCAAACCGTCATTGATGATCGCTTGCCGGTGCTCAAAGATGGCTCTTATATATACACACGGTCGCTTACAAACCCTCTCATTGTTTGGCCGGCGTTGGTTGAAAAGGCGTATCTTAAGCTCCGGGGCTACGGCTACGACTTTATCGGCTCCAACAGTGCGTTTGACACGTACTCGCTCATTGGCTGGGTTCCCGAGTTAGTGCCCATCGAAAACGGCCGGTTTCCCCGGTGGGAGGCCCTCTACCTCGCCTTCAAGGAGAAGACGCTTTTGGTATGCATCGGGACCGGAAAGCTTTCGGCGGAGGTTTCGCGAGACTTGGGGCTCATCTCGGAGCACGACTACGCCATCACCGATCTCCGCGTCAGCAACGAAATCCGACAGGTGTTGGTGAAGAACCCCTGGCACAACCTGGGCAGAGAAATGTGGTTTGACGAGTCTGACCTATACTACTTCAACGTCTTGTATCTCTCGTGGTCCCCACAGCTTTATCCGTACCAAGAGTCTGTCAATTTCTTGTACACATCCCAAACGTCGTGTCCAGACAACTATATCGGGCTCCCACAATACTCCATCACCGCAGGCAGCGACATTCTTAATGTTGCATTGCTTCTAGAAATGCATATGGGGATGAAGCCTGAGCTAGAGGTCGCTAGTGTGAACCTATTGGTGTTTGAAACATCGGGTGAACGGCTTCTCCAGCGAGCAAACTTTCTTTACAAGGGATTCCACTTGGAAAAATCGCGGTATAAAAATGCCTTCTTCAAGTTAGCCCCAGGAAAGCTGTGCACCATTGTCATCACCAGCGCCCAGTCTCAGCGTTTCAGTTTAACTGCGTTTTCCAATCGTCCGTTACAGTTGCAGAAGAGCGAATATAAACAACCCCACCAGGAGGTAGTGCGGGGCACGTGGGATGTGAAGAGTGCCGGTGGAAATTGGTCAAACTCCTCGTACATCTACAACCCACAGTACGAGCTAGTGGTGAGCGAGCCGGATACTCGCTTCAACTTGGCTATATGGACAGATGCGGAGCGGTACGTCAATTTACACGTGTTCCACCGTGAAGGGACCAGCCTCCTTGAGACAATCAAAACCTTTGACAGCGCCAGGGCCATTGTCAACGGTAAGTACAATCTCTCGAGCCAGATCCATGAAAACGTCTACTTGCCTCCCGGAAAATACACCTTGGTTGTGTCGACATACGACCCAGTGGTGATGGCGCCGTTTTCCGTGTTTGCCGATTCCAACAAGAGGATTGACATTCGCCGATTATCTTCGACATTGGGCCTCTTCTCCAAGAAAGAGGTCTTTCGGGGTGCAGGTCCTTTCCGGTACAAGTTTTCGCTCCAGCGCCAGACGGATGTCGTGGTCTGCGCTACGTCTGAAGAAGGGCTGCGCCTCCGGATCTCGGTGTGCGAGGCTTCTATGATTGACTATGTCGCCGGCTACCAGGGCGCGATTCGCACGGAATACGAAGAGTCCCGGTATGGCGTCTTCTGTGAGGCTGGGGGACTCAAACAGGGCCAGTACGTTGTGTTGGTTGAGAAACAGGGGGATGGGGAGGGGTGTGTGCTTGAAATTGGCAGCAGTGTGGATATTTTCAAGATTTCCCACTAAAAAAATATTCGGGGTTATTCCTTTTAAAGCTGTTGCTGGGTTCTATGTGTGTTTCTTCAGCATAGTTCCTTCTACATCTCTTAGGTAGTGTCCTATATTGTAAACTCCTTTCTTTATGTTAAATTTTTCACATTGCAGTGCTCTACACCGATGTACCCTACTTGTGTATTAGTTTTCTGTCCGGCTTAATTCACCCATCAGAGTACTCTTTTAGTGGCGTATCCTAAAGTAGCAAGTGTGGCTTATAGGTGGGTGGCGTGGTGGCGACAAATTTCCCGTTCACGCGTCGCACAAAAGACGCGTATTTTTTTTTCAACAAACAAAACTTGGTCTTCCAAGTATCTGCTCTTTCTAGACTACTAGTACAACACAGAATGACTTGTAAGTTCCAATATATCTATTGAAAGAGTTCAGTTACTAACGGCACAGCATACCAAAACCATAACAATAACTACTCCGGTGGCGACTACAACGGTGGCGCTGGCGGCTTCTCCAACAGTAACTACAACGACACGACCTCTGCTGGCGGGTTTGGAGAGAGTTCGCAGTCCAAACCAGCGTTGAGACAGTCCATCACGCCGGTCACGCTCAAGCAGATCTCCCGGAGCACGCAATTAGTCCCAGATGGCGAATTTACTGTCGGGAACTTGGAGTTGAGCATGGTGTCATTTGTCGGGATTATTAGAAACGTTATTGACAACACGGGGAACGTAGTTTTGACGGTGGAAGACGGTACTGGTTCGATGGATATCAAGTTATGGGTGGATAGCACTGATTCTGCTGTACCGCCGAATTACGAACTCAACAAGTACGCACACTTCACAGGGTCGTTGAGGCAGTTTGGGGGTAAGAAGACGGTGCAGAATGCGACCGTCAAACAAATCATCGACCACAACGAGGTTACGTACCACTTTTTATCTGCCATTGAGGCGTATTTGGCGTCTCAGGGCGCCACCCAGAAGAACCAGTCCGAAGGCTTGTTTGTATCTGGTCCAGACGGTAGCGAGATGGGCAAGAGTGATGTTGACCGCGTCTATAGCTTCATCACTCAGAGAGCTGGAAGCATGCCAGAAGGTGTACCTATGCAATTGATTGCCACCTCATTGGGCTTGAGAGATGACGAGGTTACTGGCTACTGCCAGAGATTAACGGAGGACGGCAAGATTTACCAGGGCTACGATGACAATGGGTACCTTGCCATTTGAGCGGTTATCTTCTGCATCCTACCCTGTTTGTAATACCAATTTTTAATTATACCTATAATTTGAACACATTGGTTGTGGCTGAGTTGTAGATGGCATACGGCTGGATGTTAATTTTTCTCCTAGTACCACTGATTTGGAAAATTGTAACTTCTACGGACACCACGCCTAAGCCATGTTATATTGACTGCTTCTTTTGGCTAATTTTTATAAGGCAATCCAATGGATCAGTGGCCACCAAGGTATGTCGACGTTCTGCATTTTGGTACGATATGTGACGTCATTAAAATTCATACCCTTCAAGATATTTCTTTGTATCGGGTGCATCGTGGAGTATACATTATACCTTTATCAGTAACAAATATAAATAGCAATTAATCCAAAACATTCGTCTTTAATAGCTGAGAATAAAGTAAACTTGGTAAATATAATGTTTCTATCACGGCGCTCTGTAGAGGTTGCACAAACATTTCCTAGGATGAAACCTGTAGGCATCTCATAACCGGGCATCGCACGTGACTGAATTTTTTTTTCAAGACACTTCAAAGACGTTACCTATTGTTTAGCCAAACCCACAACACTCAACCATACTTAAAATGCCTACTGAACTTGAAGAAGTAAGTCCCCTTTATAGTTTTTTATGACAAGCTCTAACCCTCCCAGCTCGTGGAGTTTCTCCACTCCGACAACGCGCAAGTCAAGCAGATTGCACTTGAACACTGTGTGCAATTTTCCTCAGGTCCGCAGCAACAGCTCTTCGCGTACGACAACTACACCGCTATCAAGGACTTGAAGGCGTTGATTCAAGTCAACGGCAGAACTACGGCCACCCAAGCTGCAACCATCATGGCGAACTTGTGTGAAGACACCGTGATGCGTGACTTGATGGTGGATGACGAGGAGTTTCTCAAGTGGTTGGTGTTTGAGGTCTGCAATCCTCTCAACAAGGTTGCCGACTTGATGTGCATTCTCTTGACAAACTTGGCCAAGAGCGATAGTATCACTAAGGTGTTTGGCTTTGAGACCGAGCAAATCAAGAACGATGACTTTCGCGTTTTCCGCTCCAACAAGGCTATGGACTGCTTGATGGACTGCTTTGTTAAGGGAGCTGATAAGACCATGAATAAGTGGGCAAACTACGACTACTTGTCCTACTTTTTTGCCGATATCTCGCGCTTTGCACAGGGTAGGGCCTACTTTGTCACCGAACAGGCATACGATGAGGTCGTGCCAATCTCCAAGCTCCTTGTGTTTACCGAGAAGTATGACGCCAAGATCAGAAGAGAGGGTGTTGCTTCCACGATTAAGAACTCTTTGTTTGATACCTCTGCTCATATGACCCTTATCACCGATGAGAAGATCAACTTGTTACCGTACATCTTGTTGCCACTTGCGGGCCCGGGCGAGTTGGATGACGAAGACATGTTCAACCTTCCAGATGAGTTGCAGTTGTTACCGGAAGACAAGAAGTGTGAACCAGTGCATGAGATTCTCTGCGTCCACTTGGAGTCATTGTTGTTGTTGTGCAACACCAGACCCGTCAGAGAGTACTTAAGAGAGAAGTCCGTGTATCCGTTGATCAAGGAGTTGCACAAGGCGTTCGACGTCGAGCTGATCTGCGAGTTGTGCGATAGATTGGTCCAATTGTTGATGAGGGACGAAGGCTTCGATGATGAGGCCACAGAAGACAGTGATGAAGACGACCAGATCGTGGAGGTTCTCTAGGCAGAATGGTAGATTGGCTCATAATAGAATATATTATAATCGTGAATAAAATGCTAAACGATTGAGTTAGATAATGAAAGACTTGTGGGCTTGAACTGGCAGTTTCGTTTTGCCTCCGGTATTTTATGGTGTTTTCAACCATATTGAATGGTTTGAGGCTTAAGCACAATTAGGGGCCTATCTCTCCACGTAGATTAGTGGATTTACGAGTACTATACCCTTTCCACTACCGGCTTTATAACGAATCTGTCGTCGTCAAGGTTCGCTGCGAATTTTATCGACCTATTTAGTAAGGATTCACGGTGAACTACTAGAAGATACTTCGTGCCTTATGTCCATTACACAGTATTTAACAAGCCTGCCTTTTATATTGGTTAGCCCCTCGATTGTTTAATTATATATATATATATATATTTAATAGCCGTAGTGGAATGCATACAAAGGTACACACACCAACAGAATTTACGAGCGCGGCTCTATTTCACAACTAACTTCCCATCCACAAGTTTGAGATATTTCTTGACATACTCAATGACCCTCTTCTTGTTCTCAGGGTGAGCATGAATGCGGTCACGTAATCTGTTCAATAACTCTTTAGTAGTGGAAGCACCCTCTGTGACGGCCTCGATGACGTCTTCTGGGGTCACAAGAGAGGTGTAGCTGTCCGCATCTACCGGTACGCCGGTAAACACCGGCGACTCAGACTTGACGGAAGGCATGGCCGACGGAGAGGTCTGGCCGCTATATGGTGACATGGACGGTGAGTTGAGGGCGAGCTTGAGGCGCTTGTTGCCCTTCTTGAACTGCGACTCATCAATCTCGAGCACACGCTTCGGGACTAACGGGTTCCATTCGCCAACTGGAAACATAGACAAAGCTGCTTGAGGGGCCTTGATGATGATAAGCGAGTCTTTGTTGTACTTGACAAACACCTGCTTCTTCGGTCTGCCGCGCTTGAGAATTCCCTTCTTCGGGGACGTCTCTTTATCTTCTTTGGCGTCTTCCTCCTTCACTTTCACAGTTTCTCTGTCAGATTCTGAAGAACTCTCCAAGTCGTCCGAAGACAAGTACGGATTTTCCTCCTCATCCGTCTCATACACCTTCAGCTCCGCCTTGATCAATGTCTTTCTCAACTTCTTCCCCGCCTTGTCCTCCTGTCGGTCGCCAAATAAATCATCATCATCGTCTTCCTCAGAGGCGTCTTGGAACGTGTTTGCTTTCAACATCTCCTTTTTCATTCTCTGTTCACTCAACTTGTTTTCCTCCATGTCACCGTCCATGATCGGTGCTTCTTCGTCATCTGCAAACTCCTCATCAAAGTCCAAATCGTCGTGGTCAGAGTCGCGCGAGCCACCATCGGTTGGCGCCCCCACCACGGTGCGAATCTTGTTGTTCGCGCGCTTGAAGCGGGAATCATTGGCGACACCACCCTCACCCGTGTCATTCTCCATGTGTCTCATCAACCATCTGGGGACATTGGTCTTCTGCTCCATTTTTGCCTCAGCTTCTTCCAACGTTAACGTCGCGTACTTGTTTCTCTGAGTGAACTTGTACACCTTCTCCGCTGGGATCATCTTGAACTTGTCGTTTTCAAGCACAAACAAGACATACGTGTCGGAGTTCCCTGCCTCGTAACTACCCACCCACGTGTTCTTACCATCATAATCCTCCATCACCCAGGGATAATACTCTTCGTATCTTAACTTTCGCTTCCCCTCGTCCATGAGCGTGATCTGGCGCGTTTGCTTCTTGAAGAGCTTTTTCCCCTTCGGTTTGCGTGCACCACCGTCAGGCGCTACCTGAGACATGTCTACCTCTGGCTTCTGGAATCTATCAAACTTATCGACCTTCTTCTCATCGACTTCGTTTGCTACGACGCCTTCTTCGCCTTCGTCGTCCTCCCCGCCGTCCCTCCGCGTTTTCAAGTCAGCCTCCAGCTTCGCCACCTCATCGTTCATCTTCTTGCGCTGGTCAATCTCCGCCCGCGTCAACTGGAATTGCAAGTTTTTGGGGTCCTTGCGGTGCAACCGGATAGGCAACTTGAAGTTGCTCACGGGGTCCACAAAGTTCTTAGACTGGAACTTGAGAATGTGGTGTCTCGTCTCATTGATCTCCTCTTGCGTGCAACAGAACAATGGAATTTCGTCCCATTCTTCCGGTGCTGGAATTTCCTGTTTGACGGGCTCTCTCTTGACTGACATGGTTGGAGATGCTAGTGAAGATGGCAGGAGTAAAGATTTAGCTGCTGATTGTTTTATATGCGAAGGCGCGGTGTGTAGCGGTATATGCACGACCAGTTTGGCTCCTCCGGTGAGTTTCGCATGGCCCTAAATGAGCTATCAGGGATGAAGATATGAATATAGTATCTATATCCAATGCCTTTGAGTGATATATTGGTGTTTTCATCACTGAGCTTCTGTAATACAGTATTTATATTTGCTTACCCAAAGATGTTTGGCGGAGGAGTTGCAGGGGGGTAAGTACGGCATGCTCACGTGACAGGATATCCATATCTTGCACATATTAATATACCAATTGCTAATTCCTCTCCTTCATCCCATTACACCACTGCCTTGATGAGTTATAAGCCCGACACCGTTGTGAAGTATGGACCATGGATCCAACTGAACCAGAAAGTAAGTGTTGCCTTTCTATTATACCTGACAAGTACTAACAAGGCAGTCCCTCCAGCACATTCATGATATCGCATCGCTCGGGTTAGGCACGGCTGCAGGGATCTTACGCCTTGAATCCTTATGGGGGTTTGCGTTGTTTTTGGGAGGCATGACCGCTGTGAATGGATGCATCTGGTTCCTTCTCACGGAAGGAAAGCCCGGACAGTACTTTGAAAATCCCCAGCAGCTGATTTTTCTCAACGGGTTGGGCAGCGGAGTTGCCGGCTACGCCATGATGTGGTGTTTGGTTTCTGCCTTAGTCGACTAGTGTTACCGTTTCTGTAAAGCCAGTAAATCAGAAAAGGCTTCAGACAAACCAAAAGATGCCAGGGCTTTCCAAAAGGAGTGCCGTCTGTTTGGTTACACCCATAGGTAACTGTACCTATAGGGATTAATAGAGAAGCGTCTATAAGGTAGCCATTGTTATGTTAATATATCAACCTCCGCTTTTAGAGGATTCAACAAATGAAAGAGTAATCATTTGAAGCAGAAGTAGGGCCTTTGCTGTGCGATCCCGTAGCTAATATCGGCTGTAACGTTTCTTTGACCTGTCATAGGCCTTAGTCGAATCTGTGTCGAATATGCTTAGTCACAAGATCACTAAATATGATTTTCTAAACGTTCACTTTGGTTCTCGCTCTAAGTGCTTCCCAGGTGATTTCTAAATGACTGCCGGACCGTCTTGACGCGATCTCGTCGCATCAGAGTGTTGTATCGGTGGAGTCAGCTTTTCTATAACTTACGGAACCGGAGATAATAATAGGGAATTCTATAAGATTTTTTTTTCTAAATATTAAGGTCAGATCTAATTTTTGTAGACCCATAAGAGAGTTGATTCATGAGCCCTGGGGAGTTTCGTGTGCAAGACCTAAAGCCGTAATAGGTTATTACTTAGTTAAGCTATGAACTGATGAATAAACAACATCTGCCTGTAGAAGCTTCCCTTATCTCCATAAAATCCAACCACCCGGTGACACCAATAATTCTACTCATCGCCTAGATTCTATCCGGCACGTATCTTTTATGACTAACCTGCGTAGATCTCAGGCTGGCAAATCTCAAAAAGTACTTGAAGTTCAACATGACTCTTTCCACCCACCCACATCACTCCTCGTTACGCTTATTCTACCATGTCTGTTATTACTGACCCAGAAGAGCAATACGCGTTAATCACCAGAAACTTGCAGGAAGTCTTGAATGGCCAGATCATCAAAGATGTGCTTGTCAACGAAAAGAGACCGGTGAAGATCTACTGGGGGACCGCTCCTACCGGGAAACCCCACTGCGGGTACTTTGTGCCGATGACAAAGTTGGCGCACTTCTTGAAGGCTGGCTGTGAGGTCATTGTGTTGTTGGCTGACTTGCACGCCTTTTTGGACAACATGAAAGCTACCTTGGAGACCGTGGGTCACAGAGCCAAGTACTACGAATTGGTTGTCAAGTCTATCTTGAGATCTATCGGTGTTCCGATTGAGAAGTTAAAGTTTGTTATTGGCTCCTCGTACCAGACCTCCACCGCATACACCATGGACATTTTCAAATTGTCCAATATTTGTTCTGTCAACGACGCTAAGAGAGCGGGGGCGGACGTTGTCAAGCAGACCGAGAACCCGTTGTTGTCTGGGTTGATCTACCCATTGATGCAGGCTTTGGATGAGGAACACTTGGGTGTTGATGCCCAGTTCGGTGGTGTGGACCAGAGAAAAATCTTTGTGTTAGCCGAAGAGAACTTGCCCTCCATGAAATACAAGAAGCGTGCCCATTTGATGAATCCCATGGTGCCAGGTTTGGGCCAGGGCGGTAAAATGTCTGCTTCCGACCCTAACTCCAAGATTGACTTGTTAGAAGACCCTAAGATCGTCACCAAGAAGATCAGATCCGCCTTCTGCGCCCCAGGCGAGGTCGAGGGCAACGGTGTTATTGCCTTTATTGAGAACGTGCTCATCCCGATTTCTGAGATCAAACATGAGTTTGAGGACAAGTTTGAGTTTTTCATCGACAGGCCAGAAAAGTTTGGTGGCCCAATTACCTACACATCCATCCAGACCATCAAGGACGACTACAAGTCAGAGAAGTTGAATCCAGCCGACTTGAAGACGGGTGTTGCCGACGCCATCAATGCCATGTTGGCGCCGTTGATCGCCGACTTCAACAATGACCCAGAGTTTCAGAGGGCCTCCGAGTTGGGCTACCCAGCCCCGGTCGTCCAGGAGAAGAAGGTCAAGAAGAAGAAGGATAGAGGAACCCGATTCCCTGGTGCCCCAGGCACCACCTCTCCAGTCCCAGTTGATACTGTTACTGAGAAGTTGGAGGGTGCCAAGTTAGAATAGGTTTAATATATTAGTTAACGAACCCATTCAGACACGTCGAAAAGTAGGTGTGGTGAATAATAGAAGTACGGCCATGCTTAGTTTTCCCTTGGTGCACCATGAAAAGTGTAGTTAAAATCATCGTCAATGGAACAGCCTTCATCTGTTGCGTCTATACCTAAATTGGCCAACTCCTTTATCCCCTTTTCGCTGAAGCCATAGGGATCTTTAGGAAGCCATATCACCGGCATTTGAAACTGAGAGGACTTGTGGAGAAATGTTTTTTTGCTGGATTCTGAGTGCTCTCCCGTAGATTCCAAGCCAGGTGTATGGCTATTGCATGTGTCTTTGGAAAGCAGAGACAACAGAGTCTGTGTAAGCAAATCACGGTACATTGAATTCATCCTGATGTTTGTAAGCACTGTTCCTACAAACAGAAGAATCATTATTCCAGCATGGAACTGGCACACTGAGTTGCCATTTTCATCCTTGGCTAGTAAAAATAGCCCGAGAAGGCATAGTTCCAAACAGTATATTCCGGTGTAGAGCTGTCGTAGCGCGGTTGGATAGAGGCGACCATTAGTCTCGGACGGGTTTCGGTAATCATAGACATATTTGAGCGACCACTTAAAGTAAATGTAATAGAAGAAGAAGATAGATAGGGCAAAGATGGAGATGAGTGGGGATATTATACAGTATGTGATACCGATACAGGCGTAGACAGAGCATGTCGGATAGATAGAACCCCATTTCACCTGTTGTAGCTTGGTCTTTCGTGTGTACGCTTGTCTTGGGGTAGTATCAGTAAAAGGGTAGACTAAAAGGAGGGGCAAAAGCTTGTTGATGCGCAAAAGATTGACCCCGAAGTACGACATTCCTCGCAAGACAAAGTACGAGAAGAAGAAGTTTGTCGCTTTGGGGAAATTCGCTGCTAGGAGGGTAGATATCGAAACCGGATTGTTGATGAGATGTTGGAGAATAACAGTGATGCTAGAAGATATCGTCACCACCAAGAATAAATTCACAAAAAGGAAGGCAAATAGCCACCCTTGCACATCCAATTCGACGCTAGCACCAGTAAGATTCCCTCGGAACTTGGAGATTGTGCGCATTACTGAGAAAATTCCCTCCAATAGTACAGCCATGGCCACTGTAGGAAGAAGCTCTGCCAAAACATTACGTGTGATTTTCGGAAAATAATTTAGGAATGAGAGAAAGGGAAGTAAAGAGGTGAGGTATGGAATCTGCGAGAGCATGCTGATAAACGAAACGGGAACTACCCACCCGACAATCACTGATATTGAAAGGATATTGGAAAAGCAAGCTTTAAGGTTTGAGGTCCAAACAGACTTGTTTCTCTGGATATTAGTCCAAATAATATCCTCAGGGCATATGTCTGGTATTATCGAGTTCATTTCACCAGGTCTCAGAGTGAGGAGGCACTGGCTGGCGATACAAGCCCCGATAGGTGAGTTAAACTGGATGAATACCTTATTATATGGTAAAATCTCCGTATCACTGGCTTCCAACTTTAAATCCTCGAGTTGTTCAAGCAAGTAGTTGAGCTCAGCTATGCTTTCTTCGGAAGATTTTGGCTGCTGGAACGGGTTTATCTCAACCACGTACGTTAACCACCGCGTAAAATATCGGCCCCACATTGTCAACTTTGGTGTCTGTCCTCTTCTCACCTTGACTCTATTTTTCGAAATCCCTGCTTTTATTACGGCCAACTCTCTGTTTTCTAACTTCTTGATACTGGATTCAATTTTTCCAACAACAAGCTCTATCTTCCCAAATGGTTTTAAAAGCCATATTTGTTTCACACCTCCTGGAAGGACGTCAAATATCTTGAGCAACGCTTCCTCATTTTGAAATGAATTTGATACGTTGTCTAGCAAAATAGTGACCGCACGTGTACTCTGTTGATAATAATCACGACTGAGGTGGCTATGTCTTATTTTGATAAAATTATTCAACTCAAACGAGATTAATGCCTGGATACTCACAATCACGACAATGGCACATACAAGGTGCACTTTCAATCGATAGACATTCTGCGGGGAAATGTTGGACCAAGCCAACTTATCTAAACCTCTGGTGTATGAGGATGGTATATCACTACCTGAACACCAATTTAACGGAATCAATACGGGGATGATCGAGAGAGCTAGTGTAATAAAGATCAACATGAGTACGCCCAAATACCTCATAAAGAAGTAAGCGTCTAATCCAAGGGCCAAGTAGTCGGTTAGATGGCAGTCATGGAACATAGCATCATACCAGGCCTTCAATCCAGGTTCTATCGGAGTCATTTTAAAGGGAATAAAATAGTGGCAACGTGGTTCGTAGACATTTTTCAACCTGGATCGAAGAGAAATAAAGAGGAAAAACTGGGCCAAGCAAACTATAGCAGATATCCATAGCTGGGAGATTAACGACGATAAAGTTATACCGACGTGCAGATGGGCGATACCAGTTTGCGAAGAATTGAGAAAGCCATTGATATAAGCATTGTTAAATCGAAGGTTGGTACCCAATGGGACGTTTGTGTCATTTATTGAAATTATTGACACCTCCATATCTCAGACGCGAGGTCTTGGCTAATAACCGTTCACTTTTTTTTTATATACCACAAATCTAGGTAGCTTTCGGAGAAAAAGAGCGTTTTTTTAAAAAAAAAATTAATAAAAACAGAAGCAGCCTTAAACTGGATAATTCCATGATCTCTGTTTTTATCTTTTATCAGAACTATCCAGGGCTGTAACACAAATACAAAAGGAACTCACTGACATGCAAGTCTTGAGCTCATAACCGTTTGAATTTTTCAACCACAGGGAACTGCATGCATTTAGGTATTACCAGCAATCCACAATTTCAGACAGGTTTCAACCATACCTTACTACATCTTTCACTATGGCTCTCTTCGGTTCTGCTGCTCCACAACAAAACGCCGTTCAGGCCTCCCAGGCTAGGCAACAAATCCAAGACCAAATCGCTCAGGAATTAGCCGTCGCTAACGCCTCCGAATTGGTCAACAAGCTCACGGACAACTGTTTCGCCTCTTGTATTGCCAACCCTGGCCCATCTTTCTCTGCTCAGGAAGATACCTGTGTCAACCAGTGTTTGGAAAAGTACATGAGATCCTGGAACGTCATTTCCAGAACCTACGTTGCCAGAATCCAAAAGGCTAGCTCCTCCGGTGAATTGAATTAAGCTCATCACTTCATACGGGCATGCCTCAGATGTAAAACTGAAGGGATTATGCCACTTTTGTATATAGCTACCGATGTAATTAGAATTCAATGATTTTCGCCTCACATGGAAGCTATACTTCGGTAAAACATATGCAAATAAATTGTACAAGAATCAGCTCATGTATTTCTTATGTCTGTTTCTAAAAGCATCAATTTTGTTCACTCCACGCAAACGTGGAGACAATAAGTAAATACATCCTGGAATAAATAAATGACCATCTCCAAACTACCCGTAATTATGTCGAGTACATTTATTCGTCATCTTCTTCCTCTTCTGGGATCAAGTTGTGCTTGATATCCTTCCACAACTTACCCTTGTTGTGGGCTTCGTACCAGTTAGTACAGGCAACGTCAAAGAAACCCTGGAAGACAAAGGCACCGGCAAAAATAGAAGCAACATAGACGGAGTTTCTCTTGAAGAAAGTGTTGTAAATGGTGGTGAAAGAAGACTGCTGCAGTAACGTTAGTATCTATGAGAGAGAGACCATCAGCCATTTAAACGAATAGATGAGAAAACATCAAAGCATCTGAAGGAAGACAGTATTTATTAGTTCACCGTCTCACTGAGATAGAACGGTTGGCATTAGGCTGCCTCGCTCAACCCTGAAAGGACATGTAAGTCAAATCAGCGTTTCGGTGGCAGCTCTTTTCGGGTAGCCAGATATCGCACATTCTCTCCTTTCAAAGACTTTGATTAGAAAGACATACCATTGTAGACTTATGATTTGGTACGGTTCAAACTCGTTTGCTTTTGGTTATGTGCCAAACAGTTATATATCGCGCGCTTTGGTTTTCTCGATTGGTTTTCCAACTCAGTGATTGGCTCTGGAATCGGTATAGAGGTGCTTATGTAAGCGAACCCTTCTCATAGATGCAGGTTGGTAAAATCTCTCCATTAACAGTCATATAAATTGTACGTAGAATTGATGCTGCACACTACCCAAATTAAACAAATTATATCATGAGAATTTGTATTTTGATATTCATTATACTACTGAGGTATATGTTTATAGAGCTGTAAAAAAATATGATTTGTAACTTAAAGAAACTCAAATCAGGCCTACATCTATAGCTATTTGAAAGATAGTGCACCAATAATAGATACTTCAATTGCTACTAACCCATCCTCGCCATACGTCAACTCAGTCACTTCGGATATTATCCGCTACTATTTTTTAAATGCGGAAACCCTTTCGTCCTATAACCAATGAAACATAGTTTACAAAAAGATACATTAAAACTGAACAATGCACTCTCTGGACACTTATCCACGGGATCATTATTAGTCGATGTCCGCGGCGTCCAAATCCTCTTCGATATCCTCGTCGTTCAACATATACACCTGGTCATCACCTTCGCTAAATGCATCAAGCTCATCCTCAGATTCCGACTCGTCGTCCGCCAAGTTAACATCCACTCCATCGAGATTCACCACGTTTCTAGCACGCATGTTGTTGAATAAAAGTCTCGATAGATAGGCATACAACTCACCGCTGAGCCACATCTTGGTGAGCTCCTGGTAGCGCTTCTCATTTAACCAGGCAGTCTGGCCCTTGCGCAAACCTCTTCTGCTGTTTTCCCCGTGCTTGTTCAAGTACGGCGAGCCAATGCTGATTGGGAAGACGCCGTTGTTACTTCTGACGAGAACATCTATGTGGTTATCGGCAGGGGCAGGGTTAAAGTAGACGGCAGTGCGGTTGGTGCAGTGACTACTCAAATGGTTGACCAAGTGAGACTGGGTCATGAAGGCTTTGCGGCTCTCCGGGGCAAACACCTTGGTTCCACAAATCAAGCAGATGGAGTAGTCTAACCTCTTGACCACCCGGTCCTTGCTGTTCTTTTCGGAGTCGATATTCGAAATGTCCATAAAGGTGCTCAATTTTTCAGGAAGGCCCATAAGCTCTATAACGCCTGGATACTCCACATTCAAAATTCCAACTTCCCAGAACTTGGCAATCTTTCCGTTGAGAACGTTGTCAAAAATGGAAGACTCGAACGTGCCACCGTTCATGATACAGCCTACCAACACACACAAATCAGGCAACCCGGTTTGGGCTTGTAAGAGCCTAAAGAGACCCTCAGTGGGGCACGTCTCGGCCTCCGGAGTGGCTTCCAAAACCTCTCTGAAAAATATTAAGTTACAGTAGAGTGGTCTCAAACAACGCTCAACAGCGGCAAACGTATGCGACAAGAGCTTCTCGTCTTCGAATGCGGTGGAGTCAAGATCAGGATACATTTTTTTTATCCCTTCAATCACCACCGCTACCAAAGAGTTAAAGTCCGGTTGGACTTCTGTCATGGGGGCGCTGTAGAGGGCTATGAGCTGGGCTTCCTCTCTAAGGCTTCGAAGTAACACCGAGTAAAGGGTTGTAGTGAAGGCCTTGGTAAGCACCATCCTACTCAACGTGCTGAAAGACTCGTTGGTCTGAAAGTAGAGCATGCAGAACTCGGAAAAGATCCCGTCGGTCAAGTTATTGTTCTCCCAAAACGTCGCGTATTCACTCTCCTTCTTAAACCCAGCCACCAAGTCTTTCTCGAGGATCGACAAGATGACGCGTGTCTGCATCAAGGATTTGACGAGCGACTTGTCCTTGAGCTTCATGGCGCGGAGCCCGGCAAGCGGCTCCGCGTGGTCGATTCGGCTGGTGATTTCATGCATGGCAATAGTATTTCCAAGTAACAAGGAGAGCCCCTGCGAGGTGGCAAAAAAATTTGTTTTGATCGCCAACATGTCGCACAATACGAGGTTCTCCTTCAACACGCTTGTAAGTTCCCTCAACAATTTGCTCTTATTTAGGCTCAGACTCACAAGCATCTCCGTCATCTCGGCATTGAACAACACGGGGCCCAACTCGGTGCAGTTTCCGCCATCGCACTCTTGCAAGATCTGGTTGTACTTGCTACTGGTGGGCGGCTTCGATTGGTTGAGTCTGACCGACTCGGTATTGCCTATGAAACTTGGGATGAAGGCGTTGTTGATAGAACGACATAACGGACATCCGAATCCCAGGGTAAACGACCACGACGTCTTCACCCCTTCCTTGAAGCACTTGTAGTGCATCCCATGGCCACAAGTAGTGGCGGTGTACTTCAGCTTGAAGTTAGGCCCGAAGATGGCTTTAGTAGCCGTGTCCTTGCTCTCGATAGGGAACCCCCGGCCAACTTTGTCTGTTTGTGCGGTATGCTCGGCCCCGTACGCCCTTTCGGTATACTCAACGCTATTCGCAGGCAACTGCCAGAAAATCGCAGACTCAGCGACCCACGCCGGTAACCCAAAGATTTCATCGTTAGTTTCGGGGTTTTGGCATAGAATACAGGTTCTGAGGTCTTCTTCCGAGAAGGGTTCCTCTTCATCCTCCATTGGATCTTCATCCACCATGTCTTGGTTGTTGGCCAAGAATTGCTCTTGCCTCTTGGCAAATTTCTCCATGATACGTTCTTGTCTCTCCTTGGCCAACCGGCGACGCTTCTCCTCTGTCGACTCAAAAAGTCCAGTCTTGGTCTTCTTGTAGTCGAGCATATAATCCTCACCAAAGCTGCTGGTTAAGGACTCGAGAATATCCTTGTTTCTCTCGAGAAAATAGTCTAATAAGAAATTGGCCTTCAGAACGATGCTTCTAGCCATGGACGACCCAACCACGCTTAACAATAAGTTGCAGATCGGCTTATCAAGATAATCAACCGGTAAGCCCGCGGCTTCGTTGTCAATCAAGATGGCGTGAACTAAGTGCAACAACTCAGGGACAAAGGCCTCCTCCTGTGTGTCAATCGCCACTTGCAAGAGCTTGTACACCAATTTTGCAAAGTCGGGAGATCTCGTAAAATCCCCCAAACCGGCAAACTCGGCTGGTAACGGCTCCAACACAGGCACCAACACAACCTCATCTTCCTTGGTCTTTGTTTGTATCGCCATTTGGGCCGTCAAGGCCACAAGTACCTCGGGGTAGTCATTGGTATCCACGGCATAGCTCATCGGGTCAAGAGTCCGGTACATTTCGTTCTTTAAGCGGTACATCCCGGTGTCAGAAAACCCGCTTGGCGCACTGTAACTCGCAATCTCCTCCAAGATATCCTCAAACGAGCTATCTTCAGCCGCGGTGCTGGGGACGTCATCACACAAGTCGGAAAAGGTCCGCGGGCCCTGAGCCAAACAGTAGGCCACTACCCGCTTGATCTTGGCGCGGGTCTTAGTTGCGGCGTCGGCATGGAGAAACTCCAGCCGCGACGATACTAACGTATAGACGTACTTAAGGAACTCCTCAAGGATGTACGGGATGCGATCCTCGTAAACTGTCTGTTTATAGCTCTGGCATCCGGTAAACCACTCGAGCAACTGCCATCGGTCAAGCATATTGTAAAGAAAGCGCTTATGAGGCACATGCAACGCCGCAAGCTGATTAAGGTATACATCGCGCGCGTAGCCGCACTCATTCATAAACGTACCTGAATACAACGCCGCCTGGCGAGAAACGTAGCGGCCGTTGCGGATCCACGCCCCAATCTTGACCTGGGAACATAACACAATTGAGCGCAAGGAGACGTCGGAGATCGGTAAAAGGTCTACATCAGGTAACGTCCCCTTCTCAAGAAAAAACGACAATAACGAGTTCAATGGGTTCATGAAGGAGACAGGCTCCGTGCTGATGTCAAAATGGCAGATGCTTTGGCCGTTAACCTCGTGAAGAGGACCAGGAGACAAGTATAAGGCAATCGTTTGAATGGCTCTATCCACAGCCAGGTCACCCGTCACACCCTCGGCAATATGCTTGATGATGGTGTACATGTACGCACAGTACTCGAAATGCTTGATGAAAGCACTATCCTCCAAGGGCACGTGGTCACCGTACTTCTTAACAATCTTCCAGGAACCTTGGAACAAGCCGACAAAGAGAAGAAGCGGGGACAAGTTTGCCTCTTCCAATAGGGCTTTTTTGTTGGTACATGTGTCTACGATATGGATGACGTCATTCATGCCGCGTGTGAGCGTCTCCTCCAACGACTTGTACGCGCTGGTATCCTTGTCATTCGTGAAAGTGAAGCTACCATCAGCGTTCTGAATGCTACCAAGCTGGAAGAGAGCGTAGAGTGCCCCCACGACCACTGGAAACTTCCCAGTGCCAACGATAGCGGAGGCATTTGTGGGACATGTGAAGAGCTGCGTACTAGCGTCACACGAGAGGTTGAGTTCCCACTCACGGTCAGCCGTTCCCATCAAGTGAGTAAGCTGATGGTAGATCTCAATGTACTGGGTGCAGAAGAGCGGTTTGTATGTCAAATCTGAGGCTAAGACTGGGGTGATAACATCGTGGATGCGGTCGCGTAACGATTTCCAATGGCGGATGTCATAGTACATCAAGAACTGGACACGCGACTGGGCTAATATGCTGCCTAAAGCTGGAATTTTGTTACCAATCGTTACCCCCAACATGGGAGTAATAATATCATCAACCACGGCATTTGCAGGGCTGCTCTCAAAAGCAAAGGAGCCAATCAACGACTGACACAACGCTCGGCGGACGGCCGTCTGGAATGAAACATCGTGCACCGTGAGCATTGCCAATAGCCAATCCACTACCAGCGAGACAATCTCGCCGCGTACGTAATCACGACTGGACATGATAGTCGACACGAGGCCAGTGCTCTCGACCAGCGTCTGGGCGCCAAGGAGCGCCACGGGGTCGGCACTGCGCTTCAAGATCTGTCTGCCAATGGAATCGATGCTGGCAGACATTTCTTCGGCCTTTTCAAGCGTACAGCCGGTTGCGGCAATGATCCGTCCTTTCGCGTCGTCCCAGTTGTGGTACTCATCGTTCCACAACACGAGTAGGTACTCTTGGGAGTTGAAGTCATCACCATACTTTGCCTTCAGCAATGCTGATTTCTCGCTGATCTTCATTGAAGATGACGCCGAGAGTGGAAGCATGTAAGAATGCACCTCAGGGATCGTGTTGATGGCACTATCAGTGACATCGATGATGAATTCGAGCGCCACGTCGATGACTATTTTGAGGGCACCCTCTACATTTGGAGGAAACTTCTCTAATTCCATATCAGACGTGCAGAGACAGAGTAGTTCCGTCACAAATGCCTCGGGGTCGCCACAATCGCAGATTCCGTTTTTCAGTCCCTTCGCGATTTCCACCGATATCTGGTGCTCTTCATGGTCCGCCTTATTGAAACAGTGGAAACACAACACACACGTCTCATCAAACAGACAGTCGAGGCAGCGGTAAACTGGTTCGCCCTTCATGAACTTGCGCCCGCATGGGCGGTTCGGGTGCGCATAGTTGGCCTTCAGCGTGCTTTCGAAGAAGCGGCTGCGTCTGAGATTACTGCGGCCCACCTTGGTAAGATCAGTGGTGGTGAAAACAGTGTCCCAACTATCTGGGAAAAGCGCTGCATTGGCGGGAAATAACCGGTGGAGCGTCTCGGTGCCAAGAGCAAAGTACAACGCGCGGAACACGTTCAACCGCACGTTGTGGTCGGCTTTGAAGTGGAGGCTCGAGGGGAGCGCTGCGAGGAAGTGTCTGAGCTGTAAGGCAAGATCTTCAGGCATTTTCAAAGGTCTTCGATACTTATAATGGAGAAAGAGACGGTTGTATTTTGTTAGCACTGAAATGCGAATGCAGATGAGCAAAAATGATTCAGCGTATGCAGGACATTTGGTGGAAAACTCTCAGGGAGGTAGATATATATTAAGGCCAATGCGGTGGTCAAATGTATATACCTACGGTCCAGAGAATTTAACGTAGTATTTTATCCGAGTTATCCAATTACCGTGGTACAATCGGTACAAATTGTCTGTTGGATAGGAATTGGTGGGCTAATGTATATGATGTATTATTTCGGCTCCTCTTTATTCTTATCTAATCTTTCATCAATATTGCCAGTTTCCCGTAATTTCTATTTAATAACGCTTACATGGATTTAGTATAGTTTATTTATTTCAGGCACGAATTGTTTACTATAAGATCGAGAGATTCTCTTCACTAAGGCACTTCTGCGGGTCACGGTAACCCCCCAATAGTATCGTCTTGCTATATTTGATACCTCAAAAAGCATCCTCCCGTATTCCGTTGGCCTGGATGATCTAGTAAGCACTCTTTTTCCGGATCATGTCCCTCTCGTATGCAGGACAATCAGTGGCAAAATCAGCCCTTGCGTATATACAGGAGGGGTATCGGCGGCTGATTTAGCTGAGTCTTGTTATCAAACCTATTACCATTCGCACTCGTTCATACATGACAATGTCTTCCTCGAAGCTTGATGCTTTGAAGCGTTATTTGGTGCTGTGTCCCCAGACGTACGACTACAAGTTTGACAATTCCGTGCGAAAACTGATCAGACGGGCGTTGTTCCACGCGGTGTCGGACGGCGGGCAGTACTTGGCCCACTTCTTTCCGGGAGAACAGTATGAGAATGGTTTTGAAACTTCCGGTAATGTTTCTGGTGAGGCTTTTGAATATGGATCTAGCCCTAAATATGACTCTGGCTCTGAATCTGACGATTGGGTTTTGACGCCCCAAGCGCGCGCGGCACACCCGCGGCGGCCGTGTGCGCGTGTGTTTCTCAAAGGTGAGCCCATCTACCGTTGCCTTACGTGTGGTCTCGACGAAACATGCGCAATGTGTGCCGACTGCTACGATGCAGATGCGCACAAGGACCACGTGGTCTACATCAACATTTGCATGCGCAGTAACAACGGTGGCACCTGCGACTGCGGTGATCCTGAGGCGTGGGTGGGGGATGTGAAGTGCAAGCACTACACAAAAGAGCAAAAGAGCGATAAAGACATCCCTGTGCCGTTACAAGCTTCCCTACTCGGAACGTTGGAGGTGGTGTTGGACTACGTTATTGACGTGATGAACGGCACAGACATCTGCTATCTCTCTGAAAAGCACCAGACACCTGCTGCCTTCATCGACCACTCCAACAGTTGCGATTTGGACCCTGCGTACTATGAACTGGTGCCCGACCCCAACAGCGAGCAGTATTACTTGATGCTCTATAACGATTATGTGCGCCACTACCGCGACGCGGTGCAACGCATCCATATGGCTACACGGAAAGTGCCAGAATTTGCCGAGATGGTTGCCAAGGAAATCGAAAAGTACGGCAAGGCCAAGGTTTGGTCGGGCACAGTGAAGGAGTTGCTTGAGAAGCAGCTGTCTTTAGGCGCCACCGGTCTCCACTCCCTGATCCGCTCCCACAGAGACGTCTTTAGGGAGGATATGTGCGATGAGATCATCAGGTGGATTAAGAGCATTACCGAGAGTGCGTTCTTCCAGGACTACCAGTTGCCCCGGGACGTGTTGTGCCGGGCGTTCTGCAGTAAATGGGGGCACGGGGAAAACCGGATTCCGGATGACTATCCCTACCAAACCGGCCGAATGAACAATGGTTTGATCCCCATCATCCCCAGGGTCCGTAGTCACCACAACCCTGACTACTGGAATATCGAAGCCAAGCGCTGGGAGTTGCCTGAAGATATCTGCCTCGAATGCAGCTATAATTTAGAGGCGGGCCGTGAAAACGACTTCCAGGGTGAGCCTTTTGTCGGCTCACGCTTTCAGTACCTCTTGTATTTCGATATCCGCTTCTGGAGCTCAGTGCGCGCCACCTTACACAGCATATACGTCACCTCGTTGATCTCCAACTTGAGGTACAAGAACACAATCTCCTGCCAGTACGTGGATATCTACCCGAGTATCGCCGATATGTTTTTGCGTGTTGACAGAGAGCCCGAGACCAGTTTTATGTGCGACTTGTCCACACAATTGTTCACCACGCCTACCGACGCTACTGCCATCGTCAAACACGGCGATTTGACCCGAATTCTCTCCACAATTTACGGCTTCCTCACCATGGACTGTATCGTACCGCCTGAAGGCGTAGACTTATCCAAACAGGTTCTTTTGTCCTCATTAAACAACCGAAAATGGGGGCAAGTCTTCTTTGATTTGGGCTATATCATCAACCGCAACGAGGAAACACGCTTGCTTTTCACCGGCAATTTTGTTCGCCAGGCGTGCGATGTTATTGCGCTCTTCCAAAGCAGACCAATTGTTGTGAGAGCTGCCAAGGAACATGTGGAGTTTGAGTCGAACGACTACACCTTGTACTTCAGTGCCCTCTCAGTGATCTGTCGCTTTAGCGAAGCCATAGCCAAGTCCGCCTCCAAGCTCCCCCATGCAGATTTCTTCTTGGTAGAAAGCACCCTCACCACCCTCGTTGATTTGTTGTCTTCCATCGACAAGGGCGAGTACAGGGGCATTGTTCCCGGAACCCTTGATGTGGCGCCAAGCTTGGTAAAACAGTGGAGCGGGTTGGGTATTAATGCGATAGTATCAGAATACCCCGTCCACTTGCAGAATGTAAGTTTTCTTCACCCACTCCACTCGTTCTTCTCATGGCTCATTGAGTTGTGCAGCCAGAAAACCCCTCAAAACCTTCTTGCACTTGCGAACCAGCAGTACGTGGGGATGTACCCGCTTCTTCCGTATGACTACTCCTTGCGGTCCATTGTGTTATTGGCGCAAATAAAGGTGGGGTTCTGGGTCCGAAACGGATTCAGTATCAAGAACCAGCTGCATATCTACCGCCACACAAGTGTCCGTGAGTGTGGGTTCATGCGGGACGTGTTTCTCTGCCAATCATTGACGTCGTCCTACCCCCCTGACGATGTCTGCCTTTTGTTCTTTTATAGGTGGTCCTTGATGCCCTGGGTCAGCGGGCAAGTTCAAAACTACTCCGTCTATGATAAGGCCAACTTGCCGGGTATTGTCGAAGAATGCCTTAACTTCTTTGTATGGCTCCTTACCGAGAACATGCACTTGAAGGGTTTGAGCGAAGACTACCTAACACGCACCGTTATTCGAAAAGAAATCATCCACTCGTTGTGTTTCCAATCCTTGAGCTTTTCGAAGATTGTCTCTGAGGTTCCCGAACATGTAGCAAACTTGAAGAAGTTTGAAGCAGTTTTGAAGGATTTGGCACTGTACACCCCTCCAAGTGGCCTTAACGATGCAGGGATCTACAAATTGAAGGAAAAGTACTTTGATGAAGTGGACCCGTACTACATCCACCTCACCTCCAACAAAAGAGATGATGCGATCAAGTTGGTGAAGGAGAGAATTCATAAGCGAACCCGGAAACCTCTCAACGATATTTACATTGAGCCTAGAGTGAGTGAATCGAATATCCCTGCGTTCGCCGGGGCCGGAAACTTTACAACCTCGATTCTCTTTGCCAAGTTCCTTCACAGCACATTGAACTACACGTTACAAGGTGATGCCACCAACAATGAGTCGATCATTGACTTGGTTCTCCATGTTATTCATGCGTGTGCGTACGAAAAGTCAGTGACATCGACCTACCGAAGCTTCTACAATATCATGATGGACGAACACGACGGCTCGTCGGTTGCGAGCTACATGTGCCATATGTTGACCATCGAAGGCTTCAAGTCATACCACTCTAAGATAAGGGGCATCTTTGGTGTGTTTGTGTCCAAGTATCAGGATGTTGCCGATATCTTGTCCCAGAAGTTTCCCGCTCTCAAAAAAGCCCTAGAAGTGGACGCCACGGCCACCGGTGCGGAGCCCGAAGCGGAACACAAGAGGCGTACTGCGAAAGAAAGGAGAGAGCGTGTCATGGCTGAATTCAAAAAGAAGCAGTCGCAGTTTGCAGCTACTAACAAGGTTGATACGATGGATGAAAGCGATGTTGAAATGGTTGAAGCCGACGAGGCATTTGCCTGGAAATTTCCTGAAGAGCACTGCATCCTCTGCCAGATGCCCAGTGCGGAGGAAGAGGTGTTTGGGATCATATCTCACCTTTCTAACGCCGCCTCTTTCCGTAAGGTTCCTTTCAACGATGAATTCTGGTTAACGAAGGCTTTTACCGGCTCTTCGGACGAAGACAGTCACGGTGAGTTGAATGAAGCGACCCGTACCTACTTTGACGAAGTCAAGGCAAAAAGCGTGTTTGGTCCAGGGTTTCCAAGCACGTCGCTCGACAATGTCGAAAGTCGGCCTGTGCTCTCATCGTGTGGGCATGGGATGCATTTTACTTGCTACAAGAATTACTTGGTGAACATCAAGAGTCGCCAGAATCAAATCACCAGAACGGTTCCGGAGAACACAGAGGACCGTGAATTCTTATGCCCCTTGTGCAAAGCTGTGAACAACGTGTTCGTACCGGTGTTGTGGAACGTCAACAACAAGTCGTTGTCCGAACTATTGAGTCGGGACGCAGATGGAAAGTGGCATGAGCCGTTTGATCGCATCGCAGTGATAGAGGACGAGTCGTTGGTGCTGGAGATCCAGGAGAAGATCAAAGACGAAGTCATTGCGAGAGCAAAACACTGTGTGAAGTCGAAGTATCTGAAGTTTTTCGAAGCCGAAACCTCACCGGTAGTCGAGAAGTGTGTGATTGTGATCGAGTCAGTGTTCCATGGCTTGCAAAAATTGAACAGACCGTTCTTGTTTGATGGTGATTTTTCGGGGCTTGTGGTTAACACCATCGAGTCGGTTGAGATTGCATTGAGGGGTGTTTCGCCAGAGGGGGGTCAAATCTTTGACCAGTTGTCTCACCAGGTACTTACAAATCTCCGGGTGTGGAATGAATTTCGCAATTTAAACTCTGCCATGCTCGCGATGAAGGAAGAGACGGATCTCCCGTCGTTCCTCGATGATGTTGTGGCAAACTACCAGATCTTGGCATCGGATGAAATGATCCCATGCATCGAACAGGGGGCTGACCTTTTTGAGTCGTTGGTGTCGTGCCACATTGTTGAGACCAGTGGCTTTAGTTATCCCCGCACTGTGCGGTTATGTTTGATGTGGCATATTCTCCAAACTGCATACAGTCTCACATCTCAGATTCTCCAAAACATGCCGTTGTGGTCACGGATCCTCAACTTACCACTTGTGAGCAACCTAGAGGCTAATGATCTGGTTTGTGCGCTATACGTGTTTGAGACGATGAAGAATGGCTTGTCGCCAGAGATTGACGTATCCAACCTTACCGGGTCGCCCCAGTTCGGGTCTGTGTTTTACTCCATGCTTGTGAAGTGCTGTGTTCCATACCTAAGAAGATGTGCCATTTGGGCGTATGTTCAGTGTGACAATCACTCGGGGATAGCTGTGGAAGAGTGTCTTTCCCAGGAAAACCAATTGTGTTCGTTGTTGCGCATTCCACCCTTGACGGAAATCTTCTCCACCTTTGTCACATCTGGCCAGTATGAAAATCAGCGTCTCCACTCGTTCGCCAGCTATTTGACCCGGAATAACCTTAACCACATCAATGCATCCAAGGTGGAATATCCCGGTATCATCTCCCTTATTAATCTTCCAGAGCGTATGGACGACTTCTTCACGCGTTATTACTACAAGGACCTCAACCACGAGAATGCCGACCCAGCTGTATGTTTGTTCTGTGGCGCGGTAGTGCAAATTCAGGGTTCCTCTATCGGAAGCCGTATCGGACAGTGCAACCTCCATGTGGAAAAGGAGTGTATCAGCGAGTGCGGTATCTTCCTTGTGCCCCGTTACTGTACGCTCTTGTTACTTTGGAAGGGGAAAGGGAGCTTCTACAAGGCTCCTTACCTCGACCCCCATGGTGAGTTGGACGAAGAGCCTAGACATGGGAAACCGCTCTACTTGAACCAAAAACGGTATAATGCATTTGTCCGAAACATCTGGCTCAACCACGGCGTGCAGAACGCGATTGCACGAAATTTGGAAAGCGTGATTGATATTGGCGGTTGGGAAACGTTATAGAACGTTATATAGTTTATTCCTTAACTACAAGTATATGTAGTCTATACGGTGTGTAAATAGGAATTAGCTCGTTTTATGTACATTTTGAGAGCGGTCAGCCAACTAAAGGCCAGAACCGTAGAATTGGTTGTACTTGATACAATAATAGACAGTGGACAACCCCCCAATACCAAAGAGCAATAATGGGACTGGCTTTCTGAAGCGGGTAGCAGCGGCCCTGGCGGAGCCAGCGGCCAACAAAACCGAGGAGGCACCCAAGGCCAAATGGATACCGTAGTCCATGTTTTCCTTTAACAAGTATCCGGCAGCACCATAAACGAGACCAACACCAACACCACCGAGCATGGATGGGAGGGAGCCCTTACGGACGTAGCCCATGATACCCCCGACGAGGCATAAACCAGATAAGGTGAAAGCTGGGTGTTCCTGAAAGAGTCAGTAAGAATTTAGGAGTTGGAACCAGTCCAATACGTACCATTGTATTTTTTTAGTTGAAGGTAAAGTTTAGTCTTTAGGAAGAATAGGCTGGGGGGTATTGAAGTAAAAAGGCAGGACGTTGGCTTATTGAGTGGCGTTCGGAGAAGGAGCGACGAGCCACGGATTGAGCAATCTATACATGATAAATGCATTGTTGAGCATAGGCCCTTGTATTTGTAAACTAAGGGTTTAGCATCGGTAAGATAGTCACATGTTTGTAACCACGTAATTCAGACTGTAATAATTATTCGATTAATACTTTAACATCTCATCAACCTTCAACATAAGAGACTGGATCGCATACGTGAATGACATGCCATGCAAACTATACATTATGGATTAACCTTCGCAACATCAACTGCCTATGTTTCTCCGATATAGTGTAACGGCTAGCACGGTTCGCTTTCACCGAGCAAACCCGGGTTCGACTCCCGGTATCGGAGTTCTTTTTACTGAATGTCACTATGTGGTCGTGCCCCGCCCACAAAATTACTCGGCTCTACTGCCAAAATTCGACACTATCTAGTGGCGTTGAGGGGCAACCCAATCGCGTGCTGTTATAAAAGTCAATTGTACCATCACACCTGCTTTTATAACCGACCCTTACCACAAGAACAATGAATTCTACCGTTGCATCGGAATACTCCTCTGAAGTCCACAGAGAACCAATTGAGCACAGATTTAACCCATACTCTGGTACGTACCGTGACATGCCAATCCCTCTCTGATTTAAACTAACACATCCAGATAATGGTGGTACGATCTTAGGTATCTCTGGCGAGGACTTTGCTGTTTTGGCGGGTGACACCAGACACACCTCGGGTTACAGCATCAACTCCAGATATGAACCAAAGGTGTTTGATGCTGGTGACAACATTGTAATCTCGGCCAACGGCTTTGCGGCAGATGGTAACGCTTTGGTCAACAGATTTAAGAACCAATTGAAGTGGTACCACTTTGACCACAACAAAAACTTATCTATACAGTCTGCGGCCAGATTCATCCAACACTTACTATATGGCAAGAGGTTCTTCCCGTACTACGTTCACACAATTATCGCTGGTTTAGATGAGGAAGGCAAAGGTGCCGTGTACTCTTTTGACCCAGTTGGTTCGTACGAGAGAGAACAGTGCCGTGCCGGTGGTGCTGCTGCCAGTTTGATCATGCCGTTCCTTGACAACCAAGTCAACTTCAAGAACCAGATGGACCCTTCCTCCAACGGTACCCAGAAGAAGGAATTGAAGTACTTGTCGTTGGACGAAGTTTTGTGCTTGGTTAAGGACGCTTTCAGTTCCGCTACCGAGAGACACATTCATGTCGGTGATGGATTGGAGATTTTGATTGTGACGAAGGAAGGAGTCAGAACCGAGTATTACTCGTTGAAGAAGGATTAGAAAGCTAGCTATTTTAAGGTTAAACGAATATTATTAATATGTGATGTATTGGGCTGAACTGAGAGGGACTCTTGAAGTTACAAGATCTTAAACTACTGGCGTCATTGCAGGCAAATTTTCAGTGGAGATGCAAATGTGACTCCTATCAACATGACTACAGCCATCCAGGTTGTCGAGCTAATAAGGGTCTTTTCATAGTTCTTTCATTGACATCACACTGGCAACTTGAACTTCTTGCCCTTAAATGCACTCTTGTAATAGATGTAGAAAAAGTCAGAGTAGATCACGGTTTGAATAATCCCGGTCAACACGGCAAGTTTGTCGAATTTATCTTCGGCAAAGTATCTGTAGAACCAATTTGGAATGTACAACGCTCTGTACAACCCCAACGCGAAGATATAGTGGGTGGTCAAAACCTCGGCCTCACCCGTTTTCTGGAGCATGAAAAGCTGAGGTAAGATCGCCACAGCCTCAAGCCACAAACTGAAAGACCACAAAATCTCTGGCAACGTGAAGCCATAGTTGAACAAAAATCCCAAAATAAAGGATGGACCCAACAAGTATTTCACCTCGAAGTTGTCCACGTGCTCCTTAATGCTCTTGTTGTACTTATTTGCAATCAAGTACACGGTGTAGATGGACGATGAGATGTAAAACACCTTCATGAAGGAGTTGTACAAGGAGATGTAGCGGTAAAACAAGTCCAAGTAACGTGAGATAAACACAATTGTGTACAACACCTGCGTCTTTAGCGATAAACCGTTCACCGACTGGGTTGTCTCGATGGAATGGAGGAGGATGATGATGGAGACGATGTGCGCAACATCGCCAGCCATACGGAAAATATTCATCTTTATTTCTCTTTAGTCAAATTGTAAATCCACTGGGGCTGAGAAGGTGGTAATTCTCTGGATATAGACTTAATTAGAGGTGGACAAGATGTTTGGATATTTGTGCAAAGAAAACAAGTGTCACTTTGTATGCACCAAGCCGCATGCAAAACGCCTGGTAGAAAAACGCCCCCCCTCGAACAGCTGATGACACGCTTTCGTTTTAAGTCCCACAAAATATAATATACTTAGTAGTTTACCTAGTTAATAATATATAACCTTTTAACAATATAACGTTATAACTAACCCTTTTAACTTCTCCTTTCTCAGGAAAGTCCCTGAAGAAACACCTTCTTACTCAGCTGCCGTAGGTTTGACCCTCATTCATTTAAGTTCAGAATTCTCGGGGTGGCCAAGTTGGCTAAGGCGCGGGACTGTAATGTTAAATTGAAATCCTGAGATCGGGTGTTCGAATCACCCTTCCGAGATATTTTTTCACTCATCGCCACATAATCACGTGACTGAAATCTTTATCGCTGAAAAGTTTTATGGGTTATCTCTAAGTGTTTGTTCGCTTCGGTTCCATTATTTTTTCGCTAAAACTACAAAACAAGCCGTAATGGGGAAAAGTAGTAAAGATAAAAGGGACTTGTACTACCGAAAGGCCAAGGAAGAAGGCTGGAGAGCCAGATCTGCCTTTAAGTTGTTGCAGTTGAACGATCAGTTCCAGCTTTTTGACGGTGTTCGGCGTGTGGTTGATTTATGTGCCGCTCCAGGTTCTTGGTCCCAGGTATTGTCCCGTGAGTTGTATGAAAAGCAACAAGATACCGCTACCCCCGCAAAGATTGTTGCAGTTGATTTGCAGCCAATGAGTCCTATCAACGGTGTCACCACCTTGCAAGCCGACATTACCCACCCAAAAACCTTGCAGCGTATTTTGGACGAATTTGGCGGTGAGCCGGCCGATTTTGTGTGTTCAGATGGTGCTCCCGATGTCACGGGGTTACACGACTTGGATGAGTATATTCAGGCCCAGTTGATCTTGTGTGCTTTGCAGTTAACTACGTGTATGTTGAGAGCCGGTGGTACCTTTGTCGCCAAAATCTTCCGTGGAAGAGACATTGACTTGTTGTATTCGCAGTTGCGTTTCTTGTTCGATAGAGTTATTTGTGCCAAGCCAAGGTCCTCCCGTGGTACGTCGTTGGAGGCGTTCATTGTCTGCATTGGCTACAAGCCAAGACCTGGCTGGCAACCAACCTTGGAGCTCAGTAAATCCACCGAAGAGTTCTTCGAAGGTTCCGGAATCGGTCGCGCCACCACATTGGAGCATTTGGAGTTACCAGAAGAAGAGAGATGTGTCGCCAAATTTGTTGCCTGTGGTGACTTGTCCAGTTACGATTCCGATGCTACCTACACGTTGGACGAAAACTACCAGCGTATCAGTTTGGACCCAGTTCAGTCCCCAACTGCCCCACCATATAAAAAGGCTTTGGAGTTGAAGAGAAGGGGTGAAATGGTCAGGAAATAGATCACTTTGCATTCTCCTTTATTTACGCTCCCCT